ATATCCGGAGGTGTTGGTGCTGTTGGCCATGGAGTAGTTACCCCTAGCTCGATATGTTGCCAGATGCTGAGTGCTTCAGAGCTTTTCTGGAATTGGAGTACCCAGCTGACAAAGTCCTTTTGAGACCAATAGTACGCAGTTGCGTTCTGGGTTGGAATTGTGATATTCATCTTGAAATAGTTCTACAATACGTCTATTCAAAATATGGATGCCGGTTGCGTAGATTCAATGAGACTCTTAATTGTTGAATACACGGATATTGATTGATGCTATTGATTGGCCTACTCTCCGTGCAGGAATTGATCATCTGTCCTTTTGGTGGGTCAGATGCCCTGTGCGTCTCTGCCCTACTGGAGATCTTCTAGTGTCTATCTCCGGCTCCCATTCAACACCTACCACCATTAACGAAGCGGTAAACCAATCGGTTTATATCCGGAATCGAGTCAGAAACCGCCAGAGAAGCTCATCTACATCAGTAGTTGATGCGTTGAGCTCGTTTTCAAAGGCTACATACGGTCTTATACATAAAGTCGATTTAGCTGATTCCTGGGTCCGCGAGCTAGGAAAGGCCAATGACTTACTAAGTAAACACCAGAGAACAAAAAAATAAACGTCTAATAAAAGAAGGAGTATTTTTTGTTGAAGATACAGTAGGTCTTTAGGCTGCAAAGGATGGTAATGAGCTGACAAGACAGGAAATGTGTGAAGGTAGTCGTCGTTCAAGGAGGACGGCAGCGCGTGAGCGACGTTGTGGAGTTTGCAGCAACGCTGGCCATAAGGAGCGAACTTGTACAATAGAGATAGAAACGTCTGAAGAAGAAGAATCCAATTGATTAGATTGAATTAAATGCGTTGTGATCGAGTTATTTGACACGTTGGTTGGAAGGTTAGTAATAAGTTGCCGTTCGCTTATAATTGCCGCTCGCTTTTCATCTACGGTATATAATGTATTTATATCGCTAATAATTAATTCTCAATATACCGTATTTTAAAGATAATATATCATATAATATCATATTTATAGCTTTTTTAACCGTAAAGATAATAATGTATTAACTTAGATATAACATTATATAAAAATGATAAAAATTGTCACGATTCTGTAAATGTATTGTAAGGATATAGTGACCCTTATTCACTATCGACTTATAATAAACTCTGGTTGAAAGAAAAGAAAGATCTGGAGATGCACATGAATTGGTGGGCAGCTAGATGTGGGCAGTCGTCCCTCACCAGACCCACCATAGCATGGATCAACCTGTCGTCAAATCAGTCACGTGCTCAGTCACGTGACCCGGAGACTATGAGGACCATCGCTAGACCTGATGGATGGTGGAACCATCACAAAAATGATTAAGTAAAACTACACCTTTTAATATTTATTACGCTCAAATATAACTTATATTTCTTTAAAATGGTTTGCTTATACATCTAAAAGTGTAAAGAACGTTAAATAAAAGACCCACTATTTTTTGAATTTTTTGAATTTTAAAAATCCGAATTTATTACCATGATGAAACAGGGTGGCTCGCGGCGAGGAGGCCCGCAGGCCAGGGGTTTATATTATAATATATATACAACTTATTGATCGAGGAATATTAATACCTATCACTTAGTTTATTCGTCCTGTTGGTGAGATTAAATATACATTGATAGTATTGATATCCTGATAATTTTTAATCCATATAACCTTATAATATATGAACTGCCGTTTAGTTTTTAAAAAATTGTTACGGCTTTTAATTGTGCTTTTTCAGCTTTTAAGCTTTTATTATCAATAAAAAATTTTTTTTATATGGCCGACTCGACAATTTAACGTATTATTCCAATATATATTTTATTTATGATGATTAAAAGCTTTGCAGCGTCATCAAACGTTGCTTTTTTTTACTAGCGAATATCGTTAAAATAGTTAATAAAATTATCTTGGTTAATATTATATATTTAGAGGCTTTTTAATATCGTCGTTTAAATTTACTGATGAAGCGAGCAAGTATGAGTGTCAAATATGTTGTTGTGCGTAGGTTGGTTATCTAGCTAACTAGGTGAGAGCAGCTACAATCCGTGGACAAAACTCTCCGCCCGATCCCCATTTTTACCCCTTTTATCTACTGCGCTCTCCAATTCAATTGAACTACAACGCACTCAATTCTGGTGATAAAATTCTCAAATAAATTATGTTTAATAGCTAAGTCAATAGTATGTATACCACTCACCTGCGCGCCTCATTGCAGCCATTCGGTCCTCTAGTGACTCCATCAAGGCCCGAACTTGCTCCGGATCGATCTCTGATCACGCCTGCTCATTTAACTCATGTGCGTAGTGATAATGGGGGATATTATCCTTTAATTCAGAAAATTCAGGCTCGATTTCACGTATCTTCTTCTTTAGAAGTTGTTAAACGTGCTCGATTAGGTTCATATCGGGGCTGTGAGGAGGCCAGTCGATACAGTAGATGCCGTGCTCCTCTATCTACTCTGGAACACCGCCAGTAAGGTGAATTTTCGCGTTATCTTGAACAAAAAGATCTCCAGCCTCATAAAACGGAAACAGGCCTTCCTCAAGAACCTATTTATATAACTTTGTGGATAGTCCTCTGTGCAGAGCATCTGGATCGAGTGGGCAGAAGACCAACTTGCCTAGTCCTCCTTCTCCGCTGTGTAGCCAGATTATAGACCACACTATTATTGAAATACGAGATTTGCCGTGATCCGTCTCGTTCACGAGATCATAACAGTACCGCTCTGAAGAGAATCGGATGGGCCGATCGCCTGGATTATCGGATGAGTTTTGGACCGTAAATTTGTCTGAGAACATAACTCGCAACAACTCCTTTAGGCGCTCTGGTATGCTGTAATAAATGGTAAAAGCGAGCCTCTTCTGAGCGTTCTTATCCGTGAGCTTGATTCGCTTTGCTGTGCGCCACTTATGGAGGCCGTGTGTGTGACATATCCTCTTGGTAGTCTTGGGAGAGCACAAAACGCGGGCTTCATTTCGGATCTTCTGCCACGTCGCCCTAGGGAGCTCTCTTGCCTTCTCTATCACATGAGCGTGTTCGCGAGTGTTCAAAACAGTTGGGTGACCACTCCTTGGGGCAGATTTCGGTGTGGAGGTGGCCTCAAAGTTGGTGATGATGTCGGAGATGGTTTTCAGGCGTTTTGTTTTGAACGCGGTTGCAACATCCCTGCACGTTCTGCCGTTGATTCGCGCCGCCACAATTGCCAAGCGAGCTTTTGAAGTGAATTTGCCGTTAGCAATGCGATTGCCGCTCAATTCGCCCCCAAAAGATTGTAAATCCATTATTAATTGCGGTGTTGAGAGAGTGGTGAAGTTGAAGGGTGATTAACGCGTTGTTTTGATTTGAAGGAGATTTTGGTGGGTTAGGCAGAGACTTTTGTCCACCCAGTTTACCATATATGATGACAGTCCTTCCTTATCTTATCTATCTAGCCACCACTTGATTGTCCATAGCACACACTTACAGTGGGTCCCCTTGGTGATGTGTTTCAATTAATTTATTAAAGCTTATATATTTATTGAGTAGTTTTAAATTTTGGTCGAAATATTACTCAAAGTTATTATAATATCAAAAGACCGTTAAACCGTCAAACCGGTTACAAAATTATGATTTTTAGCGCCGCAGTTATTAAATTATATTGTTATATATAATAACAGTTAATTAATTTGTATAGTTAAATACAATACGTTGAAAAAATCTTCGTAAAATTCCCATGTAAAGATCCGTCTTTATATAAGGCTTTTGTAACTTTTTGAATTAGTACAAGTTTTATTAATAGTGTTAAAAACGAATAAAGTTTAATAATAAGTTATTGAAAAACGTTACTTATTTTATTAAGGTTATAACAAAGCTTAAATCAATTGTATAACATGGATATTATCTTAATTTATTAGGTTAAAAACACGAAACCACTTGGTTTATTAAGTTAAGAACGATAAATTTAAGTCTAATTTTAAGTCATTGCATTAAAGATTCTCCAGTCTGACCTGTATCTAAATATTGGACCTTTGATTAGAGTGACACGTTAAATGTTAGATACTAGCATGTCACAAGGCCGAACCATTGGGGGGGGGGGGGGGGGGGGGGGTAAGTGGTATGTTGTTCTGCAGAGAGGTGCAATACTAGTCAGGCACAGAGGCCATGTATATGTACATGAAGGTTCTTTGTTCTCGTGGATGCTTCCTGACATAGCACGTATGATGTTACGTGAATGATAGCGATATGTTATATGGATAACGGCGTATTAATGTGCGACCCGGCCGATAGGGCAAATTACCAGTAAAACTAAGTATTGAGATAGTCTAAGCTGGAAAAAAAAACACAATCAACAAAATCCATCAATATCCGTGTATTCAACATTAGATGATCACATCGGGAAGCCGGTTATCTGCAGTAAGATCAGACCGCGTGAAATCTGACTAAGACTGTTGCCGAGCCCTAAATGCGAGCATGCAACCGTATATCAACTCATTAATAATAAGGAGCCGTTTCTAACCATGGACTTAGTAATTATAAGTTCCAGTGAGTCTTCTCAAGCCCTATAGCCCACCACGGGAATTTTCAATCTTGGCGTGCATAGCCCCTTTCTCGACTCTTTCTCGACCCATTCTCGATTGGTGCAGCGGTTAAGGAATAATCAATGCTTCTCTTGCATAACACGACGCGTCGTGCTTGTGCAGGGTACGTACCGAGTTGCGCCACACTTGTCATATCCACTAGGACGTTTCCACATGCAGCAGACTGTCCCGTTCCGACCTTGTATTCATTAATAAGCCACTGCTAGAGCTGCCACGCCGCCTTCCCGCCGCCCTCCCGCCGTCCTCCCGCCGTCCTCCCGCTACTAGCGAGAGCGAGAACGAGAGCGAGAACGAGAACGGCTCCACGAACTTGCGAAACACCCTCAGCCCTACCGTTCCTCGTTCTCGCTACTGCGCACTCACGCTGCACGCGTCCAACCAACCATATCAACCGTACCGTGGGAATGGCGTCGGGATCCAGCCTGGCGGATGTCCTCCGCCTCCCAAAGCTTGGCCACAAGAAGTCCATGTTCGGCTGCCAGCGGTGCCGGAAGCGGAGAGTCAAGGTACGTACCTATTGTAGGTCTGGACGGCGTACCACCAGAGCAGCTCTAACGGCCTGCTCCAGTGCAACGAGGCCAAGCCCATCTGCCACAACTGCGAGCGCCACCAGCTGCCCTGCGTGTACGACCGCGCGGCAGGTGGATTGCGCTCCCCACAGTCATCATCATCATCATCATCATTCCTGCAGGGGACGCACTCGCGGCAGAGCCAGGAGCGCGAGGAGCAGAGCTACCTCGCCGGCGCCCTCGAGGGGGACGACCCGCCCGATGGTCGCACGCGGAGATTGCTGGAGGTGAGGCTGATGCACCAGTACGTCACCGACACGAGCATCTCCATCGCCGTCGACGAGGTCTCGCGAGGGATCTTCGTCGAGGCGATCCCGAAGCACGCCTTCGAATCTGATGCCATGCTCTACGGCATGTACAGCATGGCGGCACTGCACCTGGCGATTAAGGGCGGCGAGGACAGCCCCGTGTTCAGGGAGGCCGCCCGAAAGTACTTTTCCATGGCGATCCGTGAGCACAACAAAGAGATCTCCCAGCTCACTAAGGAGACCGTCGAGCTGGTGTGTCTGACGTCGAACCTGATGCGGAACTGCGCCTTCATCCAGTTGCAGGGCCGCGACCGGCATCCGTACACGCCGCCGTGGCAGTGTATGTACATTTCAGAGACTCCTATTGCCCCTTTTGGCCATGTCTCAGGGGCGAATATCCTCTTCTAGCCTGTGTTAAGAGCCCTTGTTCCCGAGACACGCATTGCGACTATTTGTTCTCGTAAAAAAGGAGTAATTACTGACTCTAATCTGCTAATAGATTTGGTGGTGGCTAGGACGTCCACTGCGACCTTCACGGCGGCCTGGAAGCTGGGAGGGGCGGACCCGGGCTCGGCCATCTTCAGGTTATTGAAGTTCACGTACCACATCCACCACGGGATGGAGGGCGTTTCCGCGGAACACAAATCCACGCGGCTGGATTACATCCTGGAGCGCAGCGAGAGCCACATGGCCGCCGAGTCGTGGGACGCCGACATCCAGGCCGCGTACGAGAGCACGCTCAACTACCTGGGCAGCGTCATCGACGCGTCCGAGGGCGACCAGCCGCCGAACGATATCCAGAGGCGGCTGACCGCGTTTCCTATGCTGGTGGAGCGGCGGTACGTCGAGCTAGTCCATGCGGGGTGCCCCAGGGCTCTGGTCATACTGGCACACTACTTTGCCATGCTGTCGAGGTACGAGTACCGCTGGTGGGTTGGGGACACGCCGGTCAGTGAGGTCCGGGCTATCGGCGATACCCTGGCTGCGGACTGGCAGGATCTGATGAAATGGCCCCTGGAGACAATAGAACACAGTGAACACTGAACCCCTGTCTTACGGTATGGCTTCAGGCGCATAGGTTATGACGATGTCTACGTATACATATTATGACGATGTTTAGAATAATGTTTAGATTAAGCATATGCAAGGGCCACAAGCCTGGAGCTTGTTATTCCCACAATTGTTCCTTCAAGAATCTTGGATCGCGTCGCATTTGGGCTGGTATGGACGATTGCATAGTCGAGGCGGAGTCTGCTAACCTAGATTGCTGGGGCTGGGTCTCTCGTTCTCGCTCCCGCCCTGGACTGCGGCTGTGTAAGTCATCTGCAGCTCAGCTCCGACGGCTTGGCGAGAAATTATGTGCCTTTCGCGAGGGAAACCCGGTTTTCGACATACAGCAGATTGGGCATTGAACAAACATAGACTTGGTGATCAAGCTTGGTCGAATACTATGCATCAACCCAACTGTGGGAGTGATATAAAGCCATGGCCATTCCCCATGGACGAGAACAATTCCAGATCAGCATCGCCTGCCTCAGACAAGACAGTCCTATCAAGCTTTGATACAATCATCGACTTCAGCTAATACAAGCATCAACTCCAGCCCAACATGAAGGTCTCCCAGATCACCCTCCTCGGCTTCCTCGGCTGCTCAAGCCTGGCTCTCGTAAGTCCCCAGGTTCCACGCCCAAGCAAAGCCCATCACTAACACAGTTGCCCAGGCCAAGACCTTCCCACGCTTCCGACCAGGCCACTTCAAGCGAGACGGCAACAGCACCACCACCACCATGCTCCAACTAAGCACCGACGCGGAATTCCAGTACCAGCTCGTGCGCGCCCTCTCCGTGGCGCCCTACCTGGGCTCCGACATCGGCGAGCTGCTGATCGCCGTGAACCGGCTCACAGCAGGCGACATGGACAGCTACTACGCCGCCTTCAACGCGCTCGCGACGCGTGTCCACGACACGGCGGACGCCATCAACGTAACGAAATACCCCGTCTCAGTGCGCGACGCCCGCTTCCGCGAGGCAACCTACTGGCGCTCGGCCGACTTCTTCCTGCACGGCAACTGGAGCGACCCGCGCATCAACTCGCTGTGGGCCTCGCAGACGGCCGCGTTCGACGATGCGATCGCGCTGCTGTCGACGCCCGGGGAGCGCGTCACGCTCCCGTCGGCCGGCGGGAATTTCTCGGTGCCGGCTATTTTCTACGGCACGGGGCTGCCGGGCCGGAGGCCGACGCTCATCATGTGCAGCGGGATGGACGGGTCACAGGAGGAGATGTACCACATAGTCGGCGCCGCGGCGTTGCAGCGTGGCATGAACGTCATAACCTTTGAGGGACCCGGACAGCCGACGGTGCGGCGCGATCAGGATCTCGGGTTTATCCCGGAGTGGGAAGAGGTCGTCACGCCCGTGGTCAACTATGCGCTGACGCGGGATGAGGTGGACGGGAGTAAGCTGGGACTTCTCGGCCAATCATTCGGGGGCTACCTGGCGCCGCGCGCGGCCGCCTTTGAGCACCGCCTCGCGGCCGTCATGGCCATCGACGGCATCTACGACTTTGGGCAGGGCCTGCTGGACCAGTTCGGATCCGACTTCACGCGGCTGTTCGACGCCGGCAACGCGACGGCCTTCAACAACGCCATCGACACCCAAGTCCTCAACAACCCCGACGCCCCGACCAGCGCGGTCTGGGGCATTCAGCAGGGGATGTGGGCCTTCAACGTCCCGACGCCCTATGAGTGGATCTCGCGCGCGCAGAACTACACGCTGGACGGCATCGCGGGGGACATCAAAGTGCCGGTTTTCGTGGGCGAGTCGCAGGACGATGATAACCTCCCCGGACAGCCGAAGGCGCTGGCGGATGCGCTGGGTGACCTTGCTACCTACCATCTCTTCGAGTCGGTTGATGGCGCGGGTCTGCACTGCGCGGTCGGTGCCAGCGTTCTGGCCAATCAGGTCGTACTCGATTGGTTCGAGGACATAGTGTCTTGGGATCAGTTGAACTGCGATTCGGAAATGTAGGAGTCCTTGTTCTTCTTCGGGTCTCCTCCGTCTTCGGTTCTCCTCCTTCTTTGGACCAGGACACAGCATCAGCACTGGAATACGGATGGCGTTTAAATGCATCGGGAGGTTCTGTACCTGCCTAGTAACCATTTTGTCTCTCTTTTACATAAAGACACTTGATCCATAGTCACATGCAGTAGAATAAGCAGCCATTTGTGCTGGTTCCAGACAGTCGCCTCCAGATTGATCGCTTAGTCGATGTGATTATACCAGGCTTTAAATCGCCCTTTCCCAGATAACTCTGGAGAGTCATGGACGACGGATCTTATTTCAATGCCGGTAGCTGTAGATATGTGGTGTCACGTCTCACATAGGGTGGCTATCAAGGACGCTTCAGGGGGTGAGCTTCGGTGTTGAGCACATACTCATCCAAGCTGATCAGCCCAGGCGGCGAGAAGATCAGGTAGAAGTATTTGAGCGTCTCAGAAAGCCAGAAGCTCTGTCATCCGTCAGTTTTGATCTTCCTCAACGTTCGAAAGGTTTGATTTTTCTCAGCGTTCGAAATGTTTCATGCTTACCTCCATAGAGTCGTCCTTCTGCGCAGCCCCGCCGTTGACCGTCACATCCGAGATGGCCGAGAACGCAAGACTGGTTTCGGTGGCCTTCCTGATGGACTGGAACATGCGCCACGCCATGTCTTGGTACTCCTGCTTGCCGGTAATGCGATACATCAGGAAGACGCTCTCAATCGCTTCAGGGCGCAGGATATATCTGGGATCCCGGGCATTCTCGATTCCTTTCTGCAGGGAACGGTCGCCTTTAGCCTCCCACTCGGCTTGGTCCCATTCGCAGGCGGCGAGGGTGGGACATGGGATAACAGCCATGATCTCGGGCATAATGCCGGCAGGCATAGCATCGTATGCCCAGACGCAACCTTTTGTTATCTTTTCACCAATCTCAAGCTGCTCTGGTAGACCCAGCAGCTTGCCGCCAAGACCGAACATACCTGTCACATCTCGGTCAGCTTTCAGTTCTCCAAGGTGCGAATCAATCTCGCACCGGACACATAGACCGCGTCATCTGTAATCTATGGATGACGCGAGGGGTGAACTCACCACCAACAAAGCAGCCCAAGTGCTGGACTTCGGGTTGCAGTTCAGCTCTTTTCCTGACGTAGACATTGCCCGTGAACAAAATATCTGCCTGGTCGGGTGTCATTGGCCTGAACAAGAGGTGCTCAGTCACCGCATCCATGGCGTCCCGGTATAACTTCTCATACACAGGTTCCAGCCCACCCAAGATCGCGTACATCTTCGGCAGAAGCTCATACAGGGAGTCAGCCAACGCGCCAAGGGTAAACCCTTCCTCCTGGTCGAAGACGAGGTTCTCCATGTCGAAGAATGTGGGCCACATGCCGGGGAGCTTGGTCGAGTTCTGGGTCTGGTCGAGCAGTCTCGTGATCCTGTCGATGGCGTCGTAGTACTTGTCCTCCCCAGTCAGCTGGGCGAGCCTCGTGAACTCGAGCGGTGAAGACGCCACAGTCGCCGAAGGATCGTGGGTTCCTGGATGTAGGGTTCCAGTCCTCGCCTTGTTGAAGTCAAGCCAGAATGGCGGCATCCGGTTTGGTGTATCGAAAGCCATGTACAGCATATCACCAAGCTCGACCGCTTTCTGGAGCAGCACGGCTTCTTGGCTCAAGTCATACGCGCTTAGCAAGCCCCCGAGGTGCCGAATGGTCGTTTCGAAAAAGTTGCAGGCGGTTTCTTGCGTGTCAGACCAGTCTATGGTCGCGACGGCGGCAACGGCGTCGTAAAAGTCGGCTTTCATGTCCATGATCCAGAGCGTGTCCAGAGAGTCCACGAGCGTGGCAGCCCAGCCGCCGAACGTGTTTTTTCCTTCGCCAGAGACTGGTGTCAGCTCGTCGAACATCCATGCGTGGTTCTTGTAGCTCGTCCAGCTCTTTTCAAATGCATGCTTGATTTGTTTCTGTCGGTCCTGGATGTCTAGGTCATGTGCTCTACCGGCCCGGGTTGTATCGGGACGGAAAGCAAATTGAACCTTGGGCAGTGTCCGTGACTTGCCCTTTGGTAGTGCTGTCAATTCTGAAGCAGGAATGGGGTAAGTCTCTGGCACGGTCGACCAGTCGAAGCTACTCTTGACGTATGTGAAGTCGCGCGATTTCGGTACATCTTTCAACCCTGGGAGAATGACAAACATAAGGTAGAGCAGTAGTATCGCAATTGTAATCGGTATGAGGCGCGTCCGTGCTCCTCTCATGACTGCCATTGTGTCGATGCGGCGTTGACTATCAAGCAGGCAGAAATACTCTCACTGCAGTCCTCTGGGCCAGTACGCATGAATTACTAGAAGATGCTCGTGAAGGAGTGGAAAGAGGATCTTAGAAAAGAAGAGGAAAGAGGGTCCACTCCTTCAGGAGGATCCTCCAGGCAGGCCTAACAATAGAAGAGGCGAATGGACCCCAAGACAATGCTCGAGCCTCGATAACCCTCGCATCCGAGCCAATGAGCGTCGTCCTGAGTCCTGGCAGATTGATGTTGGCCGGGGTGCAGCCGCTGTAACACATCCTACGGGCGGTTGCACCAAACCACAGATTCTCATTGGTCGTGGGATGTGGACGCTACGGTTATGCATAAGATTGGCGTTTCGCCGATGCAGCTATACAGATATCCAGGGGTAACAGGTAGAACTTTACACGATGGGAACTTTCTCATGGGACTTTCTCATAGGAACTTTCATAAGAACTTTCGTAGGAACTTTTTTGTAAGAACGTCGTTATTAGCTATATTAGCATAGTAGTTACACGTGAAACCGCTAACCATTACCATCCTAGACACCTATATCCAATGTGAACCCTGAGCGTATCCCGGGCAGCCGGGGTTTTGGATCCGCATGCGATGCGACGAGGTGGTAGTAATTGTTAGTGCCCCTTTCGAGTCAATGTAACGACATCCCCACGGACTTGCCCGAAGCGCTTCTTCAGCTAAGTACCGATTTTATGACTGGTTACCACTGAGTACATCTGCAGACTCATGATGCCAGGTAGCTGCAGTTGGTAGTTCAACCATGTTGTCGCGGCGCATACCCGGCAGAGGCCAAAATGATGCTGGTCGATGTTGGCCTGCTATGGTCCCGAGCGGTGGCTGCCAGCAGGAGCCAAGGCGGCAGGCAGCCTTACTTCAGTGAAGGACATGGAGTTTACATTCTCGCTGACCCCGATTGCTGAGCAGGTGAATCTTCCAGTGTCAAACTCTGTAATCACTTCTTCACCGCACACGCGATATCATCATGAGGACCGTTTTGTTCCTTGTGTTGCAGGTTCTTCTAGTCACCAGCCCAGTCATCGCCACATCATGCGATGACATCCGCCCCTTACAGCTTCCTATCAAGGATATCCAAGTGCTACCCAAAATACCCGACTCTTTCATGAGAGGCATACAGGCGAGTATTGGAACACCGCCCCAAGATATTGTGGTGTTGCCGTGGCCGTCAGTTATTCCATATGCCCTCATCAAGACTGATCCCTTACCTAGACTGAATAGGGAACTTAACAACACATGGATCTACGACCAGCAAGCATACTGCGACTCCACCATCATATGGAACGACCTCATATGCGATGTTCGGCGTGGCAACTTATACGAAGAGAACAACTCTTCCTCATCCGACAAAGCTAGTGACATGGTCGTTGCCGGTGGTGCTCATGTCGAGACGCAAGGGCTTGGGGCGGAACTGGGCATCCACAATCTCCTGACCTCAAGCTTGCCGGTGACCGAAATCATCACCCTCGAATCGACACAGGCACTACTCGACTTCCCCGTCGGCATACCTAGGTTGAACTGGGACCATGGATACACGATACTTCATGCAATGGGAATGGGTACGAACTCGACGGTCCTAAATGCTCTCGTGCAGTCCAAGCAGATTGGTTCCCGTGTGTGGTCTATCTTCTGGGGCCGCATGTGGGTAGACGAAGCCAGCGCCCTCGACGGCTCAATCGTCTTTGGTGGTTTCGACCAGCAGAAGACCATCGGCCATAACTATACCCAGCCACTCGACTTTAGCGACACCACAGGCTGCTGGACGGGTATGAAGGTGCACATATCAAGTATCACGCTCAACAACAATGATGGAAACGACTCGGATCTGCTCCCTCCCAACACTTCGATCGACACGTGCATTGTGCCTCAACGTCAGCTGCTGCTTGAGGCACCGCACTCGGTCGTTGACGCTTTCGAAGAAGTGACGGGTATGAGCAACCACGGAATTTCTTATGGGCTACACTGGGACGCATTCCTTTACGACGCGGAAGGCTCGTAAGTTGATCCACCCCTAAGATACGTCTGCCGCAAGATTGATGATATCACTGCCCCGCGTTCTTCGTCATCGTTGCTTACACAGAATTCACCAGATTCGACGGCGACATGACCATCTCCTTCACCAGCGGTCTGGAGATCCGCGTTCCCAACAGTCAATACTTGGTACCCTACGTGGACATCGACCGCAACGGCTCTCGCATCTTCAACAACACCGAGCGCGAGCTTTTGATCAACGGCCTGGTCGACCAACCTGCCACACTGGGCCGCTACTTTTTGACAGCCGCCTACCTGATGGTCGATCTTGACGCCAATTCTTTCACGTTGTGGCAAGCGAACCCTGCATCCGGGAGCACACTTGTGTCAGTCACGGGGGCCGAGGCCCAATGCGGGAACGAGTCGATATCCGGTACTGGGTCGGCTGGGCCGGCTGATTCGGCTGGGTCGTCGTCTTCTCCCTCGCCGACGCCTCGTCTTTCAGTAGGTGCTATCGTGGGAATCGTTATCGGCGTCCTTGCTGCCCTTGCCATTGCAGGAGTGGGGACAATTTACCTCGTTCGTAGGGCTCGTCGGCGAGAGATCACCCAACCAATGCAGGAGTCGGCTGGTGATCATTCACATGGCGCATTACCTGATTATCAATATCCAGGTAAAGCGTATTACGTACCATCTCAAGAGCTGGATGGCTCGCAACCGGTTCCGATAGAGGCGGGTGATCATGCTATACATGAAATGGATGGACAAGCCGGTCCGGGAGGCAGAATCTATTTATAATATTTTATCAATGGATTCAACAGACGGGTTTCTCACGTGAAGCCATTATCCCCTACTTACATCCTTAATTATGATAGAGAAAGGTCAATTACGAGCGTGATGGCGTCTAGGTCTTTAAATTGAATAGAGCTATAACCTCGCAGTTGCCTTCTTAGATGTATATATCTTGGTTGGTGCCCTACACCAGCCACCGGTGATGTAAACCTGCATAGCATCTTACTCAAGAGCCGTCTGACGGAGATCTGGGGAGCTGTTCTACACGCCCTCGTACTCTACACTCGACAAGGTGTCTGGAGCAGGCTCAGAGAACAAGGGCAGACTTCTCCACATGGCTATTTATGTGGACAAGACCACCAAGTCTGGGCAATGCATATGCTACTAGAGAGTCAACTGAGTCACTGAGATAGGTTGATTCCTTGCTTCTGAAGCCACAACTCGACAATGCATTCCCTCGATCGTTGCTGCCATTGCGGCTCTTCTGAGCGCTTCTACGGTCCTGGCTGGCAAGACTGGTCCTATTTCCGCTTGGGATGGCAACCCGGCCAGCCTCGGTAGCTCCCTGGTCTATCTGCCAACCATGATGCCCGAAAAGTCGGCGATCATCCTCGGTGTATGTGATCCATGAAGCGGCCAGGGGCATACACTGACATACAGATTGCAGCCCCACCCTTGCTGAGGCACTGGACAGATGTACTACTCCATGACGAACTTACCCTCGAACGCCGACAAGCTTGGCTTGGGTTGTTCTGTACCCCATCTCGAAGTCGCAGAACGGATTCAGCTACTGGGACGCGCAACCGGCGGAAGTCTCTAAATCATGCGGGTGGTGGTGACTCTCAGAGTCTCGCTGGGCTGGTGACATGGGCGCTCAAGGAGTACAAGAGCGACCCCAAGAATGTCTTCGTGGGCGGATCCTCCGGTGCCATGGAGGCCACGTGCTTGCGCCGACATACCCAGGCATATTTGCCGGTACCGCGTCTGACTCCGGCGTACTAGCTGCGTGGTGGGCTGGTTCGCCAATGTCGACGCCGATGTGGCCAGATCTCAGCTAGCCCCTTGGTGAGAAGACTTCGAAATACACTCCTCAGCAGGAGACCGACCTCGGCAAGGCTTACAACCCCAGCTACAATGGGACCTGGCCAAAGATGATGGTCTTCCACGGCACTGCTGACACGGCTGTAACCATCAACATTCTGAAGGCCCAGCTTGATCAGTGGAGCACAGCCCAGGGTTTCGAGTTCAGGGTAGTGGACACATTCCACTGTTCCAGGAAGATGCTACGGTCAAGTTCTTCGGCCTGTTGTGAGTGCAGAGGCTTTGGCTTTAGCAGTCCGGGACCGGTACGGCGCAAGACAGCCGTACCTCTAGGCCGTTAGATGCTGGAAATTACTTCGTCTTGTACGTAATCTTCGTACATACGCCGAATGCAATGAGCATATACACCGTTGATGTCTTGCTTTTGGTTCTGCTTGGTGCGTAAACATTCGTCGCGATGGGATAATGTTCCCATGGGGATACCATCCGGTTCTTAAATGATGACCTTTGGCATTTCCTTCAACGAATGGCCCCAGCTCTTCGTATTGGAGCTTGATCAGAATGGTTCCAAGATGTGGACAGGGTCCTGGCCAGCGCTGAGACGATTCGTGATTCGGTGATGCACTGATGAGCTTATCATGGGTTGAGGACGCTGTATGGCTCAAGGTGTTAGGTATGGAAGTTGGCTTGCTCAATGAAGCACCCATTCTTCTGTATGTATGCCCAAGCTCGGAGATTCAGTAGTGGGATCATCAGCAGATAGAGGCGTTTGAGCACTTTACCAAGTGCATCTTCCTTAGCACACTGCAGGTATAGAACTGATCAAGTTCATGTGTATCATGATCATATCTGGGTCTCTCCTGCCTAGACTTGGTTATGCTCGATTGACTATCAGTGGCAGAGGGAGGGAAGGTTGGGGAGTACTGTACCTTATCACCTAGGTACACAGGTGCCGTCCTACTGGTGCGAACACACATGAGATAATGAGATGAGTACATTGACCTGGGGGGTACTCATTTATGGACGCCTGTTGAAAGTATATAGGATAGTTTCTTGTTCGAGTGTGTGCATAGATGACTTGTGTCGATCTAGACAATCCATCCAACCTCAATGGAAAGGGGTGCTCGACTGCACCGGAGGCTACTAGAAGATTCACGGACCTAAGCGTGGTCCGAGCATTCTCCATTAGGTAGGTACCTAGGTACTTCAGCACAGTCTACCTGCGCCACTATCGTTATCGCAAATCTTACCAATCAGCCTTGTATCACGTGCCAACTGAGGTGGCGGCTGCAGCCGTGCGACGTTCGAGACCCATAGTAGCGACGCCATCCCGTTTAGGTTCTAGCGCATCTCGCCGCGCTTTGCTTTCAGCCATCATTCAAGCAGTCTTTCGACTTCAAGGACGCCTCGTTTTCAAAAAGTGCCAACTCCCATTCCCATCCCCATCACAAGTGACAACACCCTGCGAGTTGGGTGCACTGCCGGCTGCACGCGCTTCGTGGGACACTGATGATATTGCTTGCTGTGTGTATTTATCCGCGCGCATTGCTTTCTGATGCCTTCCGCCCTCACTTCTCTCCCTCCCTCGCGCCTGTTGCTGACCCGCCCTTCTGAGGCAGCTTGATCGTACCTCGGCGCTCGACTCGAGGGCAACATCTCCAACGCTTCCGAGACTGCAGGCGAAGTCTCTATAGCTGCCCACTGACCGACCAACACCCTTCAGACCTCACGTCCGATTCACCCTGCGTGCCTGCCTGTACCTCGGACCACAAGCTCTGCGACCCTCGGCTTTGCCACCCTGCGAATCTCTTTCCCTTGCCCTTGCGACTCAATCGACCTTTGTCTTCCCTCCATCAGTCATCGCGATTATCCGACCAAACTATCCAGCGGGTCTGAGGAGATACTGCAATAGTCATCATGGCGGACTACGACGAAGGATACGAGTACGAGTACCAGGAGGAGAATACCGACAACATCATCACGCCCGAGGAGTGCTGGAAAGTCATCGGCGCCTATTTCGAAACGAAAGGCCTCGTTTCCCAGCAGGTCGATTCGTTCAACGATTTTCAAGAGACTACCATTCAAGAGCTCCTCGATGAGTACAGTGTCGTCAGCCTCGACCAGAACAACCCTCCTTCCGATGACGGTCGCGAGATTGCCTGTCGCCGCTACGAGATCAAGTTTGGCAGCGTCACCATTTCGCGTCCCGTCGTTAGTGAAGGCGAAGGCACCTCGAATCCACTACTCCCTTACGAGTGCCGCGACCGAAATCTGACATACGCCAGCCCTCTGTTCTCCAAGGTCGACAGCAAGGTACAAATATGCATCGAAGAGCCGGTGCCTCTTCATGAGATGGACGACGAGCAGCGGGACGCCTATGCGAGAGATGGAAAGCAGCCTACCCGACTGGTTTGGGAGGAGGAAGACAACACCTTGACGCAAAACGATGGCCAAGCCAAGAAGGACGCCGAGATAGTATTCATCGGTCGTCTTCCTGTCATGGTCAAGTCGAAGGCCTGTCACTTGAGTCGCGAAACCGAGGATGAGCTCTTTATGCTGAACGAGTGCCCTTACGACCAGGGTGGGTACTTCATCATCAACGGAAGCGAGAAGGTTCTCATCGCCCAGGAACGTTCCGCTGCCAACATCGTCCAGGTCTTCAAGAAGGCTCTGCCCAGCCCGTTCTCCTACAGCGCTGAGATTCGAAGTGCTTTGGAGAAAGGTTCACGACTCATCTCTTCACTGATGCTGAAACTGTACTCGAAGGGCGACTCATCTCGCGGCGGGTATGGTCAGACCATACACACCACACTACCATACGTTAAGTCCGATCTACCTATTGCTATCGTCTTCCGAGCCCTCGGTGTCGTCAGTGATGAGGAAATCCTCAATCACGTCTGCTACGACCGCAATGACAGCCAGATGCTCGAGATGTTGCGGCCTTGCATTGAAGAGGCCTTTTGCATCCAGGATCGAGAGGTCGCGCTCGACTACATTGGTAAGCGTGGAAACCAGACCACCGGAATGCCCAGAGACCGCCGTATCAGGGCGGCCAAGGACATATTGCAAAAGGAAATGCTGCCACACATCTCTCAGGGTGAGGGCTGTGAGACGAGGAAGGCCTTCTTCTTGGGGTACATGGTACACAAGCTACTGCAATGCGCTCTGGGTCGGCGTGACACCGATGATCGAGATCACTTCGGCAAGAAACGTCTGGATCTCGCAGGCCCTCTCCTTGCCAAGCTATTCCGCAATATTGTACGTCGTATGACGCAGGAGGTTTTGGCACAGCTGAAGCGCAGCATCGAGGAGCGCAAGCGGTTTGACATTGCGCTGGCTGTCAAGTCTACTATCATCACCAACGGTCTAAAGTACTCTCTCGCTACCGGCAACTGGGGCGATCAGAAGAAAGCCATGAGCTCTACAGCGGGTGTGTCGCAGGTGCTAAACCGATACACATTCGCTTCGACCCTGTCCCATTTGAGGCGAACCAATACTCCCGTCGGCAGAGACGGCAAGCTCGCCAAACCACGACAGCTTCACAACACGCACTGGGGGCTGGTCTGTCCGGCAGAGACGCCCGAAGGTCAAGCTTGTGGCCTGGTGAAGAACCTTTCCCTCATGTGCTCTATCAGCGTGGGCACGTCCACGGAGCCCATCATTGATTACATGATCACCAGGAACATGGAGGTCCTCGAGGAGTACGAACCCACGCGTTACCCCAATGCTACCAAGATCTTTCTCAATGGCTCCTGGATTGGCGTCCACCAAGACCCCAAGTCTCTCGTCCGCGACGTGCAGCAGTTGAGGCGCGCAAATCAGATTCCGGCCGAGGTATCTCTAGTCCGCGACATTCGCGATCGTGAGTTCAAGATTTTCTCCGATGCAGGACGAGTGATGCGACCCTTGTTCGTTGTCGAGCAAGAGGACGACGATGACAGGGGTGTCCAGAAAGGCACTCTCGTTCTCACAAGGGAAATGGTGGACAGACTCTACATTGACGATACCCTCCCGCTTGGCAGCGATGAGTTCTTTGGATGGCAGGGCATGGTGAACTCGGGTGTTGTCGAATACCTCGATGCTGAGGAAGAAGAGACAGCGATGATATGCATGACGCCCGAAGATCTGGAGATATATCGGAAGATGAAGAGTGGTCAGCCAGTTGCACCGGACAATATCAATGAGCCTAACAAACGGCTGAAAACCAAGATCAACCCGACGACGCACATGTACACACATTGCGAAATCCATCCCAGCATGCTGTTGGGTATTTGTGCGAGCATTATCCCTTTTCCCGACCACAACCAGGTAAGCACACTCCGGTGCGTTTCCTATCTCGTACTGACCATGATTGCAGTCTCCCCGCAACACGTATCAGTCCGCCATGGGTAAACAAGCCATGGGCTTCTTCCTTACTAACTACTCCCGACGCATGGACACCATGGCAAACATCCTCTATTACCCACAGAAACCACTTGGCACCACACAGTCTATGGAAATGCTGAAGTTCCGAGAACTCCCAGCCGGCCAGAATGCCATAGTTGCCATTGCCTGTTACTCCGGGTACAATCAGGAAGACTCGGTCGTCATGAACCAAAGCAGCATTGACCGCGGTCTCTTCCGCAGTCTTTTCTTCCGAGCCTACAGCGACTCGGAAAAGCGGCTCGGAATCAACACTGTAGAGCAGTTTGAGAAGCCGTTCCGTGCCGACACTCTACGTCTGAAGCAGGGTACATATGACAAGCTCGATGACGATGGTATCATTGCTCCTGGAATACGCGTCTCTGGTGAGGACATCATCATCGGAAAGACGGCACCCATCGCCCCCGAGAACGAGGAGATGGGCCAGCGCTTGAAGGTGCATGTCAAACGCGATGCATCCACCCCCCTGCGAAGTACCGAGAGTGGTATCATTGACCAGGTTGTCGTCACCACCAATTCAGACGGTCTCCGCTTCGTCAAGGTGCGGGTTCGAACTACAAAGGTGCCGCAAATCGGTGACAAGTTCGCGTCGCGCCATGGACAGAAGGGCACTATTGGTGTTACCTTCCGCCAGGAAGACATGCCTTTCACTCGCGATGGCATTGTGCCCGATATCATCATCAACCCGCACGCCATTCCTTCTCGCATGACCATTGCTCATCTTATCGAGTGTCTGCTAAGCAAGGTGGCCACTCTAAAGGGAATGGAAGGTGATGCGACGCCATTCACCGCAGTGACTATCGACTCTGTCTCGATGCTCCTACGGGATCAAGGTTTCCAATCTCGTGGGTTTGAGATCATGTATCACGGCCACACGGGACGCAAGCTCCGTGCCCAGGTCTTCTTTGGTCCGACATATTACCAACGTCTCCGACATATGGTCGATGACAAGATCCATGCCCGAGCTCGCGGTCCTGTGCAGATCATGACCCGACAGCCCGTCGAGGGTCGTGCTAGAGATGGTGGTCTGCGCTTCGGAGAGATGGAGCGTGATTGCATGATTGCTCACGGTGCCGCCGCCTTCCTCAAGGAGCGACTGTTCGAGGTTTCCGATGCATTCAGAGTCCACATCTGCGAGATCTGTGGGCTCATGACTCCGGTCGCGTAAGTTGAAGCCAATGTTGTACTCACACCTGTCGCTTACTAACTTGTCGCATAGTCAACTGGGTCAGCAGAACTTTGAATGCCGACCCTGCAAGAACAAGACGAAAATCGCGCAGATTCAGATTCCGTACGCCGCCAAGCTCCTCTTCCAGGAGCTGCAGGCGATGAACATTGCCTCACGCATGTTCACCGATCGGTCCGGGGTAACCATTCGTTAATCGCGATTCCTTTCACGTGTACAGTAGTTGAGCTGCCCGTATCCTAAGGGCGGCCGGATCAGAGACAGCCAATCTGACGATGTATAATTGCATTTGGAGAGGAGTCCCATACGAGGCGAAATAGCATGCTTGATCAAGCGGGATTGCGGACTTGAGGGCGTTACAGGCGTTGGTCCCCCAGAATCGAGACTGCAATGAAGAACGCCAGTCGCGTACGGGAGGTCGAGAACTCTGGGTAGATACAAGATTGTTTGATAAACCAAAAATTCTAGCAAACTGATCCGTGTGCATTCAATGCTTGCCGAGCTCACTCGATAGACCCTTACGAAGAGTTTGCCTTGGTGCCAAGTGCCACTCGTGCAACCTATAGACTGTCGGAGCACCGCAGATTGACTCGAGCTCGACATTTTCGAGGGCGTCTGCAGGTGACAATTCGGGTGCGACCGCGACCATGGCCGGCGTCAGAGGCCTACTACAGCTTCACAGTTGAAACCATCCATCTCCCGAGTGCCGTTGGTTGTCCACGTGTCTAGAAAAGTGGCCGAGTTCATGCCCCCACTGGAGCAGCACGCAAAACTATCAAAGGGACTGCCACGATAAGATCACTCCCTACATGAAGATGAACTTCTGTGCAACCCCTTCCGCCCAGTTGAACTTCAGGTGGTACCTTACCGTCTGACGATGTGGTCAACAATGTCCAATCTCCTCAGATGCTATCAAGTTCTCCTTATATTACCAGGGCAAATAGAGCGTAATTAAGCGTCAAGCCGTGTGCGCAATAGCCTTCGCATCGTTCCTGGTGAGGTAGGACCAGGCTGGCTCCGTATGCCTCCAGTTGATGTCCGCGTCCGAATAACTAAGGCTGCCCCTCGGCTTGAACGGCAGGCCGGTCTGGCGAGTCTAGGTCTGGGTAAGAGCCGTGAATATGAGCTGAGTATCACTCACGATTCATGAACCCACGTCACGGCAAAGCTGCATCGATCCAAGGCCGAGAGATAGTCCTACTGTTTGGCTTCTATCTACTGTACGCCCCACACACCGACGTCATGAAACTTGACCATCTTATCACTAATGAAAGCCTAGTGACGCCGTACTTAACCTCATGAGATAACCGTTGCATCATTATGCGGTGACTAGGCAAGATGCCCTTCGATATAGAACACAGCGCGCGCGCCCATCTCATGGATGTTGTCTAAGACACGACACAAGCAGCTACCATGACGGAGAATCTTTACGCAACAGTCCAGCCTCCATTGGACACACGGCCGTCGAAGGCTTCCCGCAACAATGCCCACGGAACCGACCAGGACGTGATAGAGCGCTCCAAGGTCCGTGAGATTTGCGAAGGATGGGGCATGTATCGGTATGTATGATGGCGCATAGTGTATTGGCAGTATCAAGACGTGTGAAGCTGACGCCACGACACCACAGCGATGCCGCGGAATGGTCCAACTACAGATCAATGTTCCACGACGACGCCTACATCGCAACCAGCTGGCACCAGGGCGGCATCGACGACTTCATCGAAGCGTCCAAGAAGGGCTTCGCCATGCAGAATCAAGGCTTCATGTACATCCTGCACCGCATCATCGGCCAGACGGTCGACGTGCAGGGCACCCGGGCCGTGTCCAAGATGAAGGTGACCATCACGTGCCGCTACAACTTCAAGGGCGGCATCGAGATGGATAACGAAGCCGACTGCCGCTTCTTCTTCCTGCTCGACAAGCGCGACGGCAAATGGGGCGTGGCCTTTTACACCCTGCTCTTTGATAAGGACAAGATGGTGCCAGTTAACCCCGGCAGACAGATCCAACTTCCGGAGGAAGAGGTTGGCAAGTATCCGTCCGGGTATCGGTATCTGGCGTGGTGCGAGGCGAATATATCGAAGACGCCGCCGAAGATGGATCTGAACAGCCATGGCCCCGAGAGGGACATCCTGTATGGGAAGTGCAAGGATTGGCTTGACGGAAAAAAAGTCACGCCGAACCTGACGGGCAAGGATGAGGTGACTAAGTGGTGAAGGGGCATGCATTCGCTATGGGTGGTGATCGTACTTAGCGAGCTGTATCACATCTCTGGTTGTGCCGGAACTCGTCAGCATTTAGCAATCCAAGCACGCCTTTGCCAGCCCTTGCTCATCTTGTTCCCGGTATTTAGTCGAGCTGCGCAAGCGGACTCGTGTCCATGTCAACCAGCACCTTCGCACCAGCCGCTTGGTCCTTCAGCTTGTACACTGAACCCTCATAAGTCTCCGTCCCTCATGCTTCTGTCAACACTTGAACGTGGATGCTAGATTCGTTTTAATGAAACAAGTAACCTGGAATAACTGCGTTTAATCTAATTAGATATGATTGATGCTTATTCCATTCATATCAAGTACATGTTCGCCTGGTGAACGAAGGGTATACGGAGACTTGTGGAGGTCAGTGTACCATGCTTCTGGCCGTCGAGACGCCTGTCTCCGCTTCCCGCGCTGAAAACGTGGTGATGCCCATCTTCGACGAGATGTCTGGAGGGTTGGCATCGGTCACGCGGAGCTTGACTTGACCCTCGGTATCGGAGCCATTCGTCTCCTGCTTCTCAGGGGGTAACAGGCGGCCCACAAAAGATAGAACGCTCCTCCTCCGACCTTAGTGGTAATCAAGGTATCGGTATCCTTTTACTCGGGGGCGATATCTTTATGGTTTAGGGTGTGGTTCGCCGTCAGGATATGCCACAGACGCAATGAACCCGACCGGTTCGGCAGCATGAATGAAGTCATGGTTCCAGCAATGGCAATGGCATATTGGACACCGTAGAGGGGGTTCAACCTCTAAATTGTACCGCATTTCATCCCACATCACATGATGACACGATTATCTGAGGATTCAATGGATGAACAGTAGCCATTGTCCTGCGGGTTTGACGTATGACCCTGCAGTAGATCTTTGCCCGCTTCCAGCGTATAATACTCCGATGTGGGAATGTAGGTTAGTGTTTCGAGACGACCCCTTCGATCCCGAGCAATACCTCATTCATCGCCGCACCTCTTTCCGCCTCGCTAGCGTAAACTCCTGATGGTCGGTTCTCATCCAGCAAACGGAGGGCCTGTTGAACTGCCTCAGACTCCATGTTAAAGAACTCCACTTCGTCCCCAATGTCGGTGACGAACTAATGCAGTAGTTGTCTGATGGAATAACTAGTGCTTGGTCGGTGGCCTGACACTCTAGCCCATTCCAGATGTCGATACAGAAGGTATTCTTTTCTGCGGCCTCGAGTTGTCGGACAAGATGCATCGTTGCACCAAGTAATCCTGAAGTTGTCTTCTGATTTTCCCTTATAGGATAACGGATCTAGTTGTCTAAGCCACCCCGCTGATGTCCGTTCGGAGTACGGGTACAATGGTCTACCAACACGGAGTTCAACCTTCCTCGTCCACCGACCGTCTCTTCGCCGAGGAAGAGTGTCCCGAAAGTCGACATAGAAGCTGGTATAGCAGAGACGGCAGTCAGGAGGATCGCCACAGACGTCCCGTACGTCTTCTCTAGAAGGACCGTGTTTCCTCTGCTGCCGGCGCATTGCATCACCGATGTCGGTGATGCGATTGATATCGTTGACTTTGATATGGGGACAGATGTACTCCTTGCTTTCTTCGCAGTAGGCCTTGGCCGCTTTGATGCTTGGCTCGAGATCTGGTGGCCCTTCATACAGGCTTGTGCTAGACCAAACAGAAGGCAAACGCTCCCCTAACATTTTCGTACCACATTCTTCGCAGCGGTAGTCCTGAGTCGGCTGGGACTGGAGCGCTTGATACTGATCCCACGGGAGGACTCTGTGGGTGCAAACGCGGACGTAGCCAACACTTCCGATACAACGCCGGCGAGAAAAAATGGGATCGTGCCTCTGGGAAGCTGGGAAGTAGATAGATGAGTGGTCTGCTTCACACGCATCGCAATATAATGGTCTCAAGAGAGATCGCAGACCCAGCCTGAGTTCTGGCCGATACCGGAAGTCGTGACACTCTTGACAGTGCGCATCCCTGTGTATGAGAAGAGCAATCTCCCGCAGATCCGAATTCTCCACACGTGACAGGTTGCAGAAGGGCGTCGTGGGGTTGGCTGTGTATGTGACATCCTCCGATCCCGCCTCGTGCGTGTATTCGTGACGTACCTCTGTCCACGCCTTAGGGTCCCAAGGGGGGAAGAACTGTCGAGGATGCTTATTGTAAGGGTTCCATTCGTTGTCGATGTACAAGTTGGGTTGGTATGATGGCTGATCCGAAACCCAAAGGCCTCCAAGAGAACGTGGTAGCGAGTTGTCACAGCTGATGCGCTGGAATTTGCGACAGGTCCGAGCAAGGCAGTAAAAAGATGGGACTGTGCAACTCTGCATGACTTGTAACAAGAGCTCCTCTGGCAGGGCATGGAGCTTGCTGTTGAGCTGGGATACAGATATTTTGGCCAATTTGTCAGCCAGTTGCTGACCTCCGTGACATCACTCTCCGAGCCGATGGAAACATATCCCGTTCCATGTGTCATTAGCACCCTGATGGAGCGTGCTGCGTTTCGAAGCCATCGAAAGGGATTTCACAGATTTAGTCTCTTGCTGGCGTGAGACTCGTCAACCCAAAAACGCCAACCGCTATGATGAAGCTCTTCGCAACGAGAGTCCTGATCGTTGGCAGCCATGTCACCTCAGACTCACCATTCGGTATCGGAGGTTGCCTGTGCCTGAAAGTGATGTTACTGGCACTCAAGAGGAAGGCAAAAACTGTGAAACTTAGGAATGGTCTGTATTGGAAGAAGAATAAGGGTAGCTGATGGGGGTACCTTTTTACTTAAATAGGTATGAAAGGTACTTCTGACAGCTATCACATGTCATCCCACAGGATGACACATATGCTGCTCACAACATTACAACAAGGCTAGATACGCCACTAAGCACGTATTTTAACAGAATCTCCATCTCGCGCGTACATCATTAAAACACTAATAATCCCGAGTATACTTTAGCTGCCCGTTGTTTTCAAGTTTTTCTTTAGCCTTAATATCCTTATATAAGGTCAATATTATTAAGGTTAAAATATATCTACCTTTTAATACTATAATTTAAGTTTAAACAAGCCTTATTGAAAAGCCTGTTAAAAAAACAAACCTTATATATACTTATAGAAAGCTTTCATGCTCTTTTAAGGCTATAACTCTTTAGAAAAAAATAAGTATTTTTACTTTTTATATAGTTAGTTTTTATATAGTTTATTTGACTTTTAATTAAAAATAACTTAATAATTATCCACTGAATTATAATTTTAACTAACGAGTTATTTTCTTTTATAATTATAAGTTATATAAATATAATAAGATTAAAGGTTTAATAATATATAAAGGTATTATACCGGCACGTTAAGCCGATAAGTTATCGATTAAAACCTGAAGGCTTTATTATTATATTATTTTAAAATCCTTAATTTTTATAGATATATAAAGCTAGATTAAAATGTTTTAATATATTTACATTTTAAAATTACCGCCATTATTTTGCTTTAATAGTTAGATATTTTAACCCTTACACTTTTTAATCTTTATATTAAGAAAATAGTCTGATAGCTAGATGTTAAACAAGTAAAAAGCGTACGAATATAACGGTAGTTAATATAACTAGTAGTTTAAAGCAACTTACCGTAAATATAATAGTTTTAAATAATAATCTTTAGCCGTTTAATAATATAAACGGTAATTGTTATTTAAATAATAATGATAATAACAATTAAACGGATAATAATCGCTATAAAGAATACCGTAGCTATTAAAACCCGTATAATAATAATAATATTATTATTATTAAATAAAATCGTTTTAATAAATATTATTATATTAAACTTCGTTATTGAAATAACGACAGAATAAATATCGATCGTTATAAAAAGCGTTACAATAATGACGATAATAATTTTAATGAAATTTATAATAATAAAGGTTACTAATATTACTAACGTAATAACGTCCGTATATATATTAACCATATTAAAACGGATATGCCAGATAAGAACCTTCCCGATTTTTTGAAAAATTGAAAAATTGAAAAAAATTAAACAATACAAAAAAACCAAAAAAATAAAAAAAACCTTATAAATTTATTCAAAATTTTATAACTATTTTTATAACTGTGACGGTGTACAGCCGTATCCACCTGGATGGATGGATGCCTAGTCATCAGGTCACGTGTAGATTAGATAAGGAAACTAGTACCACTATATGTGCTGCAGCCTCAGTTGTACGCACATCTGTTCCTTTCCTTCCTCACTTTGTTATTTTTATAATCAATCACAGATTGCCACACACCGCCGCAAGCATCGTGACAATAACAGCTATTATTGTATAATAGTTAAAACCTTAAAAAATGATATTATAATATTATAATATAACGTAGGTCACAAGCGAGCGGGACACACAAGCGAGTGGGACACTTTCACAAACCTCTCAAACTTTCAACTTCTAACCAATATTCCTCCACCCACGACAATGGCACCGCGTTATAATGAATCAGATATGCAGCTAACTGTTCAAACTAAAAAACGAGACCCTCATATTTCTGTTTAAAAGCTTGCTAAAAAGATTTATCTACCAATCTCTATACTGGCTCAAAGAATCGCCGGCTGACCATCACAACACGATAGTATGCCCAATTCTTTGAAACTTATGGTTTTTGAAGAGAATACTATTTGCTCCTTTATACTCGACCTGGATACGCGAGCATTTCTGCCCCGGTATACTTATATTGAAGATATAGCAAATTAATTATTGGCGGCACGTTGCACTGGACGCGTCAGAAAGAACTGGATGTTGAACTTCATCAAACATATACCAGGCCCCCGGACGCGTTTCTATCACAGGATGGACTACTCAAGGGTCTTGAACAAAGATCCAGACAAGTATAGCACATGGTTTTGCCAAGTTACGGCAGTAATCGTAAAACATGGTATCCAAGACGCGGATATTTATACTTTTGATGAGACTGGGTTTATGATGGGCATTATTGGGTCTAGCATGATCATTATAAGCATTAAAAGACGTGACAGGCCTAGACAAGCTCAATAAAGCAACAGGAAATGGCCTACAGTAATCTCTGCTATCAATAGTGATGGTTGGGTGGTCCTGCCGTTCATCATTTTACAGGACAAAACCCACCTCGCATCATGGTATTGCGACACAACATAACCACGCAATTGGAAGGTGGGCGTGTCTGACAACGGATAGACTATAAATGAGATCGGTTTGAAATGGATTTAGCATTTTGACAAGTATACCAGGCCGTATATGACCGCTGGTAAATGCCGCCTTATCCTAGATGGCCACAAATATCACGATTTCTAGGTCTTTGAGAATTATTGCCAGAATAATGGTATCATTACTATTTATATGCCTGCCCACTCAGCACACAGGTTCCAGCCTTTAGATGTCGGCTGTTTTAGCCCGCTTAAACGAGCTTACGGTCGCATGATTGAGGATCTCATCCGGTGTCATATAACCTACGTTTCAAAGGAGGACTTTCTTACAGTGTTTTGTGAAGCACATAACGCTGCTATGACGCCAAGAAATATTTGAGCAGGTTTCAGTGCTACTGGGTTTGTTCTTTTTGATTCAGAAAGTGTCATTTCAAAGCTGGATGCTGTCGCTGTTGTACGGACACCGTTGCCAGACCCTAATCTGTCACCCACTACTTGGACTTCCAAGACCCCTACCACTTCTAACGAAGCGGTAAACCAATCGGTTTATATCCAAAATTGAGTCAGAAACTACTAAAGAAGCTTACTTACATCAATAATTGATGCGTTGAGCTCGTTTTCAAAGGCTACATACGGTCTTATTGTTGAATACACGGATGTTGATGGATTCTCTTGATGGTGTTCTTCTTCTCCGTGCAGAGATTGATCATCTGTCTTCTTGGTGGGTCAGATGCCCCGTGCGTCTCTGCCCAACTAGAGATCTTCCAGTGTCTATTTCCGGCTCCCATTCAACACCCATGCACAAGGTCGCTTTGGTTGATTCCCGGGTTCGCGAGCTAGAGAAGGCCAATCACATATTAAGTAAATGCTGAAAAATAAAAAACAAACTTCTGATAAAAGAGGAATACTTCCTGTTAAAGATGCAGTAGGTGTTCAGGCTACAAAAGATAGTGCTGAGCTGGCAAGACAAGAAATGGGTGAAGGTAGTCGTTTTCTAAGGAGGGCAGCAGCGCGTGAGTGACGTTGTGGCGTTTGTGGCAACACTGGCCATAATGCGCAAACTTGTATAATAGAGAGAGAAACATCTGAAGAAGAGGAATCCAATTGATTAGATTGAATTCAATGCGTTGTGGTTAAGTTATTCGACATGTTGGTTGGAAGGTGGGTAAAAGTGTCCCGCTTGTTTGTGACCTACATTAACTATAAACGGTTAAATAAAGAAATAGCTTTTTAAAAAATCAACGATTAGATTTCTATTATTAAAAAGACTAATTAATGAACACCAGGACGTAAAGCGTTTATTTAGATTAATTAAGTATTAAATAAAACTGATTATAATATTTAAACCGGTTGATAAATATATTGTAGAAGAATAGTGATTATCAAATTAAAATTTTTTTTATTATAAAGCGTTTTTGAAACCTGATTTAGATTTTTTAGAATTTTAACTTATTTAAACATAATCATTGAATAATACTAATAAAAATAAAACGAGTATAATTTAATAAAAATAAATCATTTTAAAATCTTTGTAATTAACAAATTATATAAAGCCTTCCAGCACTTCTGCATGCAGTAACCACCCCCCGCTGATCCACTTTGCGTTCCGGCTCATAGATTTCCGTCCTCCAGCCACAGCCACCAGCGGCCAATGTACCCCTTCCAAAGTTTCAATGTACCTGACCCCCACCGACTTCGCCCTCACAAATACCACTGCCCGTTGTGCTAATAATACCTTTACCATACAAAGGTACGGCGTTCAATTTGATTGACTACCTACACACATGGGATAGCTTCAATCCAACGTCCTCCCCTCGTCGATCCATGCCATAGATTTGCACGCAATAGAATCGCATGCAATAGATTCGCGTGCAATAGATTCGATAGCCTCCTGTGAGCGTAGTGCCCCACAATCCTCTTCATGCCACGGTCGCATCCATCTAACGCACAGGCGTTTTATCCCCTTAGCGCACAAACCACACTAAGACCTCGAGTCTGCGTCAAATAGGGGGATTGCAGGCGTGATATCACAGTATGATGACGAGAGAGAACTTCATGCCGTTCGATAGTACTTTTCTAAAGAAGGTTCAGCAGAAGCTAACTACAAAATATACGACAAGGAGCTCCTGGCCATCAAGGCCTTTGAGGAATAGAAACCCGAGCACTACTCCAGTTTCTGCTCACGTTCCAGTTTCTATGGTCTAATTCCTGCTTACCGTCCAGGTTCTGCTCATAGTGGGCAGATTCCCTGCATATCCATCTACTGTGAGGAAGGTCCAATACAGAGATTCTTTGGACGCCATGCAAGCTTCTATATATTAGCACCCCAAGCTACGAAAGTGTTGGATCCACATGTGTGATTAGAACAAACCCACCGACCCGTCCCCTAGCCCCTCGCCCTCTTATTTGCCCTTTCCCTTTCCCGCTCATCCTCTTCCCATTCCCGATGGTCGTCTGTGACCCTAGGGCGCTTCTTCGGGTTCGGGCCCGTGTAGCGCGTGCTGGCGTAATGCTTCCGGAATATACGACGGAACTTGCTGCATTGCAGCGTGACCGGGACGTCGGCGCTGAGACTATCGTGGAGGTCGCGAAGCGTAAGGTTGACACGAGCGTCGGTGGCTGTGGCGGTGGAGATGACAGGATGGATTTGTACGTCGCGCATGAAGTGGTCAACAGGGCCAAGAGAGCCGTGCTGTGTCACCTCGTGTCGGAGGGCGTTGAGAGTGATCTGGGGAAGTGTAGGTGTCGTCGGCTGGTCTTTGGGCCAGACGTATTGAGCGTTGACGAGGAGGACGGCCCGGACTAGGCCATTGCCGTGGCGTATGTACTCTGACAGCAATGGGTTAATACCCGTAATCGGCAGCATGGTGAAAGGAATATGTACGTGTGAATAAGCAAGGAGGGCGTCGGAGAACTTCAAGACTGCTTATTCCAGGGTGCTTGTTCTAGACGGATCGCTTGCCTATTGACACCCTGGGAGTCATGTTGATGGAGACTGATGGCTTGACTATAGATAGGAACTGGTGGACGATACGGAAACTTACTTGCAGCTTGCTCGAGCGGTGTGTGATGCGACCAGCCGACCTCGACGATCAGGCCCGGGTACTGGTCTCTGACCTCCTCAGCTTCTCCTTGCGCACTGCTACTCCCATGGTCCGGTCCAGACCCATCATCACTCCCCGTAGATGTACTGCCCTCCTCACTACTCGCATCATCCTCCCACCACAACGTCGCATCTGGCTCAAACTGAGTGCTCCGGGTGAGCGTTAACTTGCGCCCGCCAGTCCTGCACACACCGCTGAGCAAGACCCGTTGGAATTGCTTTCTTATGTATTCGCTGATGTCGTTCGTCGTGTCGAAGTGGATCTCGGTAGGCATGCGGAGCACGAGGAACGACCCATCGAAGTCCCAGCGGACGCGCTCGAGAAACCAGCCGCCAAAGCCGTCGGAGCCGTCGGAGCGCAGTCGCTGGGGCCACGGGTGGGGGAGGTGAGCGTCTTCGGGGGGTGACAAGGACGACGGGCTGCCGATGCAGGCCTCGGTGGTTCGGAGGAGACAGTCGAAGTCGGTCGTGGAGAGTGGGATCGAGGCGGGCTGTTCGCAACGCTCGACGTATACCTCGTAGAGCTTCTCCAAGGCTGTCAGGACAGTGGGAGGAATAGTTGGCGGGCTACCGATAGGGACTCCGAGGGCGTCCTTGTTGGCGGTTACCGGGCCCAGGACTTTGGACGCGTCCTTGCTGTGCTGCTGCTCGTGGTGGCTGGACCTTGACGAGGCCCTGTCGCTAGCCGAGTCTGCAAGGTCGCCACCATCAGAAGCAGAGGTAACAGAGGAAGAGAACGATTGGTCGATTGGCATTGCGTGGAATGCGCGACGCTTGAGACCTGTCGCTGGACGAGGCGTCGAGCAAGATGGCCGAGTTGTTGCGGTGGTCGAGCTGGTGAAGAGAGATGGGTGGATGCGGAACTGGGAATGCATCTGGAGACTGGAAGTGGGAGACAGAACTGGGTTTGACCCCACCATCAGCCGCGGCGGCTGCGCTTGCTTCGCCAAGGGCTTATGGGTGGATGGAACGTTCAATTGGAAATATCCATAGGTACCTAAGTCTGACGCTGAGATTACAAAACAGGATACCCTCTGTCTGGTTGCCCTACAATCCACCCTGAACTCTTTCAAGCTGTTATCTGCCAACTTTAGCCATCGTCTTCGTCCTCTATCTTGTGCGGTGGTTGTCGCAGAAGACGAGCACGCCCACCTATCTAATTCCTGAGAAAAAAGGGGTATGGACGGCCTGGTACCCGATAGGCAGCTGCTGTACTTAACGGCTTGCAGTGTATAATGACGGCGGTTGGCAGGCCTCGACAATCTGTACATGGTCATCTTCTTGATCGAATGTTTTGCCAAGTATCTTCCATCTTAGCGGCTCAGTTTGTAAACCTGCTATTATGCTCATCTTGCAACCTACACGGGGGTGGTTAACACTGGTGGTTTTGCCCGACATAGTCCAAGTGTCCGCGGCTGTAGCTGTCTTTATCCCCGTCCAGTGGCAGCAGTATGAGACGGTAGAGCTAAGTCTCGGGACGTTCCTATACACCCAAAGCCACCACATTCAACAGACTATGAAACTGAATTGACCAGTGTATGACTTCCTGAGTACAAAATTATTTATATGTCCATTGACTACCTAGGCGCCTTGCGTTGTACTCCTCGACGATCTACCTGTTCCCAAGACGACTACAGCAAAGATTGTTCCATGGCTCATCGGTAGGCAGACAGGCCCGTGAAAACATGCTTGGGATGCAGCGTCCAATCCGTGCTTATTTTGACGTAGCATGCCGTACACACGCTATACCGGTCGCAGTCCTGGCAGACACGCGCGTGTTTCCCAATCTTCTTGGAGCAGCGCTTACACCAGATCGGCAACTGAACCGCCTTGCCCACTTGGAGGAGCTTGGTCGCACGGTCCGTTCTGAGCGGTATTGTCCATTTCCTGTCGACGTCGTTGGGTAGGTAGGCTCCCCGCTTGAGATGGGTGTAGCATTCCAGCTGGAGCGAAACCGGTCCATCGTCGCGGACCTTGGTGTGATCGACAGTGAAGTAAACGGGGCCGCGTGGAAGATCACGGGTGCTAACCTCGAATGCCAAATCGTAGGTTGAGATAGGACCACCAATCACTTCCTCGGCACGGCCAATCTCAATGAACGGGTGACTGTCGGAAACGTCGGCCACCCATAGGGGATCGCAGACCATATTCAGAACCAGTTTCATATTGCGGCCAGGGACTTCGATCTCGACGTGTAGCGTCCTGTCCAGCTCATAACAGTACACAACATGGGCGTCGGTCGATGAAGCTTTCTTACCCCATTTGCCATTCCTCCTCTTATAGCTTACCTCTTGAGGGCCGATACAAGAGCTTCTCAGAAGTTCGCCAGGGGGTGGCATCCTGATCAAAGACAGGGCAACCCCTGACGACACCGCCGAAGACCTGTTCAGTGTAAGCACGTCAAAATCCTCATGGAAGGGTCAGCGCGGTATACCAGTATGGTTCATCGCGCATAAACGCGTGCTTCACCCCGCAACTGCGGGCCGCGGCGGTAATCTCAAAATCGGCCATAATGCTCTTTACCTGGTGGTAAAGGCCCGGGTTGCAGTAACTCCCTCCGCAAAACAAAACTGCGAAGTCTCCTTGGAACCCGACCAGGCGATGCAGATGTCGTTTCAACAGGTCCAACCCATCTCGGAAGGCGCTCTCGAACGCGTGCCGGACCTGTTCCGGCGACAACGGAACAAAGGACTCCTGGGAGTAGCCCCGAAGGTTCATCATGTTCGTGTTTTCGACGTAGTTGAAATGTTTCTTCTGACCCTCGAAGTCCTGGAGCAGGTGGGCCATCTCGCCTTCGGCGAGCTGGTTTGTGACAAGCAAGGGCTTGAGCTCTTGCTCGACGAGCGTCCTGATCTTGTCGTTCGAGATGTGGCTGCCACCCCTGGTACCTGTCCATGCGTCAGTGGGATGCGCTCCACGAGCGGTCTTGACGTACCCGTCACCCAGCCAGACGGGACGTTTGACTGGCTGTTGCATATGTCGCCTTTCTCGTCGAAATACACGGTCATGCATTGGACGTTCTGGACCTATTAGTCTAGGAGGGCAGGGTGGCGACAGAGACCTACAAGAGTACTCGCACCGGTATCGACGACGAGCAGGTTCAGTCCCTTCTGCTTGTCGAGGTCCGCGAAGAGGGTCCGGTGGCGCTCCTCTTGCGAGTCCGTGCCGTAGACGTCATGATATGGCTCACAGATATATATCGCTGCAGCCTGTCCTTCCGATGCCGTCTCGATGTGCATATCGTCTGCCCATATAGAACGCATCAGACCGATATACGTGTCAAGATACGTCTCGAAACTACCTGAATGATAGTTCGACGGGCACAAGTAGTTAGGGTAGGTAAGCACGACCGATCGAATCGTTACCTTCTGGCCTGCTGCTGCGGCGATGGCGGAGTCGTACAGGAGCTTGAAATGCTCAAGCAGCCCAGCCTGGCAGGCTTCGCGGGTCAGTCCGGTCTCCCGGACGGCACGCAGGAGGGTCTGGCCTCCGGGGAGGCGTTGGATCGTCTTGTTGACGGTGATCCCGGCCAGCCAGGTCAGGATTGTCTTGAGGGGAATCGAAATCCATGCGCAGGGCTTCCTTGCCAACGACGAGCTTGCCCGCCTTGTCCTGAGCAGCGTACGCGGTGAACTGGTGCACCGCACCCGCTCTTCTCGGGTCATCAAGCCCGCCTTTGAACGGGACGCGAATCAGGTACGGCTCGCGGTCTTCCCTCGACCTGACCAAGGATTCCTTGGAGCTGCCATTGCCGAAGTCGATGCCCAACACGCTGCGTTTCGTCAACGGCCGGTCGCCTGGCATATGGCGGGAGTACTCACGCCTCGCTACTTTTCAGGTCATGGTAGTGGGGTGTCGGAGACATTGTCGTGACAGAAGCTCACGCAGTCGGGTGAGGAAAGCTAGCAGACTTGACAGATCCGAAAGATAGACCTCGAGGTGTATTCGTCTGGATATGCTGGCTGCCATCATGCTCCGCCAAGAGTCGGCATTCGACCCAGGGCTGGATGTCAGCCTCCCCCCCTACCGACTCGTCGTCCCCTGTCTGTTTGTGTTGACATCAAATTGGCAAAGTCGAATTCCGGGCTAGGACCGGCTTCCTGCAGGCCCGTTTGTATCGGTTTCCTCCCGAGGTCCTCAGTGGTTCGCTACCTTGTGGTGAGGAGCTTGGCTGTTCCAATGCGACATCAAGACACCAATCGAGACAACCTTACCTTTCGAACATGGAACGCGGGCTTCGTTTTGCAACCTCGTGCGTCGCTGCATCCCAACCCCAGCCCTTCTGAGCATCTCTTCGTTGTTGTGCGTCGACACAGAGACCAGCTTCAGCAGCGACGACGACGTCACCTCGATCACGACGGGAGTTGTACGAGCAACTCCGTCACAAATCTTGCAGGCCGTACGTGGCGAGTAGATCCCGGCAGCAGCTGAGGTCCCGTCACCTAGGTACCTACTAGAGGATATCCTCTAGTATGTAGGTACAAGGACACCCGGTACGCACGTGATCGCGCGTGTGAACTAGCATAAAAGCTACCATCATCCATTGCGACTCCAGCCCCAAGCGCTAGAACGGTGTGGAGGTGGACATGGAGACGGGAGCTAAGGGCGCACCCACCCAGGCCGACTTTAGGTCCGCACCAATCTCAGAGCTGGGAGCCCAGTCCAGGCCCAACGGTTGCCACGAAATGGGTTGTAAATTCAATCCAATCAGAACACCGGATCTCGACCAGTCCCGTGACACTATGTGCCACATCGGCAGAGCTGAATGATTCATCTCATCAATGCCTGCCATGACAGCCACAGAACGTTGAAGGGATTCACAATTGACTTCGTGATGACCAATAGGATGCACATCCAGGCTCCGTGAGCGAGGCTGTGAGCAAGGGTAATGGTTATGACAGGCCAGATCAAATTGAGTTCTCAAGACTCAGGTTCATCGATCTTCAATGCTTGTGGCCCTCATGTTCTCATTTACGCTCAGCCTAGTAGCATTGTGGTTCTTCTGATGATTAGATCTCTACCTACATGTAGGTAGGTAGATGATGTTCCGGATGTGTGCTCAAGTCACGATACCCCGCCAGCCCCGCCATGGATGTCCATAGGAGTCTGGACCGCCGCGACCGCGGAAGCTTTTGTGGACTCTGGAGTCCAATCCATCCATTTCCACTAATAACTACCCGAGGTAGCTCCGCGCGCAGTACTGCAGGTAGCCGTTCACTACGTATGTATCACTCCCACCAATGTCAATGTATCTCACGTCTACTCACTCCTCTCGTCATGGGTTTCCAAGCCTTGAAAACCGCCTCAATCCATCGCTGGATAGGCTCTGTCGACCCAACACAGCCAGACGCCGAAAACGACGACCTCCAGCCTCGAGCCAAGCGTGTGCGAAGCGACGACCTCCAGCCTCGACCCAAGCGTGCGAGGACCGACGACGTCCAGAGAGCCAAATGCGCGCGGATCGATGCTTCAAGCAGCGAGACTGGCGATACGGCCCCGACTTGCGCTCTTCCCAATACTCCTTCACCTACAGACCCGACCATGTCGTATACGCAAGGAGGTAGAAAGAGGAACAATAGCGATGACACCTCATTGTGGAACGCTGCTGCTACACCTCCCCTTCAACCTGAAGGAACGTCACAGTCGTCGTCGCAATCTACAAAAGGTAACAAACGATCCAGACCGAATCCCACCAAGACAAGATCCACCTTGGCGCTGCTTGATACACCCGTTAATATTAAGGCGCTAAACATTGATACGCTTGCCAGCCTACCCGCCGACATCGAACCTCTCTACAGAAAGATACACGCTGGCGTCTCTTGGAGGCAACGGATCGTACCGGCTGAGGTTCAACACAGAATGGAGAAGAAGTTCAAGGACCGACTCCCTGACTATATATTCTGCGACCCGGTTTCCGACGGGCCTGAAGCGGAAGGGGAAGAGCTACATAGGTTCAGATCACTGTGTGATATCCTCATAGACACCGGCGAGGCTAATAAGCACCAGGTTCACGAGGACTACTGGAATATGATGGTAAATTCGCCGCTTCTCCGTCTCGTGTTCAAGAGACGGGAGAAAGGAGAGCAAGAGGTTGTTGCCCGCTACCTTCCCGCCATGTCATTAGCAATCGCGTCGGATTCGTCCCCGTGGTTCACGTCCGAAGAACTAGATGTCAACCTCAGTTCCCAGCAATGCGACGATAGGGACGCATCAACGCGAGATTCTGGTGGGACCCCTTGCAACTGCAGCCAAACGGAGCAGACGGGACAGACCTGGTTTACGGGACAGACCAACAGAGGTAGAGATGGTAAGAAGGTCGACTACCTGGTGGTCCTGGTAAGTGAACCCATTCATCCACTGGCGAAAATAGGGTACTCACATCAAGGATTAGGAAATCGATGAGGAAGCAGAGCTCCACAAAGCCATTGCTGCGCTCGTCAATAGGCTGTCGCTGAAAGATGGGATCGTGGTCCTGTCACATGTGAACCAATCTACTTACGCTGCTATCACGTATAAGCCTATCGCCGCGTCTGTGGAGACGAAGAGACAACTTCCATCATCAGACGCCCTGGTACAGCTTGCCATCTGGATCGCTACTTGGTATAAACGTATGCACAACTTACGCTGGGAGCTGAGCCTATCAAAGCTGGCCAATTGGCCGGATGCTCAGCCTGATGGCGGCCAGCCAGATGCCGCCCACCAGAACCACGAGGATAGAGATGAGAGTGCACGTCCGCTAACAGAACGATCAGCGCAAGCGAACTCTTCTTGTATCGGTTCCCCTGATTCAAGTTGTTGGACCTGATTGGCAGCTGTATTTTGCTTGCGATAAGGGCTATTCGATTAGCATTTACGGTAGGTAATCGTCTCGTGATGTGGCCAGTGTTGGTAATTGACTAACACCTGAACAGGTCCTGTCGTCCTTGGCTCTACGAGGGACATCATAAGTCTGCATGCTTTGGTCGCTTCTCTCGAGGCCGTAAAGCGCTGGATCGAAACATAATTCTATGATGGCATGAAGAAATGGTTCATGTGTGAAAGAAACAACACTACCCCCAGGGGGCTATGAAGCGTTGACTAGGTCACGGCTATGAACGGCCAAGCGCCCGAGCATACAGGTATATGTCAGTCACAAAGTGGTGGTTCATACAAAAATTGCGAAATACGACCTGGCCATGACCAGACGCAACAGTGTTCTGCATCAACATCTTCGGAGTCCCGGACGACGGTCTTGCCATGGACAGCCTGTCGTTCGACACGACGATGGAGCAATTAATAGCACATTGTTCTCACCACATCACCATTGGCATCACATCTGATAGTCCAAGAGTGATAGGTTATAGTCAGTACATCACCATTGGCATCACATCTGGTAGTTCAAGAGTGATAGGTTATAGCAAGCACACTTCTAGCCCATGACATGACTGTCTGAGACTACAATACCTGATTACCCACGATACTATCAAGAAATAAGTAAAGCAATAAGACACGCGTCTTTCTGACCGTCCATCATGGTCCAGTTGAACACTCAAGCCCGCCATCAAGTCCAAACCCCCATTCAGCACGGTTGAGCATGCTGAACAACCTATCGCATCTTCCACTTCTTCGAGGACTTCAGACCATGGACTACCTCCGCATGGTTCTGAACATGCATCTTGTCGATGAGGACGGTTTCGCACAAAGGACACTCGGTCGCCTCGTCCTCTTCGACAAGTGACAGGTGCACATCCATTAAGTGTCGGCCGAGAACCGGCATGCTGTAGAACTCGTTGGAGAGCCTCTCGATGTTGGGGTCGTGGGGCGGAAGAGTCACTGCCTGGGCGACGCAGATGAAGCATCTGCGAACCGCCCCAGTCATCCTGTCTGTAAAGACCGAGTCCTTAAGCGTCTGTTTCCAGGCATTGCCTGTAGACGAGGGACCGCCGGATGGCCCGGGCTGGGATGGCAGCCCAGGCGGGGTTGCTGCCTGACGACTATCTATCAGTTTGTTGACAGGCACTTCTTCGATCCAGCAATAGTCGCGGAGGGCCAGGATGGCATTAGTACGGCGCTGGCCTTGATTGCCAATAACCAGCGGTGCCTCGAGCGCCTCTACCATCCTGCGCTGTTCCTTGCTCATCTCACGCGTGGTACGGCTATTGATGGCCGTGGAGGACAGGGCACTAAAGTCCTCACCCTGTGCCTGTCGTTCCACATCCTCGACCGACTGCTTGTGCTTGAATTCCTCAAGGACCCGCTGCAGCTCGGCCGCACGGAGCTTGATCTGGAGAGTGTGGCGCTCGCGTGTGACCCTCAGGCGCTCCTTGGCGAACCGCGGCCCTGGAGGCAGTTGACTCAGTTGCTCACTGAGGCGCTTGTACTTGGGGTCTTCCTTGAGGGCAGCCGACTGCTCGGGGGTCAGATCGACCGGCCGCCGGGAATTTCGAGAGTGGCCGTGACTGGTGGCTTGTTGCAGCAAGGCCTGCTGTGGCTGCTCCTTGCGGTGGATAGCCCATAGATCGGCGACGACATTGCGGTTGAGGTAGTGCTTCTGGAAGGTGTCGGAACCGGGTGCATGGTCCAAGATCAAGTTCCGCAGAGAATCACTGACATTGACGTTCTGATCGAGGTTGTTGCCGGCCATGTAGCGGAGGTTGTAGCAGATCGTGTTGTGCTCAAAGCCCAGCAGCTTTCCTATCCTATTGATCCACGTGCGCATCGTGTCATAGGTGATGGGCTCTTCCGACATGACGAAGCCCGCGAGGGTTTTTTTTGTTCGCCGAAACAGATGGACGTCGTTCAGCTCAGGCTTAAGGCTGAGCGGCAGCTCGTTTCCACTGGGGTGAATCTTCAGGCGGCTCAGAAGGTGTGGATCGTTGTTCAAGGGCTCGGACAAGAACGCGCGATGTCGAAACAGCACAGCGAGCAGGAAAACGTGGGGACTGAGGAATAGGCTCGGGTCGTAGATAATTTCTGGGATCATGAAGTGCTTCGTTGCCTTTCGACCCAGGTACCTCTTCGTGTATTCCAAGCTCAGCCGAATGACTAGTCGGGGCTGCGCCTGAGGATGAGCAGGGTCACGGATAAGCAGCACGTTGATGTCGCCAAAACGAAGCTCCAGAATCGAAGTCGGGCGCGATCCGGCGGGGGCGAGCAGAAGAAGAAACAGCACGGCCAGCACACGCTGTTCTCCGAGCTTGAACGACTTCTCCGTGGTCTGAAGCGTCAACTCGATCTGGTCCTTGAGATCTTCAAGCGTCAGCGAACGGTTCTCGCGCGTCTTGTGCGTGAGCTTGTAGCGGTTGCCGAGCTCCACGAGCGCATTGTGCATCAGGCTACGGTTGACCCTGTCATCGATCTTCAGGCAGGTCTGTCGTTCGAACGCGAGTCGGAAACAGCACCAGAACGTCACGAGGGAAGCCTTCGTCTTCACGCGCCGCTTCGATCGGCCACCCTTGCCGGTCGTCTGGCTCAAGTGCCAGTGCAGAAAGGCATACACCAGCCGGAATTTAATCTTCTGGAGCACCTTCTGCCAGTTGGAGGTCCGCAGGACCTTGAGACAGAATCTGAGAATGTCAGCGGGGCAAGTCGACAGATGGAGATGGATGGTACGTACCTGCGCCATTGGTTCTCGGAGTTCTGGATCAGCTTGATAGTCCCCTTGGAGTATTCCTTGTGCTTGAAGTCATCCTCGTTGAATTCGTCGATCAGCTGCTGGTAGTAACCGACAGGGTTCAAGTTGCCGTCGAAGAGGTTGTCCTCGTCCTCGGCATCCGGAGGGACGGTGCTAAAGCGACGGACCTGTCTCTCAATGTCGGCAACGGCATTCTCATCCTGGGCCGGGATGAATCCGACCTGGTCGTCGTTGAGGGCCTGGTCGACTCCGCTGGAGAGGTCGTTGTCTGGCAGCTCTCCGTCACTCTCGAGTCCGCTGCAAACGGAATCGACGTATTCAGAGCCTGATTCTGAGTCCGAAGACATGACACCTGCAGCGGAAGCACCCTAAGGAACGAAAGATGCGACGAGTAATAGATATTAACTGCTAGAAAAGATGAGTGTGCAGAAGAAGGCAATTGTAAAGAAGAATGTGATTGTGTAGAAAAATGTAATTGTGCGGGACAAGACGAGGCTGGTTGTTCAATGTGCCAACCCGTCACGGCGAGTACCTGCTCCTAGAGACTGCGTGAGGGCATTATTATAATAGATAATATATTACCTACTTTGTACTCTTTTAGTCCATTATAGGGACCAGCTCCATATTAGATTTGCATGCCGCTTTAAGCCTATCTGTGCGTACACCCTCCCCCACCTCTTTTTAGCACCCCACTCTAACACCTCTATACCTCTTGACCGTCACACCCCTTGTCCCTCACACCCCTTGTCCCTCACACCCTTTGTCCCTCACACCCTTTGTCCCTCACACCCTTTGTCCCTCACACCCTTTGTCCCTCACACCCCTTGATACCCCTTTACTTCTCACTTCTTACTTCCCACTTCTCACTTCTCACTTTTCATCACAGGCCTAACCCAATCGCTTCTTCTTCCTTTTCGTTCCTTCGCTCTTTTCGTCTCTCTCCGTCATCTATCGCTGATATGTCACTGGTCACAACAAGTCGTGCCAATCGCTCAAAGCCAAGAGCGACATTTTAATAGACCTGTTGCTATCACACTGTTACCTTCCGACCGTACCATCACTTTCGTTTCAGACAGCAGTGAAAGCTAGAGTTCTTTTCTGACAGCGACGAAGATGAGGGCCCAGCTCAGGGCAAGCGGTATGCCGGTCCAACTAAGAAAACTCTTACCAGTCAGAAAAGCAAATGGATCAAGCATAGACATTGTATCTTGTGGTTGTCTTTTTCTCCAACGTATTCTAGATTTTGCTCTAAGCGTGGAATTGATCCTCTTGACGCCCTCAACCCAGCAAGTCTTGAAGATCTCAAGGCATTCCTTCGATGGCGCATCAAGACCGGGAGGATCAGCAAGAAGTCCACCGTGGTGACATACTGGAAGCAGATATGTATGGTATTGTTGAAGATAAACGGCTTATGCAAAGACTACTGATGGACGCAATGTTCAATATATGCTGGCACGTCCGAGTCTTGGATGCCCGAAGCGACGCTACGTAAACCGCACAACGCAAGCCATGTCATTGGTTGACCTTACAGCGTACCTTCTAATGCCTTCCAGTATGTGGACTCTATTCAACACCGGTATGCGTTGAGCACCGAGACCAAGGACAAGTCTCCCTTGCACGTGCAGGACCTGGCCATTCTGCTGAACAACCACTGGAGCCGAGACACCGAGATTTTTCCACACGAGCGGTTTAGGTTACAGCCTGCTATGATGCTAATCATAGGCGCCGCTACCTCCTCACGACCAACCACGATACGCATGATCGGATACCAGGACCTTACTTTCTCTTTGTTCCCTAACGGAACTGGACGGTCGTATCTTACGGTAAAACTTCGCCTGCAGAATACGAAAAAGGGGGGAGACAGGAAACTGCCTGCTGCCTATGGATTCAGGGAGGAAACCAACCTGTTGTATTGTCCGGTGATAGGCATGATAGCGTTGGCTATTGCCGATGGTGCTTTTCAGGGCGGTATTAACAGTCTGGAGAAGATCTACTCCCTCCGGGTACGACCGAGCGACGAATGGCGTAACAGATTCATCTTCGCGACGTAAACGACTAGAGTTACTAGACAGACTACTACAAGTACTCAAGCGCACTCGAGGCTTTTTAATGCTTTGGACATTCTTACGGTTATGTAGATCGTCTAATATTTTGAGACATCCGTAGAGCATCCGGCAAGAAGCCAAATGAGAACGTTACCCCAGAAGAACATAATCATATCATGGGTCACTCGGGTGGGAGTCGGGACTTCCAATATGTATCGCAAATACTACATGCCGGAATTCATCGATACAGAGTGCAGGCAATCTAGTTTGGAAGTACCCCCCAAGACGCGTTACTCCGACCAATAAGTAAGATTGCTCGAAAGGGAACGGCCCCTACTAAGCTGTCAGAGGACCAGAAGGCACACGTCAAGAACAATTGACGGGGCAAGAGAATACATTTGGGTTTCCCAGTGCGCTTATATCCACCACTTTCCCTCTCTATTCGTTCGTTATTCGCTCTCGATGCCAATATGACAGACGCGCTCGAAGAGATCGCCGACGGCAACCTCTGGCTCCCTACTTGGAATCGCCTGTAGCTGCCGCTATAGAAGGTCGATGCCTAATGACGGCAGCAGACCGAATAAACCACCAGTCTAGAGTCCCGGACCAGGGGAATCGCACCCAGCGCTCTGACTGGCCCAGTGGTAGTAATGGTCCAGCATCCACGGTCACTCTCACTACCCGTCTCTCGCCTTGGCACCGCACAGCAGCCATGTGCAGATGCGTACTGCACACCCGAAGCGGGCTTCCCATCCAGTCCAGGCGGCACATGCCCAGGCAGGCTCGATTGCCATCTTCGTAACGCACCATCATTCCACCAATGTAGCACCGGCTGTCTTTGCCCTGGCCGCGTTCAATACAAGGTGTGATCTCAACAATGCCATCCAAGGCGCAGGATGAGTAGTGATGGTAGGGACTAAGAGATCTCTCCAAGACTGGAGCAGGGCATGGGTCAAACCGCAGTTGCGGCTGGTTCAAAGCGATATCGAAAGAATTGCTTTCAGACTTGTGTAGGTCTGTGATATAGATGGTCGACGGAGAGTTCGGCAACTTGAGCCTGAAGTTAGACTGGTCACCCAACTGGTGAATGGTACCGTAAGGTCCAAACATGACTTTTCGTCCACGATTTGTAGCAAACTAACAGCTATGTGAGTAAAGAACTCGAAACGGTAGATAGAGTACCTACAGTCAAGGCAAAGGATGCAATAGACGTGTATGGTGCAGTACCCGAGTATTGAGCCCTCGCAAAAATCGAGTCGATATGTTCCCCTTTGTTCATTGGAAAATGGACCCAAACATTGGCGTCGGAAGGGCAACCATAACTGTTCATCTGTTGGTAGAAGTCCATCCTGGCACACGGCTTGTGCTCAAAAATCGAGATCACGTTGTTACCTACGCACTGTGCTGAGTAGCCGAGTACATCAGAGGCATTGCATACAAAGCATTGTAGGATAACACCGCGATGATCTATTTGTCTTGGACTGCGATGACCCAGGTGTATCAACTGAGTGATCTCGATGCCCGGCTCAGGTCGAAGGATTGCAGTTGAGTTTGTAGTAAAGCAATTAGCATCCAAGGGCAAGATCTGCCGAACTTTGAGGCCCTGCGCAATTATTTAGTACATTTAAATGGCGACGGTATTATTAGAAGCTCACATCGTGTTTAACCCGTATATGTGTACAGGACAGGGGGATCCGACACCACCACAGATCGCGTACATCACCAAGAAGTGACAAATCATCCGAGTCGAAATGTAAGACCCTGACGCCGAAATGGTCACCCCCGATGTTAAGCCTGCGTTTTTGTGGGAAGCTTTGGTCCCTAGCTGGCAACAAGCCAGGTACCTGAGGATTGTATAGATTCGAAATGTACCGATTCCCCTCTATGATTCTGTACTCGATGCGGATATCCAAAGAGAGGTCTAGGATTGTCTCTGACATCGCGACTAGTGTGGCGGCAAGCTGACCTGCTTTGGATGCAGAGTATTCGCGCACGAGATAGCCAGAAATCATGCACCACACTTCGGGGGGGAGGGTCCTAGGCCAATCTTGTTGTTGAAGCCTGCAGGACAGCTCCTGGTCCAGGATATTCCATCTTGCATTCATCCATGGCACAGACGGGTGAATAAATACCTCATCGCAGGCCGGAAATTATTATTCAACTGAAAAGCAACAACTTGGCGACACTTTTGATGGAAGCCAGGAGCGGTCTCACAGTCCGGTAAATTTACAGAACCTGTCTCGACAATCAGGCTTCCTTCTCTATATTGAGAGCTCGAACGTCCATCGTCAAGTCGGAAGTGTATCGTCGAGTTATCCACTTCCACTGTGCATCATCAGAAAACTTGTTATGTACAAACGGCCAAGAATTAGGTAGTAAGGTACCTGTGACAAGATCCCAGTCTTGAAGATAAAAGTGGCAAAGCCAGCATAGCTGCCCGTCGAAATACCGCCTGATGATAGGTTCCTCGTCTTCGTCTGAAGTTGACATTGTGATCGATATAGGTGTAAGAAAGGTCAATCAAATTGGGTTACTTGTGGTAAATATAGAAACGATGGATGAATTGAGTTGCTGGTTGCGCTTTTACATACTGCAGGACTGGATCCCTCGGCGGTAGCTACCAGGACCTCCGTGTTTGCTCCATCGGCTACCTGCCGACCCATGACGCGTTGGAAATACAGGACCAACCAATGAAATAAATATGGCCGTAGCTGCCGCCTGGTGTCATCTTCCCTCGTCGTGAGCAAGACTTGCTCACGAGTAAGAGATAAGAACAAAAAGACAAAAATCAGAAAACCTTAGGGTTCTTGGCCACATACACGTGCCTCTCAGCTGTTAGGTACCGAATACCATCCTTCCTGTGCCACTTATCTCTGGTTGAGGTCGTATGCCGATCCTTGTGGTCACGGTATGTGTACTCTGTAGCCCTCGACCTATGGGCTTCTCTCTTCACTGTACAGTAGACAACGCGCCTGTTATTCCACTCGAGACCGGCTGGTGCCTTCCCGCCAGTCCATCTGGGTGGGGCTGAATCCCCCGCCTCCTGGCTCGCCGGCATGGGATCCTCTTGGTAGCCTGCAGCAGCTGGAGGCAGTGCAGCCTGGGTCCCCACTCCATCTTCTTTTGCAGAACCCCCCGAGCCCTCTTCCCATGCGTCGGGGAAGGATGATGCCTGCCGGTTTAAAACGACGGGGGGTTCCGAAGTGCAGGCAGCGACGAAATTTTTGAAGATGGCACTGCCATGACCAGAATCGATCTCATAGTAGTGATTCAAGTCTGTTAATCTTCCAGGTCCATCGTCCATCGGCATCCGTAGTATCTTTGTCGCGTCGTTTTCATCTGGATACATCTTGAAGGTACGGAAGAGCGTACCACAGGCGGTAAGTAGATAGATCTTGTCGATGCCTTCCTGTTGCAAGGAGGTTCGGCCAGCCGAATCGATCTGCGAATCGACTGCCTGGGTTTTCCTGCCGGGTCGTTTCAATTCCCAGTACGCGACGGAAACAATGCCCTCACTGGCGTCGTCGTCGAATTGTACATTGCGCCTCAGAGCCCAATCTACTCTTCTTCAATTCGTATCGATTCCGGGAGGGGTCTCAGGAGTGGTGATGTAGGTATCCGTGTCGGGGAAATATCGGCGCATCAATTGCCCCCAGAAAGCCGAAGTCACATGTTCTTGTGTCGGGCCCCCGGTGTGAGTTCGCTGGTTTATCTTGTCGTGTAGCGTCCTCACAGCGCCAAATGAAGGGACTACCGATTCCTCCGTCTGCGGGTCCCAACCTCCAGCTAGTGGTGGGAGATTCCGGCCTCTGTCCACCCGTGCACTTGAGAGCGGGGGTAGATTGTTTGTATTCATTGAGAACGATTGTCATACGGAACCACATGTTTAGCTGGATTGTATAGTGAGTATATATTACTAACAAGCTAACAACGTGCGAGCAGTTGATCTCATCAGACCGTTGGGGATTGACAGATTTACCGGTGTGCTTTCATCTACCTAGACAGGTGCCGGGGCTTCACCCTGCATGCCACAATCTCTGTTCAGCCAATTGACGCTGATTCCGGTAAAGGATAGTTCCTTCCCGCGGGTCCATCCTCGAGAATCCCTACCACTTCCTTCTTCAGTATGCGTTATGGCGATCTTCGTAGCCAATGCGGCCTGGCGCTTTGACCCAACTTGTCCAACATTCTTGCGCAGATCGATCGGTGGGGCTCGCCAGGGCTAATACACAGAGATTCTCCGCTACGAGGGCTTAGCGGGAACACGCAGCCCGTGGCGCATGCGAAATTTCGCATCCATCTCCATCGACCTAGAAGGTTCTACTTTACACTTCATTTCATCCACAATTCCTTTTCGCTAATCGGCCTGTTCACCACAATGTCATTGCCAAACGATCTCGGGACCGAACGAGAGCTTTCCGAGCTTTCCGTAGAACTGGCTAGTCTTAAGGCTAGGCTGGAAGAATTAGAGCATCGCAATGAAGCGAAATCCCAAGCCCGAGCGGCACTGACTGCTCTCACAAAACGGTATCGGAAAAAGGAGAAGTTACCAAGTCATCCTTGCGGCGACATACTACCTTACCGCTATTCATCTGATGCCAAAGCCAATTTGGGAAAGGACGTGATTCCCATTATTGTGTTCGTATGTTTCGCCAAATACCTTTCAAAGAGTCAGGTGGAAGCTCTTGCTGCACATGGACCGTCGTTAGCAAAGGCTAGCCTGCTTCTTGCAAAGGAGGAGTTCCAGTCGTCTTGGTTCGATTGCTACATGAACTGGAAAAAGTCAAATTTTGAAATGGCATTTCATTTCTTTCTGGGTAAGCACCATATTTTTGACACAGCCCCTTCCATGGTAATTAACAACCACTAGAAGTGACGGAGGCTGTCAAAGCCAAAGATTGCGGTATTCTAGAGGCAGGACGACCCGATGCCACTAGAGCAGGTCGCAAGAGGGTTACGGCATCGCCGAGTGGAGTCGGTGTTTTAGGGCAGAAGAGACAACGCACCGAACGAGCACAACTGTCTTGCCAGCCTGAATCCGCCAACCTCCACCCGCTTGAGCACAATGCACCTCATGATGAGCGTACCCGAGACAACTCAGTCCCTCAAGTTGACGTCCCTCAAGTTGACGTCCCTCAAGTTGACGTCCCTCACAATTGGAGTGTGCAGGGCGTAAGTTCGCAGGCCTTGTATGGAGGGCAACTCGACAACACATTTGGGGCAACAGGTGATCAACGAATCCTAGAGAAAGACAATCTCGACTTTTCGCCTCTCGCTTATCTGCCGTATGGTGAGATTACCCGTCCAATACTCATGCCCGCCTACTAAGTATCATCGATAGCGTTCCCCTATAGGTACACCGGGCTTGCCATCGCTCAATTGGATTATGTATTAGGGAACGATTCCTTTCTCTCCGTCGCTATCCAGTCCGGTCGTCAGTGGACAAATAAAGACAGGACATCCTGTTTTGGGTTGGCATTTCCCGGTAACGTTGAAGAAGATGCCGTGATCATGATATCGGCGAGTCAGTCATTTGCGGCTGGACTTGTTCAACATCTGATCCCCATGTAATATGCGCTTTAGCTACCCGGACTGCGAATCCTGCTGGAACCTGAAGTTTTTCTCCGTCGCTAGGTTGATACCGCCGTTGTTCTTTCTTGCGGAATATGATGACTTCGTGGCCTTTCGCATACAATGTTCTTTCAGTGGTTACTGGATCGAAAAGTACGATTTCGTGGTATTGTCCCCCGGCTATAGAGCTGGCATCCTGTTGTATTGCAGGTTAGTTAATGATATATCAACGCTCAAAAGTGACACTCACCGCTTCAGACATGATGAGGATTTTGTCTAATCGAAGGCCTCGGTATAGGTGAGAGAGGCGGTTTGTTGTTGCGAGTCTCCTTTCCAGGGTTGTTAGGCAGTGATACTAGTCGGAGCCATATCAAAAACCTGGTGCGATGTTGGGTAATCGGTCGAGGTTAAACGTTGGGTGGTAGTAGACAGGTTGGGAATCAATGAGGTTCTTGGTTGAAAAGTCCTATGAGTTAGCGAGATGTATTGGGTTTCACAGATGGTGTATCCTCGATGATGGAATGCGACCACTAGATCCGGTCCCGGTCCAGGATCTGATTGATTCTGTCCTCTTGAACAGGCTGGGGTGGGTAATGGCGAAAAGTCGTGTTTCCAAATTTCTGGCAGAATGCGCTCGTCATATTGGGGCGGGGGCGGGGTCTCACGTGCTCCCAACCTCGTAAGGCCCTCAGAAGCTTTAACCACGCGCTAGCATGGCAGGTGGCCACATCGCAGACATGGTCTAAACATGCGAATGCGAATATATATCGGTGGCTACAAAAATCTGGAGACACCTGAACCCTACTTAGTGAGCAGACGCTGTCGAGATGATCTACCTGGAACAGGGGCACGGCCCTCCAATGGACCCAGTCCGCTTCAAGAGTCGGTCGCTTGCTCAAGGGGGTTGTGTGCGCACTTCCTTCTGTATACACTCGTGAGACCTGCTGCGTGTTGCATGCTGCAGCTACTGTGGATTGCAGCTACTCGAGTCTAGTTGGTTTCAGTTATTCAGATTATAGTCATCCATAAATTGCAACTACTCTAGATTGTAACTACTGGTGTAATCAACGCCAGAGTTTTGCAAATCTGCGCTCTCGTCATAACATGCTCAACGCTCTCATCCATATTCATGGTGTCAATTTTCGGTTTATGATATCAACTGATTGAGAAGTCGCTTCGTCGACTCGATTTTGCCCCGACGCTTCGCTATGATGTGGGGTTGTGCGCTCGGGATCTCGTGGTTGAAATGGGGCGCGATGCAAGAGAGGTGGAGGCAGCATGTTGCTGTCCAGTGGACGGTATCTTGATACGGCTCGTGGAGCATTCGGTCAGAGTTGGCGGGGCTAGCCAATGCCAGAGATTGTATCGAGGAGGGAGACTTGGGCGGTAGGCACAAGGGGGTTGGTCGCATTTCCTTCATTGTTGGTGTGTCTATGGAACAGTACAGGCCTGTGAAAGAGGTGTCGGGGCCATGGTTCGTAGTGAGCTCTGGCTGCAGCAGCATTCCAGGAACCGGCTCTTGCAGCAACCTTATCCCGATGGATATGAAAACAACTTAGCTCGTAGTTCAAGGCGTCATACGTGGGATGGAGGAAGGCAACGTCGAATGTAAGTGCGTACCTTCGGGTTCGGTAGCCGTGATGGGAAGCGTGATGGGAAGCGTGATGGGAAGCGTGATGGGAAGCGTGATGATGGGAGGAGCGAGTGTTTGGAATCCACAACTCCTGCCCCACCCCAGCATAATAATTGTTAGTGGTATGCGTGTTGTGCAGCCCAAACAAATTTCTTATGCATGCCTCTCCAGCCACTTCCGAGTCAAGGGCCGACCATACCCTCGCACGGAACAATGCGGCATGGTGGCATGTAGCACGAGTTACAATAGCTGCACGAGCTTCGGAAGTAAATTCCTGGTTTGGCCCGCGATTTTCGGTCAGAATTGTACCAACCTTTTGTAAATCCATCGTTTTGGTGTTGAGTGAATAAAAGGTGAAGAAGGAAGGGGGTCGCGAGCGCGTAGACGCGTTTTGAAACTAGCGTGGTGGATGCTCGGAGACTTTTGGAGGGTCAGTGTAGCACTGACTGCCACAATGGCATCCTGCTCACTTGATACCTTACTAAACCTGCCGACATACTGCCCTTCTGTTGATGCAGGTCCATTGCAATCTTCGCAGAGACACCCAGCCGCCCAAAGTGTCCTTCCCCCAGTCGACAGTGATCTCATCTCCATCGCAGTATCCCGTAACGCATAAACAACAACCCGATACCTCTGGGATATCGCTATACCATGTACCACTGCTAAGGGGCGTTGGCACCGGTAGTCACGAAGCGGAGCAAGGAACCGCATGCAAACTATAAGATATTGGCTGTCTACAGGGGCCCTCACCCTCCCGTCCTGGATCTCCCCATTGTTCTATGATATGGCTGAATCCCATCCACCCCTTTCGGTCCAAGGCGATCTAGAGGCTGTCCAGGCGCTCCCGGTCAAAGGTCATTCTGATTTGCCGGATCAGATCTTGTCGTCGGACAAACTACTTCAACTTTGAGTGTGCTTCCCTCGATGACGATGGTTTTGGCTCCTTGAACCAGTGGGCCGCCGACGAATCTGCCTGCGACAAAACGAGCGGTAGATCTCCCTCTGGCGTCGGTGGAACGATGTCTTCATGATCACCAATCCAGATCTTGTCCTATACTAGACGCTGCCCGGGGCACCGAACCTCTGCATCCAGGCGATGTTCATGCATGACTAAGAAGCTATCAAGCAAAGCCAAAATGACTGGTTCACGGATATCACCCAGACGCAACGAAGCGTGAGTAAGGACAACGGTGACTATAACCGCTTCTATTATGGTAAGCGACCAGATTCACCAATTGAGGTTCCCGGGACGCATATGTAGAGTTTGTCTTCTTTCGACACAGTGGAGCAGTATTTTGCACTGAATCAGAGGACTTCTAGAAGATTCCGACCGGAATAGCCAATAACTCCCAAATCGGATATTTTTTAGAGCTTACTTTTGCTAGATCCATCTGGCCCATCACCCGATCCATCTCTATCCACATCTCCCGTCTCTCCGTTTCCAGAATAGTCTCGCCCAACCGGCTTCTCAGATACGAGACTTTGATTTGCACATATTGCCATGATGACTTCAAAGCTATGTGGCAGTTGTGAGCGAGCGTGACTCTCAGTAGCAGTGCAAGTATATTAGACGTGTGTCTGATGAAAGAGTAGTCCATGAACAGAGCTAACAACTTACCTCGAGTCTTTGATTCCAATGGTAGTGCCAGCGAACATTCTGGACAAAAGGCACAAGCCTTATATGCGTGATTCTCGATGCTCACTTGAAAGGACGGTACTTATACAGTTAATTAGAGTGTACCACGATTAAATGCTCATGGTATGCTCACAGTTCTCGTTGAAATTATAGGCCGTGACGAAATTCCAACTCGCGGTGGATGGCAGTGGTTTCACATACGAAAGAGTAGGGATTTCGGGGTTATTTGTATTAGACTCTGGAGGAAGAATCTTGGTAAGGTATTCTCACCAACATAAAAATCTTGCCAGACAGGGAGTTTCCGGAGCATGGTGGGATTTGTCTGCTCATCGTTTCGATCTAGGATATCACTCTACTTACCACCCTGTGACCTAAACCATACCATGTTGGCTGCAGGAATGGCCAGCTCAGTAGGTGTGGGATACTCTCGCATTACAGATCTACCACACCTACATGATAACCCAACTCATAGTTTCTCAACTAGGAAAAACGTCCGTGGTGGCAATGTCTGGGAAGGATGATAACAAGTCTCTCCTTGTGCCCGAGGCCTCATTATCCTCAACTATGGAGATACCTTACATTCGGGCTAGTGGAAAAACGGAGTTGATTTACAGGGTCGAGAACGTATATCATATTGACTCACAGGTTGTACATATTCTACAATGCAACCTCGGCGCATGCCATCCAACTGAGATGTCTAGCTAGCATTTGATGGCATATCAGCGTAGAGCCCCCGAGGCACGTCTCGTATGAATTGTGCATATGCTCTAGATCAACATGGCTGTATGCTCACGGCGACGCTGCATTGGCAATCCAGACGAAGAAAACCAAGGAAATATGAATATGGATGGAAGTCGATCCTGCAAGTGGTTTCGTTTGAGGGTCCTGAGTAACTACATCATGCTCTCCATCCCCCTTCTTATCCATGCAAATCAATAAAACGTCAACCTGGCCGTTGCCTATACACAGTTTTTTCTTGTATTGACTTTTTTTTATTAAAAAGCCCATGAGCATTCATTTGACAGAAACCCCATAGATTAAAGGCTGGTTATTCAAGTTATCAAGGTCACTTCTACATTCCTGTCTTTAATATTTGGTTGGGTTACCAGAGTTCTATGTCTTTACGTCTGTCTCACCTCTTGTTCTTAGAAATGTCGACCAGGTGCTATTGACAATAAAAATAAGTGCTTTATTAAACGTAAGCATATATATTCCTAAACCTCGATCAATATGAGCTTAGTGCCAATGGCTGCGGTTCTCATTTGTGCTACGCACAGTGATAATTCGAAAGATTATCAACGCCTCGCCTATAAATTCCCAGCCTCATGTTCCCAATCTGCATTGGCACCGATGTTCCCAATCTGCATTGGCACGAATGTTCCCAATCTGCATTGGCAAGGATGTTCCCCATCTGCAATGACAAGGATGTTCCCAATCTGCATTGGCACCGATGTTCCCAATCTGCATTGGCACCGATGTTCCCAATCTGCATTGGCAAGGATGTTCCCCATCTGCAATGACAAGGATATTCCCCATCTGCATTGGCAAGGATGTTCCCCATCTGCATTGGCAAGGATGTTCCCCATCTGCATTAATACGGATGTTCCCAATCTGTATTGATAGGGATATTGATGGCTTCGTAATTACTCTCTTATAAAAATTTCAGGAAGGCAGATTCTGATGTGCTTCTCAATCGTTGCAAATGTATCCTGGACCGTGCGAAATATGTATCCACCTTCTCTATCTAACCAAGTACGAAGCAAATAAACCCTGTTTCACTCTTTCCATGTCGTTGAGGCCTGGGCAAGGCATCTGGTATACTGTAAGTCCATTAAGATACAAAAAAAAATGCGTTCGTCCTCCAGTGCTTGTCTTGCAACGTAAGGAAGCAAGAATAGATATACTCACAATTTAGTGATGGAGGGAGGATGCTTGATTTGCTATACGATGCGAATACGAGAGGACATCAACGCTTGGTGCCTGTTGGTATCATTAGCTGAAGTCGATGTGCGCCTAGCTTTTACATACCTTGCGACTATCGACAAAAGAGCGAGATTTGGTCGAGGGCTTCATATGTTCAGGTTTTCCCTTTGCCGTTGCAGGTGGCACAAATCCCACCATCTTTCATGCCGTCGCCTTTACAGACTGCGCACTCGGCCATGTTCTTGGATGACTAGAAGAAGAAAGACAGATTCTTGCAAGGATGACGAAGAGTCCTGATGACAGCTGAATACTGCCACAGAGGGTACTGCCAGGTTTAAATAATACTATCTGCCGAACAGATCGGGTCGGACTGCCTCAATCCCTTACTATGACACATGCAGGACATGGATATATAGATAAGGAGCGTTCTTATCCAATCAAGGCTCTTGGTTTTAATCCTCGCGCTTGCAGGAAATCTCCATCGCCCCTCACCGTCTCCTCTTTCGGCATCATACTTGTTGCGATGGGGCAGACAGCTACATGAATTGGGGTAAAGTGCAAAATCCACTCCCCCAGTTTCTCCTCTTCATCATACTTGCCGCGATGGATGAACACGCAACACACCGCCAATGCCAGACTTGTTTCAAACCTTTCGAATCAAATCAGCAGCTACTGGTGCATCTTGAGGGATACCGAGTTAGTATTGCCTTATTTCTGTCTATTCGTCTAACCCACCAGGACAGTCACGAGAACGGTTTCTGCTCGCCGAATTAGAGCGCTGCCGGATGCATATTGCTCTCTCCGAGAGTGCTGATGATGTGCTTGTCAACCGCAGAAACCTTGTTGGGCATCAGGAAAAGCAAGTGGCAAACGCTCAACCCAAATTGCATCAATGCCCGCTCGGAGAATTGTGAGAGATCGTTTTCATCCCGGCAAAATCTCGTGAGGCATTTTCAGCAGCGTACGTTTCGCGTTCCAGGCTGTGGCTGTGTTGCTTACGTATGCGGCAGACATTCAATGCAACGAGACATGTCCGTTTTGTTACGAAACCTTCAAACAGGCTCATCGGTACATAAAACACAACTGCAAACCTGAAATTGACCAGTCGAAGAGTATCTTTACGCAGCGAAGAATTCAACAACTGATAGTCATGGTCAGCAACGAATTGATTCGCCTCGAAGGCCTCCGGGAGAATATGAAGAAGCGACCGCAGTCAGCTACAGAGCCCGGAAGAGTACAAAAGACAGCCAAGAGGACTCCAATCAGTACCATGGGAGCCGACACGTATCGAAACAGCGACCTGCCCAGCAGGCTCGGAGTAGAGAGCAGCGGACAAGAATGCAATATTCCCCAGGCATTTGCGACCGTCCGTGAACACGACAGCACATCACTGCAAGTTGGAGAATGGGCATTTGAAGGCCTGAATACGATTCCCGACAATGATTGGCGAGATTTAACCAATGTTGGGCAGAGGACCTTGGCCACGGCTAACGGTGTGGCAACTAGCAATGATCGGTCTTCTGTGGATAGAGCTTCCCGCCTGACCCCGAGCAACTGCGAGTTGGAGCTTACCTTTACGAGCGCAAACACGCTTACACGTTTTGATAGCCAATGGTTGGATGATACGGATGCGAACTTTGCAAATGACAGCGATTGGTCATTTGCCCCAGCTGCGAATGCGCATGTACTTGAGCCATCTATCTAATTGACTTGGAATTCATAGTTGCTTGTCCCTTACCTCCTATAGGGATGCGAAACGTGACCGGCAGCGCTAGGCCGGCGACGTACCCTTGATCTATAGCACGAATCTCAAGCCTTTGAATGATTGACATCCTACTACATAGTGATTTATAATGAAGATACATTCACCGACCCAGAACCTCCCAGCGCAGCGCTCCCGCTAACCTTTTCAATTCCCATAGGGTAGAAGTCGCCTGCTAGTGGACTCCTCACGGTTTGCGTATGGATCCGGAATTACAAAGCGCCGAAGCAAAAAAGATATTACGATAGCGGGGTACCCCTCTTTCGCACCACGTGGGCAAGGTGCCTCTAAATATCCAACGTCGTATAAGCAAGACCAGTTCTCTGCAAATTTTGCACATGTCCCGCTGACATCATTCCTTGCCATTTCGAGCTTAGATGGCTTCGGCAACATTTGCCATCGAGGGTGCTATCGAAGCCATTGAACAAGATGGGTTTTACTATATGGAGGACCCTGTCATAGGAGATCGGATTGCCCAGATGGATGCAACACAATCCCCTTTCTGGTCTTCCAGTGATGCAGGTCTCGAGTTTTATCGCCTCAGCGTGTTCCAGGATGAGGTTTGTCGAGCAAGGTTCTTCATTGACACCAGTCTAATACTTCCAGCGCATCAAATCCATCCTCGAGTCCTTTTTTGAACGGTGCGCTCTGGGTGATTACCGGAGACTCGGCCAAGACCGAGGCCATGTCTTTCAGCTCATGCGAGGCGGTGCGAGCACATGTGTCTTGAGTATTCAGCTCTGGGGCATGGGATCGAAGGCCGTCTATTACCGTGGCTCGCACAAAGCGCCGCAGGAGATATTGGGCAGTGTTCGTGCAGCAAATCGTATGTGGGAAGTCGCTCGAGCCAGGCTAGAGCGAGCAGGCTGCGAAGCCAAGGAGATCGAGTTTGCAAATGGTGGAATGTGAGCATAACACATTCACCCGTTTTTCTTTGACTTTACTGACGTCTAAGCGTCATCATGGACTCTCGAATCGCTTTCGAAGCCTACCAGGGATCTCCAGTTACGTGCTCTTTCGCCACAGAAAGTCGATTGTCAAAGTGGCGGAGGTTGGACCGTCCTCGTTCCCAAGGTGCGGCAGGACGGGTTGCCGCCTTACAGAGCGAAAGAATTGGCGTGTACTTTGATACTGAAGACGAGCGAACGGGCCTAGTGGATTGAGATGATATTGCTGGGCAATACTGCTATATTTGCTAGTGTGGAGGGCTGGAGGTCGCGGCAGTGTGCCACCGTAATGGTCACGTGAACGCACAACGTATGCCAAGGAACAAAAAGCAGTTCGCAATCTCGTTCGTTGACTACTACCGGTGTTTTTAAAAAGAGAATCTAAGTTTGGGTGGCAAATATTCCGTTGGTATAGCCTTGACCGTCATATCGTACACCTCCCTCGACTTGCCGACCAGCTGGTATCTTGTCTTTGTATGACTCTCAATGTGTTGTCCTGGTCACCGCTTGGAAGTTCGAGATTGTGGAAGACTCGCTGAGCTTGCGTTTCCTGGAAGTATCTCTCTTGGGGAGGCTCGTCTTCGGTGGCATCTCGTCCCAGGGGTGGAGGGGCAAGAATAGGGTCTGTTAAGATGATACTAGCTGATATTACATATGCCGGACCGAGGTGCCCTGGCACAGACTGCCGTGGGCAGTACGGCAGTGTGCATTAGTTTGACACAGTATTTGAATACCGTGCTGGTGTCAGGAAAGGGGTATATACCAGTCGCTTCAAGGGAGGACTTGTAACGAGCGGTCTAATCTATAAGGCTAGAGGGTTCTATAGGGTTTATGTTCTGAGGTAAGTCAACACAAAAGACGACAGAGGCTTCTGTCAGCTAGAAGACACTCAGATGCTGGGGCTTGGTCTGGACCGGGGTTCACTGAATAGTCGAGTCGTCAGGAGATTTCTCCCACCTTAGGGTTGGCTAAGATGCTTAGATTGATCACTGAGGTAGAGACTGTATATCTGTCTAGCTAGGAAACTTCCATCCTCATATATCCAATCTCTCCCTCACTGATGAGGTGTGCTCACTGCTGATTGCGTGAGCAGACGTGAGCAAAGTCTGGTCACGTGATCCCTATCTCATAGATCACGTGCTATGTTGCCCTGGTTTTCTTCTCTGTGGCGTCCTTGTTCCGATTGGCCTACGAAGTAGGCCATCTTTCCTTCAGGACTGCCATGGAGTTAATCTGGAAGGATGGTACACTGACCCTCCAAGAGTCTCCGAGCATCCACCACCCTAGTGTCAAAACGCGTCTACGCGCTCGCAACCCCCTTCCTTCTTCATCTTTTATATACTCAACACCAAAACGATGGATTTACAAAAAGTCGGTACAATTCTGACCGCAAATCGCGGGCCAAACCAGGAATTTATTTCCGAAGCTCGTGTAGCTATTGTGGCTGCCAGGGCGGCAGGCGCAAGGCGCGACGATGTCGCGAGCGCGTTCCATCTGGATCGGCCTCAAACCGTGACCGACATTATCAACACTGCTAGAGAGCATACCACCACGATCTCTCGACCTCGAGAGGGAGCCACAAGGACTCTAAACAAGCGCGAAGAAGCTCAGCTAGTTGAAACGGCACGAAAGTACCCCAGTGCCACCTACAGAGAGCTCAAGAAGGAGAGCAGGGTCCTCTGCTCCCATACCACTATCAAGCGCGTTCTTCGCGCTCACGGGCTTCGCAAGCGGAGGGCGGCGAAGCAGATCGAGCTCACGGAAGATGACGCGTGAGAGAGGCTCGCTTTTTGCGAATAATACGACTCTCTGGAGGCTCTGGAGGAGCTGATGCGAACGCTCTTCTCAGACGAAGTCACGGTCCAGTAATCACCCCATAATCCAGGCGATTGGGTCATCCGCTTCTCTTCTGCACGCTACAGGCAGGATTTCGTGAACCCTCGGAGCCATGGGAGACCCGAATCTCCATTATATGCTGGGCTTTGATCTGGTTACGCAGCGGAGAAGGTGGCCTAGGCAGAATCATCTGCGAGCCCGATGAGGATGCTCCTCGCGGAGGAGTATCTTCGGCTTCATACCAAGATGTCCTCGAGGAAGGGCTTCTTCCGTTCTACGGGGCTGGTGATCCTTTTATGCAAGACAACGCTCGCATCCATCGATTTGGAGGCACTCCAGAGTGGCTAGAGGAGCACGGCATCTGGACGATCGACTGGCCTGCTCACAGCACTGATTTGAACCCGATCGAGCACGTTTGGGCATCTCTGAAGAAGCAGATACGGAGAATCGAGCCTGAGGATGTACGCGTTCTCATCGAATCTCGGCAACCTAATCGCCTCAGTGAAAAGAGCAGGTGGCTGGTACACACACTATTGAATGGCATACACAACAGATTTTATTATTATTATTGTTACAATGAGAAATGGGTTCGTTGTGAATGCTGAAAGTTGGAGGGTGTAGGCGTTGAGGGCTGGCCGGGGAGTGTAGCAGTGACCTTCAGTGACATTAGTTGTTACCAGGAGCGACCGATAGAGCTAAAACCTCTCACTATTTGCTTCGACGCTCATCACCAGCACGAGTCTGGTATTTTGTTGGTTCGTTTGCATTCTTAATTCAAGTTCTGTCCCTTAGTCTTCGTCTTTTCTGGGCGGCCAACCAGTCCCAATGCTCTTCCTTGTAGAATCGCACCCATATATACATGAGGGAACAATTCACTGTCCTAATGGTGATATCTTGCTCGATAACTGCCACTACTGGCCAGTCCGTCGATACAATGACATCTTCCTTGCTACCCCTATCAAATTGAGCCTGTGACTCTTGCATATAGCGGCTTGGAATGACTGGAACAATAATGCTGATACAAGCTCGCTCCATAGCACGTAGGCCACCAGACGGGAGTAATACCAACATTGATGTCCATTTCAGAGGGCCCTTTACCCGTTCCAAAATGATTGTTTCCTATTGCCTGTAAGTATAAGGTTATCTTCGGGTTAGAAATACTCACTGTCTCCTTTTGAGCTTGTTCTAGTAAGTTACCCAGCTCTGTGGGCCAAGGCGTTATCTCGTACGCTTCAGGTTCCCCTAGCGGCGTTTGGCAGTGGCTGTTGAAATCCATCCTTCTCATGGGACGGTTATCAAGGTAAAGGCGTTGTGTGTCCATGATCATTGCCTTGAATTCTTCAGAGATATCAGGAAAAGTGGGTTGGGTCCAATGTATCATTTCATCGATCGGATCAGGGATTATCGTATTGTCCATCAAACCAAAGGTTTGGCCTCGGTTCGTTCCGTTTGCATGGCTCATTTGACCCACTCGCCGAGCGTCGCGGTCCACCTTCGGGGGGTAGTCCGAGTCCGAAAAATGAACAGGACTTTGAATTTCTGCAGCATCAAGCAGAGCGTGAAAGCAACGACCCGAGGCCGAGGCTTGTCCCTGTGTTTTGCATTGGGGACAGGGACTACTGCCGGTGCTGTTCGCTTGATGAGCGCCTATTTCGACGAACCGTTCCGTACCTTCCCGACTCGCTCCATTCGGGTTCGATTCTGCCGGTCGTATTGGTGGTTGCTCGGCTTGCGACTCAATTGCTGACACTGCATGAGTGACGGATTGCACCACGTCAAGTCTAGATTTGTAGTCCTCCTCAGATAGGCGAGTCCCGAGAGCCTTATTCACGATCTCGCGCCTGTGCTTACGGTCAATATCAGGGTTACTGGTTGTTAGACGTACTCACCGATAACCAATGTAGGTGGCTAGAAATGGAAGAGAAAGAGAGATGCGCGTGGGTTTCTCCATTTTGGCAAAATCCTGCAACCTCGTCGAGGTCTGGCGTAAATAGCCTAGGAACGAGTCTGCGTCTGCAGATTCGTAGATACGACAGTACGCAGCCATTGACAAGCGAGCTAACAAATCAGCAAAGAGTTATGAGCCATTCAGGATAACTTACCCATGATAAATCTCTCCCATGCAAGATCAAGTAGTGATGATTCAAACAATTCGCCTTGTTGTGCAATCCAACGGGATGTGTTTCGTAGTCGAGTCAAGTACGAAGACGACAGGTCATCGTTGAAATACATCCTGATGGAGGTTTCTACACGTAACTGCTCCACTCCTTCTTCCAAAGAACAGGCGCCGAGACAACCACACAAGAGAGCTCCATACTTGTACAAGCCTTCCGAGAAACGCGCATGCTTTTGAAGAGAGGCACCCAACCTGCAGAAATCTTCCAAGATAGCCGCAGGATCTGCGTTGAGAACTGATCCCGAACCGGTGTTTGTGGACATAATACCACCGGCTTGCCCAGTGAGAACGTGAAAGGCGTGTAGCAATTGCTGTGGTGAAGAAATCAACATCTCACTTCTTTTTGTTTTCCAATCATCCACGCTCCTTGGCGATTGCGAAAAGAATGTATTCATTGAGGCCGGGAACTGTCCTTGATTCACCGAGAAGGTTGCTTCGAGGCCGTATTGCCGTTTAGGAGCCGGGGTCTCTCGTCGTTTGTACTGTTGCCGAATATCATCCACTGCTGGGAGTATGGCTGGAATTATGCTGTGGGTTGCAAGCTGCTCCGATAGCTGCTTAACCTGCTCGATGAGCACATCCACACATCCCTCCAAGTGTGAGCTGTACTCAGTGGCAGAGCCTTTGAAGCGCAGAGCACGCTTTCGTTTCCGGTTCGACGGTGCCATCGCAAAGGGGCATGCAATGCGAGGAATATTTCTTGTGCACACTTGGCAAATTGAAAGCGCATGATAATATGACAGTACTGGATAGCCACTGTGGCATATGTGGCTTGGTATAATGCACGGACCGCTACAATTACGTTCAGGCCGCAGTCACGTAGCTCGTGCCCTGTAGCGGATCAGGCCTCCCCGCGTAGCAGTCCGCTGTAGCAGTACCTAACCAACAACAACATTGTTTCCACGCTGCCAACAACATCAATTATCCCAATGAGGCGCAATGCATGTGGAAATGTCGGCTATAGGCCAGTCCATTATAGAGCATCTAATGCATCCGTCCACTTTCCCAGTTTCCCGAGGAAGTATCTGTCCTCAACCTGTCCTCAACCTGTCGTTGCTATCAGCTGTAATGCTTGCCACACTCGGCCATATTTTTCCATTCACTATCTTGCAGATCATATCCCGATGATCGAGATCGAGTCAGAGCTTATGCACTGCATTTAAACACGAGATTGCGATCATTAGTACTGTTGGATTAAAGGTACGCCCAGAAGGCACCTTTACAGGTAGACAACGGAACCTAGTTGTCCCGTCCCGACCCAGCCCCCTCTGGCACATAGCTGCCACGGTCGCACAAGGACACTCCAGACAGAGGATACACACACACACTTCACTCTGACGATTGGCTCAAACCTGACACATCTAAACACGAGATTGCGACCATTGGTACCTAGCCATCACGGCAAGCAAAATGGCGTATTCAAGGGTGGATGAATGACCTGACCCACTTACCAAATCAAGCCTCCAAATTTGGAGTCCCGACTTGATTAGCCAACCTTGCTTCTGAATCCTGGGGGACCAGGAATCTGGTATGTCTCCCTGTCATGCGTGTGGTATATTAAACTCAGGGTACTCCTGCCCCCTTCCCAGCCGCCACCAATCCGCATATCTCCCTCCTGGCTCTAATAGGTCTGCCATGGGATACAATACCTAAATACAACCCTGACTCCATAATCTGCAGCCCGTAACATACCTTACTTCCGCCTCTACAACGTCCCCGCACCCCACGACCCCATGTTACCATATCGATGCCACCTCTCACTCAAGCAACTTCAAAGCCAGCATTGGCATTGGCAAGGAACTCATCCAGAAGCAATTGGGCATATAAGCCTACTGAGTGAACCGACACATGGCCAATCTGCACTTTCATATAATGCTACATCGTCATTGCCCTTCGAGTGACTCCTTCCCTGCTGGCCTGTCTCAGCAGCCTCGACCGCGCAGCCCGCTCTGCAATTCATAACGGTACCTGATTAAGCACTGGTGTCGCGCGTGCAAACCCTCTACCCATTACTGGATTTAGCCCTGCGGTCCAGGTGGAGTTCACGATGCAGACCCAGCTTCCAGTGAAACTGGTGGTACTGGGAGATGGTGGTGTTGGGAAAACTGCACTGACCATCCGACTTTGTCTGCGAGATTTCGTCGAGACAGTACGTCGCCAGTCACCCCGCCCCCTCTACTGGCATAGATAAGCTTACCTGAACGCCGGGTAGCATGAGCCTACAATTGAAGACTCATATCGGTACTCAACTATAATTGACGACGTGGAATTCAGCCTGGAGGTGCTAGACACAGCTGGTGAAGAGGCCTACGCCACATTGCGGGATCAATGGGTCAGAAACGGCCAAGGTTTTCTGTTGGTATACAGCATCTCCTCGCGAGCTTCTTTCACAGCTATCGGAAACCTCTTCCAACAAGTCCTGCGGGAAAAGGACTGGAACCCACAGTACGTAGCTGCTTCGTCCCCGAAGAACTTGCCTATTGTGATTGTGGGCAACAAGAGCGACAGGCTGGCCGAACGACACGTTTCAGTCACAGAAGGGAGCGATCTTGCAGAGAAACTGGGCTGCGGCTTTATTGAAACCTCCGCAAAGATCGGTTCCAACGTTGAGAAGGCTTTTCACAATGCAGCCCGGCTGGTACATCAGCATCAGGCTGATCAGAAAGGGGAGGCTAGTGATCGCCAGCGTGACGGCTGTTCCTGCATCATCTTGTAAGATAGAATCTTGGTGTACATCGCCGCCCACAGCCTGCTGCCTAGGAAGACATCTGGAGATGGGCAGTGCAAGGACTGCAGATGAAGCATGATGATGGACACTGGCTTCATCTTCCCAGGGTCGAAATTCGTGTATTTCATTGGTCTGGTCGGCGTGGTCGGCCCTGAATGGCCTACTTTAAGCGCCCGACTTGTGTGAGTATGGATGGCACCTGTAGCCTTGTGTAATAGTCTCTAGTCTATATCTGTGATGCGGCGCCGGCTTGATTTTGAAGTTCTTCTCATCGTTCTCTCAACATGGCCGGCATTCAGATCTTACACCCCGTTTGCTGGGTTGCCCTTCCAAGAGCGGGAGGCTGCAAGCTTCTGCGGAGTAGCCTGCGCGTTCTCTTGTTCCCGTCGTATATCTTTCCGCCATGGCTGGCGTCGCCGAGACTATTCGATCTAACAAGTCGTATGTCTATCCGAACGTATCCAGACATCATGCCTCTCGTAGGAGCCCATACCCACGCTTCACTCCAACTGCAGAAGCCACAGGCCATGACATCCCTACCTTGCCCTACCATGCTGCTTGCCGTCTGTATCCTCGTCTCGATATGGACGACCCCCGCACTGGTATGGCTTCCACCCTGGTGTCATTTACCAACATGTTGACTGGGTCATCCCGGGCTGGATATGACAGGCCATGCACCCTGTCATCATCTGGGAAAGCGTTGAACTAATCTGGAAGTATTCGAGGCAAACATCAACGATCGACTTCCTTCTGTTTATGACTTCTAGTCTATCAGCACTGCCTGAGAGCGTACACTCAATCTCTTCCACCCCTGAGCATCCCTAGTACCTGCCCGGTGGTTCTTCATTCTCGGACCACCTTACAAGCTCGCCATCCCACGGACAGAAGGTGTGTTTATATATTTCTACCTACTTTTATGAGACTGACTTAAGTGCTCTTCCAGACTCTGTGTTTGAGAGACTCTATGCCCGGCCAATTCTCAAACTTTGAGCCCGATCACGACCACAAGCTCTTGACAACTGTACTTTTGTTCCGACGTTCCACCTTGCGTACGAATCAGGCCTCATTGGTTGTTCGATAAAGTGATGATATCCTAGGCGCAGGTGAGTCTTATCCTCGAAGCCACGCCTTCGTGTCAGCGCACAAGCAAGTATGAAAGTCTGCTGTTGTGCTAGTATCTAGCACATGATACTTTTTTTTCGTATGATGTGGTTGGTTACTGACCTGTGCTAGTATCCGGATAGCCGCAACATACATAATATCCCAAGCATGGAGCCTGGGCAGCCCGAGACCAAACGTCCACGTCTCTCGACTGGAACGTCATGGTCACCGAATCGCGGTGTGTCCCTGCCACACCCTGCCGTCGCACATCACCCGCCTGTCTCGGTGCCTCACCACGCCACGATGCCGCCGGATCAACGCCCACCTGCCTTCTCGCGCCCGCCCGAATCTCCCCTATCGTCGGCTCATCACGACGATCGCCGCCGCCATTATGACCACGAGCCCTATCCGCCGAGCCAGGACCATACACGACAGCTTCCTCCGTCGCCTGCGCACCAACAACACTTCTCTCCCTACGGTCCGCGGGACCCTTCCGTGAAGCGCGATCCGGGTGAGGAGACGGCCCTTCCGCAGCTGCGCCGGCCACCCTCCACCGGCAACGGTATCGATAATCTTCCACCACCGCTGCCCCATGGCCATCATCCGAGTCACCAGCATCCAGATGAACCTCGACGACCCATGAGTTTCGATAGCGGACCGCCGATGGCGCACTCGCCGGCGGTATTGCGGCCCTCGCACAATAGCTACCATCCTCCCACGCCCGTCGCTCAGCATCATCAATATGACAGCCCCCATATGTACGGGCCTCCCACTCCCCATGCCATGTACCCTACCTTGGAGATCCAAGCTGCTGCTAGCGCCAAACGGAAAGCGCAACGGGCCTCACAGGTAAATGCTCTGCCTGGGTTTGGATGTTCGTTCACTAACCGAGCCCACTAGGCTTGCAACAGTTGTAGACAACTCAAGGCGAAGTGCGACGAGACGAAGCCCTGCAAAAATTGTCGGGAGAAGAACGTTGAATGCAAATATCGGGACCCCCCCGCAAAGCAGTAAGTCTGGATATGAACAGATATAAGCCATCAGCTGACAAGGTCGTAGACCGGATAAGGTGACTACCGACATCTTCGAACTTCTCACATCTCTGAGGGAGGAAGTGAGCAGCGGTTTCGCGACAATGAGAAAGATGGAAAGCAGCTTGGCAAGCATGGAGACGTCACACAGGCAGATGAACCAAGGGGCACCAAATATGGAAGCTGAATCAATCGAAGAGGACAAAGCGCCAGCAGAACAGGCGCTGTCTTCACCAGGGGGGACCGTCGTGGAACCAGACTTGACTCTCAACCAGGCGCACGAGACCTTGAGACAAATCGACGATGACGACTTGGAAGCTCAGCCAGGGAGACCAGTCACTCCTGGCAAGCCTGCCATACCTCAAAACCACACGACCCTGGCTAGCCTGCTCTTGAAATGGCCCGTTATTGGGTCCATGGTGCAACATTTGCTGGAGGCCGAAAGAATTGAGCACGTGGAGGAGTTTCCAATATGTCAGGAACAGGCCCGAGGGCAACTCAGAATCTTCGGGAGAGGTGAGGGATTCGATCAAGACAGTGGTGTCTACCACAAAATTACACCGCCAGACCACACAATGACGGATATTGGAGACGACATATCGAACCCTTCGTTTCCTGCGCCAAATTCCAATGGCCAAGCCTGGGGTCAAGTGGGCGGCCTAACGCCAGCTCCCTCGGTCGACTATACAAGGGGCGTTCTTAACGTGGAAGGAAACCCCGACTGGGACCCCTCCAAAGTCTGGAAGTACGTGCAGAGTTTCAAAGATAACATTCTCAACATGCACCCCATCTTCATTCACAAGGAGCTTGATGCCATGGTCAGAGTCTTTCTTGGTGACATACCGAAATCAACGGATGTGCGACCTGCCAAAGTCGGCTGGATAGCCAGGTTTCTCACTCAGCCCACGAGTCCACCTTCGTCGTTTCCCGAGCCCAGCGCCAAAAGGAAGCGATCACCGGTTGGAGAAGAGCAGTGCCCTGCCGCTTCTTTCCATAAACCTGGACGTCCTTTCCGAACCATACACAATGCTCTTATTCTGCTTGTTCTGGCTTTGGGTAAGATATGTCTCCATAGAGACAAAATTCCTGACCCAGTCTACGACTCGGACCTAGTAGATCACAATTCTCCCTTGGTTCGCAATCGAGTTACGTCGTCACCTTCGCAAGGGTCGTCCCCTTCGCTCTTGTCACAGTCTCACTCATTGGGGTTGCCTTCTCCCAGGAATAACGAACGCATACACCCGCGTAGGAGAACCTCACTACAAGGAGCGGTCCCCATGGCAAGAGGGCCGCATTCGTACAAGAGGAATATCAACGTGATCCCTGGCCTCGAGTATTTTGCCCTCGCAACAGAGATAATCGGCGGTGAAGTTGGTGGCGCTACACTGAACCACGTCCATGTGCATCTCCTTGCTGGCTTATATCACGGGCAGCTTGGTCGCGTCATGGATAGCTGGACCTTTATCAGCCTAGCAAGCCAAAAGCTGCAAATAATTCTCCGACCGTAAGCCCGGCCCTTCATTCCTTACTAGAAAAGCCGACTAATCATGAACAGGAGCCTCGGTCGTCTGGCAGCCGAAGGCTCTCGGCTTGGGCATTCTAGAAGGGATAATCAACTGGCCTTTGCCTTTTGGACCTGCCTGCAATTGGAAAGGTGGGTGCTTTCCCAGGGCATTTCCCAACCCTGACTTGCCAGCCGCTGATGTTCTTTCCGTACAGTGATATCTTGGCCGAGCTGCCTCTTCCTCAATCAGGGATTCTCCAATTCGAAGAACGAATGCCATACCCGAACACCACGTTTGCCATTGAACAAGGCTTCCCGCGGCACATCGTAGAGGGCTATGTGGCTCAGCTCTATCTGCGTAAGCAGTTGAACAAGGTGCACAATTTACTTTACGATCCGGAGAAAGACGGCCAGAATGGGCCGGCGATGGAGGATAGCATCAACTCGATTCAGAATGCCCTCAAGCATGCAAGGCACACCTGGGTTCCTCCCCATTATAGTTGGAGTGAGGACGATCCTCTAGCCACCGACATATTATCTGCACGTTTACGCGCCAAGTACTGGGGATCCCAGGTGATTCTTTATCGGCCATTCCTAAAGAGCATGCTCAATAGGGAACCACTGCCTCCACCCACGTACCGAATCCAGTCATCGCCACCTGATGCATGGGCCTCCTTAGGCCTTGAGATAGGAAGTCCGAATTTGCCCTCGAACGTGGATCCTCGTACCATCAACTACGCTCGCCTGGCTATACAGGCTCTCGTTGAGAGCACACGAGCTTTTCATGGAATGGACCCCACCCAACGTATCATTGTAACCAACGTGTTTGGAACTGCTCATGCGTAAGTCCAAAACTGGTCTGGCGACGTTGTCAAAATGCTAATATCCAAATTCCAGTCAATGGGGAAATCTCCTGACGCTGGCTGCTTGCTACAGAGACAGCATTCTTACCAAATTTATAGAGAAGGAGACTTTGAGAAACCTTTTTTTACGCACTATTGCGTTTTTCCAGACCATTGTCCAGTCCAAAAGCGCACTGGCGGCTGATATGAACATTTTGATTGGCCTAACTAGAGACCTTGGCTTCAATATGGGTATGATGCCAGGGGAAACTCGAGCTCTTGAAGCATCACGAGGGGCCGTACCGACTATGCATCATCCTAGCGACCCCTATAACTGCGGGACCCTCCATCACATATTCAGGAGCTACCAACCACGATGGGTATAATGTGATACCACGCGTTGCACATGATAATGCATGTTTACCCGTGTAGACAAGAAATCATAATATGTACATATAACGGCCGATCGTTACCACGGAAAGAGGGAGACTTCGGGCACCGATCAGTAGTTCCCCGACGTGTGGTCGAGGTGGCGAGTACTTTGAGCTTTGTTCGATGCAGGCTGCGGATCGGAACAGACAGAGCCCTATGTGCGAGCATCACTGCTTGCATAACATCTTTCTTGATGCGTATAGTAGCGGGAATCAGGCAGCTCTGAGCAGGGACACATCAGAAGAATGGCTTACCAGGAGCATATTGTCTCGCCTGCATATGTCGTGACCTACTCGTGTCCGGGAGCCTTGGACTGCCCGGCCACTGTAGACGGACGATCTCCACAACACAGCTCGATTCCCACACCCTAGACGAAGCACAAGCAGTATACAGACAAGGATGAGCCCGGGGGTAAGCAAACAGTGGTCTTGGGAACAAGCATATGAGTCTTGCGAGGACGGGACGTAGGACAACGCACACAGCCATGTTGATCGTCTTCCTCCCCTTGTGATATGCAGAGTGAGCCGAGAAAGGAAGCGGCAGCTTCCCGTCTTCCGCGGATCTGTTCTTCTCAATATCAAGCATGCCACATCATGAAGGGTGTAGGTGTGTGACACAATGATAGTCCGCACCTCAGCCAGCAACCCAGTACGGGGACACGTGTGCCAGGCTTTCAGACTGGAAACCGTGTTGGTTGATGCAGCGTCTTGGGATGGAGACGACTGGCTCTCTAAACCTCCAGTGCCAACTTCCGTCCAACGGCCTGAGCCAGAGATAGCTGCCTACTCCCCCTGGTCCCGGAATCGGGTATGAATCCGCTGCAGGCGCCCTCGTATCCAAGCCTGCCCCAGGTCGTGTTGTTGTATCAGAAGAAGAAAATGAGCTGGGTAGTAAAAAGCCTCCTTTTGGTCATTGGTCCGTTTCTTACCGCAGCCACCCTACGTCTGAGTACACAGTGGATGTAGATAGTAGTATCCCCGGGGAGCCAAACGTGCAGGCCGCCGACTTGACACGTAGTATCAGGGGTGGCACATCCGACGGCTAGGAAGGAATACATCGGAAGTGACAGGTCCAGCCGAGCTCGATGACACCACACCGTTCACCGGGGTACATACTGGAAGTAACAGGTACAGTTATTTGTAGGTTCTAGTACGTTCACTTGAATGTCTTCGGGACTACCGATGGAGGGACAAGAGATTGGATCAGGCTTCTCGTTCCGCCCATGCAGTGTGATGGCCTGCCCAACCTGTCATATTGACCTCCACCCGGTTCTGATCCAGGCAACCACCAAGGGTCCCTAGGCAGCTTTGTTGAATGTGACACGTAGCGATGGAAATACGCCTACCCAGAAAGTTGGACTGGCGATGGGAGCCGAGCCCGGAAGCAGGGTGTGTAAAGGCAGTGAAATTGGACAGGGGAAAGTGAGGTTGCAGCCATGTATGGATAGATGGAGACGTACGTAACAGGGGGCTGCCACTGTGATATGGGTGAAGACTGGTATTGAACAGGAAGTTGTTGCGATTGGTAAATGATACCACACCGAGAACAAGTGCTAACTGAAGATGGACTCACCCCAAAGCTACGTGACAATGTATCTGCATGTAAATCGAGGCGGCTATTGACAGATCATCGATAGAGGCACACAAACCACACAAACCACACAAACCACACATACCAATGGACCAGAATCCAATGCCTCCAGATGGAAGGATGTTCAACTGTAGATATGATCTCCAGCAAACATGCCTCGAAGCTGGTTTTCCCGCTTCCATAATGAAGTCAAATACAGCAAAGACGAGAACTTATTGGCGATGTGGAACACAGAGTTGCCCATATCAATGGATCACGTCTAACTCGGAAGACGGGGTTCTCAAGGTCACGTATTCAACGAGAAAACCGCCACAACGCCACAACCACCCGATAACACTCGAGACCAATGTTCCTCAGCACATATCTGGGTCGTCTACCGTTCCAGGCTCCTCTATCCCTATATCAGATTGTCTTGAGCCAGACGCACCAGCTAAATCGATAGGAATACTTTGGTTTGGAATTCCAGAGGGCAGGAGTACTAAACCTTTGCAATTCACGACTATAGAGTGCCATCGGGATGCGCACAGAATCATACCAGATTTCCACTTATTAAATGACAACGACAGCCAACTTTCGAAATGGCAAAAATACATTGGAAAAGGCTTCATAGAACATGCCGGCGATCCATCTCGCAACCCGGTTGTCCACCAGTCGGTCATTACGATTTCAGAGACTGCGCGTGAACTAGAAGCGCTCAGAGTGGAAGCCAGGGTTGAGCTTCGAAATTGGGAATGGGTACAAAGCCATATCATGGATTTAATACCAGAATCCCTTGCAGGCAAGCCGGTCTTGGTCGTCCTTTCAACGACCTTAGACGACGCACCATCAGGCCGGGGATCGATCGAGGAACTCTATGCTGCTCTGCAGCTCAATGCCATGAGACATAGGCAGCTGCGTGTCTATCCGAGCCTGGCGGAGATGCGACAAGACCGCTACAAGATAGGAGACATTCGTGCTCTAGACATCATCGCCCAAGAAAGCCCCGGGGAATTTGTTTTCAGACCAAAGACTTGCTTTGGTTGTAGCCCTTGCGAGCTTGGAATAGACAGAGATGAACTGAACGTCGTGAAGACATCCCACAGCTGTGGTGGAAATGGAGTCCGAACCTGCCCAAAGACCGAAGCACAAAAGGAGGTAGGCTGTCAGCGAAACAAAAGACAAAAGACCGGCACATCAGCTCCTATCAAGCCGCTTGAGATCGGCCCGAATAACCCGCTGCTGCTGCATCAAGAATATATACCGACATTCGAGGAGCTTGGGGAGTTCTGAGTCTTCCTTTGCGCGCCGGACGACCCACAGGAAGACGCCAAAGTTATTGTGGCAGCATTCACCAAGTTTGGGAATGATGGGATGATGGTGGCCCGCGAGATAAGGACTAGCGACTTTTTATGGGCAGGGCAAGATAAGAAAGCACAGTCTGCCAAAGAAACCCAGCTACATCGATTCGCCCAGCACGTGTACTCGCAACTTTGCAAGCGGCATGATGCTCACGAGATGTACGAGTTATTAAAAATAGGGGTCCGCCTGGATATCGGAGTGTCCGAACTTTCGCCAAATGGTCTATTTTTTGTGAATGAGATCACCCGCTGGCACTCGGCCGACTTCTTCTTGAGAGATGTTCTATCGTATCCTTGCCTACGTATCTGCGAGAAGTACGGGGTTTCTTTTGCAACATACATAGCCAAGCTGTGGTGCCAAGCTCAAGATTGATAGCTGAGGAAAACAATGCAGTAGCCTTCTTTGCTACCTTGAGCCAACTCCATATTGGAGACTTGCAGTGTGCCAAACTACTTCGGAGTGTCATGTTATCAAGTATTTCCGCCATGGATACCATTTCGGGTTAAGAAAAGCCCTGTAACTCCCATTGCTTATTGTTCATGATTTAAAACCAGGTCGGTAATTGCTGAGAATCCCTTCGAGCTTTATAGTCATGTGCCCTAGTGTGCTAACAGTACACAGTATTCGGATCATAACTCACTAGGAAGTGATAGTAAGGAGAATGAAGACAGGGCATCTGAAGTGGAGTCTGGCGCGCTGAAGGGAGAAAGGCCAGCCGGAATTGGTAGCACGGCGTAAGGCGAGGCTGTTCTCACCGAAGGTCTCCGGAAGGGACAATGCGGTCACCAAGACATTCCCCTCAGGCCTATTTTACCCACGGGGAACTCTCAATCACCCGAAAAGGCTAGCCTTGTAATTACAAGCATACAACCTCCCATTGGTTACATTTGTCCTGTAGACAGCCTAAAATGAACAGAGGGGCAGCAGTATGCGGTTCGGGGGTAGGATTCGAAATCGCAGAGAGCTGGACCAACGAGTGGGTTTAGAGTGGCAGCGGTGCAAGCGAGTGTGCTTTGCCTCGTTTGCCTCGTTTGCCTCGTTTGCCTGGTCCGCAATGCGGCTTAAACGCGGCGAACCGTCCGTGCTGATAAAACCCCCAACCCACCGCCGCCGGATAGTATCGTACAAGCTGAACCTCCAATGCTTCACCGACCTACACTAGCTCCCGTGATCAATACGCACCGTTGACTCGACAGGTACTAAGTTCTTACTTTGTCCAAGGTTAGAAACCTGAACCTTCACCCCTAATATAAAACAATTAGCATCCACATGTCGAAGAAAGAACCCACGCAGCTAGCCGCCAGCTACACCAACTACCTTCGGAGATCTAATGGGATATCTTGTCCAAACTGCGATGAGGGATTCCCTGATATAGACGAGCGCATACGCAGCCATTTGCAAGAGCGGCATGCGGATCTTATCAAGGGTCAGGATACTGCCACTCTGATACAGGATGTGCGGGGAGGACTGTGAGTCTCAGTGTTCGGCCAACCTCGATACCATGGTTTAGCTGACTCTATGAAGCACCATAACTGGCAAATCGCTAGAACAGTCTAGTCCCAACCAAGAACCCCCAAGAACTCGTCGCCAACATAGGAACCGCCCAGATGCCGTTGAGGACGAGGACTCCCTCAAGCTTATCAAGCAGCCCGAGACTCGTCCCATTGGCCAAGACCAGCTAGTCGCCGAGGTCAAGGGGATCTATGCCGGCCTCGTCATGGTCGAGGCCAAATGCATCGAGGTCGACAATGCGCAGTCGTCACAGAGTGATGCCAAATTGAACAATGAGCAGTGGCAGGCGCTCATAGCGTTGCACCGGACGCTGCTTCACGAGCATCACGACTTTTTTCTTGCCTCTCAGCATCCTTCAGCAAGTCTAGCATTGCGACGTTTGGCCTCGAAATATGCCATGCCGGCGCGGATGTGGAGGCATGGCATCCATTCGTTCTTAGAGCTACTGCGTCACCGTCTCCCGGCCTCGCTGGAGCACATGCTTACGTTTATTTACTTGGCTTATTCAATGATGGCACTGCTATATGAGACAGTACCAGCATTCGAGGATACTTGGATAGAATGTCTCGGGGATCTGGGAAGATACAGGTCCGTCGGTGTGACTGTTGAGTGGTGTGCAGAAAACTGACCATATTCAGAATGGCTATCGAAGATGACGATATTCGAGACAGGGAGGTGTGGACCTCAGTCTCACGCCATTGGTACTCCAAGGCGTCTGACAAGGCGCCTACCACCGGTCGGTTATATCATTATCTGGCGATCCTCGCTCGACCCAACGCACTGCAACAGTTGTTTTATTACACGAAGTCATTGTGCGTTTCTGATCCTATTTGCCTCGGCTCGGGATTCCATTATGACATTATTCGACCCCGTTCTGAGCACGAATGAAGCGAACCACCACCCCCGGTTGATTCCAATCGACGTGGCCTTTGTCAAGGCGCATGGCATCCTCTTCAGCAACAAGTCCCCAGACAATTTTGTTCCTGCTGTGAACACATTCCTGGAGAAGCTAGATGTCCATATTAGGCGCACTACCAGACGTTGGATAGAGTGTGGTTACCATATCGGCATTGCCAACTGCTGCAGTCTCTTATCATACGGCCAGGAGGAGAACATGATCATGAAGGCGATCAGTCCGCGGCCGGACGAGACCAAGACAGATCAAAGTCTGAAATCTACTGAGCTGTCTGATCAGAAGCATAGTAAGAATCTCGACGGCGCCCTTCGTCTTGCGGTGGGCACATACGAGGTCGTCTTTCACCGTCTGGGTGATCCCAACGTTCTGCCGTTCCTTCATGTCGTCATGGTCTTCATGCATCACATTGCCAAGTTCCCAGACGCGATGGTGCACGTTGAGGATCAGTTTCCCTGGAAATTAGTCTCTTTGTTCTTGAACTCGCTGCTTCTTCCGTACCAGGACCATGATCGGATCCACAATACCGAGTTCCCTCGAGAAGGCAAGGATATCCCGCCGCGACCCTTACCTGAGGACTTTGCTATGAAGGGTTTCCTTTGGGTCGATGACTACTTCCCCAAAGACTGGTTCTCTAATGAGAAGATCGATGACGATGAGAAGTATTTCGAAGTTGCATCCATGACTGATGAACGGAAGGAGAGGATACTCTGGCTTGGCTATCGAGTCGCTGAAGCGGGCAAGTGGCTCACCTATGACAAGACGCTGCACCGGTTCGGAGTGACTTCCGACTATAAGAAGGAAATTGATGCCATCGCCAAAGACGCAGACATGATAAACATATCAGACACTACTGATACGATTTTACGCACTACTACTTTTACATCGGCTACGGCCATTGGCAGGGCTTCTCCGTCGTCTTCGGAGAAGGATGACGGGGAGGACGACGAGGACCAAATGGACATTGATATGCCCTCAGTCTAGAATAATATCGCCCGGGAGTAAGAGAGGAGCTAGTGTGCCACTTGAATAAGACAGTATATACACCGACTGGAGTTAGGTTGTGATTTGTTGACTGCATCTTGTTACTTGGAGTAGTGAAGGGGCTCTCCGTACCGAGAGACGGGGATATGTGGTTGTCCTGCGATGACCCCCGGAAACCCGGAGCCTAGCGACGCCCTGCTTGTGCAATGTTCCGACGAAGCCCAAGATACACTGCTAACACAAATCCCCATTCCAGACAGAATGTGATTCCTGGAGTGGTTGTGGCTGGAATCCGTACCATACAACATCTGCCACCATTATCACCGAGGTCGCCTCCAAGTCTTCATCGGCTGCCAGCCCCTTTTTCATCGCTGCCTCGGTGGAGGTGGAACACCAGACCCACCATTGTGACGCAACCTGCTAAGCAACGCCTATTCCCCATTGGCTGCATACGGAAATTAGTCTTGTAGCGTGAACATGGCCTGTCTAACTTACACGGAATTTCTGGAGCGACCCCTTGATCGTATGCGTAGATTTCCCGAGTGGTTACCGACGCGACAAGTATAGCCGCAGCGCCGTCGGACGAGCTATAATCCATGCGTATGGCATTGACTCGGATCGTATAAATACCAGAATAGCTTATAGCAAGATCCGGAAATGTAGCATACTCTACCGAATCGGCACTTCCACTAGCAGAACCATCCCTTAAAGTCGTCTTGGACCGTGATAAAGTTCCATGAAGTTGATCTTCTAGAACACCTCCTTGGGGATCGAGAAGAACAACTTGGACGAAATCGTAGGCCGCGTCGCTTCCAGAACTGATCACCAGAGGCGGGTAGAGAACTGTTCCCGCCTGAGCTTGGGCCGGGGGCTGAACCTCGATGTTGATCATCCTGATAGGGGAGCGTCAGGTACGGGTGAATGGTGCGCAGGGAAAGAACCAACGGGTTCGAAATCCACACATGTCTTTTATCGGGTTTGCAGAGCCAGAGGTATCTTTGCGTCTAGTAATGTGCTCTGTGCATGCCAACTCTAGATTCGATCTAGTAGTATGAACTGGTTACAGAATTGCAGCAGCCGGTAATGGATTCCATACCCATGGTAGCCCAGGCTTCCCCAGTGTGTTGAGGGCCCAGTTCTGCCGCAGGCCTTGTCTAAACAGCGCGGCTCGATTGGCTATGACGGGCATCGATGCAAGCGGGCCACCCGATCCCGATCTAGGGCCCGTTTGCCGTGATCTGAGATCGAAAGGCCCACTTCCGGTCACCCTGCTCGCATACCCTGTTCATGCACGACATGATGCGTTCACTGGGTAGGCAAGATGCATGGCGTGGTGGAAGGGGTTTCGTTTCGACTATGCTACGTAGGTAGGTAGCTCTCCCATTGCCGCGGCAGTATATCTCTAGGGACGGGGTCGGCTGCAAAGTTTGTTTGTTTTGTATTTAACGTGGGGGGTAGCTCCTCAGTAGCGCAGACCACGCCTCCCAGAGCCTCTGCATCACAGGTTGTGGAGGTCTCAAGAAAATAAGTATAGTCAGTCCCGCTCACGGGCCCATCCCCGTTGTTGCGGCGGTATGACCTTGGGGTCATCCATCTGGTCTTTCAAGAACAGCTATCTATTAGAGACAGATTGTTGAAAAGAACTTGCTCTTCTCCACGAATTTTGCCCATTCTGTGCTCCTCTCTCCCAAGTATTGTAAACAGACTGTCCTAGGCGAGTACCTAGGCAATAACCGATTTTTCCCTAACCTCTTATAAAAGAAAATGTGTTGTGATGTTTTCTTTTTACTACAGTTGTAGTGGTTATTTGAGTCTGTATGCCCAAAACGTTCGTGGTATCTGGCAAAGTCGCCATGTCTAGATCTGGCCGCTAGAAGTCTGTATAGAATGCTTTTCTTAAAAGATATAAGGCCTCTTTCAGTTACTGCATGTGAGTATACTTCTTGATACCTAGGTTCTGATTGGTCTTTCCACCATTGATTGAACTCTTTCTTGCCCTTTCTTTTGAGATCTCTCTTGACCCACGAGATTGTGGGAAGGTTTGTTGCGTCCGTTTGGATATAAAAAATATACATATTGCGGCGAGTACCTCGATACGGACACATTCAAGACTCACATCACAAACCAGCACCATTGCCGTCTATGTATGGTGGATTGTAACGATGCCTTGCGTCATTTAGAACGGTCTCATAACCTCAATCCTTGCCATTATTGCGAATCGGCTAAATCAAGAGTACATGAGCACATCCTGTCAGGACTACGCCTTGGATAACTTGCCCATTCTGCCCACTCCAACGATGAATTTCCAGACACATCTTTCGAACCAACACTCTAGGCGTCCATGCGACTACTACTGGACCAAGGAAGTAGTTGAGGATCAATCAGGTCAAAGGGAATGACGCGCGGATCTCCACCATCATACCCCAGTGTCCCGTACTCATCCACCGCAAACCTGACGGGGCTTAATCCATAGAGCGGGTTCGAGTGGTTGGTCATCTCTCCCATACCACATGACGGTTCCTCAAGGTTGTCAGGAACGTTGCTCATGCCATTCACATGGCTCGCATCGCCCTCTTCCTTCTGGATATCGTTCTTCTTGACGGGGCGGTTTTTTTCGTCTTGTGTAACGACGTTAGCATGTTGGCAAGGCATTTAGATTTGCTCGAGACTTACGGCTGCGCAAGTGACCCCTTGCGTCATTACGCCGCTGGTAGTCCTTAGTACAACCAGGGTAAGGGCAAGGATATCTTCCTTCTGCGTTTGGTAGAATCATCACTCTGGTGTTTTTACCGATTGGCAAATGGAGGCAGCTCTGGCGCACGGCGTCAGGCTTGGGAGGGGAGAATGGAAGTTGCGCCGCGGTAGGTAATGGGTTCTTTCCACGAGTGGAGCACAATCTAAAGTGTATCCTGAATTCATCTGCTCGGGCAAACTTCTTGCCGCATAATTCGCACATATGCGGGCGTTCGCCGGTGTCTTGTATATCTACGTTAGCATATTAGCAAGGCATTTAGATCTGCTCGAGACTTACGGATGAGCTGGTGACGGTTCAAGGGCCCGGTCTGGGTGAAGGTTCTGTCACAATGAGGGCAAGGAAAACTTCCGTCTGCATTCCGTAGAATCTTCGTTTTATTGGAGTCTCTGGTTCTTCTGAGGGCGGCGGGCCGCCCAATAAACGGAATGAGCCGCATAGGGTTTTGTGGTAGCGGCTGCTGAGAAGCCTCCTTGGGGTCGGCGACCGGCCCGGGACGGACGGTTCGCCAATTTGATGTCCCGACAGAAGACTGCGGCATTCTGGACGGGGGGAAAGCTCTATGGTATTGACTTGGTATTATGTCGTACGAGGCTTGGGTGACCTGTGTAAGAAATTGTGTACTGGTCTCTACCGCGTGAGGCTTTGGCCCGTAGGAGTGAGTCACCGACGTCCGTAAAAGATGTAGATAAATGATGTGACTAGATTGCGTAGAATCTATGGCTCAGGATGCATCGCAGATGAAAAGGTGGAGTAGATCATGGAGCAACAAGTACGTGGGCACTCATGACTTCTCTGGGGGTCTAAAATGCCTACCTAGGTACGAGGACAACTTATGGGTCCTCTTCTACATCGGCAAAAGCAAGCCGCACCTAACATCGAAAAGGTGGTAATGAGCTGTAGTATGGCTCAGCACGGCTTCCCGCCAGGGGTTCCTGGCGCCAAGAATTATCCAATGTATACCCCAGTGCATGTAACTGTCTATTGCCTGCGCTAATTGGCTATATCCGCTGATTCTACAGACCAAGACGTGATGCAAGAGCTTCATGCGCCGACTTAGGCACCAACTCATGCACCGGGAGTTACGCGATTGGCTAGCAGTGGCCCGCGTCTGCCTGGTGACTTTCATTCTTGTACCTTGGACCATAGGACGGCGTGTACCGACAGGAGGCGAGGGTAAGGATGCTGAATGTTGTGGCGCGTATTTTGGTGGCAAAGGTTACCCCCACGCTCTAGGTACAGCTGGTCGTCATGTTCATCTCGGGTGTGCCCTGTCTCAGTTCCGCTCGCAGAAGTTAGAGCGAACCAGCCAGGACATGAACGTATGCTTGTTCTCCTTTTCCTCGTCTTCGCCCTTGGCCCGCCACGCAGCCCGCACGGAGCCTTACCGACATCCAGGCGTAGCTATGCATGGTGATTGGCATCCAGATGTAAACCTCGCCGCTTTTAGGCGTGAAGAGTGCTGGGTGGCTGCAGATCTGAAATGACTCTTGGCCGGTCACAGGCGCCGATGAGAGCCTAGGCTGCCAGGGCCTCGCTAGGCAACTTTTACATCTGGCCTTGTGCTGTCGATCGCAACAGTGGCTCCCATCAAGGCTGCCCGAAGGGAATGTCGTTCGACGAATGGCTTGCATCCGATGATTCTGCGACCCTGTTCGACTTCTCCGATTGCCAGGGAGCCTCGAGTGCAGCTTCAGCGGACATGGGCACCGGTCCAATCGAAACACCTTACCAGCAGGAACCGCCCATGTTCTATCCTTCTGTCCCATCAGACCTCAGAGCCAGCGACCAGAATGGCGAAACGAGAATGTGAGGGCCCCCACAGGAATAGTTGTTTAGATTGCTGACTACGACGCAGGCTCTTGCTTCTGATCCTGTCCCGGTTGGAGACTCAAGATCGTCTCATGACAAAGATAGACTCTGTTATGGACAAGATCGACAGATTCATGTCGAGGGTTGACTCTGCGATGGAAAACATCAGGACGGGCTTGGACAAGTTCACTGCGGACATGATTGGGTTTCTGAAGGGGTGCGTTGTCTTCGCTGGAAACCAGGACGTGAATGCAGACGAGGAGATGGGCAGCCTGCTTAGCACTAAGGCCACGTGATGGCGAATCGATGCGGAGAAGGTGTACGGGTTGTTTCTCGGATGTGGGGCGGCAGAATCCGGTATTCTGAGTAGTAGATTGCTGTTTCCCGTTTTTTGACCACACGTTACTTTGATATATAATGGGCCAATACCAGCAGTGCTTCATGAGAGTTCACAATCTACAATTCCCTCCGCAAGCAACTTCAATGTGTCCTCCTCCAAGCCACTACCTCTGCCGCCTCGTCGTCGCTTGACCAAGTCTGGCCTCGCTCAGAAGCGAAATCCCCCCACAATGCCAAGCACAGGCACCTCTTTCGGCTCACATGCCCGGGATGGGTCAACCAATAATCGCAAAGCTAGACTTCCAGACTCTCTTACAAAATACCTATTGCCATTAAATGATAGTGATAGTAGCGAACCAAGTCAGAGCGACGAGGAAAGTGAAGAAGAAGAGGAGGAGGAGGAGGAGGGGAGGGGAGGCAGACACAGAGATAACAGAGATGACGGAGAGGAGGCCGAGGCGGGTCGTATGAAGCAAGATGGGCGGCCTTCTCTTAGAGGGTTTATCTTTCGCAAGTCGCCACGGGAGATTGTCCTGGAACGCCGTCTAGCAAAACTCGATCATGACAACTTAGGAGTTGCGACAGCAACTGAGAACTATGGCAACACATGAAAATAAGGAGAAGGATGACCTCATTTCCGCCCTACGGAATCAGAACCTACGATATGACGAACATATCGGCCAGCAGAACCAACTCGTTGCCCGCATCGCCAACACAATAAGCACGGTTTTTAAGGTGTATCAAGAGGCATTCAAGAAACCGGACGAGCTTCCCAGCCCACTTTCGAGCGCTGGATTCCACCAGCGCGAGACCGATGACCACAGTCACTTCAGCCATGATTCTGATTCTGATTACTAGAGCCTGTTTGTTGACCAAGTGGGATGGAGCAGGGGGAGCAGGATGCAAACAGGGGTGTGGACAGGGGGGCTAGACAGACAGGGGTCTGGACGGGTGGGGGTCTGGGCTGGACTTTTCAATATTTGAATCCCCAATGTCACTCTCGAAGTCGAGTTTGGTAAACTCAACAAAGCCCAACTCAGTGTTCGGGTCAAGAGATGGTGGTGACGGATCAGCAGTCGAGCAGAAGGAGACTAATTCTCCAGACACACAGGTGCCAGCGAAACCTATAGCAGCTATCCTCGGACCGATCGAGAAATCAACCGTGTCGAGCGACCAAGAAAGCATTGCACGGAATATTGTACAAAACCTACCAGACCTGTCGTACATGTTGCGGTAGAGGTTTCGCGAAATGCTGTCTACCGAATAACCTTGCCACCGAAGTACATAGGGGTTTTCCACATTGGTCGCTCACTAAATATATATTTAATACGGTGTACCTCAGTATGAGCTACACCATCAGAAACACGGAGACCGTTCTGTTTTCGGATAGCATCAGTAAGCATCGGCACAGGCGTTCAGGGTACTCGGATTGGAATAAGCAATCGACTGTACATTTCATGAGCTCAGTATCAATCGGATTTAAGGCACACATATCAAATACATCAACCATTATTTTGCCGCCGTTCCCTTTATCTTTAAGTGATCAGACTCTGAGACCCGGTCCAGTTACTACGCTTTCCGCGGAGAAATCGTGTCTTTAGCATGGCTAATCCGAACAGGGTCCTGTCGCAGTGGCAGATCATAACTGACTGTCATCACTGCGAGATCAGTCCTACTTCGGATACAGTTTTATAACCGCCGCTGCATCCCCCTTCGAGGGCTTCTTATTGATCCCAATCTCCGACCCGTCCTTCTTGACCAAGGTAGGTTGGAACGTGCCGCCGACCTGCTTGGCGCCAGCATGAGAATTGTACAGCATGATCGAATCCCAGTCGAAGGCGCCCGCTTCCACGATCCCATCCTCGTCCGCCTCGGCCAGCGGCAGGAAGTCCAGCGCCGAGAACCCCTTCTGGGACGCCGCCCAGTGGTCCCTGCACAGCACGTCCATGTTCAGACCCTGCGCTGCGGCGATGTCGTAGTCGGCTAGGTTCTCGCAGTTGAGCTTCAGCAGCGACGCGCCGCCGTCGCTGCCCCAGGCGCTGGGGCGCTGGTGCTCGTGCACTGCGATGTCTTGGATCAGTGACTGGTCATTTTGGATCAATACGTTGGTGGGTGAACGCTACCGCATACTTTCGGGAAAGCGAGGAATTGGCAAAACCATGGGTCTTGAAGAGGTAGCTTTCTAATTGGTCTCCCCAGATGATTCGGCTGAAGATCAGCGTGGGGAGACCAGCCACGAAGCAGGCTTCAATACATTACTGGTTTTGCCAATTCCTCACTTTCCCGGAAGTATGCGGTGGTAAGTTCTTGGGCCTTGCGGCTCTTGCCCCAGGAGTGTGGCTCCTTTTAACAAGCACAAACACCCGAGGGCTGAAAGGGGTAAAGGGGGATGGATGTACGCGACAACGCGAGGTTCGTACTCACCAAGCCCGAACACATGACCCAGCTCGTGCGCGAAGTTGACGACGGGATCCATGCCGCCGTAGTCCTCGGCCAGGCTGAACTTCATCTCCTTCGAGCCCTCCTCGTCCGTGTGTCCCACGGAAGAGAAGGCGTTCTTGCCCTTCAGCAGCCGGATATGCAGCATGCCGGCCTCGGTGTCCGCGTCGGAGACCTCGCCGCAGAGCGGGTTGTCGTCGTCGGCGGGCTTGAACTCGAGGCTGGACTTGCCGTCGAGGGCGTCCTCCCACAGCTGCCAGGCGTCGTTGGCGATCTGCAGCACCTTCTTGCGGGTGTTGTCGTTGTATCTGCCGTTTAGGCACCAGGTTACCTTGCCGTCGGGCCAGGGCTCGCCGGCGGTGCTGGACCCGTCGGCTTTGATGCTGAAGGCTCGCGAGGATAGGTGGGAGGCGTCTGCTTCTGGCGCGAAGAAAAGACTGGCTAGGACTGAAGCTGATGTGAGGCAGAGGCCCAGCGCAGCGTTGTACTTCAATGACATTGTTTCAAGTGGAGGGTCGGGTCCCAAGTTCGGATGTATCAAGATCAGGTTTTGTGCTTGGCCTTTTGATGGGATGCTTATACGGGAAACCTTCTGTCTCTGGTCAAGACCTGGACGCGGTCTTATACTAAAATACCGACCCATTTTCTCCCCCATGCAGACCGAGATAGCAGTACTGACGACCTGGCCACCTGTGTATCCGTCTCTGATGTCACAATGGAGACGATGTGATGTCCCAGCGGTCGACTCCACGCAGTTTAACATCCTTCTGTTGGATTCTGGGCTACGTTAGCCCATCCATAGTCATCATTCAGGATCACCATCTCCATTTGTCACTCTGTCACATACGTGGTCAATATAAGGCCACGTATCCTTTCCTTTAGTATCTTGAATATATATAGGGCCATTCTGGCCGCTCCAGAGTAGCTGGAATTCTTCTCCTTAATAAAACACTTTGAAATCTCACACCTTCTCGGAGCGTGTTCGGGACGTCCTATAGCTGTAAGTGGAATGCGTTAAATATAGAGCCACATAATTTGCACCTTGGCGAGACTCCTTGTTTGCACCTTGTAGTAGGGTCGCACACCTGCTAGCCAGCTGCAGTCCAACTAATCTATCTGCCAGGCTAGATTCACGATCGGGTCTTGTATGGAGATGCCATGCAACTTTAGATCATTGTGTCCTTCATAGCTGGCTACGTTACCTAATTACTCAACCAAATAACCATCGAGTCCGTTTAATTGGGGAAGAGGCATCCCAGAACTGCCAGAGTAGATAGCCATCACGATCGTGTTTTGTATGTCAATGCTATTCATAGAGATCATCATCCTCAGCTTGGTGGCCGGCCCGATAACGGATGGCTGTGAAGTGGGGGACCCACCAAGGTGCAAATAAGGATTTTAGGTAAGGCGCAAATTCTGCAGGTATCCAGGATGGTAAAAACAACTATTTTTCTTGGCGCCCCACTGTTAGGGCGCAACCTCTATATCTGCACTAAAACAGGCATTTGTCTCAGTATCTGACTATCCTTGCCAAGGCACAGAATTTTTTTCGAATAAGCTGGATGGCACCCCTTCACAATAGGCCACCAAATACGCCAGTGGCCGTCCCAAAGACAACTACTGGCGGCGTGCTCAAATCCCCGGCCCCTAAAAGAACATATGGCCCGGCAACCCCAAGCAGGCTCCGCCAGGCACAGCTCGACGACATCAACAGCAGCCCGTCACAGGTCTCTGAGGCTGACTTCACCATTGTTTCCCCTCTGAAAGGAAAATCCCGAAATATTAATACTAGCAGCATCATTGATATGGAAGTACCTCAATCAAACGAAATCTCTACAGACCAAGCCATAGGAGGCGATACAGGGAACAAGGTCTCTTTCAAAATGTCAGAACCAAGTTACCAAAATACTAGCTAAAAACAAGCATCTCTATGAAGCCAAGATAACAATGTTTCAAGAGTGTGCTGCAGCAGTTAATAAGACACTTAAAAAAGTTGGAACCGAATTATACTCTCATGCCAAGGAGTTCAGCACTTTCTTCTCCAAATGCCTGAACGGGTGGATAGAAACCCGAGATCCGCCCAAAAGAAAGACCACTCCTGGCGGGATAGGGATAAGGAAGCCCACCATGACCTTCGCCCAAGCTGTCTCCTCTGGCCAACAACAGCATGCTTGTACGGTAACGAACAACCACGCGCGCTGTGATTCGGGGTGCTACGCGCTGTGGACTTCTGCTGACTGAGTATTCAGCGACTGACGACTGGTCATTCGTGAACCAAATCGCGAAAACTCGCGCCTTTTCTATCGTTCCTCGTCCTCGTCCTCATTCGTAAACGACCAGGGCTGCTAAGGAAGGCTCTCTCTGGCGAAGGGGAAGATGACTGCCACGCGCTGCAAATGACCGCTGCGAACTCCGTGGACTTGAGGGTACTGCCACGCGCCGTGTGACTCTTGGGATGAAGTGCTCGTGATGGCGACCTCTCACGCGCTCTTGAAGCCGTCTCTAGCAACGCCCTCAAGTCACTCGACGAGCGTCTTTATGCCTAATACTTGGAAGCGTAGTGGCGGGGCATACCAGACCTGACAGACTTACTGGCTTAACAGGTGTCAATATGGACGGAATGAGTGACCAGGGTGAATTTTTTTCGCTGTCCTGTTAGCCTAATTAGTCCGGTGGCGATAGCAACGCAGCTGAAACTGACTGTCAAGGTTATGACAGCCAGACCAGGTACAAATGCCAGCTGACAGACTGTCAAACACCGCGGTCTAGTAGGCCACTAACGTCAACCCATCATAACTACATACCAAGTACTAAAAAGTACTGTATCCATATCCCGTACTCGGACAGTCTTTGTTTGATCAGACCTAGCTCGCTAATTGCTAAGAAGGAAACTTCCCGAACAGACAAGCTATGCATGACGGATACAGAGATGGAAGCAGGACTGGATGGTGACGCCATGGTGCATGCTCTGTGGGAGCTTCGGGGTTTCGTGCGGTATTGTAGGTAGATGTGACAGTTTGATTGGTGGTGACTCTAGAATGATTGATGAGAGAAACTATGAAGCTAGCTAGAAGACATGGTCATGGATATAGGGGTCAATCATGTGAGGCTATCTAGCGCTTTTACCCCATAGGTATACTGGCAGCTTGTCGGGGCGAAGTCAGCTTGAACCCTTTCCCTACTAGGATCAGGGTTCAAACCGTGAATTTGACAGCAACTAGCGTCTGCCTCACCGGTTGGTCTCACCGACCGGTCGGCTGCGTGGACTTGCTAGGTATCATATCTCAAATCGTATGCATCACCCGCATGAGGGGTCGTACAATCCTCGTGCCCCCTACCCGACCAAAGACGGGTGGGATCCTGCTGGGAGCTGCATGCGCCAGCGCGCACGACATTATTGGTCTTGCATTACATGTGCCTGGACAAATTACATGGGACATTCGCTCAGGACCTCAGACGTGTTTGCATTTCCTTGACACCTTCATAAAACCATGCTGGCACCCACTTATCCCGACGTTATCGTGATGTAGCAGCCCATCATGTCTATTCGTCCTGCGACAGATCAAGCGTACTCACAAACCGTCTCGGACCTTGTTCAACAGGTACTCGATCATCATGACATCGGGAAGGTGGCCGAGGGAGGGGTTTTGCAAATTCACCTTGGGTGTATCAACAAATCGGTCTCAATAGACGTGTCTCCCCAGATCAGACCCAAGTTAAAGGTCCAAAAAGACGAATCTCGCCTTCTGGCTTCGGACCATCCCATCTCTTGGGGTAGAGGGCCTAATGAGGCAAAGAACATGGAAGCACACCGGGCCGAGTTAGAGGCCTTTCTTAAGAGCGGGTCTACTTCCGACTCTTTGACCAATGAATGCAGCTTTGTTGAAGCGGTAAGTGCGAAGAAATCCTGTCGCCTGCTTGTTCTCATTGATTGCAGCAAAGATGAAGCGGTGGTTTGCGGCAATTCGGCTTCGACGGGAGAATCAGGTAGCGAGTTAGTTGGACCTCGGCGAATGTTATTTGGGGTTACGTGATGGTTTGATGGGATTGCCTTCCGGTGCTTTCCGTATAGGAAAGGTGTCTGTTGGGTCTGGGTTTGACTTGAACCTTTAAAATTACCGCTTTAGGCATGGTGGGTTGAGCCACTGTGGCTGGTACATACGGAAGGCATTTGTTGCGAACTCTAGTGAAGCCTCTAGGGTACTGGAGGCATCCCCTGAGTGGTTAGAAAAGGGCCTTGGTTGTCGACTGGGGTGCCAAAGGCCATGCTGTCATCCACGTTGTCGTCCACGTCGTGGTCGTGGTCGTCGCCGCCGATGTTTCGCTTGGACATCTTCTCCAGATGAGAGGCCATAATCTCGGGGGTCAGTATGTCGGGGAGGGGGTACATGGTTTTCTGTCAGGGGGAGCGGATGTCAACAAGGAAGAGGAAAGAAAGCCTTACGATGTCCTGCAACGTAGGCGGCCAGTTCTCACTGGGCTGCGTGTTGTAAATATAGTATCTGTCCTCACCGTAGTGGTAGAACAGCATAAACACCTTGGTCTCGTTCTCCGTGTGGAGTTCGTGGGTCTTCTTGAAGAGAGTCTTCTCTCGCTTGCGGGCGATCTCGGGATCATCGGTCGCGTTGGACGGGGTCTTCTGGGTCATCCAGGGGTGGGTGTTGCCGAGACGTAAGCGGCTCATATTGGGAGGAAATATCTGGGACACTGTCTCAGAAAAAGAGGAATAGTCGGCTCGGGTAAGAGAATTATGCTGGGAGAAGGTGAAATGGAATGCTGGCTGCGGAACACTGGAAAAGATGGGATGGATGGCAGCTCAGGAGTAATAGCAGGCCCGGCCGACTTATTAATTAACGACTTCCACTCGAGACCATGGAACAATGGACAGTGCATATTTGGGACTTGACGCGAATGACGGGAAGCTGCTCATATAGCGATACTGCCATGAGCCGGGCAAACGAACAAGGTGCAATGGTGGAAGAGCAGTGCGAGACTTGGGAATTGTGATTGAGTGATTGCCTGATAAGGTAATCGACTGCCGAAAGAGGCAAGGCGCCAGGCTGAGCGGTTGGCAGCCGTTAGCCTCGCGGACAGTTTCATGGACTGTGCAAAAACAGAAGAGGAGGCTGGGCGAATCAGAATGAATCTGACGCGCTACGAATCTTTCCAGCGCGCTCTCCAGGAATCTTTGCGAGCGCCAGGAATCTTTGCGAGCGCCACGAATGTTTCCGAGCGCCACGAATGTTTCGGGCGGCACAACCATACCTACCTATTGTCAAAGATGCTGACCTGAGTCATGTCATGGCATGTACCTTAGTACTTCTTGATCGCGCCTTCCCCATCGTCAACTCATCCACCTGCTCCGACTCGAGACTGCCTGATTGAAATGGGTACCATGTCGCAATACAAGGTACATCGCCGGTGTGGCTGGGAAAGCAAACCTTCAGTGTGGGCAAATTAGACGGGAAGCTGCATGAACGCGTCTCCTGTTTTCCCCTCCCGTCTCTCTCTACATCTGTTTCCTCCTCCAGTCTCTGTCCCTCACACAATCGCTGTCCGATACCCTCAGTGCGACAATCATGGCTCATCACGACAATTCCAGATCGTCGCGCTCGCCCTCCAAGAGCAGCATGGCGTCCCCGGCTGCATGGCTTCCCTACACGGGTGAGCAAAGATTGGTCGCGACGAAGGCACTGCACAATCGCTATATCGAGACTCACAAGTCCCACGATTGGTTTCTCCGACTCGCCGATGCAATGAGTGTCGAGAAGGCCGATCCCCTGCAAAGCAAGATGTTTGCCAAGATGTATGTCTTCATGCGTGACTTCATGCCACAGGGCCTCACCGGCAAGTACGCACACATCCGTGGGGACGATGTCATGCGGCATTTGCTCTGCCACAACGAGCATACCGTGTCTCGCCACAAGGTGTCCAAGGCCGCAGATACGGCATGGAGGGAAATGGAGAAGTGGGTGAAGGGGGGTGCCACATGGAAGGAGGCTCTTCAGGATGCCCGGCGAGAGACGCGACACAAGAACAGGAGGACTCCCATGTGCCCTGGACTTCACAGCCCTGCCGGCCTGTTAGCCGTAATGATTATTGCTCACCCCGATCCGGATTCCAAGTTCAGGAATTGGATTGGGCAGCTGCAGATCGACTGGATGATGACGCAGCCGCGAGGCAGGCTCGACGTCCGTCACGGCTTCTGGAAGGGGATCAACGACAGCAACCTCTACACCGTTTTCTTGGCCGAGGAGGATCGCGAGGCCGATATAACTATGTTGGCTGATTATACGCGCCTATTCCAGCACTTCCTGCGTTGTCGGAAAGACATGAGACCATATCTTCCACCGTGGGCCAAGTCCATCACTTTGACCGAGGAACCTTTGGACATCGAAGACTCGGAGCCGGACGATGGCGACAACAACAACAACAACGACGACGAAAATAGCGCGGCGCACGGGATGCTGGCGGCGGCGGCGGAGCGAACAGACGAAGCCATCTGGCGAGAGGCCATCGACCTCGCCCGGGTGGCGGAGCCGAAGGACCTGCAAGAATGGCTGGGCGATGCGCTGGCCCAGGGTTCCACCGAACTCCTGTCGACGTGGTGCCATCATTGGGAGAAGAGGATGGAAAATGCCACGAGCTTCGAGGACCAGCTCGTCATCCGCTCGCTCTTCATGGAGAGCCTCCGCAGACTGAACAGTCTCTTTGCGAGCTCCTTTGCGGCCGGATACATGGTCGTGGATATGAGCGACGGGGTCAGGACAGCACGGGAAGATAACTCCGACGGCATACGGGTGGAAAAGCTGCCTGCCTACATTGTATTAAAGGCCTGCCACAGCAAGCTCACGCGCCTTGCTGAGGCCTCTCTGAGCGCGGCAGCGACCGGGGTCGTGAAGAGACTACTCAAGCAGCAGGTCGACTGTATACTGGAAGTGATGGTGTCGTCGCCCTTCTTCGACCATTGGCGGGCAGTCCTCTCGTTCCATACCATTCGCCTCCAAGTTCTCCTCCACGACCACCAGGAAGGGGCCTCTCCCGAGGGATCAGATACGAGAGAGCTTCTCTTCAACCAGCATACCATCAGCAGACTCCAGCTTACCGACTGGCAGATGCTGTCTCTGGCTCTGAGCGACCCTTCAGAAGCACTTACTGGTTGCCAACTCCGCATCTTCCGCCAGACGACCTCCGAGCTGGCGTGCGACGACGTCATCGACCTAGGCGACAACAAACCCAGGTCCATTGCCCATCAGACAATCGCACCTGTCGTACAGATGAAGCACCCAACCTTACCCAAGCTATTCGGCGGAATAGAGCCTCCTGCTCGCAACACACCACCGCTCACGCCACGCCAAGATGAATCAGCACTCGTACAGAACACGGCGAATGCCATGCACACAACGTCTTCGCGGAACACGTCGCCGAAGCGCCCAACGCTGGCGTCTGTGTGGACTACATCGCCAACGCGCCAAACGCTGCCTGGCTCGCCAGTCCTTGGGGTAGGAATGCCTCGGTCACAATCGCCGCACAAGCATTCCAACCCACTGAGCACCAACTTTCCACGCCTTCCGAGTACGCCGTCGGTCCTTGCTCCTGTCTCCTCTCCGACGAAGGAGGCAAAGAAGAGCGTCTGGGAAAATCGGTCCTTTACTGGACAGAAACGACCATGTAGCCCCGACTTGCGAGATCCGAAAAGGCGCCTCGTGAGTTTCACGCGAAACGAGCTGGCAGAAGATCTGCAGCTCTTCAAGGACGATATGAAGGCTGGGGTGGAAAGCTACAGTTCCCAGGTATCGAAGGAGTTGGACAAGATTACCCACGCCCTAGCCAAGTCGAGAGAGCGTGCGATCACAGACGACAAGGTCCGAGACCTCGTCAGAGGCGAACTTCAGATGCCCCTCGACAGGATCGAGACTGTATGCAGCTCTATCCAGGCAAGCCAAGCGGTCGTCGTCAAGGAGATCGGACAATTTTCGTCAGAGGTCGAGGAGCTCGCAAAGGTTCAATCTGGAGTGGGGGAAATGCGAGACGCCAATACCAAAGAGCTCCACGCGGTGCGATTGTATCAAGAGACGCAGCTCGAGGAGATCCAGGCCCTGCGGGACAATGTCCAGTCGCTGCAAAACTTGGCAGAAATACTTCAGACGCAACAAAACTCCCACCACAAGGATATACGCGACTTGACAGAGATGCTCCAAGCACAGAAAGATGCCCGTCTCAAGGAGTCGGAAGACTGGGCAGCAAAGCTTCGGCTACAACGCGAGGCCCAGGGCAAGCAGATGGACGATTGGGCGGAGACGCTTCGGTTGCAACATGAAGCCCAGGGCATAGAGATCAAGGGGCTGTTGGCCAAGCCAGTGCCTCAGCTCGGACAGGAGGGCTACCTCGCTCGAGAGTGTCCGGCACCGTCTGGGTGTACTCAAGAGGTCTATGTCTCGAAACTCACGCGCGCTGCTTGGCAGTTCATCTTTATCATGGGCAACCCAGATGGAGGCGTCGGCCCAGATGCGGAAGCCCTGCAGGCAACTTGTGAGCATTTCCCGGAGCTCGACGAACAGCACATCGTGAGTGCAATTGAGCATGTGCAAATGCAGACATGGGGTTATCCATTGCATGAGCCAGATGCGGACGAGGGGTCATCCATTGCTTCAAACAGACTGGGACTGATGGTACACCTGTAAGGGTAATTAGTCAAGAATGGATACAGCATTAATAGTCTGTTACGATGGAGCTTGTCTGTCGGATCATGGACGACTAGCTGTACAGATCCAGGGTCACTAGTAGCCAGCATTCGCTTCTAAACATCAATAGATCGGGATTCCTTATCATATCGCATATCAACTCTGCTGCTTCCTCCACTGCTGCTGTACAGCCCCTACACTGCGATCTAACTTGGCTGCAATCTCCTCAAGCGACGTGCCTTTCCCCACGAGCTTGGCAAGACGTTCTTGATCATGAGGAGTCCACTGACGACGTCCCGAACTGGACTGACGGCGTGAAGGAGGGCGTGGAGCAGAGCCGGTGTCGAAATCTAGAAGTGACCTCGGCCTACTGGTGTTCGAATTGAGCTTTCGCCGACGTGAGTGATTTGTGCCCAGGAACTGGCTTCTCATCATCGCCACCGTCTGTGCCATAGACTGAGCCACGGCACCGCTAAAAGCCTCAAGACATGTCTCCAACATCTCGACCATCTGGGGTGGTTGACGTGTGAGCGTCTCGCTTCCGTCATGCTTATGAACCTTGTCGTCCAGCTCGTCATCCAGGTCATCGTCCAGGTCATCTTCTGGATCATCTTCTGAATCATCTTCTGACGGTTGGAACTTCCTAGAGTCGTTCCCAGGTCCAAAGTCGTCGTCGTCATCGTCGTCGTCGTTGCTTCCTGGCTCATCGCTCTTGGACTCGTCGCTTTCTGGCTCGTCGCTGTGACTTCCAGGCTTATCGTCCTGTTCTTCACGCTCGTTATTGTCGTAATTTATATGCTCCTCTTGGTCCTCATTGACACGACCTTCATAGTCATCTCTCAACTCGTGGTCTTGTTCGTCCACATCATCACATCCGGCAGGAGTGTCGACTGACCCGTCTACGAAATCAGTGCCGGTGCCGCTTCCAAGGTTGGCTTTAGATGTGCTTAGCGCTTCGTCAACACCGCGACCCTCGTCTTGACCGTTGGATAGCCCACCAACACCAGATGTTGTCTTCGCCTCGATTCTGTGCATACGATGCAGATCACGGCAGTTGTCGCAGAAATGTGCATCGGCACACTCTTGGCATTCGTATCGAACGTCCGTCAGGCTCTCCTCGCAGAAGTAGCAGCTGTATGTGCGACCTGGCACATCCGTCTCCGGCCCCAAACCTGATCCAGAAGGACGTCCCGTCGTTGTGTTTTCTTTGGTAGGCTTCGCCGGGTCGTCTGTCGCAAGCTCGTGTGCAGAAGGACGTCCCGTCGTTGGGTTTTCTTTTGTAGGCTGCGCTAGCTCGCCTGCGACCAGTTCGGCCAGTCCGGCCAGTCGGTCGTCAGGTATAGGATCGAACGGATGGTCGGGGTCCGCAAGAGCGGCGTTGCAGACGCAATCCGGACAGAGCTGGAGCGAGCATCGACGGCATTGATAATTTATACCAGTGTGCCCACAAAGGGAACATAGATTCGTCCCGGACACGTTGTGAGACTCTCGTTGACGCTTCCGAGTCTTTCGAGTCTTTCGAGGCGGCGTTTCTCGCGCGGGGGATTCCTGGCTTCGGCGTTTCTGTCCCAATGTGTCGGCCATGCGAGTCGTTCGAGGGCTAGCGATATCGGGAAATTCGTTTCGTGTGCTTATGGGAGTAGGTGTTCGGCGGAGGTTACTGGTCGAAGACTGGGACTGGGGGGTGAGCGGCAGGGACGCATCGTTCTTTGCCTTGGGCTGGGTTTGAATCTGGGGTGTCGATGGTTGCTTTCTCCGAGGCTTTTTTTTCGCAGCGAAAGTGGTCGGATCGTAGTTTCGTTCGGTCGCAAACATCTTAGGCGTTCGTGGAGCTTTAGGAATGAAGTGCGTGTAGAAGTATGTATTAAAGGAGGTGTTGAGCTGCGTATCGGATATGGGGTTTCATTTTAACCTTGGAAGCATGTGGTGGTGGGGCTGCTGCAGTTGGTCGAATGGATTTAGCTCTGAGCCCGGTCCGCTGAGAGGTACTTCCACTGCGTGGGGGTGGTACTTGGGCAGCTGTGGCTGTGAAGCCTGCTGCGCCCAAGATTCGTCCTTGCCGGTTGCCGCAATAGGTAAGCGACTGGCTAGAAGTCGGACATAAGGATATATTAACTTATAACTTAAAACTTATAGCTTATTATAAGAAAAACAAACGCCGATTAATTTACGATTAGTAATTAAAATTAACCAAAAGGTTTTATAATATACTGCTTTAAAATGATATTAAATTATATAAATACGATATTGAAGCGAGCAAGTATGAGGGTCAAACATGTTGTTGTGTGTGGGTTGGTCCCCTAGCTAAATGGGAGGACTGCACTCATTACATGGTGGCCGCTCCCTTATCTTATCTATATAGTCGCACTCTGATTGGCCAGGGCACCCACTTACAGTGGGTCCCCCTGTTGACGTGTGTCAGATATATTATATTAAAAAGCTAAACGTATTAAAAACACTTGATTGTATAAGGATAAACGTAAGTAATTACGTCCCAGCTTAATTATAACGGTTAAAGCTTAAATATAACGCTTAAATATATTAAAAAGATATAATAATAAAAAGGTACGAAAGTAAAAAAAAAAAAACCGTATAAACTTTAATCGAAATAAATTAGTTTCAATAAACGTCGAAATTAAGACAATGCTATAATTATTATTAAACAAGCTATTTAATTAAGAACTGCTTTAAACTAACTATTAAGCCTTTAGTTAAAAAAACGAAAAACGTTTGAATTAATAATAACGTTCATAATAATAATAAGACATACTTAAATATTTTTAAAAAAATCGGATATAAAATAATATTATATAACAATTAAACGCCGAAAATAAGAGAGAAACCTAATTAAAAAAACCTTATATTTGATTGATTTCAATAAAAAACCCTTTTAAAAGATCAGAATAAGCCCTTTTTAAAGGTATAAAGTCTAATTTGATCGAAAAACCCCTAGAAAACCCCGTATTATTAAAATGAATATAAATACCGGTATATGAACTAGCATAATATATAATGTTTTAATAAAAACCCGCTTTCGATTAATAAACGTTGTTATTTTAAGCTTAATCGGCATTAATAATAACTATTTTAAATATTATAAAGTATACAAAGTTAACTTTTAGATGACCAATAATAAATTTTATATAAAAATAATTTCATAAATGGTTTGTAGTATCTAACGCGACTAAAAAAGAGTTAAATTTTAATTATGGAGTTTAATAATAAAATAAATAAATATGTTATTAAATATAATATCGTATTATTAATATTATAAAAACTTATAAAAACTCGGCTCAAAAAAGTTTACTTGTTTATTAATATTTAGCGAAATTACGTACGTAATTAACTTATTTAACATCACGTTAAAAAACAGCTACTTTTTCCGGAATTAAATAATAACCTTACGATGAAAAATATAAGAATTAAGAAACTTAATTATATAAATTATATAATATTACTGCGTATATTTTGAAAAAGAAATAAAAAGCCTAGTTTAAAAAAGTATATAATTAAATTGAATGAAGAAAAGAAGCCGTTCTTCGGCTTTATTTATTTTATATCAAATCCTTAACGTGAAATATTTAAAGGGGATTTTAAAAAAGAATAGATCTTTTAAAAAAATTATAATTTAACGCGGAAACTTCGATCTTATTGGTTTAAAAAAACCGTTAAGATTATACATGATTTATTAGACTTAGATAAATGTATCGTAACAAATAAATAGTCTTTATTACTATTATTACAAACTATAAACTAATTAAGTTCTTTTAAGTATATTTATACTAAACTTAATAATAAATAAAAACCTGCTTTTTAAACAAAATACGAACATTTTAAATATGTAGTTATATTCTTTAGCTTAACCAATATATTAAATACTTTTCAAGCTTATATAAATAAGGCCTTAATAAAGTTAATAAATTATAGTTATATAATACACTTTAATAATATCGTTATTTATTTATTAAATAACTAAGAATATATAAAATACCTCCGTGTAATTTACAAGTAGCCCAAACAATATAAACTATGCGTAAAATAAAAAACTGTAAGTTTTTTAAATAAAACTTCTAATCTTTTAATTCTATACTAAGAATCGATAATGTTGAAATAAACCAGCATTAAGTTATCGTTATTAAGGAATAAAAGTTATTTTGGTTATATCATAATATATAAGTGTTTTCAATTTTTGCGAATTTTTGTTGAAAGTTTATCGAAAAGATTTTGCAAAACCCCACGCTGATATATGACTTGTTAGAAAGTAATTAAAACGGCAGATTACATATAAGGTTTTATGTTGGATCCATGCGATTCCAGACTGCAAATCATCTATACCAGGACCCACATGTATGATAAGATAAGATAAGATAGTGGATTGAGAGGGCACTTGGCCAGACCTTCAAGTCCAGCTAGATTCCTCTCAATCCAACCATCAGCAACATCATGACCTTGACCCCATACTCGAGTATTATGATTGATCGTTCAAGCCTGTTCCAACATTTTAAAAGATTAAAAGTCGTTTATATTTGCGATTATTTTTTAATATTAAGATAATAGATTAAATATATAAATCGAAATAAATGCCTTTATAAAAGCAGTATTAAATATCCTATTGTAATTATATAAATTAATACAATACTTGGTCGAATAGTAGGCGTAAAGGTTTACCGACGTAGAAATAAAATAAGCTATAAAATGATAAGAGTTATTAATTATTATAGGTATTTACAAATATTAACAATAATATTTAAAAAGTATGAAAAACCATTGTTTAATATTAACTAATTATAAAATATTTAAACAATTAAATAATTTATTAGTGTAAAATCTTTAAAGACAGCTTGTAAGATAAGTATACTGCTTTTTTATTTATTTAATATAAAAATCTATTACTGATTAGAAACCCCGAATTTATTGAATAAATTATTTAAAAAACTAGGAAATATAATTTTAAAAAACGTTATTTTATTTTTTTAAAAGGACTTAAGCTTTTAAAAACCCTTTTAATTATAATCTTATAATTAATTCTAAAAGTATTACGCAAATAAAACAAATCAAACAATAAAAAGAGCAATTATATTAGTTAAAAATGTTTTTATATAAGTTTAACGAAGTGTTTATCACTAATTATTTAAATTATATTATTACGTGTTAATTTAAAGCCGGGTTTGAATTATATAAGAGTAAATAAAACTCGAAAAAGGCAAAAAATATCATTGCGAATATCTTACTTCCAAGCGATAAATAGCTACATAAGCGTAAATGATTGCTATTATGAAACAAATTATAATAGAAAATCGTATAGCGACTATATACGGCTTAAAATTCAAAATAAAAATGAAGTAAAATGACGTTAAAATAATAATTAATAACTAGTATATATTACAGCTAATAACCAAAGAGCGAATTAAAAAAGAAATAAGGTTTATGTTGGAACAGGCTTGAACGATCAATCATAATACTCGAGTATTGGGTAAAGGTCATGATGTTGCTGATGGTTAGATTGGGAGGTCTAACTAGACTCAAAGGTCTGGCTAAGTGACCTCACAATCCGGTATCTAATCTCTTATCTAATCAAATATGTGGGTTCGGTATAGATGGTTTGGATGTGGAATCGTATAGATCTAACAACACGAATAGTTTAAAATCGTTTATTAGTTAAATTTAACCGTATTTGTTAAAGTAAAAAGCCTTTAATTAGTTAAAAAGATATAAAAAAGTTTAAAGCCTTTAAATTTACCATTTAAAAAATGAAAACAAGTTAAAAGTAATAACACGTTATTTAAAAGATAATAATAACTAACTTATATATATAGCTAGTTTATAGCTAATAATATAGCTGGTTTTATTATTAATAACATTATATATTTAATTATTAAAAGGTAAAAACTAAGAAACGAAGGAAAATCAAGTTAAGGGATTTTAAGATACCAGTATTTAAATGTGGATTCCTACTTATAAGATGTACCCACTGATCGGGCCATCTATGCACCCGTAGGTTGGATATGGTGGATGCAACAAAAGGTGACCGTTTACACTCGCGAGCCTCATAGCAGTTGAGCATACTTCATGAGATGGAGACAGAACTCGACTTTCCCAAAGGGCAAGGTCCGGGCACCGACACCGAAAAGACTGCTCAATCCTCATCAACCGCAAACCTTCCTATTCGAGGTACCACGCGCAGAGTAGTGTTTCAAACAAGGGATTCTCGATCTAGTACTGGATCATCGAGGCAGTACAAGTACGAACCACTAAACGCCTCCCGATCTGAAATCAGGCTTCTCATGATCCAGCCGGGCTCTGATTGGCCTCTTAAGTGCAACATCCGACATACTTCAGTGAGCCCTGAAGCTCACCCAAATTACGAAACGATATCGTACGTTTGGGGCACTTCTTACTGGCGTACTCACCTGCTCCTGGATGGCGACTTGGTCGAAGTACCCGCTTCCTCAGAAGAAGCTCTTCGACAAATCAGGCTACCGGATCGAGTGCGCTGCGTTTGGATTGACGCAGTGTGTATCAACCAGACCGACCTTGAAGAGCGCAACCAACAAGTTGGCATGATGGGTATCATATACAAATCAGGGCAAGCGAATCTTGTATGCCTTGCAAAACACACCTCCCATTTCTCTCTGACGTGGCAGAAATTGCAATCAGTCCAGCAAGAGTTGAAAGATCTCTCGAATGACTTTGCCGACTTGTACAAGGTGCGTCGCGACAAGCTCGGCGCAACCACGGACAGCTATGACAGCTTGGCAACGCCCCTCGAGTCGGACCATGAGAGGACGACACTGGAGCCTTTATTTTCCCACCCGTGGTTCCAGTAGGTATGCGCACGGATGACTTGAAGCTCAGAGGCTCATGTTGTATATGCGTCTTTGGGTTGTGTAGGAAGCTGCACTGGCTCGAAACAACATTTGCCTGTATGGTAACTTGTCAGTTGACTTGCTCGACATTCTGAAGCCTGCCGTCTGGCTGCGCTACATGTCCCTATCACGATCCGCCGACCTTATAACACACCAGGGCCTGATCAACGCCGGCTTCATGTTCGACCTCGTTGACCCCCAGTATGGTCAATTCAGTCAGGGCTCGCCTTGCGAGCCTTGCGGATCTTTTGAGTGTTGGGCATGGCTTTGCAGCGACCGATCCTCGCGATCATCTGTTTGCTGTCCTTGGTATGGTGCAGGATACAGAACTATCTGACGACATCAAGGTCTTGATCAAACCTGACTATGCGAAGACCATAGCCGACGTTCTACGAGATGCTGTGCGATACGCCATTGTTGAAACCCCCCAGGCCTTGGAAAGAATCCTGGGAGGAGTCAGCCATCGGTTCGATGCTGACCTTGGAAACGAATTTTGCTCATGGGCCCCACGATTTGACCGGCCCTTCGATTGTGAACTTGATCCCCCTCCGCTAACATTCTTGCGTCATTTCAGCGCTAGTGATGGAGCAAAGTTGGACGTATCGAGCCTCGCGGTTTACAGCTCGATCCAGCCCAATGTGCTATCACTCTTTGGATTGGTGGTGGACATTGTTATCAAGGTTGGTGACGTCTTTGACGCGAGACGATGGTCTATTGACAGCGCCCAAGATGGTTCACTTGAACGAACTATCCGCGCTGCCAAGAGCATACTTTGCTCCGTCAAAGGCCTCGCAGACAGCGACACATTGATTCGCACGCTGCTGAGAAACTATGGCACGTCAGGACAAACTTCAAAGGATGGAGAGAGCACCGACGACTTTCAAGATGCGGTGAATGGGCTGGAGCTGTCTGGGACTTTGAACAAAACACAGATCGACCTGCTGTGGAACAATTGTAGGAACCTTTGCTTCTTTACAACAGCTTCCGGTCTCTGCGGACTAGCCCCACGCTTGACGCAGGAGGGCGATATCGTGGTGGTTCTCTTCGGCACAGATGTGCCTTTCAGTCTTCGGCCTATTAAAGCGGACTACCGCCTTATCGGCGCCACATACGTACACGGCATCATAAACGGCGAGGCTGTGCGAGAACATCGAGAGCTGGGCAAGCCGGACCGGCTGTTCCACATCCGATGAGGGTTGGCGACCTAGCATCGATGGCTCGAGGCCGTGCAAGGCATGCCGCAGATCTCTTCTAGCCCGCGACTTTGATCTACGGAAGCTCTCTGCCTGCCTCCTGTTGGGAACGTGACGTTTTTTGTCCACCCGTCTTCTCTGATATTTTGGTTCCAAACGTTACTTTATGAGGAAGTCAATCCTCCTGCACAACCACCACGTAGCTGGATAGATAGCTGGATGCTTTATATCGAACTTTTGCCTGTTCACAGGTGGTTTCCAGTTTCGTCAAGTCCTGTCCATAGGTATAGCCCTTATATCGGTGGGAAAGTGCGGCCATATCTGCGGCCGCTTCAACGGCTAAGATGATAGTCAAGCATAGGCGCTCTGTTGATACCCTCGGTAACTTACAGTCGGGAAGTGCGGTTTTGTTTGTCCATGTAGCAATCTAGTATCTGGGCGGCTAGGTCTTCACATGACAGCCACCGGTGCTTGACAAACCCCGACAAGTCCGCCTTCCTACCCCAATGTCACCCTTTCCAAATTCCCTTTCCGATATCAGTCTTATCACTTCCCTTCTCATCAACGCTCTGACTCAGTACAGCCTGGCCAGACACATCTACGCACTTACAACCCTTACACCAGATAGCATCATAGCACAGCGCAGCGCATCATGAAATACCATCGCGTTAATGACCGGGTCGTCAAGCTAGACAGCGGCGATGCATCATCGTCACCACCATCAGACGTAGCAGACACCCTCCTCCAGGTCCTCCAGTCAAACCCACCAGACCGCACAGACTCCCGGAAGCGCGCCCTCCCCTTCCAGCCGCGCTCCTACCGCGACTTCATGCTCTTCGAGGCGCACTACTACGGCGCAGTAGTAGGCATGACAAGCCTCTTCCGCCCATCCGCCAACATGATCGGCCGGCTATTCACCTTCATAACCGGGGTCGAATTTCCCCCCTTCAAGCCGCATACGCTGTGGTACCAGCAGCCCATCTTCTATCAGTCCAACCACCTTGGTTTTTATTCTGATGGTGCCCCGATACATTACCCCCGGTACTGTGAGTATTTGGATGTCGAGCTCGAGCTGGGCATCGTGCTGGGCAGGCCCCTTTACAACGCCTCGCCCGAGGAGGCCACCGCTGCTATTGCCGGCTTTTGCGTGTTCAACGACTTCTCGGTGCGCAATGGACAGATGGGCGAGATGGCAAGGTTAGTTACCATGACTCCACGATGAGCTGTCCTGAACTCGGGCAGCAGTGTATGGCTAACACGCCTCCTATGGTAGTGGCTTTGGCCCGCAACACAGCAAGTCGTTCGCCAACAGTATATCGTCTACGGTGGTCTCAGCAGACGAGATCCTGCCCAAGATCAACCAGCTCGTTGGTCGCATTACCATCAATGACAAGGTCGTGCAGGAGTCGAAGGTCGACAAGTGGCAGTTTTCCGTGGGAGAGGTCAGTAATTACAGCTTTGTCAAAGCACTCCCAAGGCCCATCATCTATATACTCTTTGGAGTATTTTAGGCCCCCTGAAGTCCCTCAAGGAGTGCTCATCAAGACTCTTGAATGGTTACTAACCCGCCTCTGGCACAGGCCCTCGCGCACGTGTCCAAGAGTACCCGGCTGTACCCGGGCGAGTTCTTTGGCAGCGGTACTTTTCCCACCGGCGCTGGCATCGAGTATACGGCTTTCCAGTTGCACGTTGGTGACGTGGTAACGCTAGAGATTGACGGCATTGGATCCGTGACGAACACCATCATCTCTGAGGAGTAAGAGACACCTTAGCTGGGCATGGTATGGTATGGTTTGGTTTGGGCTCCGTGAGATGTCGAGCATGCGGATTAAGCCACGAGAAGGCTGTGATGGCCGGCAGGGGTCGGTATTGTCCAAGCAGGTCTCGATTTGGCGTCATGGGATTTACCTAGCAAGGGCGTGATATAGTATGCCGTACATATTCGCCAGTCTCCTGCGCTACGCGTGTCGCGATTTCTGATACCCAAGCATCTTCAGTCTCCAACAAGTCGTGACATGGTCCTACTTGCAGAATGTAACTAGATTTGGTCTGGTAAGTGGCGAATGATGCTGGACAGCACAACGTCTGGAGATGTCTTCTGAAGACTGGGTAATGTAACTCCGTGTGGTGGCGAAGCTGTTAGTGTACCGCTGGATCATAATTGATGATCCCAAGCTGTGCGGCACACTATGTCCAGTGAAGCCTCTCGTATCCTTCCTTATACGCAAGTGAGATCACCTACCGCTACCAGGTCCAATCCCGAGCCAGCTCCAGCTGCGCAAGATGTATGCGCACCTCTTCGTCGTCGTCAAAATGCCCCAGCGGCACGACCCCCCTGCCGTCCTCCGACATCTCCCGGCTTCACGAAGTAGTACGGCCCGTCGACCTCACACCGCGCATTCTGCTCCGGCACCGTCCCGTTATACAAAAACGCCCGCACGTGCCGCGCCAGACACCGACGGCACGGCAATGGAGCAGTGGCCATACCCGCGCACCTCGACGATGCGACTCCCGCTAAACGCGGCGTTCGCCGCCTGCGCCGACGCCAGCGGACACACAGGGTCCCACGTCGTCGACAGGATGAGCAGCGGATGCGCGGTCTCGATTTTGTGTCGTTGGGGTGCGTACGTGTGCGTTTGGCGTATCGGCCACTGCTGCCGGGCGTAGAACTCGGCGTTCTCGGTTGGCGAGAACAGGCTGCGGTTCATATAGGGGACCAGCTTGTCCAGCAGGGCGGCCCGGCCCTGCATAGGGCCAGGCCAGTGCGCCGGCCCCGTGCGCCCGTCGTTGAGCGCCACGATGCGGTCCGCGTCATTAGCAACCTCGGCCCGGGCTGCGGTGGCGTGGCCGTACGTCAAAAAGGCCGCCGTCGCGTTACCCTGGAGCCACTGCGCCAGCACTTCGGCGAGCGTGTGCCAGGTCGCTGGCTTCCAGAGCTGTGGGAAGATGGCGCGGTACAGCAGTGTCTCGTAGCTCAGGAGACCATAAACAGAACTGTTAACATGAACGCTGAGGGGCTGCTCCTTGAGGCCGTCCGCGAGGCGCATGATCTTCTCGTGCAGCTCCTCCTTGGACGACGCCACGGAAGACAAGGGGCAGTTCTCGCGGCCCGCTTTTACGCACTCCTCAAGAAAACCGTCGAAGACGGTGTCCGTGTCGACCAGCGACGTGACGCCGAAGAGGTCGTTGTACCACGAGAACTGCTCCTCCACGCCGTCGACGATGACGCGCCCGACCCTCTCCGGGTACAGTCCCGCGTACGTCTGGCCCAGCAGGCTGCCGTAGCTGAACCCCCAGTAGACCAGCTCGCGCTGCCCCACGGCGTCGAGCACGCTGTTCAGGTCCGCGGCCGTCTGCGGCGTGTCGAGGTACGCGGCGTGCTCGCCCATCGTCTCGGCGCACGCCCTCACAAAATTCCGCGTCCACCCCCAGACCTCGGCGCTGTCCTCGAGCACGCGCATGAAGTCCCGCACCGGCGCCAGCAGCTCGCGCCGCGTCGCGCGGTCCGGATAGCAGGTGGCGAGCGGCCTGCTCCCGCCGACGCCGCGCGGGTCGAACGTCAGCAGGTGGAAGCCCTCACCCACGATGGTGCGCAGCAGCTCGCCGCGCCTGTGCATGTGGTCGAGGCCCGAGGCGCCGGGCCCGCCGGGGTTCAGCAACAGGTTCTGCGTGGCGTTCAGCCCGCGCTGCCGCATCAGCGGGACACTGAAGGTCTTGTTGCCCGGGCTCTCGGCGCTGAACTGGTCCATGGGCACGTCGATACTGCTGCATTCGAGGGGCCGGCCCTTGAGGTCTCCGCAGGGCTCCCAGAGGATCGTTTCGCCGGGGTAGCTGAACTGGGTGCTGGTATTGTGACACTGTTGAGAGGAGCGTTCATGTGGCGGAAGCCATGTCTGGGGGATTCTTGAATAGAGTATGGCAAGACACAGGAGCAGCCCCAAGATCGACCACCTCCAGCGCGCAGGCAGTCCCTTGCGTGGTTCGGCTAACGGACCTTCGCTCGCTCGTGGCTGTTTCTCATACATACTCTCTTCAAGTGGCTTCTTCGGCACTGCTGAACTGTTAACAAGTAGCTAATCCGCAGATGAAGGTCGTCCGTCTCGCTTACAGAGGTAGCTAGGTAGCTGATCTATCACGCAATACCGCAGAAGTTGCGGCACAGCACAACGGTACAACATCGGCTGACGCGTCCATGATGACTACTTGATTTGCCTCTTTTTATCACCAATCACCATGGTGCTGGTTGTAATGTATGGAAACATCTACAAGTTGACTAGGGCCCTAGGGTTCCTGTCTGTCTAGTCGTGACTCGTACTGTCCAGCATCATTCGCGGTGTGACCACTTACCATACCAAACTAACCATCGAAGATTGGCCCATGGTTTCGTTCACATTCCGACATTTCCGACCGGTGCTGTAGGTTCATTAGGACGATGCTTTTGATTCATACTAGGTATTTTATACTGATACAATAAGCCTTGTCGCGCCAAAGTAGCATCCAGCAGTGACCGGAATAATCCAGGTGGTGACGGTCTCGCGTCCATGATACGTCTGATAACCCGTCACCACCTCAACTCCACGACGATCCCGCTGGTTTAGAATCGCGTCAACTTGGGACTGCCCTCACATGGCGGCAGCGAAAACTTGGTCTCTACGAAGACCTTCTGCATACCATCTTCCTTTTTCTCGAACGCGTAGTAGAGCTTGTCAAGATCCTCTACACGCGCGCGATGGGATACCATCTGCAGAGGATCGAGGTCACCCTTCTTGATCCTCTCCAGAAGATCTTCCCAGTATTTGTGCACGGGAGCCTGACCGTTTCCGATGAGGCGAATACCTCTCTCCATCAAAGAGCCCACGTTGAAATGGTTGGTCTGGCGTATCATCAGTATTGTGCGGCCATCTCTTCAGAGTGCATGGGCAACTTACGTATCCAACATAGACGCCAGTGATACCACAACGCCCAAAGTTCCGGACGCTCTCTATCATTTCGTTGATAATCTCACTCGTGTCTGTCTCGGCGCCCACCATCAACTCAGCCCAATGCATCCAACCCTTTGCGTACTCGCCGGCAACGCACTGGTCCTGGTTAGCATGCCCAGCTCTTCGGGATGACTTGGGGGACGGGGTTCGGCTCACTTCAATGGCGGCGTCGGGTCCTCTTCCACCACACATCTCCTTCAGTGTGGACACAACGGTCGGCTTGTTCGTGGCGCCAAAGGATAGTTTCTTGTAATCAATGAGCTCGATCTTGTCGGCATACTGCTTAGGCCAGCGTTCCTTGACGATGGTCAAACGAGGTTCGGTGTCGACGAATATGACCTTGGAGGCGCCAGCATCGGCGGCGAAAAAGCCGGCCATGTGCCCGATGGGACCAGCACCCCAAATGGCCACCTGGTCACCAGGGTAGACAGCTGTATCGTGAACGGCGTTGTAACTCGTGGGCAGGACGTCACTGAGGTAGAGGGCCTTCTCGTCGGGTACGTCCTCGGGTATCTCCAGCAGGTTGACGTTACCAAGGGGCACGCGCACGTACTCGGCCTGGCCACCGGCGAATCCACCGGTGAAGTGAGAGTATCCAAACATGCCGGCTGTCTGTCCTCCGTACATTGCGCGCTCGGTCGTGTTCGAGTTGGTCCTCTCGCATTGCGACGAGAGCTTCTGCTTGCATTGGAAGCAGTCGCCGCAAGCAATCTGGAACGAGGCGACGTATCGCTTGCCCTTCTGTATATTCTTCACGTTCGATCCCATCTCGTCTGCGATGCCGCAGAACTCGTGGCCGAGGATGTCGCCCTTGTTCAACTGGATGATTGAACCTGTTTGTGAGGCATGTATCAGCCGAGACCTCTTGACTGCAACGGAGAACAGTGTCCTTACCATGGAGCAAGTGCAGATCGCTGCCGCAGACGGTGCTTCCTGTGACTTTGAGGATGACATCGTTCGGCTCGATGATCTTGGGCCTCGGGACGTCGCGAACCTCGACGGTATTCTTGCCCATCCAGCATAGTGCCTTCATAGTCTCGCTCGGGTCGCCGGTCTTGCTGTAGTTGGCCACGTCCTGCGCAGTGATGCTACTGCCATCGTGGCCCACGGCCTTCTCGACCAGGCTTGCTCCTTGCGACATTGCCATGGTGGACGGATGTATATGATATTGTGACTGGGAGTAGTTGGTTGACTCTCTGGTCGCACTCGCGGTTGATGGAGGAATGAGCGCACGAAGAGTTCAGGTTATTATAGACGGTGAGGTTAGACTGCTGGGACACGTCAATACGGCGTATCGAATCACTTTAACATCACAAAGAAGCAGACGACGTCCGGGTGATATATGTCAAAAGCTTCCCCGCGCTGGTGGCCGAATTGGGATGCAACTGGTGACGGTGTATGACGTTGAAATGGATCTCCGTCATGGACATGGGATTGCCCGCTCTACGTCATGACTTTTCTCGCGATCATGGACTATCCAGGGGAGCCAGACGACAAGGCCTCAGCCGTCGGCAGTTGGTATAACATGCATATCGCGATAGCATCGAGTTCGTCTGGGTATGCAACCCGTTGACAACCCAATGCGCGTTTGGAAGAGACGTAGGAGAATAAGACTTGGTCGCGTTTATATTGAATAGTAAGGTAGTGCTAACTTTAAGCTACGGTATGTCGAGGGAAATAGTATAACGGCCACCGCTTAAACGCCTAACCTTACCGGCGCCGCCACCCGCGCCTACCCGAAGTTCCGAGCCTCCTTCCCGCCAACCGTCGATCCCGCAGCTGGTTGGCAGCTGCCAGTAGTCCGTCCAAAGCATCGGCTACTGGCAGAGGCAGTTCACGGGTTTTCTTCAAGCAAATACTTTCGAGTTGGTCTGCAATATCCAGCCCGCCGGCACCTCTTCCCTGACATACGCTTTCAGCAAGCGCACTGCAATTGAACTCGATGATGTTCCTATAGATACTTGAACATAGTCTATGTACGAGAGAAGCGTTTTTAATATTGGGATATCTTGATGAACGCCTCCACAAATTCTTCATGAGTCATTACCACTGACCAGCCTTCGCCGTCGGAAACCCCACACGGCACCGGATGTCGTTCCCTAATAAAGCGCTCTATACGGGCGATTCGACGTCCCATACGTGCGCATAACAAACTCCTTAGGCCCAATATACCTCTGCGTAACGACAGCCCCGTTCCGCTCCTTCACGAGCTGCTCTTTGCTGAGGTAATGGGTCCCCGTGAGGTTGACCCTCGAGTTGAAAGACGTAGTGACGCTGACACCGAGCGATCCATTCGCCGCCGTGGCGACGGCCCACGCATAAACATTATTCTCGCAGCCCGACAGCGGCACGGCCGGGAGGAAGTACGGGCCCTGGACCAGCTGCCCGCACTGCGTCGGGGGAGACTTGGACGAGTCTGCGACGACGGTGAAATTGTAGCTGGTGGGAAGAGTTAGCTCGCAAAGCTTTCAGGTTGCCGGGAAAAGGTAGTGGGAGGGCTTGCTTACCTGCACTCGACGCTGTGTGGTATGCAGGACGCCGAGAAGTCGGTCACGTTGAAGTAGCTGGCCTGTTTCGTCTGGAACCGTTGGACGGCGGCGGCTGAGGCCGTGGCGGCGGCGACGAGGCTTCCGAGGACGGCGTTGATCTTCATGGTTGCCGAATCCAAAATGACCGGTGTTGAATACCTAGATATAAACGAATATAGTCAGATCAAGCAATTGATAGTATTATCAGGCGGCGCCGACGTGATGGTCCTGGGTGTCAAGAACCTCGCTCTTATAAAAACTAGTTCTCCGGCCTCGACAATTTCCTACCATGAGTCGGTCCTATTATTGCTTGGCACTTACTCACCGTCTTTGTTTTCCCCATATTGTCTGGCCAAATGCCATCGGATAATAAATGACGCTACATTTTGAGCCCCTCAACGATCGATCCATCTCGTATCGTCATCCCTGCCTGTGGTTTCCTATACAGTAGGCAATGACGACATGGTATGAGATTTATCAGATAAGCATCTCGTACCGGGAGCCTGGAGCGAGCGCTATGCAACATCGTTCTAGATGGTACAGTAGTGTGGAACTAGACGAAAGTTGCGAAACGGCCTTCAGTAGTTCGGAGCGATCTGTGCAGAAATGAAGCTTGATTCATGCTTATTTGGGCGCCTGGGTTCCATCACTGGCGTGTTTGATACCCACCGCCCCGGATCTGACGGAGCGCCGCAAGCTATTTCATTGATACCGATGCAGCGGCAACCACGGGTAGCCTCGTACCGGTGCCTCAAGAGGCTAGCAGTAGGCACGTATCGTCGAGTCTTCATGCCCCCATGGGGTTTCTTCGCTGAGATTCCACTGACACATACAGAAGGCGTACAGTGGTATTCACTTCCGCGAAGCTGTGTTCTTCATAGCATTTCATTACAATCTACGTAGGTTGTTTAAATAGCCAGTCGCTATTGGCATCCACCATGAAATTCGTAATGTTGAACTCATTCGCTGGCCCATTCCCGTTCGTAGCGCCCATCTCGTTGTTACCCGTCACGGTTTCTGAGCCCATCTCGTTGGTATTTGGTGGTGCTGCCGAGGCTTCATGACTGAAAGGCAGCCTCGGTACGTTAAAGAAGTCGAACACATCCAGGTACTCGAGCTCGTTCGGCGCAGGTGTACGTGCTGGGGTTACGCTAGGCATGCGGCTCGGCGCGCCGGCTAGATGACGCGGCTGGCGACCGATCAGGAAGTCGAGGTCAAATGCCGTTCTCCTCATATCAGCGAGAATCTTGACCGAAGACGGCGTGATGCGTTCTCCTGTCTGACCGAGGGCGCGCTCGCTATCGCTGTGTTCGTCGAGAACTCTCTGGAGGAGCTGGCAGTACCTCGCTGCCACGGGCCAGTGCCTGCCCATGTCGCGCAATGTGTCGACGAGGAAGGCGATCTGCGGCGCCAGCTTGTGCTCGACAGTCGAGCCGTGTACCAGCAGAAGCCGGGCAGCAACCCACAGAGTGAAGGCGAAAGGAGGTCCAAGCTTGTTCAACATGCCATTCTGTACAACAAACTCACCGAGAGCGGCGATGTTCTCGACGGCCCCATGGCAACGCTGGCTTGCGCTGAAGGAGGGCGTGAATATGGGAGAGCGGGTGGTCGGATACGCGGCAGAAGAATGCAGGCGGATGACCGCGGTGTGATAGGTAGCGTGCAGCATGACCCATCCGCTGTTCAAGGTCTTGTTGCATCCTGGTTGGAACAATTTGGCCATGTTGCCGTATTCGCCCGGGAGGCCAAACTTCCACGACGCAAGCAGGTTGTCGAGTTCTTTGTACCGCAGCTGCCACTGCTCTACATCACCAAGGGCACCGATATCCACAGGCCGCTTGAGGAACTGATGGATTTGGGAGAGTATCCCGAGGATCTCAATGTAGTACGAGAAAGCCCCCAGATTATCAGGCCTGTCCACTTCACGCTCGGTCCTATCGGGCGGATAGGCCTGCGTATGGAACCATCTCGTCTCTACCTTCTGATTCTTGATCCAAAGATCATCCCGGCAGGGCAGTGTCCTGTCAATCTCATTGTCGCTCAGGGCAAAGTCAAAAGCCGTAGCTATCGTAGCATATCTGTCCAAGAGGTATATCATCCAGAAGAGCCTCCGGCGCGACTCGTCTTCGATGAAGTCTTTCGATTCCGGAAGGATCATGGCTCTCAGCGTGTATATCGAGGCGTAGTTGGGTGAGACGGACAAGGAATTACTCTCGACGGCCAAGCCAAGCTGTACAACGGACCGCGTGATCAGGGCCATGATATTCCAACCGGGTGGCCCATTGCTGTCACCACACAGATCAAGTGCCAAGATGACCAAAGCCTGGAGGGCCTTGACGGACGAGTTTTCCAGGCCGTAGAGCAGCACTTTCTGTTTCGAGACATCATGATAGTGCCGCCTCCTCTCCTCGGTCAGTCGGCCGTCTGTTGAGTATCGCAGAGTAGTGGCGACGATGGCATGCATCAACACCTTGTCCGTCTCATCCAGCGTAGAAGGGCCGAACAGTAGGTCCAGTGTGGCTTTTCTATGCAGGATGGGGCACCAAGTGTTGATGTGCTTGAAATAGAGATCTGCCAAGGCATACAGCAGATCGTAAGGGGGGAGATCCTGATCCGAGGATATCTGGCTCTGGCTCTGGCTCTGGGCGACGGTCAAGCCGGGCGACTGCAGTGAGGATTGAGACGGTCCGTAGTACTCGTGGGTGGCGGAGTTTTGCTGGAGAGCGGGCAACTGGTTCGGGGGCGATATACCGGCGAGTGGTATCTGGGCGTGGAAGCCATCGTGCACCGAATGTATCGACGGTGTAGGCGGTGGGATACCGAACTCGATGTTCTGGGTGAAATTGGAGGGTTTCTGCAGGAACAAGGCCGTCTGTGCCTGGGGTGTCCTGATGGACTCATGTGGCCTGAAGACGGATGCAGCAGGCTCACGCGGGGTGCCATGGTCACTCGGAAGGCTCGGATTGCTATGGCGCACGCTTGGGGCGCCATTTTGATGGGGTACATGGTTGGCAAAGGAAGTTTGCAGGATCTCGGAATGGGACCTCAAGATGCCTTCGAGCTTGTCGAGCCGCTGCTCCAGCTCCCGGCCATATCCAGCCCTCAGGCCGGGCTTCTTGCGCTCACGGTATTCGCAGAGGACTGCATTTCGTCTGCACCAACCGCACGACGGCTGACCGCGGTCACACTTAACCTACCCATAGTCAGCGATGATGATGGTGATGATGAGACGGATTTTGACAGAAGAGCATCGACAGGGATGTCACCCAGTCGCACATGTGAACAAGTATTCGCGGCGGTTACAGACCTTTCTCTGCTTACATGTCTCACAGCTGTTGAACCACCTCAATTAGTCACATGGCTCCAATTGGCACAGAATCGGAATGGTCTGTCGGAGGTGGTGAGATTGGGGTTAATTGTTCGGGGTGGTGAAGGCGGGAATGGAATTAAATGAAGGACCGAACACCAGAACCAGATGACCAGATGACGAGAAAGATGGGGTGCGTCAACATTGACGGACCACGATAGGTGCGACGAGTCAGAGAGAAGGGATGACTCAGTGTCACTTACGAGACGGAGATGGGCCTCTTCCGCTTCCCACTCCGTGAAGCGCCGGGACTGTCTAGATCGTCGTCGTCGTGGTCTTCATCCCCGCTCTGCAGAGCGTTGTCGTCGCTGTCGGGCTCTGTTTTGCTGCGGTGCGGCGAACTGTGGTGCGGCGGGCCATCCTGGACCGCTGCTGCCGCTGCCTGGACGGGTTGCATTTTTGGAGAACCCGGGGCTGTGTAGGATAGGCCTCGGTGTCTATTGTCACAACATGGCGAGCGATCGACTCGGGGTAATGTTGGGTGGAAGGGGGAAGGGAGAAGGCAGGCCGTGGATCCTTTGGGGGCTTCGGAGGAATTCTCGACAATGAAAGTGTGGACAGAATCGCGGACAGAACGAAGAGAGGGAAGGAAAAGCACACAGACGCCTCATACGATGTCCCAATCAATCAGTGCTCCGTGGTACCGCCCGCGTACAACAACTTGGCTGACAGGACAGCAATACTCACCACTCTGGGCCAGCGGGACTCCCGAATACCACCAGACTCAGAGGCCGGTCAAGGTGCTGCCTCTGCTTGCTGACCTTTAGCTTTCGCTCTGCCGTACCCGACTGCAGCGCTTCTTGCACTGCAGCCAGTGACAGGCCCGGGTGAAGGAATGAAGATTGGTCCGTGTCACCCTCCGGACTTCTGGCCCCTTCCTACTCGTCGGCGGCAGTGGTGCTGGTATAATGGTGCGGGGGAGGTGGATCGCTGGAGCTTAGTTTCTTCGTATCATGTGGGCGAAGATATGGGGTGAACATGGGCGGATGTTGGGGAAGCAGGGGACGAGTATGTGCTGCACTGCGGAGATGAATCCAAGGGGGTACTTACAAGTTACAGGGGGGTTTTGCTTCGTCATCAACCCCGAGCTCGACAGCGCCTCATTCCTTATAATTATTACCAGCCTGAGGGCGATTCGAGCCCAATTGCTTCTTTTGTTCGACTGGCGAGCCCTGGTCATCTGGTGAAGACACAGGAGCTGTACCTACCTCAATGTGGGCTTCGCACTACCTGGTTCGTCTTTACATATGTGCTGTACCTCTGGGATGGAAAAGATACCTAAGACGACAATCATTAGGCGTGTTCGTCCCCTGCGATACCGCCTTTTATGGGTAAACCTTTAATACTCCTTACAGACCACCTGTTCCCTAAGCCAGACGATCTTATACCCAGAATCCTTATCGTGTTGACGATAGATCCAAGTACGAAAGGTTCCCGGATTCTTAAAGCCAATGATGCTTAGGGATATGAGCATCACCAGCAGGTGGTCCGTGAGGAGTATTAAAGGTTTGCCCATAAAAGGCGGTAAACCAAGTTCAGATCATTCTGTGTCAGGGACAATGACCCATATTGATTACTAGTAACCGCTACGTCGTCAAATCTACCTATGCCTTGCAAGTCACGTCGTCCTCTTTCGCAAATTCCCTCCCACTGCCACAATCGGGCATCGTATCGGGGTATCCAGTAGGGAATGGCATTCTAAACTTGGCCGTCGTAACATATACTCCTTCTTCTCTTCACCTACGCGGCTGTCATGTTCTTGACGCCATCAGTGAGGCGGTCCACCAGCCCTTCCTTCTCCGCCGTTGCTTGCGTTTCCTCCTCTGGCTTCGAGTCCGCGGCAGTGGCAGCGGCAGGTGGCTGTTCTGACACGGCCGCGGGCGTCAGGCCATTCGTCAGTGCCGGGTAACTCAACAGATACTCGGAGGGTATCAGCTTGGCCCTGGCCACGGGGTTCAGCGTCAGGCCGAACCCGGGCTTGTCGAGGTCCGCCGTGGTCAGGTAACCCTTGGTAGGAATGGGCTCGTCGAGGAACAGGTCGCCGAACACGGGCAGTACACTCTTCCCGTCCGGCGAGTTGGCCAGGTACTCTTGGAAGGGGCTGTTGGGCTGCGAGATCACAAAGTGGTAGCTGTACGGGCCGCTCGCGTGCGGCACCACGGGGATGTCGTACGCAGCCGCCATGGCCGACACCTTGAGCAGCTCCGTCAGGCCGCCCAGCCACATGACGTCGGGCTGGATGATGTCGAGGTTCCGGCCCTCGATCAGCTTGCGAAAGCCGTACCGCGAGTACTCGTGCTCGCCCGTCGTGAACTTGAGCGTCGGGTGGGCCCGCTTGATCTGCTCGAAGCCGTCGGTGTCGTCGGGGGACAGGCACTCCTCCCACCAGTTGATGTCGAGGTCCTCGCACTTCTTGGCGATCTCGATGGTGTACGATACGTTCAGGCTCATGTAGCAATCCACCATGATGGGGAAGTCGGGCCCTACGCTCTCGCGGTGCTTGCGGAGAAACTCGATGTTCTTCTTCAGACCCGCGTGGCCGTCTGCTGGGCAGTACGGAAGCGGCACCTTGGCACCCCAGAAGCCCATCTCCTTGGCGGCGACAGGTTCGGGACCGGTGCAGTAGAAGTCAAGTCGCTCCCTCGCCGCGCCGCCGATGAGCTTGTACACAGGCTCGTTCCTCAATTTACCCAACAGGTCCCACAATGCCAGGTCAATGACTGAGATGATGGCTATTGGCAGGCCTTTGCGGCCATAAAACATGGAGGCCCGGTACATCTGTTCGAATAGCAAGTTTGTGTTCCTGGGATCGGCCCCTATCAGGAACCTCTCAAAGTGCTTGTGGACGAGCCAACAGGCAGGCGGGCCTATAGACAAATCCATCCGTCAGCGGTTCACACGACATTGATGGCAAGAAAAGAAAAGAAAAGAAAAGGCAACGTACCACCAAAGCCCGTTGCGAAGCCTACGGTGCCGTCGCTAGCCTCGATCTCAACGAGAAAGGAGCCCAGAACGTTGATGCCCCAACTCGTCCTTGACTTCTTGTACTGGTCCCATATGGAACAGGGCGTCGAGATGTCCGTATCGATCAACCTGCAAACGTGATATGAGCCCCGAACTCGTCCTCGCCAGGGTCGAAATGTAAACATACCAGTGGCCACCCTTGACGTTGTGGTAGTCACCACCTTTTCTCGAAGTCAGCTCGATGTGTTTCCAGTCTCCAGTGAGAGGATTGTCTACGAACCCGAGCCAACACCGCCGATCACAAATGACCTGATGGCTTTGATGGTGGGGAACTGTCTCACAGAAGCCATCGTAAACACCAGCGGGCTGTCGTATATGGTAGGTTTGATGAGAGATGATGAGTCCCAGAACGGCTTGGAGAGCTCTCTTCAGCTAGACTTGAGACAATGATGAGCAGAGGAGAGAAATTCGTAACAGCACGCTAGCCACTCGACTATATAACTTGTCAAGATAACCCAGCTCTCTCGGAGAGGCTTCGAAAAAGAACAAAGTCTCGTACTCCGCGGTGGGGTAGATATGGAGCTTCGGTCATCTAACTTGACGACCACTGATGAACGGCGCTTGGTGAAAGGCCGTCTCAATGTCTTGGTGCTCGATCGGCGTCAGATGGCCCGACCTCTTGTACACCACAGACTGGCTCCAACGGGGAAGTGGAAGGTTTTAGTCTCCCCCACTCGTGGTCATGGAAGGTCGACTTGGCGAGGTGCAGTGGCTCATGGCATGGGTCTGACCGCGTCGAACGACACCACCAGGGCCGAGCTACTCCGCGACGTGGATGGAGGAGCATGATTTACATGGAGAGCGTGGAAACACAGTATTGGAGGAACGTCGTCATTCCCCCAATTCTCTGCTTACACTTTCTGCAAAGAGTCTTGTTTCACGAGCTTAGCCGGATTATGATGGCTTACATACCTACTTAGACATCTGAGCACATCCAGGCCATTGATCATCTCAGGTCGGACAGCACCACGGGGTCAAGCGAGTCAAGGTAGCAGCCGAATGATGAAACTCCCGTCGACAGTCTCTCGCGCATGACACGAAAAATCTGGGGAAGCTTAAAGTAGCAATGCCGAGAATGGCAGCTCCCAGAGAAAACCCCGAAGCCAGTTCGCTGTGAGATGCACCGAGCACCGAGCAGCGAGCACCGAGCAGCGAGGAACGAGGAGCAGATTGTGGACGCGCTTTCGGTGGGTCGACCTATAGCTTCTTGAACGGAGTCCCGATGCGATGCATATCGTGTGGTGCGTGGTGTGGTGCGTGGTGCGTGGTGCGTGGTGCGTGGTGCGTGGTGCGTGGTGCGTGGTGCGTATCGCAAGTAGTGCTGCTTTCATAGGTCTGTCTGTGTCGGTTTGAGGCCATCGTGTAACTCCAATGCCGATATAAAAAACGAGGTAACACAATAGTGAACTTGACAGTCGAAGATCACATGTCAATAACGCGCCGTGCCCCGCCAACCCCTCCCCCTATACTCCCCCTCCTTTTCAAGACACACGGATTCCTATACGACCGACCCCGGCTACCTACATACGTCCAGGCTACCTATTCCTATACGAATAGGGGCAGCTACCAAACGCCACCAGAGCCCGATATCGTGAAGTCTAGTCCGTCCAGTCCCCCCAAACCGACCATGCCAGCCACGAACCTCCTGCAGGGCAAGACAGCCATCATCACCGGCGGCACCACAGGCATCGGCCGCGCCATCGCGCTCGAGTACGTGCGCCAGGGCGCCAACGTCGTCGTAAACCACCTCGACCTTGAGCGCGACCGCCCACACCTGGACTCGCTCCTCCTCTCGGCCGCGCGCCTCCGGACCACCTCACCCGATGGCACGGCCGGCAGACTAACACACCTCGCGGGCGACGTGACAGACCCAGCAACCGGCACCGCCCTCGTCGCGCACGCCGTCGCCTTATCCGGCACCAACCGCCTCGACATCTGCGTCAGCAACGCCGGCATCTGCCAGTTCGCCGACTTCCTAACCCTAACCCCAGACCTGCTCAGCCAAACCATACGCACCAACCTCGACGGGGCCTTCTACATCGCACAAGCCGCGGCGCGACAAATGGCCCACGGCCAATCCCCGCCAGGCGGCTCCATTATCGCCGTAAGCTCCATCTCGGCGCTCGTCGGCGGCGGCGAACAAACCCACTACACGCCCACGAAAGCGGGCGTGCTATCACTGATGCAGAGCTGTGCCGTCGCGCTGGGGAAACATGGGATTCGCTGCAACGCCCTGCTGCCGGGCACAGTGCGCACGCAGCTCAACGAGGAGGACCTCGCTGACGACGCGAAGAGGCAGTACATGGAGGGCCGGATCCCGCTCGGCCGCACGGGCGTGCCGCACGACCTGGCCGGCCCGGCCGTCTTCCTCGCCTGCGATGAGCTGAGCGGCTATGTTACGGGCGCGCAGCTGCTGGTCGATGGCGGCTTGTTCGTCAATTTGCAGTAGGACAACAAGGATCCTACGTGCATTGGTTGGCGTGAATGAACCGACTGCACATGTCAACAGTCTTGCTCTGTGAGATAGCGGGGGGACCGACACAACCGCTGAACCGTACCAACTACGAAGGAGACGAGGAGAAGGTGGGTGGGGTGGGTGTGGAGGTGAAAAGGCGCGCGGGCGCTTCAGGTGGTTTACTTGCAGTATCATATACCTGATATTGCAGTCGGGATCTGGGGTGCGGCGGAGTAGCAATACACCATCGGGCAGATGGATGTATGGTAGTTAGGCCGGGTGTCACTGGGCACCCGATGGAATACTTTCCAGTATCGACCGACGGCAAGCCATGGGCAAATGCGGCTTGCTTCTGACAGACGAAAGCTGCCTGTCACATATCCCGTCACGCAGAGGCGCAAGGTCGATGGAGCATAATCCCTTATTCGATCAATAGTGGTCAGTCACTCCTCAGCAATGTGAAGATTCACGAGCAAAGAGAGCGTGACCCACGAAGCAAATCCGTGGTGAATGTGGCCGCAGAGCTTCGATTACAGACGAAGGAATCCAAAAATCGAGAATATGTCACTATTAAGCATTGATAGCAAAATTCCGGTCAAGTAAAGTGTAGTATAAGACATTTATTAATTGTATATAACCTGACATGGACGCCATCCCATGCGTTTTACTCCATCTTACTCCCCTGTGACGCACAAACAGGCTGTAATATTGCCTTGTTGTGACGGAGACAGGAAACCACCAGATACCCCCAAGACCGTGTAAATATGCCTACTGCGCCAAGCCGAAGCAACCTTTGTCTATAAGGTGCTCGATGTAGGCGTACAATGCAATTGGCGAAAGTTATGTTCGTGGTATCATAAAGCAAGTTAAAAGGTCGTAAATATCGTAAAAGGCATCCTAGGAGGCCCACATCGCCAGGGTACGCTCCTCGATAGGGCTGAAGACCCTCACCTCGCCGTCTTCAAGAGACAGCTTGGAAATTTCAGGCATCTTGGGCTTCTGCATGGGTGGAGAGGTCTGAAGCCTTCGCTTCATCTCGCGCTCGATGCCGTGGTTCACAGCGTCCAAAACGGAGTGCACCGTGGCACGGGGCTTGTATGCAGGCTCGGTGCCGTCTTGGTAGACACCCGTCTTGACAAGGATGCTGTACCAATCGTTCTCGGCCCGCTCATTGTAGTTATTGGTACCGCGAATGTCGCTCTCGGGGGTGTCGCCAACGAAGTAGACAGTCTCGGGTGGCGCATTCAGCTTGTGTGCGTTCTTGCGCCAGCGCTTGAGCAAACGGGTGGCGAACTCGAAGGTACCAATCTGGGGCTTGCCAAAGGCGAAGGTTTCGAGGGTCTTGCCCTTGGTAACCTCCTTGAAGGTGTACTCGACAATGCCACGCAAAGCGCCCATGCCGAGGCGAACGTGATCATGGGCAGCCGACCAAACAACGTCATTGTGGGAGAAGTAGATCGGGGGGCCTTCGTCGAAAGCCTCCGACCGGGTGCCGATGCGGCCGCCCTTCGACATGGCGAGATCAAGAATAATCTGTAGATCACCAGCCCAGTCGCGCGAGTCGGCGAAGACAAAGACAGCCTCGATGGCGACGTTGCTGAAGTCACGTGTCTTGGAGTTCTTGTGCTCCTCCGGAGTCAACTTGCGGAACGGGGTGGTGGCGCTATCAGTCTTGATAATGTCGCCAGGCGTTACAACATCCTTGAAGCCGTAGCTTTGGGCGACATGGCGACATTTCTCACCCTCGCCGCCAACGACCAACACGGTGTTGTGCTTGGACGCCATCTCGGACATCGGGGTGTGACCGCATATGAACTGAGCCGGCGATATCTCGACCTCAAGCTGTTTCGACAGGTCGTTGCATCGCTCTGCCTCAGACTTGCCGCCACCGTTGGTCAGGAAAATGTATGGACTGCCGGTCTGTTAGTATCATTGTGATATAGCTGACTCGAAGCGTAACTGATACTCACATCCTGATCCCATACTCATTCTCGCCGTTTAAGACCTTCATGGCCTGAATGGCTTCGGGGATGACGCGCCCGCCCCGGATAAGGACACCATCTATATCGAAAGCGAAGGCGAAGCTGTTGGCGACAATCTCGGCATCCTCAGGCGGAGTAATGGGGGAGCCGGCGACCAGCGATTTCGGGGATGACGACGAATCGCTGCCGGGGCTCAACAAAGACGGCGTCGACTCGGAATCCGGGCTGGCGTTGGAGGGAGAGTCGCCCAAGAGCAGCTTGCGAGAGAGGTCGGTCCGGGCTGTCGCGATCTCGTCGACAAAAGTGCTGGCGGCACGGTGGAACGTGGGCCGCGTGGGGGGTGCAAGAGCAGACATGATGATGGTTGGGTGGGTTGGTAATGATCGAACTCTACACGCGAGGTGAAAACAAATAGACTGGTGAAAGCGAGGTGGATGCCCCGTTAGCTAGGCTGGTGATATGGATCCGCGATGTGTCGTCGTCTTGGAGACAACTGGGGAAGAGTGTGGTGGATATGGAAGTTGGTTTTGTTGAGCTTGTCTTTTCCTCCATGGGAATTCATCTGGGGAGATGGCCAAATATATATGCGAAAGATGATGTCCGGTACGTCTGGTTGCTACAGAGAAGTGGCCCCAGGGCGCCGTTTGATGCGCCCAAACTTGCTATCACCCAGTCTACCCAGTCACCCCAAGAAGGAGTCAGGAATAAGTGGACGGGTGTGTGTGGGCGAGTGGGCGTGTGGGTGTGTGGATGTGTGTATAGAGTGGCCTGGATGCTGGCCTGGTACTGCGGGAGTATGTAGATGTGTACGTGAGCGTTACCTATCTGTGGAAGTGGACCGCGCCATGCACACGCCAAAGTATACTATCTCGACCGTTTGTGCCCGTCGAATTAGTGTGAGCAGGTCCATCATAGCCCAATTTTTAGATGGGCCAGGGCGCGAGCCCACGAAACGACAGTCGTCATGAGTACACAGCGATCAGACGAGTGCCGGCAAACCGGTTCTGTGGCTGTTCCCACTGCTGTATCTCTACAGTCCCGCAATGTAGTCGACAGCCAGTGGCCAGTCGATCTCAGCCTTGCACCGTTCTCGTTGCACGATCTGGTGCGTACGTAGGGACCGAGCATCAGGGTCCCTCCCTCAGGAGCCGGACCTCAGGGCGCTGATCCAGGGTCCTGAGTAGCACATGCTATTCACATGTTGCACATACTACGTACCAATGGGCAGGACATGGTAATGGTTGGTATACATGTTACGCGGATGCCTGCTGCCGCTGACGGCAGAGGGCCAATGGGAAAGCTCTGTCGCATCTTGGGAACGATAATCCGGCCAGAATTCGTGGACGGTCTGGGGGCTGCAACCCGACCACATCTTGGCTGTCTGTCGTCGCAAGATGCTGCATGCAGAGTACGCACCGGGGCTGTAGTAGGCTGTGATAGGAGGGACGCCGCGTACCCAAATGGGAGGTGATCGATCGATTACAGTAGGTAGTTGTCCTGCAATTTCAAGAAAGACTGCGGCGGCGCGTGTGAGTACCTCGATGCCTACATGCCTACCGCTGGTCCATAGACGACTGCAACTGCACGAATATGTAACCATGCTTGCAAAGCGGCAGAAGGAGGATGGCGTCTCCAGTTGTTGTTCTAGCCTGTCGTGAAGTTTGAACAGCCATCCGAAAACATTTGATGAAACCTGATAGACGGGCGATATAGCGCGTGTGTAATGTGTTGGTGTGGCTGGAAAAGTTAAAAAGCACGTGCAAGTAGACAAATGTGGTTCAAAGGTCAAGCGTCGACTCGCGGGACGAAGAACTTAGAAGACCTTGCAGAGAGGCTCTCGAGGCTGACGAGCCGTCGATCGAGCGTTGTGCCACGCCGATCTGACTGGGAAGTTCGATACTGCTGTGATAATGGATCTGACCTGGAGGAGTTGACGTTGCAACTTGCAAGGGTCATCAACAAAGGTCGGTCCGAGCAGCCCCCTATCGATGATCAGTCATTGTTCTTCCAGGGGCTGGACGCAAGCTTGGACTGGATGCATGTGCGCGGTCACAGCGCTTGGGCTCGGGATAGGGAGCGCGAACCCTGCGAGTCCCTGCGACCTGCGCCACGATATGGTTGGTACCTGGGAATGCGCCACGTTGACACATTGAAGTGGCAGAAACCAGGCGGCGAGCGCGTACCTCACTATCGGGTTTCGGGCCCGAATCATGTATCCTGTACCCACACACGTAGCAGCGAAGAAGAGAGATCGGAAAATAGAGAGGGCAGCCGCATGAGATCTGACGTCAAGCCTGCCGCTTTAGTATAGGAGCCCCACAGAGCCCAACTTCGGCCTTTTTATCATATTATCTCGCCTGCTGGCTGGCCGATCACCAGCACATGCATGCATCACACTGGCCAGTGGTTCGCCCCATGCCTGCTTGCCTGGGCTGCCCCTCATTCTGCTCTGCCCCCTCCTGCCTCCTCTGCCCCTCCATTCCAGCCCCCAAGTCTGAAGAGGAGGATCAATGCGACTGGATTCCCCTGGAGAACCATCGTCTGCCGTTCTGTCCTCTATCGTCTCTCGTGTCGCACCGCCCCCTGGGTCACGCTTGGCTTGTCGACGGCATGCCCCTTGCGGCATGGGCTCGAAGCAGGCAGCGGATAATAGAACATCCCCCCTTTCCAAATTCCAAGTCCCGACTTTTTTGTCTTTTTACGTATTGGGGCGAGAGATGGCATCACGCAAGGCATTGTTAGCCCGCGAAAACTGTGTAATGCGGTTGGCAGACCATCCCGCGTGCCCGGATATCTATGCGGCCAAGAGTGCCGTCTCGCCCGTGCAAGCCCACGCATGAAGGTAGTCTGGGAGCATGGGCCTTCCGAGTTAACCCTTCTTCACCCGCAAACACCGCAACCCGCACCGTACCGAGGCCCGTAAGCCCGTCTCGACGGTCCTTATCACGCTTCGGATGCATGGTGCTCCATAATGAGTCCATGTTGCCTTCCCATGTCTGCTCTTTTCTCTATCATGTCCACCATCCATGTGTGTCAGGAATGGGATGATCTGTAGGTTTGTAGTATGAGATATCGAATCGGGCATGCCTCTCATTGGAAGCCGTTAGTCGCGCTGGGTCTGATATCCCTTTCCCGGCTGCTGCCAACAAGCGGTGTGAGCCATTGACGACCAGTTCTCTCTCAAGCGCGGTTCTAGAAAAGGGCTAGATGCGATGCACGGTGACGTCCGGTCGACCGACACCCGTTTCCCGTTGTTGCCCCTCTTCCCCTACAGTAACGCTACTTATCTGTAAGCAAAGCGTTTCGTGTTCTGATCACTTCCATTGGAGCGACAGCAAAATGGGGAATATGCTGAGATAAGGCACTGCTGACTGTTGACTGCTGGATTCGCCTGCATGTGAAAGACTGCTGCTGCTCGATGACGACTGTGTCGCATATGTAGCTGCAGGGGAGTCGACGCATGGCTGCAGAACAGGGTCCCAACCCCCTTGGACGTAAGATTCGTAGCCGGCAGCATGTAGCAAAAACTACATAATTACCAATTAGATGAGTCACAAAAGAAAGACACTATGTAGAAGGACCCTGGCGCCTCCAACGGTTGCCAGGACCGTTCTTGCGTATGCGCAGATCAAGGAGACTCGGCGCTGTCATCCCATAATAAACCTAAAGTAAAAAGACTATGAACCAGGAACGCAGTTTTTCAAGAACAAGGTCGTGGCAGTTATAGGAGTATAAAATCTGATGACCAGCTTTTTCGCACGGCTGCTATACCATTAGGATACCTTCCAGGTTATGTTACCTTCAAGTTATTGGTTCTGTGCATGTGGTGTCTGCTGGCTTGCTCGCTAACATGTAAGTTTTTCCGCAGAGCCGCCACAAGCCACTTCCTGAATCACGGCAAGATCTACCTACACAATGACCTACGCACCTGGACGTCAGAAGAAAATTGTCGATGTCAAATAGTCGGTCCATGACGTGCAGCAGACACACGGGCTCCATCCGGCTGCGTCGGGGTAATGAACCTTGACGTGGTTCGAAACCCCAGATTATGCGTACATGTATCCAATGATTTATGAATCTGGGGTAAAGTGGACAATGTGGGTTGATTTGGGCGTTGTGCAGTAGGTGACTTGTGGGTGATATAGATGGATGTTGAATCATGGTGATGGCGGCGACGGCGGCATTGCTAACAAAAGGCAAGCAGACAGGCATGTTATCAGGAGGCGAGGTGTCTACTTACTGACGGACCAATGCAACCGATGCAAATACAGACATCCCGACGTTACGACTTACACAAGTGACAACGCCAGGTGCAGACATACAGATATACAGACATGCAACTGTGGCGACCATCGAAATAGAGTGCGGCTTGTCCTGTCATGGCGACAGACATCTCAAAGTTACGAGTCACACAACCTGAAGCGACAACAACAAGTGACAACACCAGGCACATACATGTATGCATGCATGAGGAATAGAGTGCGGCTTGTCCTGTCATGGCGACATAGCTACAGTCGCACAAGATAAGGCCATCCATCCATCCATCCATCAAATCTCGTGCATGTTTCCGGTTTGCAGCTGAATATACTGCCACCCCTGAATATAGAATACTCAACTAATGCAATCTCCTTTCGCAGCGACTCATGTCTAACAGGTAAATGCAGGACTGCAGGACCTTGATACTCATCATTCCCTTGCATGTTGGGGACAACAACCACATGCAAGCAAGCACCCATCCCGTCCATCAGCTGCTGATAAACCACTCCCGTCTGGGACTGGAACCAACGATCACCGCCGTTCCGGGCGATGCCGAACCCCGGCCTCGTCCCTCTGCTCTGCTATATTTGGGCCATGTCACGTACAGATAGGGGCCTGCAGGTCCCGTCGTAGTATCATCAACGGACGGCTTTATTTGCTGCTTGTCGCATGCCCGATGCGCGTGCAACAGGCAGGAAAAGAAACAAGTCAAGCGAGCTCGGTAGGTATGTATGTGTTTGCCAGAACCGTGCTATGCGCGGTCAAATCAACAACCATACCCGACCATACCTCACATACCCTGACATATCTGCCCGTGCCCACCCGTGTGCTTATCAACACCACCAACAAGACCGTTCAATGCCAACACGTTCCACTCCAGAAAGGGTGACGGGATCGATGTAGGTATGCCAGTGCCGTCGCCCGTCGGGGCGCAGAGATAGGAACCGCCACAGGGTCTCAGGGGCCCGGTCCCCGGTTGGAACATTGAAATGTCGACAAACCCACACAAGCGCCCTCACAGCCTACATGCAGGCCCTCCAGCTCATCCCGATGCCGGACAGCCTGGTAAGCACCGGGGCGGCAGAGACAATCGGAATCCTACACACATACGCCCGATGCGAGACGAGTGGGTTCTATCACTCAAATCGAGTTGCGTACATGCTGGCGACAGATCATCTTGCCATGGCATCATATCCCCCATGCGTCCCAGGCCTCATCATCAGCTTCCCTGAGTCCCTCACCCCTTGGTGGAGACATAGGCGCCCTCAGATAAGCGTCCCTGGTCTTCGTCAGACTACCTATCTGCCGTCAGCATCCGAAACGGAAAGTGAGCCTGGGATCAGAAGCAAGCATGCGTATGTGCCAGTCTGCCTGCCTGCCTGCATGCCTGCCTGTGTGTGACCTCATCCCCAGCCATATCAACATGTCTGCATGCTTGTATGGCTGGGGGTGTGCAAAAGTCGACCCACAATGTTGTAAACGAGGCCATCACGGCATTCGTATACAATGCCTACCAAAACTCCAGTGCTACGTTGAGGCACGCATTTATGAACAGAGTCTCCCACGACAACCCCCCACTAACAAGGTAATGCCGTGCCCACCGAGCACATGGGAAGGACCACCATCCACCACCCATACCCACCCCCAGACTGAAGTATGCATTCCTCACTCTCGAGATGCACATCAACGTCATAGCTTCTCGTCCCACGGCAACGGATACGTGCCCACCCAGTCCGCCACCTCGGCGCGCAGCTGCACGATCTCGGCGTCGTCCTCACCGTTGCCCAGGTAGTCAAAGTAGAACTTGAGCTTGTACTTGTCACCCTTTTCCTCCGCCACCTTGCGCGCCGCCTTGTCCACCCGCGCCGCAATCGTTACCGCCCGCCCGATGATATCGGCTACCCGGACAAAGTCGTCCGCCGAAAAGTCCCGCGTCGTCATCGCGGGCGTTCCCAGCCGCAGCCCGCCCGGCACCATGGCCGACTTGTCGCCCGGCACCGTGTTCTTGTTGCTGGCCACGCCGACAAGCTCGAGGACCCGCTCCACGCGGGCCCCATCCACGGCCTGGGGCTTCAGGTCCACGAGCACCAGGTGGTTGTCCGTCCCGCCGCTCACCAGCTTGTAGCCCAGACCGCCGTTGCTCTTGGACTCGCCCAGCCGTGTCGCCAGAGCCTGTGCGTTGGCAAGGACCTGCTCCTGGTATGCCCGGAACTCGGGCGTCTGCGTCTGCTTCAGCGCGACCGCCAGGGCCGTGATGGTGTGGTTGTGAGGACCACCCTGGTGACCCGGGAACACCGAGGCATTGATAGGGCCCTCCAGGTTGTACTTGATCTCCTCTTTTGTTTTGGGGTTGACCTTTCTCACGCCTTTTCTGAAGAAGATCATTGCGCCCCGAGGACCTCGCAGACTCTTGTGGCTCGTCGTCGTTACGATGTCGGCAAATGTAAAAGGGCTGGGAACGACCTTGGCGGCTACCAGGCCGGATATATGGGCCATGTCGGCGAGCAAGTATGCGTTGACCTTGTCACATGTTTCTCTCATCCGCTTGTAGTCGATAAACCGGCCGTAGGCACTTGTGCCGGCCACGATAATCTTGGGGCGGTAGAGTTGTGCCGTTTCCTCCAACTTGTCATAATCGATGAGACCGGTCTCCTCGTTCAGGCGGTAAGGAAAGGTCTCGAAGTACTTGGAAACGGCCGATATCTTCTTGGTCGGTGTCTGGTAACCGTGGGATAGGTGACCACCGTGTGGCAGGTCCAAACCCATGAGTCGATCGTGGGTGTCCATCAAGGCCGAGTAGACGTAGAGGTTCGCCGGCGCGCCAGACAAAGCTGGTGTTGATTTCGGTCAGCAACGAACGACACGAGCTTCGGTGTTTCGGCATAGCATGGTGGAGAGAACTCACGCTGAACATTGACTCCCCATTCCTTTTCGTCCAGGCCAAAGGCCTCGAGCGCCCGCTGCTGGCATAACCGCTCGGCCTGGTCAATGAACTCATTGCCTGCGTAGTACCTTGCGCCCGGATAGCCTTCCGAGTACTTGTCTGCATCACGGGATCAGTATTGATCATGGCGTACCGCATTGGGGTGGCGGTCTTGTCTCGTACTTTGCATTACACTCCCTAGCGCATCCAGCACAGCTTGCGACGTGAAGTTCTCGGAGGGGATTAGGTTGATGAAGTGCTTTTGTCGGTTTTTCTCCTGTCGCGTCTGGTAAGCATCGTTCGGCATGGGCAAGTGTAGGCCAATGGGCTCAATTGTATACCTTCTCAATAATGTCGAACACGGCCGGGTCGGCATGCTGGAGATGGGCCGACAGCAGCTGTATGTCTCAATCAGCATCGTCATGGTACCACGCTACCGGCAGGCGAAGCAGTCCCTCCTACCTTTTGTTGGCCGTCCAAAGCGGCAGAGGACTGGGCTCTTCTAGCACCGTACTGTATTGCCGATGGGCATCTCGAAATGGATCGGAGAGCACGCGAGGCGCCTCGGAAAGCGGGAAGGGACATGACGACCTATACCACCTGTTGAAGAGGCAAACGGGGTTAGCTGCGCACAGGCGATGGGGTGGAAGATGTCAGTGGTCGCCGCATACCTGGGATGACTCGACTATTCTGCCATGCTTGTTCTCGGAAAATGTAGCTGTGAAGTTATCGTCAACTTCTTCCTGCGAAGTCGGCTTTGTTGAAGACGGTGGTAGTAATATCGTCACCACTCATACGATTGGATCATGTTATCGTGGATAGCTCCGCCACCGGTAGAAACGTCCTGCGAGCCGAGTGCCCAGCCTTCCAATAGGAACAGCACTAGGCAACCCCTCCGTCTCGCCCGAAGCCCGTGGCCCGGCATCCCTATCTTGCCCCGAAGGCGGGGATATCTGATTGTGCACGTGACCCAGTTGTTTCTACCTTACACGGGACAGTTCATGTTTGAAGCTATTGTCTAGTTCGAGCTCAAGATGCGTGTGGGTGTAAGTGAATAGGGGCAGACTGACTTGCAGGGACGCTCGTGGATGCGCACAGAGTACCATCTCATGGTTCTCAATCACAGGTTCCATTTCAAGATAGAGAAACTTTCACCAATGGTCACAACACGAGAAGTCCGGACTTTGATCTCATCTTCAGCCAAGTTCGAAACTCATGAAAATACTTCGCGTACGTTCAAACTGTGCATCGTACCAGTACTACCAGAATTTTACACAACATATCGAATGCCTCTCCGGTGCGACATCTGCCCGTAACTGACCGCCTCAGCACCCCTACTTTCATGATCATCTCGCGCGTCTCTGAGCTCGTGTCACACTTCAGCACTGCAGTGTCTTCACATTGCGCGGACAACAGGCCCGAGTAAATTTCTGGCACATTCAATTCGGTGAGAGGTTTTCCTGCCCTGCAAGCTGACTCAATCAAAGCCATGGGCATCGAGCTGATCCGCAAACCCACGCTGGAAAAGGGTACCGGTGATCTAGATCTTAAGGCAATGTATAGCCTCCATCAATGATCATGTCCGCTCCTGGTCCTTGACGTCAGCCATGTCGCATCTTATAAGTATTGGGGGCGAATATGACCTACCCGTCATGTAAGAGCTGGCGTCACTGGCAAGGAACACATAAGCACCCTTGAGCTCAGGTGTCTTGCAGAGCCTACGGCCTGGGATCATGGAGAACCATTGCTTCCTCCACTCCTCAGGGTGAACGGTGAGCACTGTGGCAGTCGTCAGTACGTTACAGTAGTCTCCCCAAGCCAGCGAGACTTACTCTCAGTGTCAATGAAGCCCTAGAGTTCAGTGCGAGTCAGTACCGGTCGTATTATGGACATTCCAAGTGCCGACGTCCAGCATTCGGATGTGCCTTGGCGAGCCAGGCTTGGTGCATGGGTGTGAGACTTACTGGCGAGACGCAGTTCACCCGCATGAAATCCACCCATTCGACTGATAGTGACTTGGACAGATGTACCAGCGCGGCCTTACTGGCGTTGTAGGCAGCCTGCTTCTGAGGGATGTTGACGAGCGTGGCCGAGACCGACGCGGTGAAGATGAGGGACGCACGGTGCGGCGTGCCCTCGCCCCCGGCCTTCCACTGTCGCTCGAAGACGCGAGCTGCGGCCTGTGCTGTCCAGAAGGCGCCGTTAACGTTCACGTCGAACATCTCGCGGAACTTGTCTTCGGGGTAATCCTGAGCCGGTATGTGATCGGCAATTCCAGCGTTGGCCACGACGATGTCGAGGCGTCCACCGCCAACCTCTTTGGCTACGGCCTCGACGGTGGCCTCTACCTCTTCACGCTTCCGCACATTGCACCGGTAGGCCTTGACTGAGCGGCCCCCGTTCGCCGCGGACATATCCGAGGCTATCTTTTCGGCGTCGCCGGCGGCCGTACTCGTGTACGTGATGGCGACATTGGCGCCGGCCTCGCAGAGGCCCCGTGCCACTTCCAGTCCGATGCCTCGACAGCCTCCTGTCACCAGTGCTGTCTTGCCGCGGAGGTCAAAGTGTGAGAGCACTGGCGCCTCGGGACTTGGATGGGGAGCAAGGACCATGTTGAGAATCGATTACGTGATAAGGACTCTGGAAACGACAAAAAAATGTACCGGTATGATGAGCTGTGAGGTCTTTTTCGTGGCAGTTTATCGTTCGGATCGGATCAGCAGATTGCAGTCCAGGGTATGGGAAGCTGACTGGGCTTGGAGTTATACCAGTTGATATTGGATATGATGATTCAGGATATGACGATTCAGCAGGACCTCACGATTATTGGAGCTCCAAACGCGCGCGGGGCCTTCCCCATGGGACCCAGCAACTAGCGTAAGGGTGCTCGTGACGGGCCCGATGGCCGTGAGGGGATCGCGGACGTCTGTCAACCTTGACCCACCACCACGCATCCGGAGTCCGACTCTAGGGTCCAATATTCCACACAGCTGCTCGTAACGACCGAGACTCGCCAAGCCATCCAGAGGCTGCGACGGTGGGACGTAGGCCACCTGATACCTGCGCCCACCGTCCTACGGGATGCTCTGGGCAGGTGGAGATTTGCCAACGATGCACCAGTCACGTCATCTTACGGCAGGGCACGCCCCGAGGCGCGATCTCTTGTCGTCCGCCAACAACCAGAGGCACGGGAATAGCAAGACATCACTGAGAGATGGCCTTCGAGCCTCGTGACCAGTATAGGACTGTCGCAGATTCAACGATCAATCTTCCCTTTCCAGAAGCTCTCCCCCATGCAGCTAAGCAGGCCTGGACCGAGACCAGAGGCCGATTACACGAAAGGCTTCTGCATTTTCTACGGTGTGAATTGCTTATTCTAGGGTGCTAATCCAGACACGATATTACTATTGTAGAATCTCAAATAGGCGCGCGTATGGCAGACTTATGAGGGGTGGTTATATGTACCGTTGTGAATGAATGAGTACCCAGGCAAGGAAATGCAGGATACTAAAGCGCTCACCCTGTCTTCAACGCTATCTACATGGTTCTCCGACCCGGAGCATCTTGGACGTCTATTGTACACCTTGAATGACGACTTTCAGTGTATCTTCCGCGCCCTTCTTGACGAGCTCAAAAGCCTCCAGTGCCTGCTCAAACTTGAAACGGTGGGTGATCAGAGCCCCGGGGTTGATCTTGCCAGAGGCGACCAGGTCGACGGCTTTGGGATAGCAACCAGTCGTGTACCGGATGGATCCTTTGATTGTCAGGGCTCTGATGCAGGCCGTGGTGATCGGGAAGACGACGTTCTGTTTTGAAATGTCAGCTCGCTATGATCATCTGTCTTCGAATGGTAGGGACTGGTCTGGCCCGGGATCGTTGTCGTACGTACCTCTTTGCCCATACCCGCCTGCACGAACATGCCTCCCTTCTTTGCCGCGAACACTCCAGCCTGGATACACGGCTCGGCACCAGTACATTCCAGCACGATATCCGCACCGCCCTCAAGGCCGTACTTTGCCACTATTTTCTCGGCCATGGCACGAGATGCGTCCATCGGGTCGCCTCCGGAGGTTGCTGAAGGTTCTACGACGTACACGTCATCCGCAGCAAATGATTTGGCGAACGTGGCGCGAGCTTGCGAGATATCCACGCCGATGACTTTCTTCGCCCCGTAAGCTTTGGCGACAGCCTGACACAGTGCCCCGATGGGACCGCATCCAAAGACCAGCACCGTCTGTCCGGCCCGCAGGTCGGCGACCGTGGCGATCTGGACGGCTACAGCTACCGGCTCAACGAGCGCTCCGTCCTCCGCACTCATGTGTGAAGGGATCGGATAGCAGTAGTCGCTAGCGACCACGTAGTACTTCTGGAGAGTGCCATCCCACGGTGGTGTGGCTGCAAAGATGGTGTCTTCGCACAGGTTATACGCCCCGGAGCGGCAGAAATCGCAGCTGTAGGCGGGTGAGCAGGGTTCAAAGGAGGACCGACGGGCTTCCTGCCTTCCCCTTTGGAGGCGGAGGCGAAGAAAAGGCGAATACACGGAAAAATTGGAAGAGGATGAGAGACAGGAGATACTCACTGTCTACAGGGCACACCTGGCTCGATGGCCACGCGGTCGCCAACCTTGACATTCTTGACCTTGCTGCCGACTTCAACCACGGTTCCTGCGCTCTCGTGACCCAGGACGATGGGACTGTTGAGGATGAAGTCCCCAATGCGCCCCCTTTGCCAGTAGTGAACATCACTTCCACAGATGCCAGTCTGCTCGATATGCACTCTTACGTGATGTTCATCCCTGAGCTTCGGGATCTCGCGCTGCTCGAATGATGTGCTCTTGATGGACTGGAGCACGAAGGCAGGATTCTATTCAAGTCAGAGAGCGCTCTTATCCAGATGTTAACTGTTCAACTCACGTTGTCAGCCATCTTGTAGTAGGTAGTTGAAAAAGAAGGAAATTTCTTGAGTTGAACTTCGTATCGATGAAAAGTATAGACAGTCGTTTCAAGCGACACTGCAGCTAGGAAATGTAATGTCAGATGAATGTGTGAACTCCTGAAAGGGGGTGCGGCGAACAGAGGTGATATTGCGTTACGGCAACGGGCGAACGAGCCACCCCTTCCTGACCTGTAGGACCGCCCGGGGCCGGCTGTTTCCCCCCTCGGTCGCCCAGTCGTGCGGTGTCTATCCGATGGAGCGGGGATGGCCTCCAAACGGTTGTTACATAGGTACAACTGTACACAACCCGTATTGTCGATTCGGTGCGGTACTAATGCCTGGTGCTGGTGCATAAGGTACAGTATCACCGTGTGGGTGGAGACAGGCCGGTCGACAGAAGTCCGAGTCCAAGACCGGCTGACCTGGTGAGACACAAGTTTGTCCAGCATCCCGTCTCAGAGGTCGCCTGCGCACTGGTACGATGGTATATAGGAGCGCTTCAGAAAAGAAAGGTGTGTCATGCATCTACATAGGCACGCAACCTTTCCGCGGCGGTTCAAGCACAGCAAAACATGGACGGCACCTACCGAGACCTCGCCCGGCGTGTTGTCGCCCTCCACAGACAAAAGCATGACACAGCCCACTCTGCCCCAGCTAGGGTACTCATCGCATTATCCGGACCCCCGGGATCCGGCAAGACCACAATCGCGACCGAAGTCATCAGAGCGCTGAACGAGTTGTCCGAGCCCCCAATCAAGGCCGTCGCCGTCTCGATCGACGGGTTCCACCTACCCCTGGCTACTCTCCGGGCCCTTCCCAACGCCACGGAATGCCTGGCCCGACGCGGAGCGCCGTGGACCTTCGACGGTGAGGCTGCGGCGCGTCTGGTCCGGACCCTACGATCGAGTTACGGGGTCGCATCTGCGGCCGTGCCAACCTTTGACCACGCCGTCAAGAACCCGGTTGCCGATGGACTTATCATTGGTCTGGATGTCGACGTCTGCATACTCGAGGGAAACTACCTCCTGTGCGACGAGGAACCATGGGCGGACATTGCGGGCAACGTAGACGAGCGCTGGCTCGTCCGGGTGGACGAAGAGATAGCTAGGCAACGGGTGGCCGCTAGACATCTGAGGGCAACGATCGAGCCCACGATGGAGGCGGCACTTGCACGCGCAGACTACAATGATATCCCGAATGGGCGATACGTGATGCAGCATAGCCTAGGGAGGCAAGATGTGCTGGTCGAGAGTGTGGAGGAGGGTTAGATACTCTCGTCTCAGTAAGAGGACCTCGCCAGCCCTAAGGTGTGTGTGTGGCTGAAGGGAAGAGTGGCTGGCAGATCTAGCACTGTCCGTGTCATGTGGCTGGGTGTATCTATCAATGAATTAAGGGGCACCGGTGTGCTGTTCCCGACACCTGTGACCTGTCGACTATCTACTCATACATTTCTATGGTGTCTTCCTTGTGATTTCCAGCGGCCCTTTCAGAAGGCTTCCGCCTCGAAGAGAAGGTCGGGGGTCATGGTTGGGGTCTGACCTGTCCGCTCACATGCTTTACCCCAGGAAGGAGCGGCTCTTCCTTTGAACTTTCGAAAGTGACCCATCCAGGGAAATCATCCAACCAACGCATGGTCTGATATCGTCTGACCACCGGAGCAGATGAGCCGCCATAGCCTCGACCCTCCGCCTTCAGAGCAGTCTGGGCCAGGCACCAAAGTAGTGACAGACCTGTGGTGTTTCGTCTAGGGTCACAGGAGTCCGTCACCGTCCAGTGTCAACATGCTTCCAGTATACCAGGGTGACATGGAGAGCGAAGTGGAGTCTCGTCGACCGCATCGCAGTTCCTCATACTGCTCAATTGCCATTGAGTATATTTGAACTGGACATGGACATGTCGTGAGGCTTCAGATCATCAAATTTCAACAGACACTTCCCAACAACAGAACAGCTAACTTGTCAAAATCACACTTCGTTCTCATCATGTCGGCCAACCAACAATCAATCAGAAACCCCGACCCACCCGTACAGGACAGTGTCTTCAAGCAATTTCGCCTCGATGGCCGGACTGTGATTATTACAGGGGGTGCTGGTGGAATTGGCTACGAAGTGGCAAGAGGCCTGGCCGAGGCCGGTGCCAATGTCCGTCATCATATTCCCTACCAGTCGCAGGCCCACGCTGACAACACCATAGCTCGCACTATGGTACCACTCTTCGACACAGGCAGATCAACTGGCAGGCAAGATAGCGAAAGACTTTGGTGTCAAAGTTGCAACGTACAAAGTTGACGTGTCCGACTACAGCGCTGTCGAAGCTGCAGTGTCCAAGACGGTCCAAGACTTCGGCCGCCTTGATGTCATGATTGCCAATGCCGGAATACCTAGCAAGGCCGGCGGCTTGGATGACCGTCTGGAGGACTGGACCAAGGTGCGAGCCATTGACTTTGACGGGGCGTATTACTGTCTCCGTGCGGCCGGCCTGGTTTTCCGCAAACAGGGCCATGGTGTTGGCATAGCCACTGCATCGATGAGCGGCCACGCAGCCAACGTTCCCCAGGAGCAGACATGTTACAACGCCTGCAAAGCTGGCGTGGTGAGTCCTTCCGTACTCTTGCGCGCAATCTTGCAGCAAACTAACGAGAAACTATCACCCTAGATCCATCTCGCCAAGTCACTCTCGGTTGAGTGGGCGAAATGGGGAGGCAGGGTAAACTCAGTCTCTCCTGGGTACATCAACACGGCAATCTCAGGCGACTGCCCGTTCGAGATGAAGGAGGCATGGTTTGGTCTTACCCCTATGAAGCGGGACGCGGATCCGCGGGAACTCAAGGGGATATACCTGTACCTAGCCAGTGATGCCAGTTCCTACACCACCGGAGCAGACTTCGTAATCGATGGTGGCTACACAGCGAGGTAGACAGGATATGTTCGTACCTCACCAAAGGTCGGGTTGAGGAAGTCACTGTAGTTGCACAACCATGATTTCTCCTGACTTACGATATGCGACCTTGTGACCCTCGGATGACGACTCGACCCGTCTGCAGCTTGTCAGACTGGCGCGTGGAAGACAGCGCACACTGAGACCTTATCAGTGCACGCCAGAGAACCTGCGAACGCCGGTCAGTCATTTCCAGACTGCGACTCCCTCGCACAGTCATTTCTATACCACTCGAAGACCAAGCTACACTGAACTTTCACAAGTATCCGAGCCAGTCCCACCTAACCTAAGATATTCTCGAAGGCATCTGAACGACGTGTCCGGAATAAGCACCGTAGTATGAGCAAAGAAAACATCACTCAGCTTCAACATTGCTTATTCCAGTGTGCTTATTATTCCAGATGCGTCGTTCTTTTGATACTTTCGGACCATATCCTCCTACGGAGACCTTTAAGGGGTCTGAGGGTGGGTTCTAACCTCTTTGTCGAAGGACGTGTGAGAAAGACCAGCTCGGGTATTATTACGAGTCTTGCTATTTGCACCTTGTCTCCACCCCATCTCCCCAGGCAGTTAGCAGATCGAGGTTGTTGGTGTAGCTGTCGGTGCAGTTATCGGTAATTATCGGTACAGTTGTTGGTGTAATTGTGCTGAGATAGGGGGCTGTATTGCAGCTGGCTGACAGTTAAGGTGTAGAGACAAGGTGCAAATAAAGAGTTTGAACAAGGTGCAAATAGCAGAACTAATTATTACTGCGCTTGTTGAACCTCGAGACATAACAATAGAGCCAACCCATTGACGTTCGGTTTCTGGGGCAAGCTTTGCCGGAGAGTATCGTGGCCACAGGTGATCGACTTTTGTTACATTCGTCTTTACACGTCTGCGAACCTCATCCGCTTTTCCAAACGCGACATACGCCACAAGTAAACACGGAGTTGATACAGCCGCATGTACTGTTGTGAATACCCCCAAGTTCGTTCTAAAGACGCTCTGGAGCCGTCCATGAGTTGACCAAACCCAGGAACCCGGGACCCTTCCACGAGCCATTCGCGTGGCACGTTGCACCACACATGGCGCTTGAAGCTTGCCCAAGGTCCCGAACTAGAACTAGATACCTATGCTCCGTAAAGAGAACAACGGGTTTTGATTTCCACGAGCCCACTTCAAGATGCAAATCTAACACCAGTCGACGGAGGCGAGTAACAAACAAGCCTCTTTTACCATGACATCAAGCTATCCACAATACAACTGGAGTCCAATGGGGTCAAGCTCCTGCCATTTTGCTATACAGCGCGGCGGCATTTCCGGGGCGTACGTCGTCGAACGATAGAATCCGGATGAGCTAGTCCGAGGTTGACTGTCACCCGCCAGCGGCGCAGTTGGGTGACTGTCGTCCGTAGTCCAGACTAAGCACTAAGCCTAGTATCAAGGCCCACCACGTCGGCTCATCGCCCGCGAGTCATGAGACCAAATGTCATGAGACCAACACGACCGGAGGACACGGAGGTTTGAACGTGCGATGTTGTCGTAACCACCAGCTTCTGGTACCGTGGCCTCGTTGCTCCTTACTAGTTTACAGCCCCCTCCTGGCTCGACGGGTGATGCTGGCATGTTTCTGGATTCCGGGGTCGGCGGGTTCCTGTGACCACTTAGTATGAATTTCTCGAGTGTACAAAAACTGGTAAGCTCTAGCATTGGCTACCTGGAAACGTGGCCATGACCCAAGTTGTAGTTACAAGGTTTGTTCGCGGAGATAGCCCCGAAAAAGAATAATAAGTCACCCGAGAGGGTGGATGTCCCTGGCTTGGCCCGACTAGTGGCCCCCATGGGGATGGGGTGATCGGCCCACTGTCTGTCTCCGATGGTAACAAGAAATCTGGGGTAGGCATGGCATGTCCATGCTGGACGCGTACGACTACGTATCCACGTCTATATATGTCATGTCCGTCGTTCTTGCGGCGGCTTCGAAGTACGACCCTGAGAGTATCTTGAGACGTGAGTAGAGTCACGCTTGCCAAGTCACCCGTCCCAGTTGTCGAGCTACCTCCTTTTTAATAAGAGGACTCCTTCTTTTTCTCCGTCTTCGTCTTCTTCGCAGCGCCGGTCCATCAACAACTGATCACACTAATCATGAAAGACGCTGAGATTGTCGGAGCGTCGCTGGCTGAGGTGCTCCCTCACACAGGGAAATATTGGTTTCAGCAGTCCCATCTCCTCCGCCTGAACCTGATTCTCCTCATACCCCTATTGTCGTCGTCGGTCTCGGGCTACGATGGTGAGTTTCAGGTCGTCGTGGACGCAATAGGTCTTTTTTGCTAAATCTGGTGCAGGATCCTTGATGAATGGCTTACAGTCTCTTGAGACATGGCGTGAATACTTTGGACACCCCGAAGGTGCGATGCTTGGGCTCGTCAATGCCGCCCAGTCGATCGGTTCCGTCGCTTCGATCCCCTTTATCGGCAACCTAGCCGATCGATATGGCCGAAAGCCTGTGCTGTTGGCCGGGATCATCATGATCATTGTTGCAACAGTCATCCAGGCCTCGTCGTTCAGCTTCGCCCAGTTTGTCGTCTCCCGTTTTCTCGTCGGGTTTGGTGGCATGTTCGTGGTGCAGCCAAGCCCGATGCTCATCGCAGAGCTGGCGTATCCCACACACCGAGGAAAATACACAAGCGCTTTCTGGACCATGTACTACCTTGGTGAGCCATCTCTGCCGGAAGTGAAGCTGTCGCTGGCACCGCTAACGCTGGACACACAGGTGCTATCCTTGCTTCGTGGACGACTTTCGGCACGCAGACATATACAAGTAATTGGTCTTGGAGGATCCCCTCTATCATCCAAGCCGCTCTCCCCTGTGTGCAGCTGGCATTCATCTGGGCCGTGCCGGAAAGCCCTCGATGGTTGATTGCCCACGGTAGAACCCCCGAAGCCGCGGCGATACTTTCGAAATATCACTCCGGGCAGACAGCCCCCGAAGAGGGCTTCTCACCACTGGTCACCCGAGAGCTGTCGGAAATAGTCCATGCCATAGAGCTCGAGAATATGAAAGAGTCGGTCGGCTGGAAGGCCCTGATCTCTTCGCCTGGCAATCGAAAGCGGACACTCATCGCGGTGCTCATTGGAGCCATGGCGCAGTGGAATGGGATCGGTATCGTCAGCTACTACCTGACCCTAGTACTGAACACGATCGGGATTACGGCAACCCACACCCAGACCCTCATCAACGGCCTGCTCCAGGTGTTCAACTTCATCGCTTCTGTAGCAGCGGCGTTCCTGGTGGACCGTCTGGGTCGGCGCACCCTTTTTCTCTGGAGCAGTGCCGGCATGCTCGTATCCTACGTCGTGTGGACAGCCTGTTCAGCGCTCGTGTCCGAAAACGGCAACAATGCGGCGGGAATTGTCGTGGTCGTGTGCCTCTTCATCTACTACTTCCATTATGACATCGCCTGGACTCCGCTCCTTTTCGGATATACGACCGAGATCTTCCCCTACTCCCTCCGTTCCAAGGGTATCGCGCTCGAACTGCTGTCTATCTACAGTTCTCTGATTGTGGCGGCCTTCTGCAATCCTATCGGCATGGAGAATCTGGGCTGGAAGTACTACATAGTCTACTGTTGCCTCCTCGTTGTGTTCTTGTTCATCGTCTTCTTCCTATTTCCGGAGACCAAGGGACATAGTTTGGAGGAAATCGCGGCTCTCTTTGACGGGGATGATGCCAGGATATCGGACGACGCGAGGGACGATAAAGGCGTGGTGCTCAAGGCCAGCGGTGTAGGCGGCACGGCCGACCACACCGAGAGCGCGTAAGCTGGATGACTTGCGGTTTTGGTCGCAATGCAGGTTTCTTGTTTCTTGTTTCTTTCCACCACAGTCACAACTCAGGTTGTACCAATGCCCTATCCAGAGCAAAGAAAATCGTCTTTAATCGTATTTTGTCCCTGAATGTCCAAGACGAAGCCGGCTTCCACCACTGGCAGGTGGAGTTGTAGAAGTAGTAGTATCCACCCCAGACACCATTCCCCATTCCCCAAGAGAGATGGGCCCATTTGTCTTGTTGTCCAAGTGGTGGTGAGACGCCATTTTAGGAGCATCCACTATGGCGGAGAAGCTACATCACCATCCTGCAATTGTCGGTTTGGCAATGTGTACTTTTGGCAGTCTTCTGGCCCTTTTTCTTCAACACTGGTACATGTCTTGAGTTTCGTAGCGGTCTGTAGCCCAGGTACCGAACTAATGACCCACGATACCATCCCCCTCTTCCAAGGTTCGCTCTCCACGCCCAAGACCAGACTACCCCGAATCTCCAATCTCGGAAACACCAGTCACCAGATCGAGCTCAGTTCTCAACCAGATGGTCAATCGACCGCCAGTCAATCCAGAATGTCCTTTGCTCGCCCCCTAAACCGTCCATACCCGTCCCGTCAGCTCGTGCTTCCCCGTTCGACGACCAGCCATGACCGAGGCCGAAGCGCACCAAGACGCGGCGAGACTATCGTGCAAGGAGTGTTATAGACGAAAGGCCCGCTGCGACAAGGTCGTGCCAACGTGTGGTCCTTGTGTGAGGTATCGCCGACACTGCCTCTACGAGAAGCACTCGCGTACTCCACTGACGCGTAAGCACTTGACCGAGGTCGAGGAGAAACTCGAGCGAGCCGAAGCAGTCATCAGAAGGCTGAGGCAGAACGACGGTTCGAGCACGCGATATCCTGCCAACGTCGAATCACACCAGACTGGCTCGAGCGAGGATTCGTCACATCAGACCTTCGAGGCTCGAGAAGCCCTACGCGGAAGCATACGTCCCCAGACACCGACATCAACAAGCACGTCGAGTGCTGGTATAATTCCACCGGCCCAGAACCCTGCCGAGGATGATGAACCAAGGCAGAGCCGTCTCGGAGCCCAGATATCGCTGCTACCTGGCAGTGTGGCCAGTGCATTCGCCGCCCCAGAGTCGAGCACCTCCAAAGCCACAGCAGGCTTGCTGGAAACACCGCCGCAGGATGACTTTGAATGGAATGAACTCGGGACGGTCAACTCTCCTACCCCTGGAACGGACGCGGTACGCGATGGCGAAGACGAGGGGCAGATAAAGGATGGGATGGCGTCCCTTTCGGTCAAGGAGAGCGAAGCTGGCTATCTTGGGGTCGCATCCGGGGCCGCGCTGCTCCGTATGCTTGAGCCGGATGCCGGGCGGGAACCCGTACGACAGAGGCTACTGTCTCCGCCGCTGCCTTCGGTCCTAGCTCAGCCAGACGTCAACCGCCATATTGCCGATACCATGATCGACTCTTACTTCTCCAGTTTCCATCTGAGCTATCCCATCTTGCATGAACCGACGTTCCGAGCCCAATATTCTGAAGTCATCCCCCAGCCTCATGGGCGGAGCTGGACAATCCTTGCCTACACTGTGGCCTCGATTGGCGTGTACTGCTCCGCTGTGACAGTTGCAGGTGATCTCGACCTCCAGCTGTCCGTACATGCCAGATCGATGCTCTCCTTCGACTTCCTCGAGGTTGGTAATCTGACCTTGGTTCAGACGTTGACTTTGATGTCCAACTACCAGCAAAAGAGGAACAAGCCCAATTCTGGATACAACTACCTGGGTCTGGCCTCCAGGATGGCCATGGGACTCGGTCTACACAAGGAGTTCCCGGGATGGAACATATCGCCTCTGAACATGGAGATTCGGCGCCGTGTTTGGTGGTCTCTCTGCGTCTTTGAGGTTGGGGCTACTATCACCTTTAGTCGCCCAATGGTGTGGCCGTATGACGGCGTCGATGTCGCATTTCCCCTGAACGTGGCAGATAGAGTGAGTCTTGAAAAGCCAAGCGAGTGGGGCGTTTCTGACAGTCGTGTGTAGGAACTCACTGCGAACTCGCGAAGCTACCCCCCCGAGAACACAGCGATCACGCCCTACACCGCAGTCGGCATCCAAGCGCGTTTCCACATGGCTACACACAAAGCGTATTCAAAGGTCATCTCCAGGCCCTTCCCAAGTGCCGAGGAGCTCGGTCACATGGATGCGACTTTGATAAAGCCCTGGCTTTGCAGCCTTCCCAATTACTTCGACGAGAGCAGCAGCGTTCCCCAAAGATACGCTCTTCCGCATGCAGTCATGCAATGGCGATACCGGAATTTTCGAATCATCATGTATCGTCCTTTCGTGATACGCAACGCCCTGAATACTCGGCAGGGAAGGGTCGAGGAGTCTGCTGCCAGCATTGAGGCGTATGAGCGTTGTCTCGAAGATGCTAGGTTCACTATTTATGGAATCAGTAATTACTGGGCCAACAACGAGCGGAATCGCCTGGCTGCCTGGTATTCTCTGTGAGTATCCTTGATTGCTTGCTTCGTATGGTCGTGGGAAGACCGCATCGTTGCCTTGACCGTACTTGCTGACTTGCCACAGATACTTCCTCTTCCAGGCAGCTCTGATTCCTTGCATTTGCCTCCGCAACTGTCCATTTGCCCCGGAGGCTTTGAGCTGGTCTGACCAAATATCCACAACGCTACGCACCATTGAAGCCCTCTCAACTGTTAACGCGAGCTCTGTCCGCTGCTACCAAGTCATCCAGAGTTTGTGCGGTCAGTATCTAAAAGATGGGCATCCTGCCAGCCTGTCCAGACAGCCATACCCATCTCTTCCTCACGAGACCATTTCTGCTGGCCAAGGACCCGAGGCTACCTTTTCGAACCTCGCTTCGGATGCGGCATTTGACTTTGCAGCAGGAGAAGATCCTGGACCTATCAACGAGAGCCCACAAACGCAGATCAACCAGGTCTTCCCCATGATGTGGCCTAATGCGACAGCCCTGGAAGCCGTCGAGGAAGTAATGGGTCAGGACGCCTGGGTTGAGTTCCTGAAGGGTACTGCAAACAACGGGGGTCCGAATGGGGCCGAACAGGCAGACATACGATACACCGAGCCCGCAGAATTTTCGACCCGTCCTCCTCCCACTTGAACATGGCTTAGGTACGTAAACTTCAAGGCACCAGAAAGAGGTTGAAGGAATAGGCACCACTGAATGAGCAGTCTTGAAGATATTCAACGTTCCCTTTGCTTATTCCTAGGTTACCTTGAGCCTATATTTGGGCACGGAGACTCTTGAAGGGTGATCGTATCAAAGCTGGCCACCCAGCCTTTACGTATTCAGTAAGAACCTTTACTTGACGGGCCGCTCGCTGTGACATTGTGCCTCCGAGGAGGAACAACGATCAAGTCCTTGGCTTTCCATCAGCCTCCTCCAGCAGGTCCTGGCACACGTGTCGTACAGCACTGGCCGAATAGTGCCACCTTGGGACACAGGCACATGTGTTGACTGTTCTTGTCGGGCGTGTAGGTGAAGGTGACGAGGAATCAGTCGCACCTGGTTACCTCTTGCCGGTGCAAACACGATCCTGCTGCTGAACCATCTATCTGTGCAATGGAAACAACATTGTATGCCGTAAGAAACCGAGCCCATCCAGACTTGGGACCGCCCCATTTGGTGACAGCGAATCACGGTCCTGAAGATTGTGGGCGACTTCAGCCTCCTCATAGAGAATTGGTGACAGTGAGCATGGTGGATCGATCTGGTGAATATCTTTCGAGCACATGCAGCTGAGGGCCTGAGGCGGACTGCAACCAGGGGCCGGGACCAGGGCTCAATGGTATGCAGGAAACCGGATACGACTAGCAAATCACCTCGATGTAACGTGAAACCACCGATCATCAGAGAGAAAGCCGGCCGACGGGCTGTGTTTTGTTTGCTCATCCGTTGCCGAATCGAGAATTCTCCGCCCGTCGCACGCTTCGGTCATCCAAAATGGCGCGGTGCAATTTCGAAATATCGTACGTGGTCAGCCGCCAGAGCCGTTGACGTCGGGTCCTTGCATCGGTATGCAGGCACCGCAACATCTTCTGGCCATGATTGGCGCCAAGAGCTGACGGTCCATACAGCATGCAGCTCTGCCAGCTCGTATGACGGGAATACGAAGTCACTGGAGTCGGGCTCGTATTGTCGCTTACCTTGGCCAGCTTGGCTGCGTGTTCTGAACACTGTGACCAGGAAAACCACTACCGTTCGAAGACTCATGGTTGAAGCCATATAAGGCGACGTTCATCAGCGCCAGTCCACAACATCAGCCCGATAGCAACTCATCTTCCTCTTCGAAGCTCAGCATAACGTCGAACCAAGCCGCGCACATCCTTCTTCAGTTGCCGCAATGAAGTCATACGTCGCTTGCATCTTGGGCGCTGCCATCGCCGCCAGCAGCGTCTCTGCCCAACAGGTCAGTATCTCCGGGTAGTCATCCCCTTAGACACGAACTGACACTCGTCAACAGGCCGTCGTTGTCAACTCTTGTACCTCGAATGTCTATGTTCAATCGTTTCCTTTCGACGGTAGCGCCGCGGGCACCCTGACTACCCTCGCTCCTGGCGGGCGTTACGCTGAGGACTTTCATGCAGCTGGCTCGGTTCGTCCTCGTCCTGGTACCGTGATGACCTGGGATGGTGGAAGCTGACTGTAGAGATAGACCATCAAGCTGGCCACTGACAAGGCGCTGAGCACGCCGCTGTTCTTTGGCTACTCCTTCACCGAGACTCCTGATTACGCTTACTGTAAGTTCAATATCCTGATATGTCCAATTATTGAACTTCTAAACTGACACTTCTGCCACCAGATGAGCTCAGCTCGTGAGTTGCCAATATTGCTTTCGATTTGCGGGTGAACTGCAGCACCTTTACTGACTGAGCGTGTGACAGGGAATGGGGAAACCCCTTCAGCAAGTCGCACAACATCCTCACCCCGGGCGATGGCTGCCAGGTGTTCGACTGTGACGCTGGTGCGGCGGACTGCTACAGCACCCCTGCGATGAAGAAGGTCTATGGCTGCCCGCAGCCCGTCAACTTGGAGGCTACCCTGTGTGCTTGAGAAGCCATGAGGGATCACGAGAGCAGCGGGTCTTGGCTGGATGTTGCGGCGAACATGGACGAGACGAATCCGAATGGGATTAAACGGTCGTCTGGTGTATATCTGAGTTAATGATTAATATCTGAGCCAGGTGATCCTCTGAATGGCAAGAGGACCAAGCCAACTTGGGGGATTTAAGCAATACCACTACTGGCTCGACGTCCGCGAATAATCAACATCATGAGTACAAATGCAACTTTATCGTCGTTACCATGAGCCCCTTGGATAATAGAACGTAGGTGGTTACATGTTCTTTATACACATATATTACGTATATGTATCGGTTTGCAATATATTGGATGTTGACTGCAAGTTCACCACGGGACTTCTTCACAATAGTTATGAAAGCCTTGTCATGTAGTCCTCAGGCACCTCCTTTCTACCACCCAAGCAGCTTTTATCTTCGCCTTGCTATTCTCCGCCTTCGAAGGACGGCACATAATCTTCATCCCTCGTCTCTCACGACGCTCGATCATCCAAAGGACATGACCAAGGAAACCCGGACCAGACTCCCAAAGCCGCAGAAACCCGGCAGATCGCCTCCGACATAGCCCGAGTTCTATATTTACCGTCCGAGTATCCCTCTGTCCATATTGCTAACATTGTGTACGGCAGCTGCTTGAGACAGCCGCACAAAGAAAGAGCAGAGGAAGAGGACAAGGTCAGTCCTAAGTCATTCCGACCACTTGACCAGCACAGTATCAAGCTGCTGCTTCGCCGAAACAAAATGTGGCCGTGTCAACCAATCGCGGCCCCAGGAAGAGAGTTCCGAGCCGTCACCCAGACCATCCTGGCGGAAGTCCAGCTCGCATACGACGATGAAAAAGTACGGGTACGTTGCCTCCTGCTCCCTCCCCAATCAATAAAGCTCCTCCTCCTCTGTTCTTGGGACCTTTCGCGCGGCGCTCACGCCCCCCTGGGACTACGACTCTCTCGGCAAGGAAGAGAAAGAATTGAAAAATAAGAGAGTAATTTGGTGGCGGCTCGGAGTTCGCTGGCGCTCGCCCAACGCTTAGGCATACGTACAACGTAAGTCAAACAGCAGGCATGTTTATATATATTTGTCCAGATGCTTGGAGGCCTCAAGCCACCGTGCATTTCGCCGCTCTCGCTGGCAAGAAGCGCAGCACACTGCCTTACGTACTCAGTCTCGTGCCATGGCTGCAGCTCACAAGGACGACTTTCCCGCAGCCGACGGATGGATGGATGGATGGCCACAACGACAACGATCTTGCATCCAAGGCGCTCGCTCGATCACAGGCATTGGTCAAGAATTTGGCGAGAACATGCTGTCTCGTCTGGGTACCCAAAGGAAGGACTTCTCGCCTCTTCTTTCGTCAGGTCTCCCGTCCCCCCTTCCCCTACGACGATACACCTCAAGAACCCGATTCGTCTGACTGAGGACTTTGGCACTGAAGAGATGCCAAACGCGTGGCACAGAAAGCACTGGTGTTAGACCCTTCTCCGGCACCCGCGTTGCTATTCGGAACAAAGCCGAGGAGAAGAGTACCGTAGTCTAGGCGGATAGTCCATACATATCCTTACCTGTCAAGGCAACAACAAGCAGGTTGGGCTGCTCCCGATTGATAGTAGACTTTTCAACACCAACTGCTTGAAGGCGAGGTTCTTATGGCGGAGCACGTAATTATCCTGTGGATGTCGTAAATAAATGAGTACAATTCCGTGATTGTGCGAGTCTTCGCGGGACAATCATGCTTCGCATCGTTGCGACCTGTGTGCGCTTTGCCCATTACCCCGAATGAGAGACGTATCTGCCCATACTGACGGGCCTGAGCTCCCTACCTCGCGTCTACAAGCTCGTATTTGCTCCGTCATACGAACATTGGTATCCATACAACCTCACTAAGACCCATGGTTGGTTATATACCAGTCAGACCTTTCAACTTCGAGCACACGAACAATTCAATGATCCATTGGGGTAGGTCGCTCGGTTGTGGAAGTTGCAGGCGTCAAGCATCATTTATTCCGGTTCTCAATGCCATACATGCAAAGCCCGGCGGTAGACGCATCATGACCGAAGGGCGGAAATAGAGACCCAACCATATACTCCGAATGCAGCCGTGTCAGATTCCCGTGTCCATATGACAACATCTCTAGCCGATCTGTCTGGCTGGATTATGTGCACATGTCTGTGTCACCGCACGCTCCTCATTCCTCATCCTCACCGGCCAGTGCATTGCGCTTGGCCGTCTGTCTCTCCATCTTGCGCTCGCGAGCCGCCTTGTTCTTCTGTCTCTTGGCGGTCATCTCCTCCTCGAGGGCACGCTCACGGGCCTTCTCGGCCTTGGCGCGGTGGATCTGTAGTTATGTCTGTCAGAACGCCTCATCCCGAAAATTACCAGCAGAAGGTATCATGACGTACGTGCTCAACGAGGGCTCTCTTGTGCTTGAAGGCGTTACCCTTGCTGGAGTGGTACAGCTCGTGGTACAGGTGCTTGTCGATCTTGCCGCTGGCACGGTACTTGACAAGTAGACGTCGGAGGACTCGGAGACGTCGCATCCACAGAACTTGCCTATCCCAGACAGTCAGCTATCATTCATTCGACTTGTAGTCCACCAATCTCGATCGGGTAGAGTTTAACGTACTGAGGCATGCGAGCATCGGCGGTACCCTTTCTCTTTCCGAAACCACGATGTCGGCCGTCACGTCGGGCAAGGTTCAGCTCGCGGGCTCGGGATCTCGAGTGCATGGTGACGGGCTTGCGGATGATGAGGCCATCGCTGACCAGCTTTCGGATGGTTTGGCGGGAGTTGGCGTTGGAGATCTCGCTGACCTCGTTGGGGTCCAGCCAGACCTTGCGCTTTCCGCATCCGATGACCGACGCCGCAAGGCGCTTCTGAGTGCGAAGGTTGACCCTATTGGAGAGGACACTGTCAGCGCGGTATTCATTACGGTAGGTATCGTGAACGAGTCGGGTGCGGGCGATATCGATGACGATGGCTTTCGGGGGCGCTGTGGGACGGACATTCGGTACGGCTGCTGTTGGGAGGCAACGGAAAAACGGGCACAGCGGACGATTGTGTCGGCGCAGGCTGCAGGGCGTGATGGGCATAGACTTACATCTTAAATTCGGATGCGTAGTGATGGTCAAGTTGTGCTGCTGTTGTTAGTCGGCTGAGGTTGTAGTAGAATCGGGAAGGCCCCTCTCGATCTTTGCACGAGAACAATTTCTGCGAGCCAGGGAAGATTTGGGTTGTGGACTTTAGAACCGATTGGTCCGACTAAGCGAAGAGGGCATGTGGTGGATCACGTGACTTGCGAGCTGGCTCAAAGTGGTCTGTGCGCTGTACCGATCGATGAGTACTTTGTCTCCACTGTAACTGGATAGGGGCTTGGCTTCCAAGGGGTCCCCTCCCCCATGAATTGAAGACAATCTACCAAGAGTCTATGCGACCACTTCAGATCATTTTCATATGAAGCAGTCAAATATGCCTGATAACTTTGGGCCATGGTAAGGGGTGTTGGTAATGTCTCCAAATTCACTTTCTCCTTTCCCGCTGGTCTTAGATGGCCTTCATTGGTTCAGGCCTGCATTCACCAAGTGACGAAAACGCAGCGCCTTGGAACACCATCCTGGGTTGTATCTGAAAGATGCTATCATCGAACATGCCTCATCTCTTGATCATCGCATTGTCTTGTCTACCATGATATGTACAACACCGATGATGCACCTTCGCGTCCAAAAATCAGTTGCTATTTTTCAAATCCTATTCCTGCGAGAACACGCCCCCTCCGAGCTCAACGGCCCCTACGCTCCAGATCTCCTTCTCGTCCTCAACCTCATCATTGGTCAGTCCCAATCCACCTTGGCCGCCTTCGGCCTCTTTCCTCTCTCTGGCCTGGTTACCCAGCCGTATAGCCACCCGCTTGAAATAGTCCTGCATGCTCCTCTTGGTGTTGGCCGGGAGTTCGCCTCCAGCGCCGCCCATGTACTTCTCAAACACCTTGGCTTCCTCATCGACCACACCGAACAGCTCGACGAAGGCGGCCTCGGCAGCCAGCTTGACCGGAATCACGGGGTCACGCACCGACGCGAACACCGGCGGCGCAAGCAGCGCCAAGTGTGGGCGGACCATGTCCATATTTGCGCGTGAGACGGTGCGCACGACGACTAGCGCGACACGGCGGGAGTCGGACGGGTTCCCGGGCCCAATTATGGCTGCCAGTTTTGAGAATATGGGCTTGGTCATCTCGAATGACTTTGGCGATTCTGATAACAGATATTTGCCGGTTGCGAGGATGCTATTGTCCGCGACGAAGAGCTGGTGGGTTTGTTAGCAGACGCACGATGGTTTGGTGGGAATTCAGGGCCAGACCTACGTTCTTGTTCGACATGCCCTGGCTAAGGAGATCGGGCAAGTCCTCGGCCAACGGACTGTCGAGTAGGATCTTCGCTGACTCTACAAAGACGGCGTTCAGAGCAAGCACCGACGCGTCAGTAAAGTGAGTGGTGGCAACACGATTCTTCAGTAGTCCGAATGCCGCCTCGGCCGGCACATTCTTAAGGAGTGCAGCCAGTAGCTTGGCATTCGTTACTATCATCGCTCCATCCTTTGTCTCGGTCTCCATGTCGATGAGCCCTAGCACCGCCGTCCGCGAGCTTTCGCCCATGTTGGCCCCTGCCTTGCTGACGACTTCGTACAGCGCCTTCACCATGGCCGCCTTGACGCCGGCATCTGTTGTCTTTGCCCCCGTGACCAGCTCTGCTATCAGAGGATCGACACGTGGCGTGAACTTGATCAGAGTACCCAGCGCCTTGGCAGCCCGCGAACGCAGCACCTCGCTGGTCGTGTCCGCCAACGACCTCGCAAAGGTTCGTTGCAACTGGGGAAGGAATGGTTTCAGGGCTGTCGGCATCTTCTCGAGCAGGTTGTTGAGGGTAAGGAGAATGGCGGCCTTCACATCCGTGGACCTCTCGGATACAACACGAATGAGAGGACCGGTGATTTGAGTCACAAAGGGTTTGAGCGAGCTTTCGCTCGTCCGGTCGACAATATCCGAGATGGCCAGAGCCGCGCTAGTTCTCTGCTCGGCGGTACCATTCATAAGACCCTGGAGGAAGATGGGTAGGATGGCGCCGATGCCCTTCGGCAATTCGAAGCCTGGAAGATTCGAGCCGGCAACACCAACTTGCAGCAAGGTTTGTCTCGTGGACGGCACCAGAGCCTCCATCTCCTCTTTCTTGAGGTGCTTGGTGAACTCGCTGAATGCTGTCCATGCTGCCTTGACGACCTCCTTGTCTCGGTCGTCGAATGATATAAGAAGAGCGCGGATGATGTCTTGGTTGTAGCGCGAGTAGTCGACCCCAGAACTAGCGAAGAACTTGGCAAGCCGAGCGGCAGTGACCGCACGCTTACGGTGATCGTCATTCTTCACAAGCTGCAAAAGCACATTCATGACCGTGTTGAGTCCATCATATTCGTCAATGGATTGGATCACGGTGTCGAAGGAGCTTTCTAGCTCGCTGCCGAGTTCTTCGTCCTTTGTATTAACGATGCTGTCCATGAGAGAGTTTATGATGTTCGGCAGCCGTCGGTTCATGGCTGTGCCCGCCACCCGAGACAAGGATGCCAGTGCCTTGGCGTTGAAGGCTGATATCGGAGGTGTGATTAGCGTCGGAATGAGGTTTGGCAGGATAATGTTGGATCGCGTTGTCTCGGTGAGGAGTGTCAGGAGAGCAGAAAGGGCATTGTCCGCTTCATCCTCGGTGCGCAAGAGGTTGAGTAAGTATGGCAGAACCTGATCAATCGCGCGCTTGCCTAGGATCTGCTGCAGCGAGTCGAAGGCCTCGGCGGCAGCCTCCCGAACGTCCTCGTCCGAGTCTGTGAGAGCAGTCCGCACGACAGATATCAACGTCTTCTCGTGGTCTTCCAAAGCCTCTTCCGAGGCTGATGCGATCAGCTCCTTCAATGCCAGGCAGATGCCCTGTTTGGCATCTATGTCCGTAGATGTCTGGAGGCCTTCCTCCAGTGTTGGTAGTAAGGTTGACAGGACGCTGTCGCCGGCCTTTCGGATCAGTTCTCCCAAGGCGTTGCTGGCGATCACCTTGTGTTCCATATTAGAGCTGCCAAGCCGGCGAATAATGAGCTGCGTGAGAGTCGGCGTGAGCTCCTTGAGGGTTCGAGGCGTAGCAACCAGAGCTTTCCACACTGCTATAGCAGCGGCGCGAACGGCACCTGCAGTATCGCAACGGCAAATGTACAGAGCAGAAAGGATCTTGTTCCGCTTCTCCTCTCCGAGGACTTCCCGCAGGGAGGCACCAGCTTCCTTCGCGTTTTCCTCTTCGTCTTCGGCGTCCGCATTACCGGTGATGCCCGTAAGATTGAAGAGAAGGTCACCCACTAGCTCGACGGAGCTCAGACGAATCCTGTAGCTGTCATCTGCTAGTCCTCGCTCTAGCTCCGGAAGTAGCAGATCCACAGCTCTCGAAGCAAAGTTCTTGACCAGGAGGCGACCAGCTCGCAAGGCAGTCTCGCGGATCGACTCGATATCGTCTGCAAGTCCAGCAAGAATAGGTGGAATAATCTTGCCGAGGTAGTTGGCGAAGCTGTTACCAAAGCAGACCGGCAAGAAAATGAATAGTGACATGAATCCTTCCCTGACGGCAGGCTTGGATGATTCCACATTCTGGAGTATAGTGGGCAGGGTTTCCTCCAGCCTCGTAGTGCCCAGGCCTGCCAGAACCTCGCTGAGGGCTTGTGCAGAGCCGAGACGGTCTCCAGCCCCGGTATCCGACTTGAGAGTTTGCATAAGACCGGGGATGAGATCTGGCAAAGCATCTTCGCCAAGCTTCTCGACGAGTGAGCCCAAGGCGCGTGAAGCGGTTGCACGTGTTGTGGGAACGGGATCGACTGCCGCCACCTTGAGTCCAGAGACGAGCACGGGGAGATGTGCCATGAGGTCTTTGCGTTCCGTCAAGTGCGCGAGACTACCAATAACTTGAGATGCCTTGCGCTTCGTATTGGAACGATCACCCAAACCTCGCTGAAGGATTCTGGTCACAAGGGCTAGCGAGGGGGCGTCGAGGTAGTGCACGAATTGGACCTTGATCAGAGCGTCCAGAGCAGTGTCTGTGTACTTGGTCGGATCACTCAGAGCCTTGAGCAAGATGTCAACCAGGCTCTTGACCTCGGGGTTCTCGATAACTTCGCCGAACCTTTTCAAGCTCTTGTTGGCCCCAGCTCGCACCTCCTTGTGGCTGTCGTTCAGAACACCGGTAAGTGGTGGTATGATATCGGGTAGGCTCTGTGCTAGTTGCTGGGGATCCAAGTACGCCATGGCACCTAGCAGGTCGCAGGCTCCACGCTTGCTACGCCACTGGTCGTCGTCGAGACCGTTGAGAAGCGTTGGTAAGATTTGCTTCACGCCGTATGAGCTTAGCTTGGCGAAGCATGCTTTCGCAGCTGCTAAGCACGCGTCCCGCACATCTGCGCTGTTGTCGCCGAAACCAGTGAGAAGCTGAGGCACGATTTGCATAGCATACGGCTCAAATAGTCGACCAAGTATCGTGGCCAACAGCTCAAACCCGAGAAAAGCTCCCTCGCGTTGCTGTGACTCCTTTTTGTTCTCCGCGGCGCTCTTGAGGCTTATAAGGATGCGTTGATCTCGCAATACCGATACACCCCGTCCAAGAACTAGGCCACCAAGTCCATACGCAGCGCCGCGCTTCTCTGCATAGTTCTTGGAGGTCAGAAGCGTGTCCAGCACCTGGCTAAAGTATTTGGATGATTTGTCGCCACTGGACCGGACCAGAGGTGGAAGGCAGTCTGCAACTGCGTATTGTACTGTTTCGGACGGGGTGCTCAGGGTAGCCAGCAGCCTTTCGATGACGACCGGAATCTTGGCGTCACCAGGCTTCAGATGCCTAGCCAGAGCCCCGTACATGATGATGACAGCCTCGTTGACGCGGTCTGCAGCATCCGAGCCCTTGTCTGGCGCCCCCAGAGTGCGCTCGAAGGTCTTCATCAGCTTATCCACAAACGCTTTGCCGTGAAGATCGATGGCTACAATAGCAGCTTCGAGCATCTCGCTACGGACCGTGGCGTTCTGGTCTCCCAGCGGCCCGCCTTCGATTAAGAAGCTGAAATAGTCGTCGATTTGCGATTTCTGCAAATGAGCAGCAAGTTCCTTGAAAGCAACAGCGATACCATGCCGCGCCTCCCAGGGATCAGATAGGTCCGTCTTTCTGGGCATCCCATACTGATCCAGCTGGGTCACCCGTGCCTTAGCCAACTCTGCATACGAGGAGCGAAGCCTCTGCAATATGTCCTCGATCGTGGCCGGATAGGCTTTGCACGCTTCGGCCAGGGATCGTGCTGCTGCTCTACGTAGCTGAACATCTTCGCTCTCAACATACGAAAGCATTTTGAACGGTACGTCCTTGAATATCTCGAAGCCGCTCTCGTCCCAGATATCGTGCCCGAGGTCGGCATTCTCCACGACGTCGTCATGGCAAGCAATCCATATTTCTTCCGAAAAGTCCAGATCGCTCATGTCGACCTCGGCGCTGATTGCTTGCAGTACCGTCTCGCGAACAGAGGCCTGCGCTACAATTGTACCCTTGACGAGCACGGATATCTCGGTTCTGTTGATGTTGGGAGCAACACAGCGCACCATGTCTGAGAAACAATCCTTGATGATCTTGTAGTGCTGGTTATACCGCTGCATAGATGACACCAGTATGGAGATTAGATCAGCCCTCGGAATGGTTTCATCAGCACAAATATGCGTGTGGGAGGTGAGAAACTCCACCGCCAGAACCAACTGCGTATCTCGTTCCTCGACGTCGGCTCCTATGCCGCCCTTCCGCAGGATCACAAAAATCAAGGATAGCATGTAAATAACGGACACGGCATCGAATGGCCGCTGCTCGCCAGCAAAACGAAGACGGTAGAGGACTCTAGTCAGTAATTCTCCCAGGTCCTCTTCAACCAGGTTGTCGGGTAGAGATGTGATTCCGAGCGCTCGGAGTGTCGCCACGCCAATGAAAGGTCTGACAGCTCCCAATCGAGAAGTGACCTTGTCAGAGCACTCTAGGTATGCAGAGGGAGCCGCGTCGCCCGTGATAAGACAAGCCCCAGCTTCCATGGCAGCCAAAAGTGCACTGATCGATGGCCCAATCCAGAGGTTAGCCTCGGTTGGCGGCCCGTGAGTGAGGCTTTTGACGATACCAACACTACGCATGAGCCGCGCTTCCAGCTGCTGGATGGAACGTCGAATTTCGGATTCCTTCTTCAGTTGCGCACTGACCTTGGCCTGCTCGTCAGCAGACAGCTTCTTCTGGAGACCCTTCTTCTGGGCAAGCTGGCTTCTAAGTTCCTCCTCCCACTTGAGTGTGTCGTAGTCTTTGGTGTTCTTGTTTGGAAGCGTCTGCGCCTTCTTGGCAAGCACGTCGATGAAAGCCGTTCCCTCTGGCGTTCGGAAAATAGCAGCCTCGACGGGTCCAATTTCCGTGAGCTCTGTTGTTGCCAAGTCTGTCTTAATGAGCTCGATGATTTTCGGTGTCATGAGTTCCGGTGCCACAAAGGCCAGATCAGCAGCCGCGTTGCAAGCAGCAGCCTTGATGGCGTTTGACTGACAACTCATTAGTCTTTTATCATCGACACGTTGAACACTGTTGCAGCTCACCTTCTGACTGAAATCTGTTTTCTTGATCACCTGCTGTATCAACATATCCTCATACTTCTGTGCCAGAGACCCAGGGTCGAGACCAACCCTGAGGCAAAGGTCTATCCAGTTTGACCTCGGTATCAGGTCACTGCGAGCAAGGACGAGTAGTGAACACATCTGAGTCTCCATCAAGTCTTGGTCTCTCTCGGCACCAGCCTTCTCGAGCTCCTCGACACTAGGGCAGATGGATCGCAAGACAAGATGCAAGTTAGTCTCGTCGAGTTTGGCACTGGCAGCGACGCTGTCCTTTTCACCGCTCTGTGTGGATTCCACCCACCGCCAAAGTCCGTCCACCATGATCTCTGAAAGGGATCGAGGGTGGAGTGCATAAAGTCTAGAAATCACCTGGCAGGCTTCTTTACGTAGCTTGGGGGGCACAGCCGCAGATGAGACGATATAAATAAGTGCTTGGGACCAAGCCACCTGGGAAGAATGCGGTGCTTTGGTAATATCAGCGAATATAGCCTCGAGTGCTCTGAGGAACCATCCGAAGTCATCCTCAGTAGCCAAACGGCTATACACTCTGTGGTTGAGCAGGAACGAAGACTTTGGATCAGCTGCGAGGCATTCCTTCGGGGCCGCAATCTTCTTTAGAATTGCCTTCGTGGCAGAGCTATCGATTCTGGGCAACATCTGAAGGGCCAGCGTAGACAAGACATACGCGCCAGTGATCAACCCGTTTTGAGCAGCAGCGGAAGGGTTCTTCAAGACTTCGGCCCACGTATCAGTCATTGGTGCCGCAACAGCTTCGGCAAATTTGGCGAGGCTGGCTGGTACCGACTTTAAGTTGCTAGTAGAGGGTAGCAGTACTTCCCCGGTCCGAAGTAACCATAGACGGCGCGAGGGTATCTTCTTGTCGCTGAGGCCCTTGACGAAGGCATCGACCGTTGGCTTTGGTAGATCCTTATCATTATCCACGAGATGGCACAAGGCCTGGCTAACAACAGAGATCTCGGCGCCCAAAGCTCCCTCATTCCCTTCTTTGGAGGCAACTGGTGGTAAAGCGGTAGCTATCTTGGTTGCGACCGAGCTAGACAGAGCAAGGTTCCGAAGCATCTCGGAGTGCAGAATGCGCTGATCGGCGGAAGCTAGCTTCCCCGACTTCAGTGGATTGAGCACCTCATCAGCAACCTGCTCGATTACCTTCGGGTCACGACTGCGGGATGCCGCTTCCTTGAAAGCAGATAGCACCCCGTCACGGATGCTGGGGTTACTCGACTTGACGTTGGACAGCAGTGGTTTCAGAAGGTGCCCTCCCAGAATGTGGGAGAGGTCCAAGTCGTCCGGGAGCACACGAAGCAGGCATACCAAGGCATCTAACACAACTTCGGGGGCTCGCAGGAGACCCTTCTCGATCGGGGGCACAACATCCTTCTTCAGGTCCTCTAGAGTGACGAAAGCGGAGAAGAAATCGCCGAGACCCGTAGCAATGTGAGCGGGCACAGCAGTGCGTGATCCTATAACCTCCCGCGCGTAGAAGCTGAAGTAGTCGGGTTTCTGGGCAGCTAAGACAGCCTTGGCCTGCTCATGGCGGGCACAGACGCCAGCAACAACACCAAGCATGACAGCATTCCTCGCGGCGGGTTGGGCTCCCTTGGCTGTCAGAGCCTGAACGGTATCCTGAACGGTCTTCTCTCGGAGGCCATTGCGCCAGAAGGCGGCGCGCAGTCCACGGCGTGTGATGACCAAGGCGGAATGTGCCACGTGCCGTCTGGTGGGCGGCTGGAAGCATCGCTCAAGGGCAGCAGCGTTGGTGTGAACGATGTCCAGTCCAAAGGCATTCCAGAGTGGCGTGTCAGCTATGCAACCGAAGAGAATGGAACACCACTCGACTAGGGCAAAAGCGTTGTTGGCGGCGATTCCAGGTTTGTGTGACTCGTGTCGCATGTAGGTGACGAAGGGCGCAAGGGTTCTAGTATCGCTCGTGGTGGTAAATATGGACAAGAGGCATGTCTGGACGGCTCTCCTGGAGGGGCGATCGCCGTATAGAGTATGAGTCTCGAAGAGAAGCTGCAAAAGCGTTCGTATGGAGGGTTCGTCGATAGCTGTACAGGCAAGAGCGCAACGGGTCAGCACTCCAGCAGTGGACGACGTACGGATATGCGACACAGACCGGGACAGGACCAGGAAGAGTAACAGGAACAAGAACAGGGTCTGGCTCACATTTGTGCTTCAGCCTCTCGTCAATGGCTCGAAGTTGGGAGGTCCGGGTGTTGGTGGACGAGGTAAAGAGGGCGGCTCTAATCGCGGTCTCGTCCAGGCCAGCTCTCGCGACGCCGTTCGCACCCGCTTCAGTCATGTTGGCGGTGGGGTGGAAGGTGAATGGACATCATAGGAAGAGACGGAAACCAGGTGTCATTCATAGGCACCGGCTATCGAAAGGATCGCGGCAGCAGGCGGGATGTTGACGGGTACGAGCAATTCGCTTTGTATAAGACGTCCAGTCGGGTATATTCAATCAGTCCCGGCCACACGAACATTTAATTCTTGGCGGAGAGCTCAGGTACCAAGCGGTTGCAATGCGCCAGGTCTGGTAGGCGGTCAACAAGTTCTGCCCATGTCTTCGCCGGCTGAGTCAACAGCCCGACAACTCACCTGGCTCAGCTGATTCAACGGCCAGTCCCTCGCTAACAGGGATCCTGCATGAAGCCGAGCTGGAGCAGCCCTGAAAGCTACCCCTCAGCTCCCACTCCATGCCCCTCTAAGACATCTCAAAAAAGTACCAGCTCGCGCTAGTCCACACACGTCAGGTACCAGGCAGAGAAGTACCGCCACCTGCCGACACCTACATCATTTCTTCGATTGATGCCAATGGGCATGCCTGGCCTGCCCCGGCCCGGGATTCATGTCTCTTCTTGAATCTTTGGACCTTCAAGACTCAAGAGGCACTTCCCTTCGTATAGGTGCCCTTCCTTTACAGTAACTTGCGTTGCCTTAGCTGTCCTGCACTTGCTCTTATCCTGCGCCTACATCAATAATTACTTTCTCCTCTTCCTTGGCATGACTGGCGACATCAATCGACGCAGATTGAACCTTCCGCCTTCGCTTGCCGTGCACCATGGCGGGTGCTAAGAAGAAGAAAACCAAGCCCGCGGCAAATCCCGCTCGAGGATTTGCTACCACTTCCATTACATCGAAGCCGAAGCCGAGAGTCGAGAATCCCGATCCCGAACCCAACCTCCGGGAACACGCCAGTGCCCCTCCGCCGCCATCGTCCCAGGCCCCGCCACCCGCGGGCCCCAACGACGATGCCGTCTCGAACCCGCAACAGAACGAGCACCTGACTCCTGAGCAGTTTGAAAGGCAGCTGGAGGAGTCCGAACTCCAATTGTTGGTCGAGAAGCACGCCCAGAAAGTCAAGAGAGATGCCCAGCGCCAGAAGTCGAGACTCGAAACCGACCGCAGATTGCTACGTGGACAAGCCGAGCCTTTGAACACGCGGAAATGGTTGCCTCAGGAGCTCATGGACCATGTTCTGGACCTGATCCAAGCCGAGAGCCGTTTTGCGTCTTCCTTGCTTGTAGCCGACGCCTCGACCAGCGGGAATATGCCCGCCGAGGAAGACTTGACCATGCGACTGTGGGCCCTACAACAAGCCCTGGCTGGTGCTGGCTTTGCCGACGACAAGGTCAAGTCCGTCATACAATACGTCCTCGAGATTGCCTCTAATGTGAGTACCACCAACAAGGATAACATTTGGGGCCTGGACGAAGCTTTGGATTGGCTCGCTAGGGAGTGCACCAGGGAAGAGCTACATGACTACGACTGCAGGGGCCGGGGCGTAAAGTCGCAATCGGGTATGTCAGCTCTCTTTGTATTGAGCTTCGTTGGACACGGCCACCTTCTAATGCCACTATCCAGATACGCCTCTGGACAGCCCACTGCCCTCGGGCGCAACCACACCGCATCTCCTCGAAGTCAACGGCGGGGGTAAGAAGTCCCGTCGGAAGAACGGCTCTGCAAATTTGCGATCCTCCCGCACTGCGTCTCCCAAGAAGATAGTCGTCACTTGTGATGAGGACATCGAGCCCGACGACCTCATACCAGCCTACCTCGAGACCAGGATCCAGTTATTCCATATCCAACGGCCAAAGCAGGACAGCAAGAAGTCCAAGACAATCAGGAACAACACTTCCGATGCTACGACGGAGTCCTCCTTGGACCCGTCATCGAATGATCTGGCCGAGGCTAGGCTGCTGGCAAAGATTGAGCGCATCGAGCAAGATGTCCTCTTCGACAAGGCTTCCGCTGGACACATATGGCGAGGCGAGCGCATCGAACTTGAGAAGGAATTTGCGGCCCAGGCAAAGGAAACGGAACAGGCCGAGCAATCCAAAGCACAAGAGGACCCCGTCACGGAGGTTCAGTCCGATGATGACGTCTCCAAGGAAGCAAAACGAATCACAGCCGAGATCCTGCAGCAAGATGGCAGCGACGAAGACCAGTCTCTGTCGGATCTTTTTGCGAGCCTCCCGGTCCAGGAAACCGATCACACAGGCAAGACGAGCACTGTGATCACTGGGAATGACGGCGTCAAGACTGTCATCCGTGACTTCGGCAAGTGGTCAGGAATAAGCCCAACTAGGGTATTAGAAGAAGCCTGTCGGTCGAGGTAAGGAACACTGATCTCGGTCAATGCAGCACAGACTTTGCTAACCTGTTTCTAAGAGATCCGGCCGTCAAAATCGCTTATCATCTTGTGTTTGAAACTCCATATTCAAACAGTCACATGGTGTCTGTCTCTTGGTCCAAAGCACAAGAACTCTTCCCAACTCCTGAAATTCCATCCATTGAGAGTGCTATATACCCTCGCAAGTTTACCTTCAAGATGACCACCGTGTCAACGCCGGAACCAAGGCAGTCAGAAGCTTACATTGCTACCGTGGCGCTATTCGCTATATTCGGCTCCACCAAGGAGGAGAAGGTCTTCTTGAGATTACCTGCTGCCTGGAGAGAGTTTTGGTCGGAGCTCGCAGAGGACAAGAAGAGCCAGATGGATTCCACAGACAGGTCAGCGGTCAAGGAGCTTCGTGCTCTGATTCGCCAGAAACAAGATCAAGAACTGGAAGACGGGGTTCTGCTACAAGGCGCCTTTCGTGGCCGCGCCTTGCAGCGCAATGTAAACGACGTAGGCGACGATGCGAACGCAGACAGAGCCAACCACCACTTATTCGGGCCGGAATACTACCAGAGGATCTGGGCTGAGAAATCGAACACGCCCCGATTTCATGCCATGTTGGTCAGTTTCAGCTGACTCTCCCAAGTTTGATTGCGGGACTAATTCTGATCTGTCCATCTAGCAATCACGCATGCAGCTTCCAATGTGGCACTTTAAAGAGCAGGTACTGGATACCATTGAGAGAGAACAGGTCGTCATTGTTTGTGGCGAAACGGGATGGTGAGTCAATTAGTCACGAAGAGGATGAGCAATAAGCTGACCTGTACATATAGCGGTAAGAGCACGCAGGTGCCGTCCTTCCTGCTAGAACACCAGCTATCACAGGGGCGGCCGTGCAAGTTATACTGCACCGAACCTCGTCGAATATCGGCCATCTCGCTGGCCCGTCGAGTCAGCGAAGAGCTCGGTGAGGGCCGAGGAGATCTAGGTACTTCAAGGTCTCTTGTCGGCTACTCTATCCGCCTCGAGTCCAACACGGCAAAGGAGACTCGCCTGGTTTACGCCACGACTGGTATCGTGATGCGGATGCTGGAAGGATCCAATGAGCTTCGGGAGATCACCCACCTCGTCCTCGATGAAGTCCACGAACGCACAATCGACTCAGACTTTCTGCTCATTGTACTCAAGAAGCTCCTCGTAAAGAGGAAAGACCTGAAGGTTGTGCTTATGTCGGCGACCGTCGATGCAGAGAGGTTTTCCAAATACCTGGGGCGAGCTCCCGTGTTGAACGTACCTGGGCGAACGTTCCCAGTACAAATCAGGTACCTTGAGGATGCCCTCGAGGTTACCGGTTACACGCTCGATCACCAGAGCCAGGAGAAGACGACCGACCTGGACGACGACCCGGCGGAGAGTGAGAATGACCCGGCATCAACCACAACGGCGGCAAAGGATCTGCGGCAGTACTCGGCCAAGACTCGCAACACCTTGTCACAGATGGATGAGTATCAGATCGAGTTCGGGCTGGTCGTTCAACTCATCGGTCAAATCGCTGTTGATCCGGCGTATGCCCACTACAGCAAAGCAATCCTGGTCTTTTTGCCCGGTATTGCTGAGATCAGGACGCTCAATGATCTGCTACTTGGAGAGCCATTCTTCCAGAGGAACTGGGAGGTATTTCCCTTGCACTCGACAATCGCCACCGAAGACCAGGAGCGAGCGTTCGACGTGCCGCCACCAGGGGTGAGGAAGATTGTCCTAGCAACCAATATTGCGGAGACGGGTATTACCATCCCGGACGTTACCTGCGTCATCGATACGGGCAAGCATCGTGAAATGCGGTTCGACGAGAGGCGCCAGCTGTCCCGGCTTATCGACACATTCATCTCGAGGGCCAACGCGAAGCAGCGCCGTGGGCGAGCAGGCCGTGTGCAGGAAGGCCTCTGCTTTCACTTGTTTACCAAGCACCGCCATGACCAACTCATGAGCGACCAGCAGACGCCCGAGATGCTGCGGCTCTCCCTGCAAGACCTAGCCATCCGCGTCAAGATCTGCAAGATTGGCGGAATCGAGGAGACTCTCGGGGAGGCGCTCGATGCACCTTCGGCCAAGAACATTCGCCGGGCGATCGATGCTCTCATTGACGTGAGGGCCCTCACTGCCACTGAAGAGCTGACACCTCTGGGGCATCAACTGGCGCGGTTGCCCCTCGACGTGTTTCTTGGGAAACTCATCCTGCAGGGCTCGATATTCAAGTGCCTCGACATGGCCATTACTGTGGCAGCTATCCTCTCGTCCAAATCACCGTTCACTGCGCCATTCGGCCAGCGAACTCAGGCAGACCAAGCGCGGAAATCGTTCAGAAGAGGCGACTCGGATCTACTCACCGTATATAACGCTTATCTAAGTTGGAAGAGGGTGTGCCAGACATCTAGCCACGACTTTCAGTACTGCAAGAAGAATTTCCTATCATCACAAACGCTTTCCAACATTGAGGACCTCAAAGGCCAGCTTCTCGTCTCGTTGGTGGACTCAAGTTTCCTCCAACTGACCGACGAGGAACGACGCACGCTGAACCGCCTCCGCTACAGTAGCCGGCGGCGACAGTTCTTCGACCTTCCCCACCGGGTCAACATCAACAGCGACAACGACGTCATCAGCGCTTCGGTGATCGCATGGAGCTTCTATCCGAAGCTGCTCCTGCGGGAGAACAAGGGCTTCCGTAACATAGGCAACAACCAGAGCATTAGCTTACACCCGTCGAGCGTCAACAAAGGCCACCCAGAGCTCAAGTGGCTCTCATACTACCACATCATGCAGGCCAAGCAGTAAGTCTCAAGACGTGTTGATGCCAGGGTCCCCAGGCAAATGTACTAAACCAGCTACCAGATTCCTCAACGCCCACGAAACCACTGCCGTGGAAAACTTTGCTATCGCCTTGCTATGCGGCGACGTGCGTATCGATGTAAGTGCTGACTCTCCGTTCCACCCTGGGCAACCCCAGCCCGCCCAACACAGCCGCCCACATCCTCCTCACCACATTGTCATCTACGCACACAAGCTAACCGTCGTCTCCTGCAGATGTACGCAGGCGTCATCGTACTCGACGGCAATCGCGCGCGCTTCAGCGTGCCGGACTGGAAGACGATGCTCATCATCAAGGTCCTGCGCACCCGGCTGCGCGACATACTCAACCGCTCCTTCAAGATGCCCGGAAAGCTCCTCCCGACGCAGCAGGAGAAGTGGCTCGATGTCTGGCAGAAGATCTTCAGCCAGGACTTTGGGAGGGGGTGAAATGAGGAGAGCCAAATACGCATCGAGGCGGTGGCCACTCTACCAATTGCCCCTGGGATAATCTTGGGACTCGGGTGAAGACAGCTTGGCAGGGGCGGACTACTGGGAAATAGGGGCAAGGGACAGGAATGGAAAGCAACCCACCCCCCGGCCCTTGCTTTCGGGGGCTCTTGCTATGTCTTCCTCAGTGGGAGGTATCGTCCTCACTGCCATTGCTTAGCTAGTCAGCACGCACCAGACCTGGCTATACACATTGAGTAGCATGCGACTGCCTGATAGATAGATGGCATCTCCGCTGCGCGCGTCTCCGCGCCAGCACAAAGCGCATCGGCTACAGTGCCGGACCAAGAGACTTCCGTCACCACCATACCATCATACTGCAAGGGACTGCTAGACCATATTGTGACTTGTCATTCTATTATTTGGGAAACGAGCTTGGTTCATAACAGCTCGGTTCCTAGCTCGTGCTATTCCATGGTGCACAGTAGGGGGTATCAGATATCGTCCATTCCATCCATCCATCACTCCCCGTTGTTCGACCGGGCAGCGCCGCCACCGCCACCTGCCGCCGGACCAAGGAACATAGCCTTGAAGTCTGCGTTGCTCTTGGGCGGTGCCGTGCCATTCACACTGCCAGCAGCAGTCTGGGTCTTCTCCTCGTCATCCTTCTTCTTGGGCGCCACGAAGCCAAGTCTTCCTCTCTTTGCTCCACCCCGGCCGCCCAGAGCGGGCCGTCTTACGGTCTGTGGCGGTGGCATAAAGGTCGCGTTGGCCGTGCCACCACCTCTGCCGCTTCCTTTGCCTCTGCCACCACCCGTTACTACCTTGTCCTGCCGAGTCTCGCTCTTCTCTTTGAACAGGTCCCTCACGCTGCCAACACGTAGCTTGCGGCCGGGCACGATCTCAAAGCCCTCCAGAGCTAGTGACGCCCGTCCAACTGTCGCCGCATCGGCAAACTCGACGATGGCACCCTGATGATCGGGGCGCAGGACTAGCTTGACCAAGTCGCCGTGCTTCTCGACTATGGCTTTGACGCGGGCATCGTTGACGGTGTCGGGTACGTTCATGATGGCAATCGTGCGATCCTGTATCTCCTTGGGCGTTGGCCCCTTCCCGGCACCCTGCGATTGGTCAGGTCCATCCAGCATGGCTACGTCGCCTTCTCCAGAGGGCGCCGGGGAAGCGGTTGCCGAACCGCGTTCGCCCCTGCTAGTGGCAGAGGGTTTGAAGTTGGACTCCTTGCTGAGCTCGACATCAAGGATCTGTGATTTAAACTTGGTCTTGTCAAGCTCGAGCGCCTTCTCGGCCTGCTCTTTCGTCTCAAACACAATGTAAGCTGTACCAACATTCTGCCCGCCGCTATTTTTGACCATATTGACACTGCCAACTTTGCCGTACTTGCCAAAGACACTCTTAAGATCATTCTCTTGGGTGTCAATGTGAACATTCTTGACCCGTAGCTCGCGACCCTCGGCCACGGCGCCCTCACGATCCTTCTTGTGGCTTGGGTCCGAGTACTTGGCCTGGAGCTTGTATTTGCCATCCAGCAGCTTTCCGTCCAGCTGTGAGGCTCTGTACGAAGCGTTCGGGTCTTTGAACGAGACGTAACAAAATCGGCGATGCGTGTTAAATTTGAGCGAGGGCCACCGGATACTGAGGATATCGCCGCAGTCTTTGAAAATGTTGCGGATGTACGCGTCATCGGCAGTAGGGGCGTAGTTGGATACGAAGAGGGTCAACCCAGTGCCAGGCTTGACACCGATCTGGAACTGGCCGTAGTACTTGTTATCTCGCAGCAGCGCCGAACTGACGTCCTCTGAAGACCTGAACTCAATAAGCGCAGAGCTCGAGGCGTTATCGGGCTCCTTTTGGAGGATGATATGGTTAATATGACCGTACTCTTTAAAGTACTTCCGAATGGCCGTCTGTGTCGCATCGGGAGGCAGGTTTGTGACTAGTACCGAAGTGTTCTCACGGTCACGCTTGAGCTTTTGCTGGTCGGCCGCATCATTGGTACCGTTGGCTTCCACACTCTTCACCCTCTTGTTCCCACCGTGGGGCGCGTCACCAGGTGTCGCCTCCCGTTTCCGCTTGAACCCAGACGGCGAGTTGGGCGTGTCAGAACCGTGCGACGCGGTAGCCGGTGCCTGCTCCTGGGCCTGTTGTACCTGGGCCGCATAGACAGCGGCAGCTTCCGCGCTCTCACGCTCTCGACGCTTGGTGACAGTTCTGCGAACCTTGTAAACGGCGTCAAGCGCGTGATGAAGCGTATCGGGCCGCTCGTAGTCGTTGCAGTGTTGGAGGTAGACTTCCATGACCCGTTCCGGCCAATCAAGTGTTTTCTGCGCGACGGCGCGTTGCAAGACACCGGTTGCCATGCTAGGAACTCGCATTGCCTTGGTATTACCAGCTGGCGTAGCTGGGGTCGGACTTCGAGCCTTTGGCTGGGAGGAGAAGATCATCATCTCCCAGAGGTAGTAGCTGAGCCAGAAGTCGTAGCTATTGGCGAGCAACCGCTGGTCTGCCATTCGATTCCAGTGACGTCTCGCATCGTCAGCGTCACCCTTGACCTCGGTGAGGTACTGAATCAGGATGCGCTGCAGTCTGAAGTTGGGATCTCCCTGGTAGGCGTCCTTGTAGAGACGTTTGCCCCATAGGTCTACATCTTCCAGAGCTGCGAGCAGGCCAACCTCAGCAACGTCGGCGGCATCCTCGGACGCGTTCGGGTCCATGGCCGTGCGCTTCAAGAAGCCACACCAGGCAGTGTACATGTCCAGGACTCCCGTCATGCCGTTCTTGTCGAGGGCCTTCGTGTTAGTAGCAGCATGCTTGATTGACTCGACGTTGTGGAAGGACCAGCCCGACTCCTCGGCCATCAGTATGTACCTGGACCACAGGGGGCCAGACCACGGGCAGTGCTTGGTGGCCCTCTGAAAGTAGTCGATCATATTCGGCAGGGGGTGGTACAACTGTGTCGTCTTGGCAAGGTGGAGCACGTCTGACACGTAGATGGCACAGTTGCTCCAGACGTCGTCCTCGAAGGCACAGATGCCGCTCAGGGCTCTCGAGTAGAGACCCAGGCACAGGGCGGCGGCCAGAGCACGGTTTCCAGACTGCTTGGTCTGGACCATTTCCCAGTCAAGATACTGGCGCATCTTGGTCTTCTGGGCGTTCTGGTCACCTGACCTGATGGCCTTCCTGAGCTCCAGCTCGTGGGTCTCTCTGCGTTCGTAGGCTGTCTTTGCCTCCTGGGCGATGGCGGTGACCTCCTTGAACTCGGACTCGTAGGCGGCATTGTTGTAGGTGCTCAAAAGGCTCGAGAAGGCCTGGGAGGTCAGATCCCAGGTGGAATGTGGCACCTGCAAACGGTCGCGGTAGAGGTGGGAGATACGCTTGACGCCGCTCGGGGTTCGGGTCCTGGCCAGCTGGTCGAGTTCGATGGAAACCCAGCGGTTCCAGAACTCGTGGCTGTCGTTGATGCGGTACTTGATGGCGTTATAGCCCTCGCTCCACAGGCTGAGAGCGGCGTCGAAGGAGAACAGCTCGCGGCCCAGCATCTGCTCGTCGTCGGGCCATCCGGCGTCGCTGCTCTGGCAATCGGTGAAAAGGGACCAGAACCACTCGCAATAAGCCAGCCAGATGTTCAGGCTGGCGGGCTCGTCGGAGATGGCGCTCTTAAAGAGCTCGACGACTTTGACACGGGCCTCGAGATCGGTGGCATGGCGGCTCTCCTCCTCGACATAAGCTAGCCAGTTATCCTCGCCCACGGGGTTCGCCATCTTGACCTGTGTTTGCGCAGACTCATGTGTTTGTTTTCAGGCGGTGATCGGGCGCGAGGGTCGTGTTTGGCGACGAGAGGAGAACGGGGCGGACGCAGCACCTGGTAAGTCTAAAGGGCGATCGTGTGTATGCCTCTAGAAAGTACGGGCGCAGCTTCGTTGTCGCTAGAGATGGGATGGACAGACGGTGTTGATCAGGACTGTATGTGTACACGTTTCGTAGAATGCGTAGGGTAGGTATGCAAAGTTGTCCAATTGACGAGTGGCAGTGATCAGCACGCGACGGAGACGGGACTTTAGTGTTCAGTGTTTGGGTTCGCCAGGTCTCGACTCTTGGACCGGCGTCGTGGTGCTGCCGGGAAGGGGAATGAAGGCAGAACAGAATGAAACTGGATGACAGGCGCAAGATGGGAAGATGGGAGGAAGACGACGATAGGAGAAATCGTGAGAGTGGGTGCCGCCGGAGGTCCAGCCGTAGCCTGTAAGTGCGAAATGGGTCTGATGGGGCGCAGGTGCTGGCGACGACGACGATGGTGGGAGAAAAGAAAAGCTAGAAGGTAGGTAGCAGCAGCCCTGGAGAGGCCTGGCCAGTGACGCGGAATGCTGGCCGAGGCGCATGGACGGCCACGATTGGCCCGCGACATGCGGCTGTGCATGTGCCGAGCCCTGGTGCTACGGTAGGTACCTATGTACCTCGGTAGCCTTCCAAGTTCCCACTCCGGGGCTGTTCGCCAGCCCTGAACGTGCAGCCCCGGAGTTCCATTGGACACCTCAGCCCTGAAGGGCAACATGAACCTTGTGGAAGCCTGGTCTCACCTGCATACCCCTGGATTTCCCCTACAAATAATTCAAGTCGCCTTCCAACCATTTTAGGTCCAAGGCGCAGCGCAGGTGGTTCAGGCGTCTCACCATGTCACGAGCAATGTTGAACGAGACCTGCATGGCTGAATCCTCCGTCACGAGAAGTCGAGACGCTGATGGTACTAAGGTTCCAGGCCTTCTCCCTTCAAGTTGTTCCAGTACCTCCTGAGTTCCTAACACTTACCTTGGGCTTATTTATAGCTCCAGGAATCATCGTTACGTCCTATCCTGGCTGCCAATATGGCGTCACTGGTCTCGCCCCGTCAACCCACCCGCCACTGCGGCCAGTGCCGCTACATGTACCTATGTATGGTCACATGCATGTCTTGGCTTCAACTTAAGGTTATACCAAATACCTTATAGTACATCTGCTTACATATACCTCTCCAGGTACATATACTCCAACCATCACCACAACTCTTCGTGCTTCATCTAAACTGGAGTAAACAGTGAACGGGCCCGTCAGGCAATATCGTCAGCGTAAAGCTGAGTCTCTTTCTCCAATCAGAGGAGACAGGTGTCAATCCTAAGAAGGCCATGGCCCCTTTTACCCCTATTCGCAATGACCTTCATGGAGAACTGCTCGGTGCACCTTCAGGAACAGGCTTGGGGGCTGGATCTAGCAGCGTGACCGTCCGTGTAAGCACATCTTTCTATACATTGGGATATACGGTACACAGTCTCTGCGTTGTGGATTTGTGGCTGCTGGACTGAAACAGAGGAAGGCTTTCTGGCACATCTCTCCAGCAAGTGACAGTTCGGTTTGAACGATTCACGTACAGCAAGCACCTGAATACCCCCCCCCCGTAATAATGACCCCTTCACTATGGTCCACTGGCACCCTCATATGCCCTAAAACAGCTTTTTCCACTCTGGTCCAGGATCTTACTGTATTCGATTCCACCGCGTCTTTAGCAGGAGCCGCCCGGTTACTATCGACGGAACCATCATCGCCAGCTTGCTTGAAGTACTTTATCAGCTTATGGAATACGCCATCCAGGTCACACCAGTGAATCAGATCAAAAGTCGTAACAGTACGATAGTATCCTAAAAGAACTAATATATGTACAGCACACAGTTTGTGGACGGTGGTACAGCAGCAGCCAGTGCCGTGTCCTTTTCCTTAGAGCAGATGTTGACCAATATCCTCAAGCCCAGTAGGATGGTTGGAATCGGACTTCCCCCCCTACTAAGCAGCCACACGCAACGGACCTCTTGCACCAGATTTCATGTGCTGGAGAGGTCAGCACTGGGCATGATGCTCGCGGCAAAGATAACCCCATACCCCCAGACCCTATATTGAGAATCAAACCACCCGCATCCATCACGAATTGGCAGCGGAGGCGTGGGCTTTAAGGACAGATTATCGTCTTCATAGGATGTTTCGTCGAGCTTGCCTGCTCTGGGCTTCACTCGCGCAACGAGGCTATTCAAGACAACGCCAACCAGCTCGATCCGGCGCGGCCTCATATTATAGGTATGACAAGCACCAGTATTGGGGTCAAGACTTGCCTCGCCCTCGCCGCCCTTGTGAAGCCTCTACAGGTAGCCGCTAAGCTGGGGGACTCGGAGTCAGATTGCACAGAATCTACGGTTTATATGAAGACCCATTACTAATCAAACTTTCACACACGACCATAGGATCAGGAAAACTTGGCATCCCGTCCGCTCTGCCTTAAATAAGCCTGATACCGCCGGTTTAGTAGTTGGGTTGGTGACGACCAGCGAATCCCCGGTGTTGTATGTTTTGCCATTTTGTCTTTTTAGCAAGCTATCCCTTCTTGCCATCTGCAACTCGGCTATCCGGTACCTGCTCGAGAAGATCACTGTCCTTATTACAACAGGTATTTCGAACCGTCAACGCGGGTGAGCTGGTATGGCGTCGATGGACTTGGGGCATATTGGCCGCCTTGCAGGGTCAGAAGAATCGCCTGCACCGAGACAGATATTGTAATGCCTTTGTGTTCATCTTCATATGTGTTCGGCACCAACGGTATACTAGATACTCCCACGTACTTGTATATTAAAATCCGGCGAATCGCAGCCACGTGGAACATGTTTCCTATTCCATCCAGTCCCGCAGCCACAGCTGATAAACCCCAGTACTTAGAATCCCCTACACATCGAGGCAATCGCAGCCTCCCTGACAGAGACAGATTCCATTGCAGCAGTCGTCACTCGTAGCACAGCTCTCGCCGCTGGCTAGACATCACTTCTCTACCTAGAGGTCTGTGTCAGATTTTGAAAAAGTTCTCTAAATATCAAACAAATAGTCGGAATGGGGGTGGTGTTGTCTCCCACAGTCGTCAAGGGTAAGCCTGAGAGAAACGGTGCTTACCAAAGGGAAGGCGAGCGGCGCCGAGTCACCCAATGGAAGGGCCAGCGTTGGGACGATGCCGAGCAAGAGAAGGGCGGCGGTGGTGATGAATCTTATTTTCGGAAGCTCAAAAGGGGTCCGCACGGAAGTGTAGTATTGGGTAGGATACGGTGTCTCGGCTTTGGTGGATGTCTGGGAATCGGGGACTTCAGACCTGTTGTGAAGACGCTGGGCCCGAGCCCCTTTATAATCCGCCTGGACAGCATCCAGTCATGGGGGCATCTCAGTGCCGGCCGCGAGATACGGGGAAGAGCCCGGATGACCGGACGCTGCTGTCCAGTAGTGCTGATGTCCACGCGGCCCACGTCGCCGTGCAATCCTTCGGCTTATCTGAAATGTCCATAACATTCCACTTCGGCGAATGGACCCATCAAGAAGACCACACCGCTGAGCGGCGCAGGAACTTCATGGCCAATGGCAGCTCGTAGACACACGACGTGGTGATCTCGACTGTGAGTTGACCGTCTGATATGGCCTTTATGCGATGCATGAACAATCCTTATGGTTCCACCTTGTCCGGGGTCGAGTTATCACACGTACGTATGATACCCGCTTCCGAGAAGATCATGGCCCTCCCTGTTGTATCCCGGGGAAATGGCGTCAGGCGGTGCGGTTGCAATCTTCGTCCTGGCTCATCAGCTCATGCGACTGCTTCAACAGCAGAGCGTACCTAGCCGTGCATAGGTTCGGCGAGAGGCCGCCAAAATATGCAGTCATCTGACAGGATAAAGACAAGCGGCGCCAGAGTCCGAGATGCCTCCATAGATCCTCGCATCTTCGAACGCCGTACACCTCACCTGAAAGTTGGGAACGCGGTCAGAGCCAGGTTTCGAGCCGGCAACTGCGCCGCAAGACTAGACATGGTCATCTGACGATGACGCTACCAGTAACTTACCACGGGGTTTTCTTCAAGAGCAGAAACAAATAGGGGTCTGTGGTTTGAGCTTACGTCCTTGAACCAGCTTGTTTATTTAGATGTTGAAGGAAATGCTTCGACGCCGTTTGGCGAATATCTGGGCCAGAAGGGCGCTGGCTAGATCTTTGGTCCTGTCCTGGTTCCGGTTTATGGGGCTCTCCGAGGTCGTTATCAAGAAATGGTTAGTGCAGCTTTGTCAGTCTGGTCAACTGGTCGTCCTATGGCCTCGTTGTCGTGTCACGGCATCTCGGACGAACTTGTATCTTGCCAACACCAGGAGGCTCGTGACTATGAGCTCCCAACGTGGCCGCATGCCCGCGTTCGGTCATCGGCTCGCGGCCTGCGAGGTTACCATTATGGCCCAAGCCGAATCGATTATATCTGGGCTTGTGAGATATGGGGTAGCCTGAGAAGGCAATTGTAAAATGGTGGTCTGTAGGCTATTCACATTCATCGAATGTCTCAATTTTCGATCGCGACTTACGTACCACCTACGCCGAACGTCAATTTCACCGGCTAGCGGCAATCCGTTGAGACGTACGACGCCGAGAACTCCAAGGTCCTTATTTTCGACGGCTTACGATCGAAAGTTTCGAAACCTGTGGTACTTGAGGATGGCCTCGTCGGCACCGACACAGCCGGCGCCGAAAGAAGACTCGATGCCGATGGTACAGGTTGTACGATGGTAGCCCTAAGGTAAATTCATCAATGCCACGTCCACACCCAGGCACCCGATTTAATGGACCATCACGCCGGTTCGTACCACGGCGGACCCGGGCTTGCAGTCATGGAACCCAGGTAAGCAGATGCTGACACATTCCCACAACGCCGGCCACGAACATTTCACTTCAAGGCGGAATGAGGTCGCCCGGTTCTTCTCTAAACCAAAGTGGCCTAGGGCTGTGAGCACGTCAAAGACGGCAGCATTATGGCGGACGAGCGTTCGGCGCATGGCCTGCATCCCGCTAGACCAGAGCCGACCCGGTGGCGATGGAGTCATACTCTATAGTAAGCAGAGAAACAAATCCTCGGCACATTGGTGAATGGCTTGGCCGAGCGGGTGTCCGCAGCTTGGCTTGGCGGGCACAATTGGAAGTCGGGTTCGCGGGGCCCTGGAGCCGGCCGGCCGGGCTGGGCACACGCATCACTCCGAGGCGGCAGGCGGCGGCGGAGACTATTCCAGGCTCCAGGTCCGAGGGTGTGTTGCCCCCGCCTCGGGACGTGGGCAGATGTCGTCCTCATCGCTGCGAAGCCAAGCAAGGTGAGGTATGGTATGTACAGTATGGGGCGGAGGAAGGCGGTGTGCGCGCTTGTGGAGGTACGAATGTGCGAATGTGTCATGCTTGTACTGTATTGGCATGATGTTTGCCTTCTCCCATCCAACATTGAATGTCGGTGATGCTGCAAGTTTGCTCTCCTTCGCTACCTTGTGATAGGCTCATTGACTACAGGTGGGCAGTTGTCGCGTTCAAATATTGGTGGTACATTCCACCTACCTAACTGACTTGGGCAATGGGCACGAGTCTTTCCCCCTTCTCTCAAGATGAAACGCGTGGGACGGTCGCGTCTAACAAGAGATATATTAATATGACCGTATGACGAGGGGGGTACTTAGCCCAAGACAAAGTCAGACATCATAACATCAATATACCGGGTTGGCCAATTCAAGTTTATCAGGGGCTACGGGGGAGATAACGGTTTGACAGACCCACCCTCGTAGGTGGTAAGTACCTAGGTACCTAACCTACCTACACAAGGCTGTCAATCGCAGTCATGACAGTGACGGCGACATTGATTCAATGGTTCGGGATTGACCGCCAAGTTTGAACCACAGCTACACTTGCGCATATTGTACAACATTGATGATTGATCACAATCATTGATGACAGCGGCTGGTGACGATGACATGAAACCCCCTAACCTCAAGTGCTACTGGAATTACTGTAGATACTGTCAGATGAGCGACGGTAGTATTCTACAGTTCTATACTAAGACTTACGTCCATGTCGATGACCTTCCCTGTGACGATCTCCCACTCTGGTTGCATCAACCCGACCTAAACGGATCCGCCCACCTCGATTTTCCCTATTCGGCTCTCCCATTCATGCAACACCAGCCAGAGACATCTCTGAGCGGACATGCGGTGCAAATCACAGCCTACAGGATGGCGATCCCAAGCCGGCTATATTATGCAGTCTCAGATGTTGCAAGCCCAGGTTGTCGGACAGATCCCCCGCTCTTCCTTCATATCAGAACTGAGGAATGGTTGCATTGCTTTGTGTACAATGACATCGAGCTCAAGGGTTAGGTATTCTTCTCTTCTGGCAAAGGCATTGGAAGCATCAATGTCTCATTATGTCGGTCAGGACTGCTTAAGGTATTACTCCATACATCATGAATATTCAAGTACCTACCTACAACGGCGCATGTGTGTAAAGGCTGCCTCAGGTAGCATTGAATACTACAGCCTATACCATGTCCCATCCATACACATATAGATACACAGCCTTCAATCCATATGATCAGCATTGAATAATTTATGCTGCCATTCATCAGCCATTCAAACCCCGGAAGGTGGGAAGGCAGCACCGGCCAATCAGAGCCCGTCAACCTTCCCGTTTTATACAAATCCAGGGTCACTTCCCACACTTCCCACCACTCACGGGCATCACACCTTCCCGTCCTTTTCCTGAGTCCTGACCTCAAGTGCTCGTGCTGGTGGCCCACGGTACTCCGTCCCCGTTTCGGAACATCGTCCACACCTTCACCCCGCCTTCGTTTCGTCTTCACTTCACGTTTATTCTATTTGACTTGACTTGACCTGGACTTGACGATTCTGTCTCGTCTTCTTCTTTTCCGTCTCCCTGCGGCGACGCGCTCTTTACATTCCACTCCACAGCGCGCGAGGCACGCTTTCCGTTCGTTCGACACGCACACCTTCACTTCTCGTCACCCCCACTCTCACCCTCACTCATCATCCCGAGGCCACTCGCAGCCTGTGCATTCGCAGCTCTGCCTTGTGGGTGTACTTTGTTCGTCAGGACCGGACACGTGGACCCTAACATTCTCGGACCGGAGATTTCGACGTCGTACGACAAGCAAGCAACAGGGACACCGAGTCCAGCTTCACGAGGACCGGCGACGAGTCACGACTTGGGACGCATACAGCAAACATTGGTCGTCCAAACATTCACCACCACCTCATTCGCCCCGGCCCTATTGTTCGCCCATTGACCGACAGCCATTAATCATAAATTCCAGCCGTCAGAGGTCCATCATGAGGCGTCGCTAATTCCTCTTCGTCGACCCCCGTCTGCAGAGTCCAGACTGTTTCTCTTCCATCGGCCAGCAAGCTTGGCCCGCTTCGTTTTAAGATACCCTTACCCTTTGTTCCCTTCTCTACTACTCTTCGTCTGTCTTTCAACAACCTCTCTTCGGCTCCGAACATGCGGATCCCGGCGGTCGCAACCGTCGTCGCCGTCCTGTGCCTGGGCCAGGCCGCCGCCCAGATCACAGCGGTAAATCCCTGCGCCGTTGGCTGCGTCCATGGCTCTTTAATCAACATGCCACCGGAGGTTTGTGCCGCAGGAGACACGGCATGCGCGTGCCAACATCAAGACCTACTTCAGAACGCCATCCGGGACTGCATACGCCAGTCCCCGTGCGATGATGCCTTGGCTCAGGTTCCTCTGGCAGAAGCCGACGGGGCTGCAAGCTGCGGCTTAACCGCATTTTCCTCGTCCACCACGGCGACCGCGGCAAACACGGCAACCACGGACACCGCTGCTGAGTCACAAATCACTATTGATTCACAGCCCTCGACAACGACATCGCCAGCCACCACTGCTGCGGCCGAGACGATGCCCAGTCCGGCTTCAACCACCCAGACAGAGGCCACCCAGGCCCCAACCACCCAGACGTCAAGCATCCAGACGTCAACCCCCACGACAGAGGCCACCCAGACTGCAACAGTCAAACCTGCCGAGACAAGTACTACGACGAGCACAACCCCGACTGCCAAGCTCAGCGAGGCTGCTGTAAGTTCTGGTTTCATGCAGGGGTGTGGACTGAAGCTAATATGTGTACATAGAATTCGGCATCACCATCATCATCGGCGTCAACCGTGTCGTCCGGTAGTGGCACGAGAACATCTGGCACGGCTGCCGCGACTGAAGAGACATCAAGCGGCTCCGGGTCGTCGCCAGCAGGTACCGGGCTCTCGACAGCCGTAAAGGCTGGCATCGGCGCGGGGGTCGGCGTCGCAGCCATCATGGCTGCCATTGTCGCCATATGTTGTTGCATGCGGCGCAATCGGAAGAAGCAAGACCCACGCCGTGCCCAGGCCATCAAGATCTCGCCCCCTCTCCCGGGATCCGGGCGGCAATATGCACAACACGATGTCCGCAACGCTGAAGCGGCTTTGTCCAAGACATTTACACCTACGACCACAACCTACGCAGGCGCGTCGCTGCAATCGCCAACGTCCATGTACTCGACCTCGAAAGAGTCGTACAACGCCGAGCTCGATGCCCATGCCAGGCGATATGAGGACCAGTTGCCGCGAATGCAGCCGAGAACCATGATATAACGCGAGCAGTTGATAAAATAACTGCACCATCACTGGCATAAGCAATTATTAACGGGGCATCTCAACTGAATAACCATCAACCGCTGCTTGTGCGACTGCAGATGATATTGCCGACCGTCTGCTTGACCGTATGTTATCAGTTATTGGGGAAAGTCAGGAACTGGTGTCGATATATCCTAAATGGGGACCGGGAAAAGGCAGCTGAACATTCCACGTCAGAGCGGGTGTATGCTTCTCGAATGTCATCAGCACAGAAAGGTGCCTGATGTAGTCTAGGAAACAATGAAAGAAATCCTGCTGAACTCGTATGGTCTTCTATCTTTAATGGGCTGTGCCAACCGTGAAATGACAGTGCTGCTATGCCTTTTTTTCTTTTCTTTTACCAGTGGGTTTACTCCAGGGTGACTGACTGACAGCTAGCTTATGGCTCGAAATCAAAAGTATAGGCTTTTGAAACCTAAAAAGAAAGAACGTCAGCCGCTAGGGGAATCGAACCGCTGTGCCTAAGAATACCTTGTAAGAATACTTTGTAAGTATATTTTGCTAGACCGTACCAACCCGGCTACTAGATAAACCTTTTAAACTCGTATATATATCCTGTACTATTGTAGGTGCAGAAAGAAACGGGTAGACATTTGCAAACGTGCGCAAGGTGGCTTAACTCTATACGAAAGAGAAAGGGGGAGAGAGTACCTTGTTAGGTGGAGAGGGCCAAAAATAAGAAGAGAACGTGTTAACCACTAATAAGAATACTTCGCTAGGCCGTAACTACCAACGCGGCTACCAGATTAACATGCTAGAGGTAAATATATAGGTATTCTACACGATGTAGTGACTACCTATCAGTGCTTCCACCGGGGCACGTTTGACTTTACGCGTGGTGAATTATATCGCGGGAACTTGCAGGATAATTGGCCAATGGGTGGGTTATCGAAATGAAGTTGAGCTGATTGTGGCGCAGATAGTGGTGGTTGTGTAAGTTACGGCATCCGATGGCCAGTACGTTTAATAGACCGTGTTTACGGTAGCGGACTTATTTCCACGTATCCATTAGACTGACCGAAAGAGGTGAAGTTTAGCCACGTGAATATTCCAATACTTGACTCCATTAAACGTCTGGGCGCCACTCTTGCCGGCATTGGATGCTTGTACACGAGGTAGGTGACCTGTCTCTGACCTGATCACATTCCAGGCATAGTTCTTGTCACAGTTCGACTGTTGGTGACTCGATACTTACATTTGTTGTTGTAGGTACGTGAAGAAGACAATAAACTATGAAGTTACCTAGCTAGAAGACATGGTCGGGAGGCATGTATAGGAGTTAGTCCTGTGGGGCTCGCAACCAGCGGCAAGGTTGGAAGTCAGTCACTGCTAAAATATGCGAGCCACGCCATGAGGTAGTCAAAAGCTCAGCAAAAGCTGCAAGTGGCACGTACAGCCTTCCAAACTTATTCGAAAACTCATTTTGAAGGCAGCTAGCTCTGTTCTTCCGCGTGAAGCCATATGTGTTGGAATTCTTGGTGGAGGTCGATGAAGTTCAGATACTTGGTGGCAGGGTGATGGGAGTATGTTTTCACCTTGACTTGCCATACCCGCACAGATACCCTCTAATCTCCAAATTAAGAGCTCCACTTCTTCAACTCCTGTACAACCTTATGATATGAGCCGTGAAATTTTTTATCCAGCAAACAGGGCTTTCTAGGCCGCCAGCCCAACTGCCTCCGGGCCTTGGCGCTGGAAGCGCGGCACCCGGCAGTCAAGAACTTGGGTAGGAAGAGACCCATCGCGGCCGCAGCCTACTCTTCCGCGATGGAGACGGCCGGGACGTAGCAAGCAGCAGCAAAAGCGTTGGCCAACTGCCTCGCCGTCAGCTCCGTCTGGCCGGTGGCGTTGACGACATCGCCCTTGTTGGCGTTCCTGGCGGCGAGCAGGTACAGACGTGCGGCATCGTCGGTCGACATGGACGGTCGAACTCGGCCAGTGGCCGTCGTCGATGTAGACGGCTTGGCTTGCTTTCCCTGCAGAGTCCCGGCCAGGACACATGTACCTAGACACCGCTGCGGCCGTGGCCGTAGACGTAGGGTGCGAGACGGACACAGATGACCTTGACGCCCCTTTTCCGCCCAGGTCACGGCGTGGCGCTCGGAGCGGAGCGGATGCGCTCGACGAAGGGGTCCTCGAGGGTCTGCGGGAGAATCCTCGTTGGTCTCCTTGCCGTTGTCTGGTGCGACGACTAGGGTGCTGGAAGTGACGAGCAACGTCTTATCGGTACCCCTGAGAGGCTCTGCCAGGGCGTCCACGGCAGCGGCGTCGCTCCTGATGGCTTGTGCGTATTCCTTCGGTTTGGATTGGTCGAGGAAGCTGTCGGCGAAGTGCATGACGATGTCGGCTTGGGCGGCCTCTCGACGCAGAACATCTACGACGTGGAGGTCACCCCTGACTGCCTGAGCACCGAGGGATTTGAGCTTCTTATCGCCCTTTGCGCCGCGTGAGAGCCCGCGGACTTGGTAGCCCTCTTTGATGGCGAATTCGGTTTACGACAGATTCCACGTGGCCAGTGGCGCCGGTCATGAAGATGGTCTTGCTGCTGCTTATGAAGTGATATGATGGTGTTCGAGGTGGAGAGACGAACCTGGTCGGCTTTGCACTCTGGCTGAAGATGGTAGGGACCTTGGAATTATTTGGGGTTGAAAGCTGGGTGTGTGGGAGAGGAAAAGCGCCATTTATTAAGGGCGATGGAGGAAGAGAGTGACATCACATGTACTTGCGTTCCTTTCATTCAAACTGTTCATCGTGAATGACATCTGCGACTTCAATGTTTGAAGTGTTATCTTACGTCCGGGGCACTCCGGCCACGTCCGGCGTCGTGCCTTACATCCGGCTCGGATCCTAACACCGCCCGGCCCACTGCCACTAATAGCTTATCTGATGTATGCCTCTGTGAGGATGCCATGGCGAAGGAGCACACTCATCATGACTATATCGTCTGACGTGGTCAACTCATTGTGCTACAGGTCTTGCGCTGTCGCTTTGTGGCTGTTCGCTGTGAGGCAACACGCCTTCGAGGCACTGCTACACTGACCCGATCGTTGCCATGTTGAGCAGGGTGTAGCTCACAGCGCGGCGTGGTGGCGGCATGGGAGAATTGTGGTGGGCATGTCCAACACACACACATACACACAACGCGTAGGAAGACACGGGCGGCTCAGAGATTGTGGTACTACAAATAGTAGACAGATACAGATACAGATATTGATTACATACATATATGTACAGGACGGCGCAGCGCTCGGGCTATCGCGGAAACCTACCAGCAGTAGTACTGCCTCTGTGCAGTGACCGGGCGGTTGGGCAGGTGAATCCACGGGGCTTTCTTGGCCTGTTTCTCTACCCGGTCATCGTGCTGCCGTATCCTCGTCTTCTCCTCCTTCAGGACAACATTGATCGCTGCAGCGTTGGTTAATATCGAGATGGGTGTGGTGGCTGGGAGGAATAGTGTGCCACTTACAAGTCGTTGGCCTCCACATCCTGGACATGCGTGCCCTGGCGTGGTATTGTATCCGCACGCCTCGGTAGGGGCCCTTTGCCACCCAGGACTCGTCGATGTAGAGCTGGGTGGGGTCCTGGACCTCGATCCATCGGCCGTCCTTGGTTTGAATCTTCTTGGGTGTCCTCAGCACTTCGCCCGTGTGCACGCCCAGACCCATACCGCGACTGGCGATGGCCGAGTCCCTGGCCTCCTCGAGCTGCCACTTCACCTCCTTCGCGATCTTCTTTTTGCTGTAGCGCATCTGGGTGATGGCATCGTCGATGGTCTTGCCGACGATCTGGTGGGACAGCTTGACCAGCTTCTTGGTGCTCGTGGGCAGGGGCGGGCTGGCGCTGTGAACCTCCTTCTCGGACTGCTTTATGCGCTCCTTGTGGGTGAGCTTGCCGTCGGCCCTGACCATCTGCATGACCTTCTTCTTCTGGTAGCGTACCCTCCACCTGGGATCGGGATCGAGGGCGCGCTCCATGTGCTCCTTCATCTTGCTGAAGCCGACGGTGGAGCCGGCGGCGATCTCCTTGGAGGCGTCCTGGCCGGGCTGTTCGGCGTCCTTGATCTCCTCGTCGAAGATGGTGGAGCCCTGGGTGCGGTTGAACATGCGGTCGGCCATCTTCTGCTGCCTTTCGCGTTTCGTCAACTCTTTGGCCAGCGGTGACTCTTTAGAAGAAGAAGACTGGGATCCCCATCCGTTGAACCAGGCATTGCGGCGCTGAGTCTTGGGAAGAAGGCGTGAAAGATGTAGGGATGGTTGGCCGACGGTTGCCCGAGCTGTTGGTGTTTCTAGTTAGCTTGCGGTGGTGGCAGGACGCGGTTGCGCTGTCATGGAGAGGGTGTAGGCATACCGGACTGTACGGCCCGCCGCGCTGGCAGATGTAAGCTCATGATTGTCGACAGTCTCGCGAAGGGAAGTTGGAAGCTGTGGTTTCCCAAGCTCAAGCGCTCAAGCTGCAGCGGCCCCGGAGAAAACGGAGAAAAGTTCCCTGACCGCGACGGCGCACGAGCCACGAACAGGAGTAGGTAGCTTGGATGTACCTCCATACCGGTGGCATACCCGACTCTGTCCATTGTGGCTTGATGCTGATGCATGAGGCTTAACGTCTTGAGTCACGTGACCAAGCCCGTACAGCGAGTAAGATCAGCCCATTTTCAAGCTGCATCGTCCCAGCTGGCCAGTCAATCGGTCAATTCGCCAAATACTGAGAGCTTCTCGACGTCGCAAAGCAAAGACACATCTCCCCTCCTACCACCAACCCACCGCTGAAGCTTCCGACACAATGGCCATCAAACCTATTACTGGTGTACGTGCTCAGTGAGCTCAATGGCTGCTTCTTCGCACCGCTGACCTTTGTTCCAGATGCTCCGACGGGGCCTCGTCCTCGACCTCGGAATTGCGCTCGGTACGTCGTGAACAGCTTCCTCTCCGACGGCCATTGGTACTCTCCGGACGAAAAGACCGCAGCTGGGCTGACTTGGGTTATAGGCATCGGAATGACCATGGGCAGCCTCTACTGGTACGGAACCACTCAACCATCCCCTATCGAAGCCCACACGAACGAGCAGCCACACTGACATTCAACAGGCACGGATACCACATGCCCCGCACCCATGCGCGAGACAACTTCTACAAGCAACTCGAGGAGGAGCGCGCAGCGAAAACCGGCCAGTGATGCAGCAACGACGGGTGGAAGCAATACGGTGCCAGCAGACGCTGCGAGGAGGCAACGAGCGTGACAGATAGACAACGGACCATTTCTTGTGTCGTGGCGCATTAGACGAGACAATAGCACGCTTCGAAAGCTGCGACTGTACTATACCATCCCTCGGCCGACAAATTCAGACTTCAGCATATTCAAACATCCGGTTCGCTGCTGACCCTGTGACGATGCCTGAAGGCTAACTCCCATGCTGGACTTGGAATTACTCAATTGGTCATGGTGGTGGTGGTGGGCCAGCCAAGGAGTGCTATGAGGGTAGCAATTGCCGGGGTGGCTGTCTTCGGTGGTGAGCCAGGGCTGCGTGGATGGAAAAGCAGAGCGTAACAAGAACACAAGAGCCAAGTCGAGGGAGAGCATGTAACGGGCGGCCCAGTAGCTGGCCTGCTAGTAGGTGCTGCTTCGCTTTGGGCGCTCGAGATACAAAGTGTACCTTGTCAGTGGGCTAAGGGTCAAACAACCAGGACGGCTTAAAATCACACATGAAGCAGATGACCGACCTAGAATAGGCACGCATGGAGGGGTGTAGATTTCTCTGGCTGACCTGCCAGCCTCCCAGGAAATACCAGTGGAATTAGAGTTCAGTGTATCCCATCGTTTTGGTAATGCGGCTTTTCCCCTCCTTCTAATACGTATTTCAACCCTAGGCCCCGAGCAAGAGACAGGAACAAATATGCATGGATGCAAAGACGGACGCGGTGGGAATCCCAGCACAGACTCCTTAGAACAACCCCTAATCGCAAGTTTTGATGCAAGTTGTAATATCTCCCACATGGGCCCTTGGCAGCTCCTAGTATCACCAACGAATACCTGCTGTGGTTCTGACGTTTCGGAGAGCGACGACGTCCGAATGTCAAGAAACCGTGACACACTACACGAGACCCTATAGATGGCCATTGGACTCAGCTCAGTAAACCTTCGGACATCATTGATGTCCATAGGTGAGGAGGGCAGGTGACCCAGCCCCACCCATCGGCCGTTGGTCAACTCGTCTTGGACGCTTTCTCAGCTTCAACCGGCAACGTCTTCCCTTCCCACATGGTGGTCTCGACGGTGAAAGCGCCCCTGTTGTCCCGACACCTGTCCGACATATCAGTCATACCACACCGTGACACTGCTGCCGCCCGTGGGGGTCACGCAGACACTCACCGCCGAAACCACCGCTGCACCGGCCAGCACCGCACCGGACTGCCCGAAGCTTCCGGATGATCAATCTTGCATTCGTACTGCACCATCGACAGCAGCTCGCAGGCCGAGAGGTCGATCTTGCCGCCCTTCCGTCTGCGCCCGTCGTCGTTCACCTGGATTTCCGACTCCAGCTGCGAGGCTGGGAAGACGCGGCAAGGCGGCGTCATCTCCGTTTTCCCGTCCTGGCGGGCCTGCTCGCTGTCCTGCGCCGAGGCGTATTTGGCCTGACCTTTGATGGATGCCGCTACAGCAAAACACGTCGGCGCTCGACTGCTCGGTGAGGTGGAAGATGGCAGTCTCGAAGAGGTATGTCCGCATCATAGCCCGAGGTGTACATACGGGGTACATCAAATGTAATAATCCGAGCTTCAATGTTGTCTGTTCTTATCTTATCGCGCCTACTGTACATGCATTTGCACCCCGACACCCCTTTAATACCTACTAACTGACTACCTACCTACAGCTCCTGGGCGAACTCCGTGCCAACCTGACCAACACTTCTTCCCACCATCGCAGCCCCGAGCTTCCCTTACCGGGTCTGACAACTGTCGCAAGTCGGTATCAGAAAGCAACCCAGTCGGCACCGCCGCCCCTTCTGTCGGTCAGCGGACGATACCTACCCCTGCTGTACCACCTGGTGTCCACTCTGATAGCAGCACCGCATAGCTACACTGTAGTTCTCGTTGATGTCGAGTCGAGGTTCGACGTGACCCGCCTCATTCACCCGTCAAGTAACTACTCGGCCGCATATTCCGACCTCAAGCACCTCTATGTCTACCGCCCAGCCCGCGGCCAGGAGCAGGCGGCCATCGCTGCCGCCGAGGGTTTTATGCTGTACGGGGCCCACGGGAGCCGCGACCGGGAGTGGTGGGGCACGGTGGTGGTCGGCGGGACCGGTGGCGACGTGAATGCCGGGTGGAAGGGCTGGTTGAGGGTCGAGAAGGAGGAGGTCGGTGGGTTCGCTGTGGGTGTCAGTGTGGACGAAGCTCTGAAGGACAGGGCGAGGAGGCAGGAGGTGGTTGATGGTGCCGGCTGGGTTGCACGGTCCCAGTGGGGGAACTATGGATGGAAGGACGTGTAGGGTGATTTTCAGGGTGAGGGTAGTGTCTGTACGCGTTCACGATTGACTCAAGATCTTCTGCTTCTATTCAAGAGCTCCCAGAACCTGTACGCTATTCAGGGGTCCAGATATCTGGTCTGAGTCTCACGGCTGCATCCAGTACACGGTCCTGTACACGGTAGGTACCCAAAAATGAGAGATCGAGTTCTTCTCAGACCAGGTCAGTGTATGAATTCGATGGCTCATCAGCAGCAGTCTTCTGAGGCCGATACAGACTGGATACCCGTTACTACAATTACTTTAGGCTGTTTAAGTGCATAGGGACGCTTAGTCGATAAGCCAAATAAGGTTATTGCATATATAGCTACAGCTTCTAGATGAGGTGGGGCTACCTACTGGCTCGACTTCATGTGCTGTGTTCAATGTTCAGTGTTCACTCACCACCACGCGACGAAGCCCACCACATCTCTGATTCCGATCCGGAGCAGAGCAGGGCAGGGCAGGGCAGGACAGGTCCGGGAATCCAGTCACGATGGCTTCGGCACAGTATGGATCTCTCACGCCGCTGCAACACTACAACCAGCAGCAGCACTACGGCGTCGCCTTCCAGGTTATGCCCCAACAAGCGCAACCTCCTCCGCCGCCGCCGCAACAACACCTCCCCTCGACGGCGCTCCCGACCACGATGCCGGACATCAATCACATGCCGGCACTTACGCACACGCACCTGCAGCCGAACGGGACCCCCCTACAGACGCATGCGCACCTGCAACCGCAGCCGCAGAGCACCACTCCCATCCCGACACCGATTCTAAATACAGTTCCGAGTCCGAACTTGCCCGCAACACCCTCCACCACGGGCGGCCGAGGCCCGAAGCGCCGCCGCACCACCAACAACAACGACAGCACCGCATCACAGCAGACCCCCTCGCCGGCGCCGCCCACCACCGTGCACCCCTTCAGCAAGGGGCCCTACGAGACGCTCGAAGACGCCATATTCGCATTGCAGCTGCACGTCTTCACGTCGGGCTACGGCGTGTCGCAGAAGCGGACGGTCAAGGAGAAGCTGCCCTCGGGCAAGTACGACCCGGAGGGCGACATCATCCGCAAGGACTTCTCGTGCGACAAGGGCGGCAACGAGTTCGTGTCGCAGTCGCGGGGCGAGCGGCGGCGCGAGAGCAAGAAGTGCGGGTGCCAGTGGAAGGCGGCGATCCGCCGCCTGCGCCGCGAGAACAACCACTGGTTCGTCGAGATCCTCGAGCCTGCCCACAACCACCCCGTCACCCCCGCCGACGAGATGCACACGCTGGCCTCGTACCGCCGCTGGCAGCGCGAGAATAATGCTGGTATTCGTAGTGCCATCGCCCGCCTCACGCGCGCCGCCGCCTTGCCCGCCCGCCAGGTCGTAGCATACCTCCGGGGCGACGTCGCCGACCCCGACCTCGACCGCATCGACAAGCAGATCCTGCGCGCCCTCAGCATGAACGACAAGGAGCTGCCCGGCACCGAGGGCAAGGACGGCAGCTCGGTCGCGTTCGACATGCTGGCTAGGAGGCCAGTCATCATCCTTCAGGACAACGGAGGCACCGCAACACCCTCGAACAATAATGCGAGTACAATCGCAAGTACAAGTGGGCATCGGGAGCTACCACCAGGCGGCGGTGTCATCATGTGACGTGTGTCGCTTAGGTAGTCGACGACTGGGTTCGGACCAATCGGGCAGCGTCGATACACGGCTTGATGGGCTGGGTAAGGCAAGGCAAATCTGAACTTTCCAAGGAATCGAGCGTCGGGCGCATCAGGGGCGTTTGTGTTCACGGTACTCAGGTGGGTTAGGGAGCAGGGAGCATACGGAGTTCACACTTGATATGTCTTACTAGCTGCATGTTTGTACTCATATTCTCGCTAGGGAGGCAGACGGAGGATAGCAGGGTCACTGCGTTCGGGATGCTTGTCATGTCACAAACCTATGTACCCTACACGTTGGTGCTCTGTTTTCAACACATGGCTACCTCAGTACTTAGCTGGCTACATTGTGTGGATGATTCACTATAATACTACGTGGCAATATCCTCGAATCATGTGATGGCCATCTAATTAGCTGGCCACGTTATGTTGATGATTCACTATAAAACTACATGGCGATATTCTCGATTCACGGCGAGTCACTCTGCGCGGCTGTGTCTAGAAGCACCCCGGTGGCAGCCCTAGCCTTGATGCGCTCGTAGTACCCTTGCAGGTTCTCAAAGTCGAAGCCTTCGGCTTCGCGCATAGCTGGCATCATGGCATGGAGCACCGGCCAGAAGGCAAAGTCGGCCAGGGTTACCATGCCCGAGTTGCCCGCGATATAGTCGCCTTCGCCCGCGTACCTGTCCCACGTCGTCAGCTCGCGGCGCAGCAGCTTGATGTCGTTGTCGGGGCATGCCCTCCACTTGTCGAGCAGGCTCAGCGCCTGCTGGAACCTCTCGAACAGCCGCCCGAGCCCGGGGCGCGAGGCGGTGGGGTGATGCCCCGCCGCCTCGCCTTCTTCCCCGTCGTCGTGGACGCGCTGTAGGTACAGCATGATGCCCAGCTGCCCCGCCACGATCGTCTTGGACTCGTCGTTGTCGACGAACTTGACGGGGAGGTCCACGGGGATGGCCACCGGGTCCTGCGTGGGCTTGCCGTCCTTCCAGTTGAAGTGCGGAGACACGCTCCCGCGCGCGTAGTTGATCCCGAACTCGGCGAGCATCATCTGGACGCGCATGTTGACCACGGGGTCTGTCGACAGGAACAACCGCGGCGCCGTGGACATGTGGAGGACGTCGAAGCCCTCGCCGTAGAACTCGTCCCAGTCGAAATCCGTCGACTGGTTCTCCCTGCCGAACCCCCGCAGCATCCTGACAGCTTCGGGCGTCTGGCCGTTGATGACTCGGTGTGCTTCCTGCTGCGTCTTGGCCTCGGCGCCTTGGCCCCAGATCAGCTTGCCATCTCGGTCCAGGAAAGTTGCTATCTGCCTGAACGTCAACGAGATTCGGCCGCCGTCGAAGGCCAGCTCCGCCGGGGACTTGTCACGATCCATCCTCTTGTCTTGACGAATGGCGTGTAGCCATCGCATGTTGGTGGTCAAGCCCATCCTGCACAGCGAGTTATGCGGCAACCTCGCACGTTGAATCTGACGCTTGGCACCCTCGGCCTGTCTTTTCGTCCTAAATGTCATAGTCCTTTCCGCGCCAAGGCTGACATTGGCGATGAAGGTGCCCTTCGCGATGTCCAAGGTCTTGTCGCTGTGCTCAGAGATATAATCATTGCCATGACGGTAGAATTGGATCAAGACATGATTCAAGGGATGGCCTAGCTTTTCCTCCACGCGCATTTTGATCTCTGCCACCGTCGCTGAGAAGGGCAGAAGCGGTGGCGACTCGTCAGCAGGGTGCCGATAGACAGGCATAGTACCATCTTCCGCAACCAGGCCCTGTACCGCGACGAGCCTCGGGACCTCACCACCCTGGTGGGACATTCGTTGCCAGAGGACTTCGTCCCGTACCCTCTCGAATATATTCTCGGCCAGAGGTTGCGGCAAAACATCGTAGATGACTTTGGTGTCGCCCTCGCAGAGAGGACTACTCTCGCCGAGTGTGAGTGCCTGATGCGCCATTGTACTGCTAATTTCTTCCGTAACGGTTGTCGAATGGTTAGTAGGGTTTGTAGTGTTTATAGGATTTGTAGATTTCTCCACCAGGAAGTCTCCCTCTCTCTGTTCCGAGTCGATCACCGTCCTACTTAAGGGCGTCGACGTGTCGTCCGAGTCAAACGACACCTTTGGCAACGAACAATCGCTTGTTTCGTCGAGAATAGGTGTTTGTTCGCCTTTCATGAGACCTGACTCTTTGTCCGGCCGTTGCTTTGCACGTGCGATCGGAGACCTTTGACGTGGTGATTGATCGTTGTCTAGCCCAGTGCATTGTTCGGTTGAGTGGGCAACGCGCGACTCCGCCTTCATGTTTGAATCTAAAACTGCTCTATTGGGTTGCTTTTCGATGTCTGGCTTGTGTTCTGCCATGGGCTGAAGCGGAGGCTTTGACTCTTGCGGTTGTATCCGGAGCTCGGGCTTGTCGGCTGCAGGGTCACCGCTTAGCGACAGTCTCTCAAACGACGATTGGATTACTGAGGCTGGGGACGCCTCGCCGTCCTCTCGCCCTTCATGGGGACGTACGGTTGGGTATCTGTTGGCAGCCTCCGTCGACCTGCGGTCTGGTGACCGACGAGGTTTAAGTTTGGGCGCCATAGACTCTAAAACACGCGCAGCCCGCAAGGTTTGGCAACCCGTGGTGTCCGATATTGCCATGATGGCTGCGCGGTGCCTCCCGATGCTCTGGTAGCCGCAGCAGTCATCGACAATGGTGATAGTGTACCCGTGGCTCGCAGCGTCGATGGCAGTGGCCATGACGCTGATGTTGGTCATGGCGCCACATATGAACAGCTCAGTCACGACCCTGGTGCGCAACAGGCGAAGCAGCTGTTCCGATTTGAAGGCCGAGTAATGCGACTTGACCAGCTGATGGTCCCGTGGCCCCACGGCCAGCTGCACCACCGGGTGGAACTCGAGGCCGCGCGAGCCGGGCCTGACACAGCTCGGGTGCTCTTGCTCTCCTACGTCTCCCAGGGTCAGGAAGGCCTCCGGGCTGTCCGGATACTCGTCCTCGTGCGGCCCCGGGCGCGATCGCCGGCCTCGCGCAGGTCCGTCCGAGGTCAGAATTTGCTCGCTCGAGACAGGCCGGGAGCTGTCGAACTGGCTCCGCACCCAGATCACGTCGCCGCCGCGCTGGCGGAACGCGTTCGCAAAGTCGGCGATCCGGAAGGGGAGGTCGGAAGGAATCTTGACAGGCAATGCGCCGTCTTCGGTAAGAAAGTCATTCTGAGGGTCGACGACCAACAGGGCTTTGCGGGTCGACAGGGACGGCAGAAGCGCAGTATCTATGGGAAACATAATGACCACCCCCTAAGTAGGTATGTCATGGGGACCCCGGGAGCAATGCTTTAAGATACAACAGCTGGCTACGGGAAGCAGAGCTGAGTTGGCCAGTGGCGGAGCTGGGGAGTGAGTCAGGACTGCGGTGTCGAAGAGCACATTGTGGATATAGTAGCGACTCACAGGTTGAGGGTCGGCGGCGCTCGCTACGTGCCTGCTCATAGTCGAGTGGTAAAGAGCGCTGAGTAAAGATAGCAATGTGAATGCTGATATATCCTCGTGCTCGTTCTCATGCCTTGCCTCGCCTGCGCCTTGAGATGGAAGCGTGAGCAGCCGTCGGTGACCCTAAGAGAGGCGTCGTCGTCAGTACATTAATATTTATCTACAGTAAGAAAGTATTAGCCCTTGAGGCGGTGTGTATAATGTACCTAAGTGTGAGAATGAATGAACATGAACTGAGATTCGAATTGAGGCGAGGGGTTGAAGAATGACGGGACACAAGGCCGGGGCACGGGGGGGGCCAAAGAGGGGGGAGGGGTTGCTGCATGCAGTACCAGGTACCGCCTCTGTCTCGCAAACGTCGCTTAGTCGGCGCTGGCTGCTTGTACCTGATACGTGCCTGCCATCAACCTTGTCTGATGGGGCCGATCACCCCACCACCCCACCACATGCAGACCGGGATACCATGTAAGTTACGCCGGACATCTGGCGCATCTAGGCTCTAGCAGACCGACTGGCAACTGCTTCACCCACTCTAAGATCAACAGACATTCGTTACATGGTCATGTACCATGAATGATGAATTTGTCTCACACCGTTGGGGCTCGGGGGTTATCGACCAGGTATCGTGACCGCCTGTTGGAACCTTCTGTCAGATTGCGGATGCATAGATGATGGATGGGATGGCGGCTGTTCCCGTGCCCGTTGCCCAATAACTTCAGTGTTATTACAAACTTTGAAGCAGAGAACCTTGGGACTGAGGAGAGAATGTTGCCGCCGGCAGCCCGGAGCAGTCGCCATATCGACACTTGGTATACCTCCATTAACCGCCCTGGCCACTGCCACAGCCATTGGCCTATCAACGCGTTGTTGATCCTCTCGGCATGCAGAGCAGACTGGCAGTAGAGAAGGACATGGACAGAGTTGGAGAGAGTGGGAGACTGACTGTTGCATTCAAAGTTGGATGACAGCTCCAAGAATGGAACATTACCCGCATGTGAACCCCGGGCCCTCTTCAAAGTTCTGCGGCAGCCGCGGGGGTTACCGTAACTTACCTTACGGCTCGTGCCGGTCCACCCGCCTTATCGTCGTTATATTCATCATCATATCATATTCATTCCTATCATCATCACCATCATCTGGCGCTACCCGTCCTTCGCTTCCGACAACGCCTCCTCGCCTCGATTCCGGACTCTGCTCGTCGTCCGGTACGCCCACCAGTGTGCTCGCAAATGAAGGAGTCATGACCCTTTGGCGACAGGCATGCCTAGCGTGACTGTTCATGATTCGATATCCTCTTCGATGGTTGTACTTGCAGCCTGGCTCGGAAGACTCGAGCTCTATGCTATCTATACCTGTGCGAGCATTGCTGGCGTGTGGTTGTCTGCGATGACACTGATCCCACCCCATGACCACTCACTGACAAAGCCTACATCCCGTCATCTCACCTAGATTAAAGCCCGCCCATGGAGCCCGAGCCTCGGGCTTTAGACCAATTCGCTCCGTGACAGACGCCATGGTTGGTCGCTGTGCTCGCTTGCTTGGTAGCATCGCTACGACTTGGCCCCTACTTGGTCACTTCATCTCGCTCAGTGACCGACTGAGCTCAGCAAACGTGGGCCGTTCAGAACCAACAGGAAGCGAGCATCGTCGATGCAGCGCCGCGAGCAGCATCGCAATCCTCATCTCCCCCTCGTCGAAATTCGCCTTGATCAACCTCCACACGTCTTCCATCAGGTGCGCAAAGGCAAGCACCTCGAGCTGCTCCATCTTGTGACCATCCCCGTACATAGACGCCGCTCCAAAGTCGCCAAGAAGTGCGTGTTCCTGCTCGTCGAACAGGATGTTGTGCGCGTACATGTCTCCATGCGCAACCCTGCGCTGGTGCAGGTGCTCTGCCGCCGATGCGACACTCTGCAGGATGCGTAAGCCCTGCGCTGTAGTCAACCGGCTCGTTTGTGAGAAGCAGTCCCTCGTGCAGCTTTCCAACGATGGTGGTAAACCCAGCGTGGTATAATGAGCCGGGATCAGTTGCATGACGAGGCCCTTGTTCGAATGGTCACATATTTCCCCCAGTGGGTCGATGAGGTTGGCGTGCGAGCCAGCCCGGATACATGCCCGCATCTCGTCCATGGGAGCGCCATCTGTGGACAATCAATTCGTTAATACACCGTACTTGAAGACGGACAATGACACGGCCACTTGACCTGGAGTACACAGACAGCAGCGTCCGCATTGTGCTCGACGTCGACTTCATCGAGCCATCAAAAGTCCCGAATCCCTCGGCAGATGGAGTGTCTCATACGTACCACTCGTCACGGTCCCTTTGAAAAGCTTGATAGCCACCTGCTGAGCATGGCCGCCTCTATGCCACACCGCCTTGGAGATGACGCCGGAAGCGCCTTCACCATGCACCTCCTGAACACGGAGATCGTCAAAGCTGACGTTCACAAGGCCAGATGATGACCCATCACATTCGGATGCCGACGCGGACGATGCGCACGGGTTCCCGGCGAAGGATAGGAATGCCAACTCGGGAAGGCCAAACAGCCAGCCTGGTAGCTGCTCGATGCGATTGGCAGCGAGTCGAAGACCAAGCTTCCGGCAAGAGGCCATCTCCTCGGGCAGATCGCAGAGCTGGTTCCCAGACAGCATACACTTCTGGAGGCGCACACACGTTCGGATACTCCGCGGCAGAGCGCCGATGAGGTTGTTGGTCAGGATCAGCCAACGCAGCCTCGGCGGCAGCGAGGCCTCGGGGACCTCGCGCATTCCGTTGCCCCGGAAGGCGACCATCTCAAGGTCGGGGCATGATGCCAGCTGGCGTGGGAAGACGGAGAAGTTGCAGTCGGAGAAGAAGGCAACCTTCAGTTTTCGGAGCCGGCCAAAGTCCTCGGGGAGGACAGACAGTCCGGTGCCGGAGAGGTCCAGGTGCTCGAGCGACTCGGCGTGAGTATATATCTCTGCCGGGAAGTGGCGCAGGGGCTTTGTTATCTTGAGCTTTGCGACGGGGGCCGGGCTCTCGACAAGCGCCGGGTGACTCGGCCTCTATTTTCGGGTTCGCCGGTTGTAGCATTGGGGGCTGTGCCTTTATCGAGCTTTGAGGGTTTTCTGGTGGGGGAGATCTCCTCTCTTGCGTATATTCAGCTTGGTAAGGTTTCCGGCGGTATGATCATGTAGCCAGATCTCAAGCTGTAACCAGGTTTGATCTACTGTGTAGATAGGGAAGACTTGATGAGACATTCATACGGACCCGTGCGGGTTTCGGGATAAATCGATACCTCGCATAGCTACCTATGTGCCTTTTGGTAGCTTTCCCAGATGCTGACAAATCACAAGTCTTGTTGTAGTGCTTCATTAAAAGGTCGGATGGAAAGGATTCCATCCGAGATGGATCTAAATACCTAAATTACAGTGGTGAGGTACCTGGGGCAACAGGTGGGTTGCCAGGCAGCCTTCCTCAGGTAACCTCCAACATATCTGGTGGGGTTACCAGAATACTCCATGCACTAGATCCACACCTACACAAATACCTACAGCATGTAATAATGAGCAGTCCAACTCGTAATTGTCAGGTACCTCCGTATGGAACGTGCATGTAGCAGAGGAAACCATAAGTCTACGCGTAGGTTCTTTGTCGAGGTGGTCACTCATGGCTTCGTCGGCCTGGCGAGTCGCCATTGGCGACTGTTCATCCAGATACGGTAGCAACATGATTCGAACCCCCAGTGCTGTAGGCAACCTGAATATGCATGGAACCACAGTCAAAACCCTGTTGACGCGTTCCCAAATAATTGAGCAGAGTATTCTCCCAATCACTTTATTCACCAACTACCATCATCCACGCCTGACTCGTCCAGCCTGATGATCCGCTCAGCACCCATGATGAGTGCAATGGCATCACCGCATGAGGAACCCATTCAACTACCACGCCTCCGCCTTGACGCCTGCTCGGCGGGGTCCCCATTCAAGACGACGGCGAAGAGGATCTGAACTATCACTCATCTCACCCTGTTGAACTTAGCTGCAAGAAGCTTCCTCGTCGCTGACCCCAACAAAGACCGACACGAACAAGATCGAAGCCCCGTCCGGAGGATATCCATACGATACAGCCCGCATGCAGTATTTCCAAGGTCGACGACAACCAGAGCCGCACTGGACCCCACCACGGCGGAGGCCCACCGACTCGCTGCAAGTGCCCACCACCGCCCTACCTTACCTCAGTTCACCAGATCCCAATCATGTCCCAGCACCGGAGTGCTGGGACATGAATTGATCGTGGTGGCTCGTGTCATGTGGCTGAGGCGTGGCTTGTCTAGAAACCTTGCCAGCCACAGCTAGCCACAGCAACCCCTTGCATTCCTTATCTCTTATCCAGCGGAGCCAATGTGTCGTCTGTGCTGAGATAAGCCCACAGAATAAGGCCCACTTCTTGCCAGTCCGTCACTCTGCAAGACCCGCTACTGACAGCCGCCAAGACCGCTAGCACCAGCTGCTAGACCCGCTATCGCAGCTTGCATTCCTTATCGATCTTATCTGTTGCCCAAGGCGTTTTCGAGAGCACCTGGCCCCACTATCCTGAGCAACCTCAAGCATATCTAAACTTCCTCACTTGCGTAACCAGAGGTCGATCCTTCCCTTCTCACCATCACCATCACTTTCGAGCGCGTAACGAGAAGAGAACCCTCAACCGTACTCCAGCTCCACCGCTACACACATATCTTGCATCTTCTCGCAGTCAGTCTCACGAGCATCTCCTCGCTCAGTCGTACCACGAGCATCATGGAGGGCGTCTCCCGAAAGCGCCCGAGTCCCAACGAGGAGGGTCACGATCACCAGGCTCGTTCCAAGCGACAGCGCACCATGGCTCCCGAGGCAGAATCCACTGCGATCCCCGCTTTCAGTGCCGTGAATCGCCCGACCGCCGAAGACCTGGGCAGAGACGGTCTTCGCAGATCAATCGCCTTGACCTTGAAGCAGGTGGGCTTCGATTCCGCTTCCAAGGACGCGCTGGAGGGCTTTACTGAGACGGTCGACACATGTGCGTCAATAGCGCCATTCTCAACGGTTCAGCGTACCGTAGTTAACGTTGCACAGACATTACTGGCTTCGTTGAGCAGCTGATGCGAACCGCAAATGCTGCGCGCAGAGTCGACCCCACACCGGTTGATTTCGAGTCCATTCTACATCAGCACAATGTTCCGCTGTCATCTCTGAAGCCACACCTCAAAAACCCCGTCCCGAAGGAGCAACTCGAACCAGCCTTGTACGATCCCATCACAGAGGACGTCGGCCGACTTCTTCAGAGCTCTCGGCTGTTTTTGGGCGATGAACTAGACGGCAAAGCTGAGAAGGAAGAGAAGGCGTGGATCCCAAAGTCGTTCCCCGACTTTCCCAGCAAGCACAGCTACAAATACACGCCGGTCGAGGAGACTGCAAGGGATACCCAGAGCAAGCGTGCGGAAGCTGCGGCTGACGCCAGGAAAGGCGAGATGGCGCTGCGACGCATCGATCGAGCAGCCAAAATCAGCCGGCAGAAAGAGCTTAAGGAAGTGGCGCAACGCAATCCGTTGATCAAGCAGCGACATGAGGCGTGGGAGGACCTGATGAAGAACCTTGTGCCGGCCAGAGGCGGTGTGAGTGGTGCAACCGAGATGGCCGATCACAGTACCATTGTCAATGCCGCGGCCAAGTATGGGCGCAAGGAGGTACCGAGAACGAGCAGAAGAGCGCCGGTCGACAATCAGGGTTGAGAGTTGCAAGCCTAATTGCTGCGAGCCCGTATCAGAAGCATTGGCGACCAATCATGTACAATTGGTTCAGCATCTTCGACCAGTACGCAACGTCTGACTCGTCGACACGCATCTACGACGGCAACGCTCAAGCTCTCTATCTCTGCACGCCTCTCTCTATCCCCACCTCTCTCTCTATCTCTACACCTCTCTCTCTATCTCTCACACACCCCGCTCTCTCTCACGCCTCTTCCTCAATGCTCTCGGACATCATCAACTATGGAAGCATTGCTGCGTTTGCATACAGTCAACGAGTAGGCAACGTCTGACTCGTCGACACGCACCTACGGCGGCATCGCTCAAGTTTCTCTATCTCACCTTTTCCTCAATGTATTTCCACGGTCCTGCAAACTCGACGAGGTAAGCTTGCCTTCTTCTGGGACGTCGCTCCATTCCACTAACTTGTGTGCGCGTAGAAGCAGAGACACAACCGTGGACTACAAACTCCGTCCGACCTCGATCCTGCAAATTTGAGGAGGTATGTCTACCTTCTTCTGAGACCTTGCTCCATTCCACTAACTTGCGTGCACGTAGAACCAAAGACACAATCGAGGACTTCAATTTTTGTCTGACCTCAATGATGTTCTCCTAATCCTGCGACAAGATGACGGTACCACGATGGCTCAACTGTGCAAGTCAGGTGCCAGATCAGAGTCGTGTGGAGCTGTTGAAACAGCGAGACAAAACGGACAGCATCACCGGATCTTGCACATCACCATGGTCTCGGACATCATCAAACATGGAAGCAATGTTGCGTTTGCATAAAGTCGACGAAGATCAATTACAGTCGCAGGACAGGACACAGGGCAGGACTGGTTGCAGGGTGGAAATTCATTGGCATCACAGGAGCGGAGAGGTACCTCACAGAGTTGGGCATACGGTACTGGCTATATCTGAATATGGGAATGATCAGGCAAGGCGTTTTGGAATTGCGTGGCCGCGCTTTCAGAGGAGCTGGTGGGGAGTTTGGCAATATTCCCAGAGCATCATCGTTTCCGGTTTGAGATACCCTTGTTTCAGCGCTTGTCAGAATGTCACATTTCTCATTTCTGAACCACATTCAAGGAGGCGTAATTACCGTGATTCGTGATTACTATATTTGTCCTACAGCACCCGAGAAGGATAGAAAGGGTGGCAGATATCGTGACTTCGACGCACCCTCAGTCCATCAGTCTCATTCGATACTGACGACATTTTGTTTTCTACCGGTGTAAGCCACGGTGAAAACACCTGTTCCAGTAAATCTAACCTACTGCCGGGCCAGGATCACGTTCAATTTGAAACTAATACCCAGGTATTAAGGTACCAGCTGGAAAGTGAAGGTGGGGCCGGTTCAAGGGGTCAATAGGGGTAAGGTAGTCAATGCCAGCTGGTAGTGGCTATCTCCAGCTGCTCGTCGGGCCTATCAGCTGCTGGTTTCGGAGGGGCCTCGTCGGCAGGTGCTGATTGGCTGTAGATCTGCCCCGCCTTGCTGCAAGGCTGGTTCTCCGAGAATTAGCGATTTCGACCCTAAAGTGCAGCCCACACAATTTGTCTGCGAAATTCTGAGAATAACATTTTCCCAGCACAGCCAACGCCAACCCTCGATATCTTCCACCATCCTCAAGAGGCGTACTTCCCGACAAACACGAGTATACCTGTTCGCCATGGCTGAGCAACTCATTCTCAAGGGCACCCTCGAGGGCCACGTAAGTTGGACCCCGTCTCTGCAGTCGGTCAGTCAGTCGCAGCGGCAGCAGCTAACCTCGATCTGCAGAATGGCTGGGTCACCAGCTTGGCCACCTCCATGGAGAAGTACGCGCAGCCTGGGGCAATTGAACTCGAGACCGCCTGCTTACCATCCTCCCAGCCCCAACATGCTCCTGTCCGGCAGCCGTGACAAGTCTTTGATCATCTGGAACCTGACCCGTGACGAGTCGCAATACGGCTACCCGAAACGATCTCTCCACGGCCACTCCCACATCGTATCCGACTGTGTATGTTCTCCTCCTGCTGCGCGCGCCGTGCCGACGAGGCCGTGGGGGGCTTCTTTGCTGACGGCCTGGGATTGATAGGTTATCTCCTCCGACGGCGCCTACGCTCTGTCTGCCTCGTGGGACAAGACCCTGCGCCTCTGGGAGCTGGCTACCGGAAACACCACCAGACGATTTGTCGGCCACACCAACGATGTCCTCTCCGTCTCCTTCTCGGCCGACAACAGACAGATCGTATCGGGCTCCCGCGACCGAACAATCAAGCTGTGGAACACTCTGGGCGACTGCAAGTTCACCATCACCGACAAGGGCCACACCGAGTGGGTTTCCTGCGTCCGCTTCAGCCCCAACCCCCAGAACCCCGTCATTGTCTCCAGCTCCTGGGACAAGCTCGTCAAGGTAGGCACCTCCGTCCCACCCTCCACCGGCCGAGAGATGTGCGAATGGTTTACATGATGTTATTGCAACTTAATAAGTATTTGCTACTTCAGAGCTTGCTTGCGAGCCATGAGACTAATAATCACCGTGCACTGATAAAACATCGCACCTCTCGGCTTTTTGGAGCACGTAGCCCGTGGGGCATTCGGGATTGCTTAGCTGACCCGTCTTCTCGTGCAGGTCTGGGAACTCTCTACCTGCAAGCTGCAGACTGACCACATTGGTCACACCGGATACATCAACACCGTCACCATCTCCCCCGACGGCTCGCTGTGCGCTTCGGGCGGCAAGGACGGCACCACCATGCTGTGGGATCTCAACGAGTCGAAGCACCTGTACTCGCTGAACGCCGGTGACGAGATCCACGCCCTCGTCTTCTCCCCCAACCGATACTGGCTTTGCGCGGCCACGGCCAGCAGCATCATCATCTTCGATCTGGAGAAGAAGAGCAAGGTTGACGAGCTGAAGCCCGAGTTCACCTCGGTTGGCAAGAAGAGCCGTGAGCCTGAGTGTGTGAGCTTGGCCTGGAGCGCGGATGGCCAAACCCTGTTTGCCGGCTACACGGACAACATCATCCGGGCTTGGGGTGTCATGTCGAGAGCGTAGTAATCTCTCCTCAGGATGGGTCATTGACTGGGCGTATGGACGGGCTGTCATTTGGTCTTTTAAGGGGAAATGGCAATTGCTGTGACTGGCAGTGAGACAACATAGAACGTTGCACTGCCGCTCGGTTGCTACCACAGGGTACACCCAAAATACAAACAACGTGAAGACAAATAATCCCACCCATCCCTCCGTGCAGGTGTGTTGACAACCTTGAATGCTGCGATTCACAGCGCGGGATGTGACGACCTCACCTTGATCAAGCATGTTATCATCTTATGTGAGAGGGTTTATATACTTAGTAGAGGCTCAAGCTGACCAGCGCAGCAGGCTTCGGTTTGGAGGGCCGAATACTAATCTGGCTGAGGGACATCTGCAGGTGTTGCAGACGTATACCTTCTGGATCTGTTCGGCAAGTAGCTAGCCTTGCTTTTGCTGATCAACTAGGTACACGTGCTGCCGGCTCATCGAGAAGGGGGAATCGAGTCTTGAACTACTCGTACACGTCTCGACTTGCGACTACATAAGGTAGTTTATAGACTACAGCGCGAGCTTCTGGTGCTCCTGGCACTGGCCTGCCCACGCCACAGAGTCTAACTTCCACTGCCGGGTGATCGTAGATAGAGACCGGTGCCGGTATACATACCACAAGCTCCAAGGTCTCCGTAGCTGCGAGACTTTGCGCTGTGCTTCATAATTTAGGCCTTTTTCGTTGAGTACAGTCCATAAACTTAGGTATCGTGAATTCACAAACTCCCAACAAGCTCAAGACCACTGCCCGACGAAAGACTCCAGCCTTCTCACGTCACGTACCGCGCTCCCTCAACTCGCTGTGTGTTCTGCGCTGGCAGCCCGGCAATCCTACTCTGCGTTACGACAGTCCAACGAGGCTCTCATCAGCAACGCTACCGCTCTATGGCTTCCTGCATGACACCGCCGCGAGTATGAAGAGGCTCGCGAAGTCGCCCCTTTCGGCGACCGCCTCGGCATCCGCAGACCCGGGTGGCAAACGGAACTGAGGTCGACAGTACCTAAGTAATGTAAGGTAGCTTGCTGCAAACAACCTCCACGTCTGTGGTAGAATCTTCGCGGCCGTTATATTGCATTTGCGTCGGTGCGTTTTGTGAGGGCGTGGTCGATCAACAAGCCCAGCCATGGGCTGGCCAGAAGCTCCAGTAGCAGTTCATTATGTTGAGCCCGTCCATAGCACGTTGTACATGGAAGCCAGGTTAAGGCCGGGACACTTGAATATTATCCCTAAGTGTTCCACAGTGTCGTTGCCATGATAGTGTATATAGAGCGAGGCATGTGGTGACAGGGCGGTCCAGGGTCTGACCGATGTCACCACTTACTCGTGGACTCATTCATCCGATGCGTTCCTGTGAGAGGCCTTGTGGGAAGATGTTGGATATCGTACCAGGCTGAGGCTTTCGGTGGTGAATGCGCTGATAGGCTTAGCTTCATGGCATTCACCTTGCGCCACTATCAGATGATTATCTGGTCACCCTGGCGCCATTATCGTACGACTATCTGGTCACCCTGATGGCACACCTGTACATATATTTGGGGGCTTCTCTCCCAGAGATCTTCTTCTCTTCCCTTCTAATACTAGAACACTTTGAAATCTCACAGAAGATACAGATTGTGTGTCTAGAGGAATAATACTGGTATCGGCATAGCCAGAGCGCTACCGTAGTGATATTACCTGCACTGTACTGCTCGAGCAACAGTTGCTTCACCTCCTTTTTTGCCTCTTTATCTGCGCCACGACAGCCAACTTCCAAGGGGGACGGGCCCACAGTAGTTGAGTTGGTCAGATCAAGTCCGCCGCCATTAGGATTGCCACAGGTCACGTAAGCCTCCTCACCGAAGAGCCTTCGTACTAATCAGATCGCAGAATTAAGGGGGGTCGTAGGAAGAGTCGGGGGTGCCGTTTCGTTCGTCCACTTCGTTCTGGAACTTCTCTTCCAAATTTTAATACGGGGAGCTAAAGATAAACGACAAGTTCCTCCACTCCATTCTGGAACTTCTCCTCCAAAGTCCCCTTAGGGTGGTTGCGCTTCCCCGAGCGCTGTTGATTAAGGAGACGTGGCTTACTGTCGGCCACGGTAGCCCCCATGGGAGACGATGGCGAGTGTCGGTGACGGTAAAACTCCACAATGTCGGCGGTAGCCCTGGCCTTCGGTGACTACTCACTACTAACTACAGAATACGATGACGAGCAATTCCAGGCTTCTATTTGGTGAGTTGCCACCCAAAGTGATGCAGTGCCCCCCATTACTTATATAGACCCTCATTCACAGCTCACTGCGAGGTTACTGTCTCAGCAAAACAGTTCATACATTCCCTCAACCTTGTTTCCAGCAAGATTCCACAGTAACAACAGTAACACTTGGCCCACCAAACTGCCCAGCAATATGCACTCCAACATCATTCGCCTGATCAGCGTTGCCAGCGCCGTGGCTGCTTCGGCTATTCCTACCCCATATTTCTCTGTACATTTGCGGGATTCCAATGACCTGAAGCCTTTGGGTTACAGAGTTACTTCTTCTGCAAGACCGTCTTTCCTCCATTAAACAGTACGTGAGCTAATGGCAATTAGGAAGAGGCACGACTCATAAACAAGAAAGGAACCCCTATCTACGACCAAGAGTACCGCGCAGCTAGGTTGTCCAAAATGTATGGTGAGGACTGGCGGGAAAAGGCCATTCCTAAACTCGTCCTCGGTCTATACCTATCAAATCAACCTTTGGTTACTTGTATGCTAGACGCATGGTAAGCCGCATTGATAACTATACTTTGAACCTCGGCCAATGCTACCCAGATCAGGTACCGTTTAATCCAGGCAGATGCTAAGAAGCTGGAAGACGTTCCAAAGGTGCTCATACCGGGGAGGTTGCACAACAGTGGCGAGAAAGCGCTCAAGGAATTCGTCCAAGATCAAGACGGGAATTTCGAGTTCGAGAGAACTCTACGATTCGCTGAACGGTCGCAGCTGCCGCCGGGGTGGACAGATCCGTTTAAGGGGCCAGGAAACATCTGCGAGATGTTGATCCCACCGGCCATGGTTCATCATAACGAGTTAGGGTTAAAGGCGTATTGCTACGACTCCGTGGACAAGCTCCCTGTCTCTGACGTGATATCGTATGAATTCCATAACATGCAGAGGCCCAGCAAGTAAAGCCAGGGCGACTCTCGTGGTTGCATCACAGAGGGCTTTGGTATCATACACCGCCCTCATGCGCCCACGTTCGGGGCGTGGCGGTGAATGGTTTTACAAAAGGCGCAATTATAGACTGGTAATGGAGTTGAACACTTTCATTGTAGCAATTCAAGCTGTGCTTATACAAGTCAAAAACCCTCAGCAGAATCCACTACGATTGTAACACCTGTCCAGCCTAGGTTGGAAGCTGAGCAAAGGCGACGCCACAAGTTTAGACAATGCTCCATGCCTGCTTGAGATAAGGATGGGTCGAAGGGTTACCATGTACTGTTCTTGGTGCCACTCTTCAGCCAAACAGGCTGTTAGGATTCCAACGCTGGTCGGAAGCATGTGTAAGGATTTACACCCATCCTAGTAGTATGAAGCCAAGCGTTGTTCGCAGACGTGAACAGTGACGATGCGGCGCGTCGTCAGAGCCTCCCACGATACAGTACCAGTTCTTAGAAACAGCCTACGCCGTTGGTTTTCCATAACAATCGGGCAGAGAAGGAAAGCGAGAGACTTTGGGGGTCGGCGTCCATCCCACCCTCTATGGTCTGGATCGCATGCCGGTAGGTAGTAAGCACCTCTACCATCTGGTACGGGGTGAAGCCAAGCTCCTTTAACGCCAGGTAAGTTATAGGCCATGGGGTGCCGGTTCTAGATCGGCTGGTGGTCAATCTTAGGTGTCACAACCTTCGCAGCCTGCGGATACCTAATAAAATGCCCGATGCACGTAGACCGAAATGCACAAGAACGCCTACCTATCTGGGCGCGCTCAGGACGACCAGCTTCTTGGGGTTAGCGTGAGCAGGAGTCGGAAGGGTATCGAGATCGCGGGTCTCGGTGGCGGCCCAGGAAGACAAGAACTTCGAAGAGAGCAGTTGGGGACTTGAATTGATTGAACGCTCTGGTGTTGGCGTGCGATTGCGTGCTAGACACAGCTTGCAGACTCAGTATCAAAATCATACACGATACGATACGATACAATACGAGACATGTACTAAGTACAAATCCGAATCGTGTTTTCCCAGACCCTGCAAGATCTAACTATGATCATGCTGCAAGGTGGCGACGATGTATCGCACTCGCTGTTTGCATGGGCGGCGAGCAACCAGTTACCAGGGCGCGTTCCATAGGAAAATCTCTCAGCCACGGCTATGTGTGGCCAACATTGAAGTCTCAAGATACTTCTGGTGCCACTCATTTGGCATAACTACTTTAGGTACAGGGTGGTGTCACGTCATGGGAAACCTTCTCTCGTGGTAGGCGACCCCACCAAGGTGCAAATGAGGAATCTGGCTAAGGTCACAGGTGCAAATAACATGACTCTCAATTTCAAGAATAGAAACAAAATTCATGGGGCAAGAGGACAGTTAAACAGTAGTATGTTACGAACATGTCTCGGTGATCCAGACCATGAGGGCATGAGGGCTGCATCGAAGGGTTGGTTATATCTTCATGCTCGGTTATCAAAAGTTAAAAACCCGGCCGGCTGTACGAAAGGCTAAAGCATTCCTTGCATCAGGATTCAGAGGATGGATTGTTCATGATAATTACAATGGAGCCGACAGACATCAGGGTTCTTTGGTCCCGATGAATGCAACAGCATTCTATATTCATGCTCGGCGCCTCCGTGTCTCCAAATTCAGTATCAACAGCGGTCCGCGATTGCCTCAACGCCTCTTCTAAACTACCAAGATCACAATAAGCGTCCTTCCTATATTAAAGACGCCCGTCCATGTCGGGCCATATCATTCTTAACATCATCACATTCTAGGGCCGCAAACATCAGACACCATACATTAGGAACCCCAATCATCAAATACCAATACTTCTCTCGAGATGAAGTCCACCTTCACAACAGCCGTTGTCTTAGCACTTGCTGCCACTGGTACATTTGCTAACCCCACTGAGACAACCGCGAACAGCAAGGTATGTGCTGCTAGACTGGGTCTACAAGAGGTGCAGCAATGAAGTAACATCGCACAGAGAGCGGCAAAGACTATGAGCGAGCTCCTCCATGACGTTGGCTTTGAATACGACGGGCACATCTATTACGACCTTGACCGCGACGGCGTCCGAGAACCTGCCCTTATGAGCAGCGCCCGCCAGCCCCGGGCTGCCCGTCTGTTCCAGCGTGCTGCCTGTAATGAAGACTTTAACGCGTGCGAAGATAACGCAGATTGCAGTCTCTATGGCTGCTTTAACTGTAGCCCGTCCGTAAAGGTGCCAGGCACCCACCGGTGCTTCACATGAGGTCAGTCTGGAACCTGGAGAGAGAAAGGAGGCCAGGTGGCCGGCCCGCGTCCTGAGCCTTGAGGCTGTGTAGAACATGTACAACTAGGAGCTGCAAACATTCAGATGGAGGGGACCGGTACACATTCTTTTGTATTATAGAGTCAGCCGAGGCCTAGTCAGTCATCCTAACACGACATTCTTTTCTATTATAGGGTCAGCAGAGCCTACTCAGTCATCGTGACGAGCCATCATCAACGCCACCAGCCATCAAGGCTGGTTCAAGGCTAGCCAGTATGTAATGCTCGCACCTCGGCCACATCCCTCATCCGGTACAACAAGGCTGGTCGGAAGGATAGCCGAGCGTACCAGGGCGTAGGCAGAAAAGCAGAAATTTGAATTGAATAATTCAAGACCGCTATGAATGTGCCCGACTCTGTCACCCATCCTCCAGATCAGCAGCGTGCTTCTTCCTGACTGACTTCCACTCCAGGCCGACAGAAGCGACAAGCGCAGATGCGGCCAGCACCACGGCGCAATAGGACGTCTGCATCACTGCGAGACTTTACGCGTTTAGAACTTGGCCCAGGAGCTGTGTCTCTACCACCTCCCTGAGATGGATGGAGAGTTTGGCTAAACGCCAGAAAGTGTCAACTTGAGACATAGAGTGGGTGGGTATTCTACTGCTAGATATTGATTAATTAAGTTCTCTGAGGAGGCCTTAACCATTTAACATTATAATTACCGAGGGTCTAGTGGACTGATCGAGGCGCGCTGTTCGCAGGTACGTAGTTATGCGCACGTCGGAATTATATGTGCATGTAAGTCGACGACTCCAACTCCTTAACTGTCCGGTGCTTCTCCTTCCTAGGCGTATCTTAAAATCATAAAATTAAGTGCTGCCAAACGCCATTCACATGACCCCTATATGACCGTTCCAATGCTGTGCCGGCCGGCTATCCATTTGTCCCTTGCATGAAACCAGGACAGTGTGAATTCCTCAGGCCTTTCGCATGTCACACACCACTAGGACGTCTGTGGTATCCAGGCGCCTCCCTTCGCTCTTTTATATACACGATCCCTGCCCCTGACGTCCGACTGGCACACTTCGTCGCATCCGTTGGTTTGCGGTGTCGTCGATTTACAGCTGGAAAGCCCCGAGGGCCGTCGCCGAGAAGAGCAGCGCGCCGATGGTAAGGCCGAGCTTGCTCACACTAAAGTCAGGCTGAAGCCTCGGGCCCGCACCCTCAGAAGACGTAGGGCTCGAATCCGAACCGCCCTTCCCATCGTCACCGCCATCCGAGCTGCTCGAGTCGCCGCTCGAAACAACACTGGCCTGCGCGGTGGCCGGGACAGACGCGTCGGTGGCAGTGGCGGTCGCGTTCACCCCGGCGTTGCAGAATACTGACTGCCAGGCCATGCCGCCGGCGAACAGGCAGTCCTGCAGGGCCTTGACGCTCTGGTCGGCGGCGAGGCAGTACAGCCCGCAGTCGTCGTAGTAGCTGACCACGTCGGCCGACTTGCAGCACCCGGACATGACGTCGGTGTGGTTGCCGCCGAAGGCCACGGCGCAGGCTGCGTCGGTCACGGGGATGTCGTAGAGGTTGGAGGAGCAGGCGACGGACGGGGTCGCGCTGGCGGCGGTGGTGGTGGACGACATGTTCCTGGTTTCGTTGGTGGGTGTGCCGCTTACGGATTGGAGAGCGGTGGGAAGATGGACCAAGCTGAGGGTTTCTGTAGTGTTTGAGCAGCAGATCTTGTCTCAGTGGGAAAAGAAAGAACCAGGACAATTCATTGTGACTCGGAACTTCGAGTCAGAAAAAGAGTCTATTTACATCGGCTGGACCAGGACCCCTGAGCATATTGGCCTGGCGACGCTGCGGGACCCGACTATGCGGGCCGAAGCCCACCTTTCTCAGCCCGTACCGCTAAGCCCCGCCAAAAGTACCCTAAAGGATCAGCTGGTCTAGCCTGTGCCTTCTGGCAGGGGCCCAGAATACCAGGTTACGATGACTAGTTTTCTGGATGTTCTGCTTGCTGTCTAGAAGGATGAGAGCTTGTCCCATCCGAAAGGTCTCTTTAGTCTAGATACAGTGCAAACGGTACCTTGTCCCTTGGGCAACAATCCGGCCCAACCGACAAGACACCTGACAGCTGGAATCAGCTGGATCCACAAGCCTGTCTGCCTGTCATCACGACTTGTTTGTCCACGAATCACTCACTCAGGCACTCAAATCACAACTTCAATGAGGCCCTCGTTGCCCTCACCCTTGTTGTAAATGCCAGCTATTTTCAGAACACAGCCCTCAATGAGTTCGCGCCATTCGCTCTCGGTACGTTCCTGGGAGGATGCCAGGGCCATCATGAATAGGTCGAGGGACAAGTGTTGCCAAGCTGCATATTCGTCAGCCCGCACCTATAGTCATGGGTCAGCGGTAGGCCCAATCCAGTGTGGTGTTCCTCGCCGACGAAAATCATCGTGGTGGATATCGACATGTACTCAAATATTGCCCTCTTTCGCAGCTGAGGGATAAATAAGCTGGAAAAGGGTGAAGGAAAGGAGAGGACCTCGGTCCACATACGCAGTCGCTGATGAGGATCTTGGAGTAGCCTGGCTCCATGGCATCCTTGAGGTGCCCGAGTATATTACGGCACTGATCGTCCGCCCAGTCATGCATCACTGAGCGCATTGTAACAACTTGTGTTAGCTGTTACTCATGAAGGACTAACTGGTAATATCTCAAATTCAGGGCTATGTCTCAGGACCTCTTCTGGACCAAAAGCGCCTTGATAAAAGAACAGACGCCTTGGACGTGCCATCGAGGTCAAGAGAAACTTGAGACGTTGCTTACTGAAGTAGGCACGCGCGCCATTGACCGGTTGTGGCGAGAAAAAATCGTCTGTCTGTCACTCGATGCGCGAGTCCATGCCAACTCCCAGCCCCGAAGCTGCCGAGATGACGTCCGGGAGCTCCTGCAGCACCAGTCTGCCGGTGTATTGCGGCACACTCGTTCTGAAATCCTCCAGAATCTGGCCTGTGCCAACACCGACGTCGACCAGGGCCGGTGCGTCGCCTTCCGGCCTGAGCCCTTCTACCAGATGCTTCTGTACGGGGTACATATCGGTCCAGCTCGGACGATGCATCCGCAGAGCGTGAACGTACCCGTGGAAGGCTTGGAAGACTTCGGGCTGCTCGGCGAGCCAACCAAAGGCGTGTCCGCCGTAGTTGTTTGCGTACTGGAATGGCCCGTTGGCAGGGTCTTCTGGGTTCTGGAAGTTGGTGCTCCTTAGGTAGGCCGGCATCTGCGAATACGAGAGGTGTGCGGAGTCGAAGCTGCGACAGAAAGTTAGGACGGCTCATATTGCAGATTTGCTAGGCAAGGCGAACCAGAAAACAATGCCAGCCGCGTATTCCGGTTGCGCCAGGATGCTCGTTAGGCCGTTGGGCACATAGAGGCCTGGCCCTTTCTCGTCCAGCATGCGCATCGACACGCACGTCCTGGCGATTCGCTTGACCAGCGTAGGGGATGCTCCTGTTGGAGCAGCCAGCTCAGCGTCTGTCTTTGGCCGACCGCCCTCCCGGACAGCGGTTTTGAAGAACTTGAGGTCGACAGCAATACGTGCCGCGACGGTGCGGGTCGGCTATGTTCACTTTAATCAGTGTCGCAACCAAATAAATCTAAGCAGCGTGAGCCATCGTACCTGTGACCAGATATTCCACAGGAGCGACTCGACGGGGGTCTCGGCGAGGGCGACAAGCTCGCGCGCGCTGGCTATTAGTTTCTCCCGCGCCCCATCTTGGCCATTCGTAAAATCGCTACCGTCTTTGGTAACTTGACTGAGGGCATGTACGAGGCGGCCCTTCCGAGAAACCATTTCGAGTGCGTCTTCTGACATGGACGTTACGGTTATCAGGAACGTGTGATGTCTGGTTGAGCTTTGGAACAGGTAAATTAATGATTGATTTTGATACCTGAGCTCTTCAACCGCAAGGGAAGAGTGACCAGATCACTATCGAGCTGACGTTGGTAAGTTGGTGCAGCTTACCTATTAAAGTTATCTGGTCTGGGTGAGATGCCAAGAATTTGTTGGTTGAGAGGTCCTTCAGTATGAAGTCTGCTCTTCTCACATCATGCAAGGAAAGCCAACCTGCATGCTTCGCCAATCATGTCACATAATTACTAAATCCCTCGCCGTACACTTCATCTTAAGAAACTGAGCACTCGTCGGTACCGGAAATTGTTTGACTGGCAGGTTCGTGACGCCTCCACGGCGGGAAGGGGCGTTCAGCTGCGCATTCTTGTCACTCGAAAAGAACAGGCTGACTTGCGGTAGAGCAAATGAGGCTCTTCGACCAGTATTTTGGGTGAGCCTGGGGACTAATGGCAGCTCAGCATCAATTTGGTATCCCACGGCGGCAGTCAGGGCGTCGTCCAGATGCGTTGTGAGCCACAAAAATTCTGCCTCATCGCAAAAATCCTCCCTAATCTCGGCCATGCTCACTGCGGCGAGTGGCGGTCCGCGACCTAGTGTTTGGAACAGCATGGGGACCTTGGCGACTATGCCATCTTAGACCCTAACGTCTGTCCCATCCGACCTACTCCGGCCTGCACTGCGTCCCAATGGGCAACATGGCTCGCTTCTTGCACTCCTTGCTCATGCGTCATAGGTAGCCCTTGAGCGAGTCCAAGGATGCCACCCGCAGGAAAGATGGGCTCCTTGATGATCGCCGCTCCCCAACAGACAGTCCTAGGAGTAAGATCCGTCCGGTTTTCGGAGCACGGACAGATAGGCAGACGGCGACAGGAAGGCGGGCTGTCCCGGCATCGCAGGCCAGCATTCTTCCGGCCCGCCGAGTGAGTCGCCGAGCCAGCGCCCTGCGTCGAGCCGTAATAGCTAGCCGCGAAGGCCTTGATCTCAACATATCTTGATAGCGGCCTCAGTGCTCTCGGATTTCGTGTTGGAGGAGGACGACTTCTCCAGCGGGTCGGGAGCAGGCCGTGCATGCGCTCGGCAGGTTGATGACGGGGCGCGTGATCATGTTGCTGAAGAAGTTTTCAAGCTCCCCTGGCAGTTTCCCGCACCAAAAAGATTATTTTAGCATTGAGAGCGGCCCAGCAACGAGCTCATGCGGCCCGACTTGCAGTCGAGAATTTGCCTGTTGTCGGCATCGTGGGGCCTGGTGCCAATTGTCAGGGTTATCATGATGGGCGAGAACGAGACATCGGTGTTGAGAACAAAGTGACAAGCGCTCGCGAAGAGGGCGCTGATTCGTCGGAAGGTGTTCTGATATTGTTTAGCACGCTGAGAAAGGCGTGTGATTAGGTCGCAGGCGCTTCGATATGCGAAAACAATAATTGGACGCTGGTAGGCTAACTGGCAAACCGACTGAAAGTAACAGCTTCATGGACTCTTAACACATATCAAATCATCTTAGCCAGTAGATCAATATTGAGCAGCAGTTATTCAAAGGTGCAGGCTGTGCATATACCCAATCGAAAAGGGGGTTGTGCCCGACGGAAAAGGGGCTGGCCCGCGGTCCGGCAGCTGGCCGCCGGGCCGTCAGTGCCAAGAATCGACGACGCGCTGAGCTGAGGTCGAAATTCCGACATGTGATTTGCAGCTCAGAACATTGAACAGCCCAACGCAAGCGCACAGGACGGTAATATATAAAGCCGCGCGGTCTTTCTTGAGAATCAGCGGCTAATTGAATCCTAGCAGCTTTTCAGCAGGCAAATAGATGTCCTCATAGTGTATTAGGAGGAGCTCATCGAAAGCTGCTCATCACGGGAGCTACAGCTCTTTGAAGCCGAGTCGAAGTCAGCTCTGGCCAGCATCAGACGAACGAACCACCGCTTGGGCAATTGATTTTTGCCTTGCCGCTGCAGATTCATTGGAAATATATTGATTCGCAATACCGGTTTCTCTACAATATCACGAATGCCGAACGCGACGCGGTGACGCGTGCGACGTATAGCGTAGGTAGCTTCAAGGCTCACCCAGCCAGGCAGGCAGCACGCCTCAGAAGTGAGCAAAGCCAACCGCAAAATGCATCATCGCGCCCTCAACACGCGGCCGCGGAATGCGCTCTCCATACTAGAGCGCCTCTTGTATCCCTGCACGCACAACACCCGACCCATCATCCCTGTCTCCGAGCATTGCCACCGTACATGGACGAGGAGGAGCTACGCCAGCGCCAGTGCCAGTGCCGCATCGTATGAAGCGACACACGCGAAGAAGACGTCAGGCCCGTTGCACATCCTGTTCTGCGGCTCCGACGAGTTTAGCTGCGCTTCGCTGGCGGCGCTTCACGCGGAGCACGCGCGCAACCCGGACCTTATCCGCTCCATCGAAGTCGTGGTGCGTCCGGGCAAGCGGACGGGGCGGGGGTACAAGGTCGTTAAAGATCGTGAGTTCTTTACACATGTTTTGTTGTCTCCTCCGTGGATCTCTACATGTACAGTTGGACATCTTGAGGTTTCATTGATCCTTCAGACTCGTGTCTGGTGGCCTGGCTGGTCCCTGGGGGGTGGTACGATGTGAGAACGTAAGCTTTACTGACTACCCTCGCAGCGCCTGTCAGGACTCTCGCCTTCGAGCTCGGTATGCAGATCCATGTGAGAGATACGTTTACGGGATGGAACGTGAGTCTGCCTTCCACCACTCTGCCATGAGTTGGCGTGTTATCCATCGTTCACGCTCCTACCCTCCCCTCATCTCAACTTATCTCAACCCATCTCACCCCCATCTCATCTCACTCCGTCCACCCTCCTCCCATACATACCCACACACCCATCTAACACCTCACAGATGCCCCCAAACATCAACCTCATAATAGCTGTCTCCTTCGGCCTCTTCGTGCCCCCGCGCCTCCTCAAGGCCGCCAAGTACGGCGGCCTAAACCTGCACCCCTCGCTGCTCCCGGACCTGCGGGGGCCCGCGCCCCTGCAGCACACCCTCCTCGCCGCGCGCACCCTCACGGGCGTGACCCTGCAGACCCTCGACCACGCAACCTTTGACCACGGACTCGTCCTCGCGCAGACGCCCGCCGACCCCGCCGACCCGGCCGCCCTCCGCATCCCGCCGCACTGCCGCACCGTGGAGGCGCTGCAGGCGCTCGTCACGCCCGCCGCGACGAAACTCCTGGTCTCCGGCCTGCGTGACGCGTTGCACGTCCCGCCCCTCGTCGACCGCGGCTGGAAGCCTCCTAGCAGCACCAGTGTCGCCGCCGAAGACCCTACAAATTTCCTGATTCACGCGCCCAAGATCGGGAAGCGCGACGCCCAGATCACGCGCACCGTGCTGCGCGCCGAGGACGCGTCCATGCGCCCCGAAAACGGAAACGGAAGCGGCAACAGGTGCGGATCGAGCAGCCTGGCGCGGCGACAGGTGGCGATCGGACCGCTGTGGTTCTGGGCGCGCGACACGCGCGGTCAGCGGCGGCGCATCATCGTGCAGGACGCGGACGCGGAGTTTGACGGGGCGGAGTTGCGGGCGGAGAGGGGGCCCCTGGCGGAGCTGTCTGAGATCCCGGCGGCACTGTACGAACCCGGAGACGATGGTGGTGGGGGGGGTGATGGTGATGGTGCGGCGGCGGATAGGGCTTGGTCCGTGCCGGGGCGGGATCCCGAGACTGGGAAGCTGATGTGGCGGCGCTCCATCGTGCTTCTGGACGATGAGGAGGAGGGCCGTGTTGGGGTAGGCGGTGCTGGTGGTGGTCTTAGAGGTGATGAAGCAGAACAAGGAAAAGGGGGAGTGGGTAATGGAGGAGAAGAAGAGGGTGCGGGAGGAACAGGCAGTACACAGAAGCCGGTAGCACACCTCGTACTCTGGTCCCCGTGGCACAACCTCGATTCGTACTACATCGGCGGCTGTCGTCTTCTCAGGCTCAAGGTCGAGGGCGACAAGGGGAAGCCCCCGGCGCTGGCTCTGGCAAAATTTCTCGTTCCTCCGGAAGGCGAAGTGAAGAGCGGAGAGAAACTGCGTTCTGTGCGCGGCAGGAGTTGGGGTCTTCGCGCCTGAGAGAGGCTGGTGGTGGTGTTGCTGAAGACATCCCGCTGGGAATCGATGTACGATGTTTCGGAGTGTATGTTAATGTATTTTACCTGAGATGCCTCACCGAAAAGGTAAATACCTCGCAGGCGTAGTGTATGATACGTGTGTCATAGACAGCGGAAGCATGGGGTATAACACGTGCATCATAGACAGTAGGGGCATAGATGTTGTAAAAGACAATTGGGCCCTGGTTCGTGCCAGAGCCCACGTCATTGATATAGTGATGGTACATTGGTGACTGTCCCCCGGATCAGACCACCATTATCAGCTGCAGGTCCACCATCCTTGTCTTTGCAACGTAGTTCAACGCAAGGAGACGTGTTCATGTCTCATCATGGTAGTAACCCGTACCGATTTGCCAGTCCTTTGAGAAGAGGAAAAGATCCGTTTGTTTGCCCGGCCAGAACTACAGCAATATGAAATGCCCGCCTGCCTGCCAGTTTCCCTCCTAATATCACATATGTTTGCAGTAGCTTTGGGGGCATTGAAAGGGCGGCATGTCACCACCGCAGACCCCGTGCGGCCCCGACTTAGATGTTCTTGTGATCCTTCTCGTCCACGGAGCTGCCGGAGCTCGAGGCGGTGTCGGTCTTGGTGAGGTGGTCGTCGTCCTCGCCCGTCGGACCGTGCAGGGTCTCTTCAAAGACGGGCTCGACGTCGTTGACCTCGAACTTGGATCTCATGTCCAGGTGGCTGGAGAAGCCGCCGCTACTGTTGGAGCGGCGACGTGAGTGGGTGAAGTTGTAGTTGAAGTCGGGCATGTCGACGATCTCCTCACCGGGCTCACCCCTGTGCGGATACGGGTCAGTATCTGATATTGAGGTGTGGACGCCATTGCTGGTGTCTGGCAGTGGCCATACGTGATGTACCACATGAAGCACGCGAGCAAGGAATGATTGGCTTCCCGTGGTAGAAAGGCAGTAGTGTAAGTGGGGAATGACATGATGGAATCTGGGACCTACCAGTTACCCTTGCCTCCGCCATTCTTCTTGATCTTGGTAGGGTCAGCGCCTGCAAAGCCGTTCTTGGCGAAGAACTTGGGCAGGCTGTTGTGCTGGGGGGGAACCACGACCTCGCCGTCGGCAGCGACGGCGTGATTCTTCTCGGTGAACTTGTGAGAGCGAGTCACTGCAAACCGCCTTGGTCAATGGTCTGTCTGACATGAAATGAAGTATATGAAATGGCCGGTTGAAGCAGCCTTGTGGCACGACTCTCGACCAAAGGTGATTGATGATTGATGCAGGCGGTGTTGAGCTGAAAAGGCAGCAGCAAAGGGCAAAAGGGTGTCACACGACACCTGAATTCAAAGTGACGGTGCGGGGTGATGATACTAGCTGGAGGTTGAGAGAGACCTACTTGTGATGGTAGTTGAGGGAGGGGATGTTTGCCAATGGACCAGAGACGACCAGAGATGGAAACCACAGAGAAGATGACGGTGACAAGGGATGAATGGATGAATGGATGACCAGGACGAGAGATTGATGGGAGTGAGGTTGTTCAATGATCGGTGGTTGCTCAATGGATGTGACGGATGATGGATGTCAAGTAGTATGTAGGAGAACAGGATGAGGTGGGGTGTTAGTCAGTCGGAGGAGTTGATAAGGAGGAGGAACAAGTAGATCGGATCGGCTCAGGGTCCATCTACATAAGACAAGAAGACGTCAATCGGGCTCAGTCTGCGCGGCTGGCAACAACTGATTCCAATTGGGGTGCGAGGCATGTATATGCCATGTATATAGAAGTAGGCATTCTCGTGATGTAGCCCGCTGTGCAGGTACCTGCTCATGACTTTACCTTAATCAGATCGCATGATCTTCCCTGATGAGCTGATCTATGGCGCGATTGGTCAATTCCGTTTGGGGAATTGGGAGTCACCCAGTCGCGTGACAACTTTCGACGCAGCTCTACAGGTCGTTCGAGCTGTCTAACATCAATCATACAGTGCCTGTCTGCTTAGAGTATCACCGGTCGATGGCGCCGGTGTGGACGGAACCCTATCTGGAGTTAGGCAGACAACCACGAGAATCATAGTTTGGATCGTCCGTGTCAGCGTGTCAATACATAACCGGTTACAAAGGCGGCGTGCAACCCAGTCCAAACGGAGAGCTTGAACGTACAGTAAGTATGGGATGTATTTGAGGTGTTTCACAGTACACATACCTACCTTATGCACTCCAGTCATTACTTCAGGTACCTAGGTAAGACAAGAACCGTAGAGGGGGTAGATATTTATCCGTTCACCCCGATATACCCGACATAGAAAACCTTGAGGCGAAGTGGGAGGAAGCTGTTGTTGCTTTGGGGACTTCATGCCCACTCACTCCTTTACGGTATGCATATACGCTCTCACCTCAATGGCCTTCATGTTCTGTCGCATGTCTGCAAACGCAGGAAAGGAGGGGGGAGGGGCAGGCATTGTCAGACAGACCCACTACCCCAGATCCCTTTCATGCCGATGATGCGGGGAAATATCCACAACTAGCGGCTGACTGCGTCCCAGCTGTTCAACTACCGTGTATTACCACGTTTCCATGATGAACCCATTGCTGATGATGGCAGACACCTGCAGTTGAGGGTGTTGGAGATGGAGTGACTGACTCGCCCATTCTGGGGCTGTATCCGCAAAATACCATCATCTCCCAGTTGGCCTTCGGTGGCTGTTCCAATTGACTGTTTCACTCGGCTCTGAAGGTTTCGTATGAGTGCTTCTAGGTACCGGCTACCCGTTTGACGCAGGCCGGTGAAGTCATTCGAGATTCACAAGCAGATGGGGACTCTGGGACCGTAAGGTTGTTTCAAAAACACGTAAATATAATGGTCTAGTGCTGGCCATCTAGCTTCTTCAAAGCGCTGCCAGCTGAAAGTCTTAAGCACCAGCTGACAGGCTACTAGCTGCCTAAATCCCGTCATTGGCCGCGATCGGATCAGATAAGAAAAAGCTGCGCCTGCGCGGAGAATGCGCGGGCTTCTTTGCGTCCAGCACTTGACTAATCCAGCAACTCTGCTCACTCTCCCAAGTGAACCGCCTGACTGCCTCGCTGGACATTTGTAATCGCCTCACTCCCGGGTCGTTGCAATTCCAATCCGTTTGCGATACCGCAACACACAAGACATTGGATACACACACTTGTCTGCCACTCTTGCAGACTGCCAGGTCTCATCTTTTGCCCCTCATTACATCAGACACTGCCCCGCCGTCCATAAATTCTTCCAGCACCAGTCTCATCTTCGACAAAGCCAAGTGCGACAGTGGCTCTGCGCGTGCTGAGCAGAGCATCAGAAATCATGTCTCCCTCCGTCGTGACGATCGATAATACCTCGGACTTTGCCTCGGCCGCCCCCAACCCGCTTTCGAACGGCCCCTCTGCTGCCCGAACCCTCCTCCTTGCCCCGCCAAGCATCGCGAGCCACGAGGAAAAGCTACGCCATGTCTTAGCCGCCCACGACCGAACCGTCACAGACCTACAGATGCTTGACCGCCTATCTGCTGGTCTGGTGAACCTCCCTGATGCCACATACGATCTCATTCTGGTTCTGACAGACGCCGACGGGACACGGGCCGAGTCGACTTCCCTACTGAGCCGAGACGTCTTTGCCAAAATCGTGGCAACACTCAAGGTCGCCGGCAGGGTACAAGCACAAGACGGATCGCTAGTACTGGGCAGTGAGACCGCTGATGCGCGAGAGGCCTTGCTGGCTGGACTGCAGCCAGGGGCAGATGGTTTCACGAAGGCCGACGACGATGCTGGGGATGCCGTGCCTCTGAAGCCAGGTTTCGGCAAGAACAAGAAGAGAAGCGCTGCCGGGCCTGCTGTTCCGAGTGTGACGGTCCATCAAGCCAATGGGAAGGATACCAGCCTGAATATGGTACCGCCTGCTGCCAAGCCAACCGGTGTAGGCTTCGTGGATTTCAGCGATGACTTTGGCATACCGGAGGATGACGACGACGAATTGATTGATGAGGATACGCTTTTGACGGAGGAAGATCTCAACAGACCACTTGCTATTCGTTAGTAAACTCTCCACCCTGGTTCCCTTGTCCAAAAACGAAGTCATCTCTCAACATCTTCAGCTCTTACTACAAGCTATGCAAGCGCCACAGTTCCAACTGCTAACCCCTTTTCGTAGCCGCTGAGTGCGTTCCGAAGGTCGGAAAACGCCGGCGTGCCTGCAAAGACTGCACTTGTGGATTGGCGCAAAAGATAGCTGCCGAAGACAAGGCCAAGAGGAACGACGCAGACGCCAAACTCGAGGCCATCAAGCTTGGTTCCGAGGATCTGAATGAAGTGGACTTCACAGTCCAAGGCAAGACCGGATCTTGCGGCAACTGCAGTCTGGGTGACGCGTTCAGATGTGATGGTAAGATAACCCTAGCTTATTCCCTTCGGGCTTGGTGCCATCGGTGATCAGAGAGCTGACTACGAACTGTAGGTTGTCCGTATATCGGTCTTCCTGCATTCAAACCAGGCGAGGAGGTGACAATCCTCAACAATGACGTGCAGTTGTGATTGGTCACGATAAGGTCAAGGCCAGAGTGTATGAAGTATGCCACTTGCTTATTCTACTGTAGGCTGACCACATTCTATAGGTTGGAGGCATTAATCAAGGACCTGCCAGCAGATCTTGGTGCCGCGCCCTCGGCCCCGAACCCTGCAGTCGAAGCAACCGCACGCCCATGGTGCTCGTCGTGCCTGTCGCTGTGCGCCTGGATGGGTGTCACTTGGTGCTGATCCGCAAGAATCCGAGTGTCCACTCTTGTTGGAACCTGCCACTGAAACTCGGAAATCATGTGGTGGAACTAGCACTGCAAGTGGTTGCGGAGGTGTCTCCTGAACGACATGAATACATGGCTACACAAATACATGAGCATAGATACGTCACAAGGCCAGACCTGCATGATCACAACGGTCAACGATCGGGATTTGCTAAGATTTGTACATTCTCTCCATAGAGCAAGTAAGCTCCGTTCAGACCGGATGTTGCGGGGCAATTAGAGGTTGAACCGGCTCCTCTGTGAATCTTAAAGACTGTTAGGTAAAGAACTGCCCATGCCATGGGTCTCGTAACCGGTGACGGAAACTATCGACCATGTTGGTAAGATGGCGCTTCGATCTTGTCTTCTATGCCGTTATGGTAGCACCTGCGCCCCCCTAAGGAATAATCTGACCCGAACCATGGTGTGGACAGGATTGTGTAGGACTCACTTCGCAACGCTAAAGAGCAAGCCCACGTTTCCCTTTAAGTTTAGACTTATCTTATTTGGACCTTATCGAAATTCCCTTTTTGCACCTTAATAGTGCCTCTCAACCCACCAGTCAGCTAGCAGCGGGCTGACCACCATGCTCACCACCAACAGTTCTAGCTGCGAGAGACATGATAATCTGAAATGATGTGGCATTACCGCACGAAACCAGATCGTAATGGTCATCCACTTCGGCTAAGCTGTCCATTCGACTCCGATCAATGTATCTAGCTGTGACGGATATGATGGTCTAAAACCGAATGGCATCTCCATACGAAACCCGATCGTGGTGGCCATCTACGCTAGGGAGCTGTGGGCTGTGAGCTGGGCAACGTACCTCCCAGCTGTAAATGACCTGATGATCTGAAATTGTACGGCACCACCATACGAAGCCTGATCGTGGTGGCCATCTGCCTGGTAAAGGTTGTTGGTGTGCTGAGACAGGGGGCTGCAGCTAAGTGGTAGGTAGGAGACTTTACTAAGGTGTGAATAAGGGGGTTCGGTAAGGTGCAAATAACATGACTCCAAGTTTAATAATTACTGTCGATACATCTTAGCTAGTCGGTTCTGTTCGCGGCATTGTATGATATTGTGTCGTCTTTCCATTAATCTCGAAGAAGAAACTGCATCAATACCTCTTCCAAGCCTTGGTGACAATAAGCTAGCTATAGTCATCTTACGTTCCATTCATAAGACAGTTTCGCACAGTTGGCACCCGAACTTGTTAGTATTTGCTGGGTGCATGAAAATTATATTGGCGTTTTCAGGCGCGCTCATTGCTTGCTTGGACTTCCTCCGTCCCAGGCAACCTATTGGCTATACCACGCGTTGATGGAATCGGCTTACGCAATGATACAATATGTCGTGGCCGTGTGAGGTTCTCCTGCCAAGTCATTCTTAGACAGATGAGTATCGCCGGCTGCGGATACTCAGGCGCCCGGGATGTCAAACTTGCATGTACGAGGCAGTGAACGTTTAGAGCTTAGGTTCACATCCTTGATTCATGTCAGTACGAAACACTTAGGTAGGTTCCCTCAGTCGCTGGTCTTCTAGTTCGGGGCTTTGAGTTAGGGCCTTAGGTCAAATCCGTGGCGGAGTTGTCGTCCATGTTGGAATCGTGTATGGGCAGGGTTCAGTTATGCATCGGTCGTATTTACTAGATTATCAGGTCAGTCCCGTGACTACACAGTCTGTATATTCCCATCTCCACGATCTGGACTGGTGGGACCTTTGGTTTATGGGAAGAAACATAGCATTAAATGTCATAATTAATAGCCAGCATGGTGGACCGTGGTCGCTGTGTTGAAGCGTACATGTCTCGGCATGGTTTTCACCAGTATCCCTTCATCTATGTATCCTGCACCCCATTCACTGCTGCCAAACTTGCTCACAAACACTCCACTCTGAGAGGATCTCCGGCGAGCCCAGGTTCAGGATAGGAGGCTGTTTCCCATCTCTCATATGCATATCAATGCGTTCCATGACAACATCAACCTGGTAGCCCCTGGCGTCTTGGTCAGGAAGATGCTCCCGTGCGGTTGATATGATGTCAGAGACATAATCCTCGAGGGGCATGATGTGGTCTGTTCCGCCAGGAGAAATAACATTAATGGACGGATGTTCACAATCAACCCACGTTCCGTTTCCCCATTCCATAGGTCGAAGCCGAACTCGTTTCTCTCGGGCCGGGGCGCTGAACACTCTATGCGTACAACACCACGACGGAACACCAATGACAGCCTCCGAAGGGACGCGAGCTGATTCCAGGGCAACATGCGGTCCATTGTTTCACCAAAGGTAAGCCCGTAGCCTGGCGGCCCTAGCCAGTAGGTCCCTTGGTGCGCTAAGGCATCAATATTCATGTTCCTGACGTTGGTGTTGAAAATGGGCCACGTGGGAAACCAGTCAGGGTGATCATCCAACAAGAACATGTCCTTCTCCCAGTTCACGAAGAAGAAGGGGTACAGGATCTGCAAGGCTGGAGACGAACATCCAGACCGTTGTTGACCAACGCCGTAGAACGCAGCCCAAGCAGAGCCACCGGGGAACCGTACCAACTGGCGGCTTCCAAGCACTGCTTGTCTGGACTCTTGATTGACCTGCATGAGGCTTCTGATCGTCGGTATGTGTTTGCAGTTCAGCATGTTGAAGGAGGTGAGTTGGCGCTTCGTGCTCGATATGACGTGCAGGAGTGGAGCATCAGGTAGGGCATATATCTCCCAGATCATGAGGCGCAACTCCGTAGCCAGATCGTTGAACTTGGCCATGGTGGCTGGGGGAATGGGTAAGTGTTTGGATGACGGTGTCGTCGAGTCAGGGGTTGGTGGCAGAGACGACCAGGCCGATTGATTACTATGTGGAACGTAAACGCCATACAGGAAATATATGGTGTGTCATATATCGATGTTCTCTCTTTCTTCGCATTTTTCATAGTGGCATAGCGTTTCTACGAGCTTCCTCGCATCGGACAGCACACTTTAACTCTGCATACATGAGACAAAGGCTGCAGGCAGCACTAAGGAAACTGTTGACTATATCCACACAGAGCCGGGACATGACCTTATATAAAGCCACTAACTCCTTCTTCCCCTTCAGTTCCTTGACTCACTGGCTGGCCATTCAGCTTTGACTTGTAGACGTAATAGAAGATCACATAAAAGGGTCTGCTGATAAAGGCCTGAAACCAACTACGAACAGAGGTTCATGAGCACCATTATCGTGACTACTTTGGCCGCTGCTACAGTGAGTCTTTCTTTTCCCAAACTTGGCGTTCATATCGAGCTTCAGTCCTTCAAGGTCGCTGTTTATCCCTGCGATCTCCCGCTCGGCTCGCTGCTTGTCCCAGCCCTCCACACCCCTCTCCACCTGCGGGTCATGCAGGTAGATGAGGTGCAGGTTCTTCGGGTAGACCCGGATAATCACGTCTTTCATGAGTCGAGTGTTCTGTGTGGATAGATTCGTATTCGCCTGGGAACAAATTTAGGAGTAGGCTGCATTGGGTCATGTAGCTATAGGTATATGTGTACATTACTCACGGACGGGAAATAGCAGACTCCAGGCTGTGTTGTTGAGCAACACTGCTAGGTGAAGTAAAATCATATAGGCCAACTAACCCCAAGCACATGGTGAAACATTTGTCAATAAAGGCTCAGTAAAACTAATATACTACACGATCAAACCGATACATCCTTGGCAATCTTCATTCTCTCCCTACCCATGACAAACAACCGTAATACCACAAGCCAGATAATCATACACGTGCAATCTCGCCCTTCGCCAGACGGATTGCTCTCTCAGCGCTCTCCAGTTGCGAGGTAGCATTCCTCTTCATCTCGTCCAGCGACTCAGCCATGGCCTTCAAGGCCTCAATCTCCTGGCTCCCTTCCCACTGTTGATGTCCTACATCCATCCCTGCTGGACGCGGAGCAGCATTCAGTCTCAACCGCTCGTTCTCGTCCTTTAGTGAGTTGACCGAGGCCGTCAAGACCTTGTTGTGCTTACGCACCCCGCCTCTACTCTGGCGCAGGTTTTTGACCTCATCCTTCAAAGCCGCAACCTCATTCCTCATCTTGCGCTGCTTCTTAGTCTCAGTACTCGGCGGGCGTGATGCAGCATTCTGTCTGAGCTGTTCATTCCCGTTCTTCAACAACTCGATTGAAGTTGTCAAAGAGTTGTTGTGCTGTCGCAGACTGTCTCGGCTCTGGCCGAGTGTAAAGACCTTCTGCTTCAGGTCCTCAATGAATCGACTATCGCTTGTCTGCTGTTGCAAGGAATTGTTGCTTCTGTGCAGCTTCTGGACCTCATCCTCTAGTGTTCTGTTATCTTCTAGGAGAGTCTTGATCTGCTCCTCCAAGGACTCAACATCTGGATTCTTGGGCGGTTTGGGAGGTTGTCGAGAGTTCCAGTACTTGCGTTCGCGTTCCAGTGTACTGACTGCTGCGTCTCTCTCCTTGACTCGATTCTGGTAGCTGACCCTTTTGAGGTCGGCTGCCAGTTTGGCTTCCTTGGTCTGAGTCTCCAACTTGTGGTTGGCGGCCTTGATCTCAGCCTTCAACTGCATGTTCTCCTTCTTCAACATGGCAACGTGTTCTTCGTAACCGCTGGACGTCTGTTCGTGATTAGGAAAAGGAGGAATCCGTGACATGTCGTTGCTGTATTGGTCATCGAGAATTTCCATCTTCTGCATGGTCTCGCGTCAGCGAAGAGCTCCACCTGACTGCTAAAGGACAACTCATAGGACTTACCGGCTTGGGAGGAAGACTGGAGGGTAGACCCGGCAAAGCAAGTGGGTAGACTCCCACTCCGCTTTGGACTGCATCATCCCGGGCGTGAGGTGAAGCATCCGACAGCATGGCTGGGGCTTTTGTCTCCACGGAGGGGACAAGCCACCAATCGTTCAGATCGTTCGTATCGTTCGTGTCGTTCGTGTCGTTCGTGTCGTTCGTGTCGTTCGTGTCGTTCGTGTCGTTCGTGTCGTTCGTATCGTTCGTATCGTCCATGGTTGGCTGAGTCGATGCCTCGGTTGATCGCTCGGCTACTATCTTCTGCATAATCGACTCCATGGTGGACGAGATGCGTTGTTGCCTCTCCGCTCGGATCTCGTCCAACCTTTCCTGAGCATCGCCCGGAAAAGGTCGCTTCGTTGGAAGCAATCCGGGATTCAACTCACTGGGTGCCAACTGTGTAGCACGCCGCATAGCGATGCACTCGTCCAGAGTTGCATCGGCATGGTGTTCGGCCGACTGCTTCGCTGGGAAGACTTGTGCATCTGAAGCCATGGTGGGTGGAAAGGCAGGGTGAGAAGAATGAATGGATGTCGGATGGCTCCCAGCCTAGCTGTTACTGCTTATTCGGGCTCTTGGCCAACCGCACAAACCGTCAAGAATAAGCACACGCCAGACTAAACACACTGCAGAGTACAGTACGGGGTGGGGATGGATTGTGTGTGACAAAAAGGAGACGGGAAGCTGAGCTGGGAGTGAAGTTGGTGGTGATGGTTGGGTTGGGCCAGCTTCTGTCGAGTGGAAAGGGATGAGCACGCATCAATGATGTGGCCATGAGCAGTTCAAGTCGAGATTGCTTCCCAAACGCGACTGCCTCTGGTGAAGGCAGCGAAGGGTGCTGCCTGCTCGACCACGCCATGACCGGGGCAGCCATACGAGGAATGTTGGCTCGAGGAAGCAACAGTTACCCAGGGAAACACACCCTGGGAAAGAGTGACTGCTGCACACATGCACGTGCTTCCATCAGCACGCCCAAAGCAGGCACGACTTGCACGAGGGGCCAGAGTACGTACCTCCTGCATGTAGTTGGGGGTTTGGTAGATATTCCGCTGCCGGTTGAGTTTCTTCGATTGGATACCGCCGTGTCCGTCCTTATGAAGTTAGTTCCCCAACGGATTAACAATAATGAAAGTCGTGCTTGATATCAACATATAACCGAGTGACTTGCACGACACGACACGACACACCGAGAGGTTGAAGGCATATAGTTGTTGGTAGTAGTACATGTATTGAGGGTTTATCTATTGCATAAGTTGGTATCGTACCGAGCCCTGCCGTGTCATATCAACATGCAGGCAGACTTGGGTTGTGGTGATCTCGTGAATGACCTGGGAAATCCGATCATGGGCAAAGATTTGTCTGTTCATTCGTTCGTAATCACCACCGCATGGCTCGCCGCGGAATCCGCCATGGGTCTGCGCCTGATGACCCCTTCCAACTCTCTCCCCCATTGAGGCACCTGTGCTGCGGCCAGATGGGTACTGTGACATGGATTAGAAAACACGCTAAGGGAAACTGTGTGTGGACGGCTCTGCCAACCCCTGCGAAAATGTCGAATCGTTGAGCCGAAGCGCCCTATTTAGATGCGAAGATCATCTGCCAGAAACGATTATGGTAGGCTACTATGTGTCATGCCGTGGAAAGACGCAATGAAATCAGTCGCATGAGTCGAGGCGGGTGACATAGATTGTGGCGAAGGTACCCAGAGATCATGAACCGTCGACTAGGCGCTTTGCGGGGATGCCACGAACTTGAGGCCGTTGCTATTCTCCGTGTCGAACGTCTTGTTGACCGTCGCGCTTTCGACTTGCAGACCCATCTTCTCTAGGCCGGAGACCGCACTATCGACTTCGCCAAAAGAGATGCCCAGGCCGTTCTTTTTCTCGTCATCGTCCTTGGTGCCTTCTTCAACCTTCTCGTCGAGGTTCATCAGCGCAGGTGGTCGGTGACGCATTGCCCGTGCCTTGGCGAGAGAGATAGTCTTCTGTTGGTATGTTGAGGTCATGGGCTGGTTGTCGTCGCGATCGATAGTTGCCTTCATCAAGGCGGCCATCCAGGTCCGACCTTGCTGTAGATTGGGAACAGCAAAGTAGTGTACCGTCGGCTTAGTGAAGTTGACGGCCTTCGAGAGACCTGCGCGAGGTGGCTGAAGCTTGAAGATGAACATCGTGTCTGTTCCTTTCTCAACGACAGCCGTGGCAGCCTGGCTATCCGCAAGAGTAGGAATACTGCTATCGGCGGGAGCCATCGGGGAGTTGCTAGCGCCCGTCAGAGTGGCATGCAGGCCAGTCAGTCGCTCGCTATCAGCAGGCAACACACGATGGAACGAGATATCAATGAGCCCCTTCTCCTCCGTATCATCCTCGGAGTAGTAGTAAGAAAGGCGGCGCCCCTTTAGGACGAAGAGCCGTGGTTTCCAGGTTGTCATGAGATGCGAGCTCTTCTTTTTCATCCAGCCACTGTAGTCTGCATCCTTGATCGCCTCTCTCGGGCCAACTTTCTGTAGGCCGCGTAAATACGCGCTTGTCTCCTTCTTCGTCTTCTTGTTGCTACTCTTTCGGCTACCGACAGTAGTGTTGGAGTATGGGCTTTTTCCGGCTTCAGGAGAGTCTAGTTCGAAGCTGGGTCCAGCTGAGGGGGTACTAGACCCAGTTCTTGCGGGTGACTGCAAAGGCGAATCTTTAGTAGAATCGGCTGGGGATCCAAACTTTGAGCGGTCAGTGCCAATCACGGCATCGGAAATTGCCCTCAGGCCGCCAAAGGCAGTCATTTTGCCGCCAGGGTTTGAGAGCCAGTCGGATTGAACGCCTTGCCGATTGGCTGGCATAATGGGTGAGGAACCAATGCTATCCTCAAGCTTCGTGACTGTGGGAGAAGGTCCGTCTTTAGCGGGAGGCGGCGGTCGGTAGGATTCGGTGGTGTTCGTTGACGCAGTCCGACGATGATCACCAGCAGTACCGTAGTACAGCTGAGCAGCGCTTGGGGGTACGGAATCTCTGGTTGAATCGACACTACCAAAACGCGAGCGTCGCGACAGAGCTGTGGCACTTCTGACGCGCTGTTGTTCTGTGTAGCTGGACTTGCGGGAGTGGTGCGAGTTTGCAGCGACGCTATCGCGCTTCTTAAGCACGTTGCGTTTGCGACCGTCAACTTCAGTGCTGGAGAAGTAGCCTCGGTCAAAGTCGACGGCAGGCTCCTGCACAATATCGGGATCGGAGGTGTTCAGAGTATTCTGCAGGCCGGCTGATGACAATGGTCGAGGTGGGGTAGCAGTGGGAGTAGCAGCACCGCCCATGGTCCAATTTCGGTCAAATGAAGGCTGTTTCTTGTGCGACGTTTCAGTTCTCGGAAATGTGCCAGAGGTTGAAAGCTTGGGGGTACCCGCACTCACAGGCGGAGTACCAGTGAGACGGTAGTCGGTTGAAGAATGGCGGCGTGAATGGTGAAGATCTCGGACGGAAGCCGCAGAGGGTCGCTTGAAGTGTGATGGTTTGGTAGGGCTGTCGTGGAGCGTTTTGGGGGAGACCAGCATCTTGGGCGACATTGGTTCGACCTTGGGTGTTTGTGACAAACGCCTCCCGTGGACTGAGCCGGGACGGTCTTCTATGGGCGGAAGCCTCTGAGAATTCGTCAGGGTGTTTGTCCTACTCCTCATCCTGCCCATCACCCGCGAATCTTCTGATCCAGCATCGCTCCCAATAGTCAGCCGTCTTGTCATAAGTCCAAGCCCGTTCACTTCATCCTGCAGAGATTTGATCTTCTGCCATGTCTTCAATCGTCGCCCTACAGAGCCCAGGTCGAATGCCTTGAGGAAGAGCGATGACTGGTCCATGCCCAGAAGCACCTCACCGGCAATCTCCTGGTCCCGAAAGACTTCGCAATGCTTCTTCTCTACCCCGGCTGTGAATAGGAACTCGGCCACATCATCAGCAGTCCATGCTTCTACTTCTTCACGAGTATGCGGCGCATCCTCTTCTTCGTCCGTCTCCTCTCCTTGGATATAGGAAAGCCTGTCTTGCATTTGAGAGCTGTATTCGCTGCCTGAATCCGTTGCGTTGTGCATTGCGCCATTCTGGGGTTTCGAGTGTAAGTCGGTAATATGCTCATCGATTACGGTCAGCGTCTCGTGGAGAACTGGACTGTCCTGGCTCTGGCTTTGCGCTGCGTTTAGACGTCCCATTCCTTCCAACCCACCCCCATAGTTGAAGCCTTTACTGGCTAACGGTGCCGTGGGCGTAGGTCCTGGGCTGGTTTCTGGCTTCACAGAGTTCAGTGGAAGAGTCACAGGATCGGGCTCGGCGGGATTGGAGGTGGTGGTCAGAGGTGTCGAAGCGCGATCCTGCGTCGGCCCTGGAGAAGTCGTCGTAGTATTCGTCTCTTCACTCGGTTCAGGCCCGGCTCCGTTGGTAGACACAGGTATGCTGGCAAGAGTTTTCGGCACAACGGATGACGCTGGGACGCCCCTGGGGGCTGATCTTGTATAGACTATCAAGGGTCAACCAGTCGGCACATGGGACAATTGGACAATCGGGACTCGAGGGGTTAGCTACCTTCCGGGAACAAGCCGCTATTTCCATTCACCATGTGACGGCCTAGGAACCAGCCGTCACCAAACTCATCATCTCGTTCGATCAACTCAACACGGTCGCCCTTTGCCAAGCTTAGTTCATCGGAGCTTCGAGCAAGGAAGTCATCTGCAGATTTGCATTCAAGTCAATGGATATTCACACATCACTTGTGCAAACACAAACAAACAACCACAGTCCAGCAAGCACGTAATGCAAACAAGCCAGCACATGCCGACTGGCGCAACAGAAGACAGACGAGACCGACAGAGCAGGAATGGTGCCGACTCACGTATGACCACAAGTATTTCACCGACTTCCGGCTTCGCATCTGCGCCCCCTCTGGACGCCATGATGAATCAGAGGCGATCCGCGAGTAGTTATAGGAGACCAAGGCAGGTTCAAGACGATGGCATAAGCGGGTCGGGGCTGTGGTTGCGGTCGCGGAGAGGGCGGTAAGAATGGGAGGATGCGTGGCTCGTTGGGGTTTTCGGTCCGGGGCGAGACGGGAGACTGCCGGGTCTATTCCAGACCTGATTCGATCGATGTTTCAATGGTGACAGGATGCATTGAATCAACAGCAGTGGCAAATGTAAGTACTGCAACCAAGTAGAATTATATATAATGAAGAATGCCGCGGCGGATGAATGCGATATAGATGGGGTATGCGTGGCTGTCGTCGTCCTTCTCGGCGCGGTTGTTTGGTCTCGGGCCAAGGACTTTGGCTGAAGGTATTGGTTTTTTGGCTCCCTCCTCTGCGGCTGTAGTCGCACGAGCCTGGCGCCCCCCTCTCTCAGCAACACAACAAAATGCAGCGCCGCACAGAACCAGCGAGGGCACAATGGACGCGTCTATGTTGTCGGGATAGAGACTCATACGAGTGTGTGATTGAGTGTATGTGTGTTTGGAGAAGACGCGGTTCGTCAAGGTGGATGATGGCTGGGCCCAAAGGAACGGTGGTGCCCAGTGGTGTTCTCGATAAAATGGAAATGCGATAGAGACGGAGCAGAAGCTTATGGCTTGGGCCGAGACGGGGTCAGGTTTAACTGGAGGTTAGTGGCTGCCAGCCTGCCAGCTGGGATGGGCCATGGCCGGGGCCTGTGTCGCCTGGATTCTCCGCCCGCTCCGGCCTGTGAGTGGTGCGTAAGTGGTGCGAGTGGGTACCGGTAAAGACAACAGCACGGTAGGGTGCGCTACGGCTCGGTAGACAAGAGTAGGTACGTAGGTACATATAGTGCATGTACCTACAGGTAGTTAGCAGCTTGCTGCCTTGCCCTGCTTTGCTTTATCTCACCTAAGTACCTAGATATTTACTTTACGCAGCTCGGGATTCCTTGAATGTACGTGTGGTACTTGGCATGGGGAGGGCCAGCAGACAGACCATAAAGTGGCCTGCGATGGGCCCCTTTTTGAGACCGTCTTCACGCTGGCCGTTGATCATGAGTATTTCCCAGACTACCTGACCTCAACAGGCTGACTGTTGGTTTCGTGTTCAACATGCACATCATCAAGCCTGGGTGGTTGCCAAGCTGCCCTTTACAACGTGCACAATAGTGAGGAAAGACGGCATGCAGAGATAAGATGCCTGATATGTGCCTATGTATATTGAGTTCTTGGTGTAAGCATTTAGACACAACGTTTTGCTTCCGTTTCTGCATATGAACATTGGTCGACTGAAAGACACCAGAGTGGCTGGCTTGATGTGTATACAAACACTAGAGGTATGTTGGGTGGTTGTGATACACCTGCATGTAAAGATGTGTAAAAGCGACAGCCTGTGTCATTACCTACAACATGTTAAAGCCTCCTTCCATACACGCTGTATATATAAGGTACCTATCTGGCTCCAAACTATCCCTTCCATCGGTGGCTGCATGAACGAAGCTTCATGGGGGCACGGCATTCGCAGGATTCGTTCCGTACGGCTTGGATGAACCCTATCTGTTACTTGTCAGCACCGAATGGCAAATCGCCAAGCACCGGCTCATCCCTGCCAGATCCGGCGCTTGAGCTTTGTTGCCAAGTACAATGGCTCATCACTGTCCTCGACGACATCGGGAGTTCCTTTTCAAGACACAACAAGCGCTTCGTTGCTGAACCACCACTCCGCGACCCCTTTTACCCTTTTTCTTTTCTTTCACGCCGCGATGTGGTAATCACCTACCATGAGAGCTGAAACTTCTGAGGTTCCATAGGAACACTGCCGTCAAGGATGCACCGATTGATGGTATCAGAGTTTGCGTGGAAAACTTGGCAGCCCAAGTTTCCCATTTAGGATCTAGAGTATGAGCCAAACATATGCGCCGAGGAAAACGCAGAGAGCAAACATCCTTCCGACTGAGTCACCGACTAGGAACACCGACTGCTGCCGGCATCTCGGTTTCCTCTTGGGGTGGCGGCACAATTTTGATATTCTGTACATCGAAAATCCAACTATTGCTGTTGTGTTGATCTTGCAGCAGTCCTGCAGGGGTTAGACTCTGCCATTCTAGATAGGTAGGCTTCGCCGGAGGACTGGTGTTAGGGAATACAGCCAGACAAACACAACGTAAGGTTGGAGGTGCATACATGTAGGTATGTAAGCAAAGCTAGCATTCCTAGGGGATAGCCACATTCAATGTTGAGTACGGTACATGTCACTTTCGGCTATATCGTAACCCACACGTAGCCAGCCGCTTCGACTCATGTAGGTGAATGCAATGACGCCGGTCTGCTTGATGAAGCAAAGACGCCTATCTGGCCTGTGTCACCCGGTGGCAATAAGGCAAAAGTTGATAAGAAAGACAGAAGAAGAAGGTGCGCCTACCGGTAGTAAAAATAAATTGGTACCTACATGTAACTTGCCACTTGCACCTTCCGACGGCGAGAGGATCAGGACTTGGAAGTCGACTATCGTACTTGCCCACTCTGCCACTGTATGAGGTTGTTTCAGTCAGTTTCTTGACATCTTGACTCTTGAGTAAACCCCCCATCCGCATTCCACCATCCCCGCAACCCGACAACCTGCCCCATTGCTGTGGCCACCACCGACGGGACGCCGACAGCCTCGTTGCATGTGCATCTGCATCCGCGTGTGCGTCTTCGCAGCGTTCGCAACGTCCAAACACATCAAATTGCGCATAGTCACTGAGCAGACAAAAGTTAGCACTACCCGACGGCTCGAGACGAAATCTGTCAGTGAAGTAGGTAGGTAGTTGATTGCATTGCCCAGTCTCGTCAACTGCCCAAGGAATTGCGTAAGGAGGTACATATGGTACGTCTCTTCTCCTTCCTCTTTCCTCTTTTCCTGCTCTCGATCTTCATCGTTGTGAAGGATGCGCGGTCCCGCCCTTGTCATCCACCCCTCCCCCATACTGGTACTGTGCAGTGTGTTTGGACAGGCACACAGCCTCATCAGGCACTGGTAGAACTGAGAACTGGAGGTGGAGTCAATGAGGTGACCGGGTTTTCTAATTCGGTGCCCGTGACATAGTCTTCCGCAATCGACGACGATCACCGCGCGCGAGGGGCACGAAACACCGGTCTTCGAAATTACCGTCGTCAGTAGCATCTGAGCCTGAGTCCTCAATCCTGATGGCGCCGACCGGGGGTCAGAAGTCGTCGGCATCACCCATCACCACCGCCCACGCCAGCGTGTCTTCGGGTCGCCAGTTCGCCGAATCCAATTCCACCCTCAATGCTTTCCTAGGAGGCCGTAAGCCTTCATGGCTAACCAACGCGAAACCGACCAAGCCCTCGCCTCGTCCTCCGCAGCCTCAGCCTATGCAACCACCTGTATCTGCACAAGCCGCACAACCCTCCGTGACAGCCTTGCAATCCACACAACCGCAACCACGACAACCGCAGGAACCACAGGAACCACAACAACCACAGGCGCAAACGCAAACGCAGCCACAACCTCGATCACAACGACCTCCGCCTCCGCCCCCGCCGGCACAAGCTCCGACTCCCGCTTCAGTCCCATCAGCGGTGCCTATCCCTCCCATCTCGTCTCGCCAGCGGCATCAGCACCTGCCAGAGCAGACACATCTCTCGTAAGATACCTAAACCCCCAGCCCAGCGAATTGCTACACAACGCATGCTTTACACCCGCCCTGGCGCCTGCTTGCATTTGCGCGAGTCATCTGCTGACTTTCTTTGATCTGAAGATCACCATCAGCGTATGCCGTGCTCCCTTCGCCAGCTCCTAGTGACGAGCCCAGCCCATGCATATCTATCAGCCGCGAAAGTTCCGAAGCCGCCAGCTCTCTCCCCCCAGCCCCCCCCGAGTCTCGAGACGGTCCTCGAGTGACCGCAGCTCATTTTGTACTAGACGATACTCTGCGCGGTCAACAGGAGCACCAGGCGCAACACCTGGCCACGCCAGTAATAACGAGGCGGAGTACCTCACGACAGGGCAGCGAGGCGTCGGCTGCCCGGAAATCCTCGACGCCAGCGAACATGGTTATCAATACACCTCCAACACCGGGTGCGCCGGTCTTGAACGTGGGGACGGCCTCAGGAGACGTACTGCCAAATCCCCCAGCAAAGAGACGGCGTGTTGCGTATGTGTCAACCCCCACGCCCGGGGAAGGGCCTCTGCATCTTGCGGAGTGATCAAATACACGTGCTGACTATGTGCCTTGCCAGAAATCCATCCAAACTCTTCCTCGAATCCATCCAAGCTATGAATACACTCACGAGTTTTTCGCGAGATAGTGGCGCCGAGCACGACTTATCAGGTACTGTTGAAAAACCACGGTACCTCCTCTTGAGGGAGGCTTGCGAGACAGGGGACGTGTTCTTCATTGCACTGCACCAGCTCTTCTGCGCGTGGGCAATGAATCAAAGTAGTGTGCATCAGCTCTGCGACGAGAGTTTGCACGACACCTCTCTAATCGACAACGCATTTGGAATAATGGGTACGGTTCTGAAAAGCAACTCTAAAGTACGGCCAACGCTGCTTCAGTGGTTCACGGCATTCCCGGCCTCGCTAGACGTCATGCGCCATCACCCTTTCTACGCCAATACAATAACGCAGGTCCTAGACTTCCTGGTGCGCGTGTCTCACAGATGGATGGTTATGAACCATAACCATCAGATAAACGGGTACCCTCTGCTGATGAGCGAGTTACTCGACTCCTTCCTACTATACTCTCCGCTATTTCAGGCCATCGTCTTCCGTGCCTCTAGGAGAACATTGGGCGTGGCCGACCAACCGTATGGCGCGCAGATGGAGGATATCTTCAAAGCAGATCAGAGAAAGCACCGCAATCCCGACGGTACATTCGCACTGCGCTTTTCTCCCGCGGAATACCAGGCCTATAATCATTCTCTGATTACGCAGTACAAATCCATCGTAATGCAGAATCAAGCCTTGCAGAATCAGCAATCACACCATTCCGGCCAGCCTTCCTTGTTGCCGCCGTCGACGACTAGTTCAGCCCGCCGAATTCAATCCGTTCCTATGGCCCAGGCACATGTACGGAGGGACTCGATGCAGGCGGGCACCATGCTGTCCCCGGCCACGACAGTTGCGAGTCCAATGCCTGGGATCCAAGTGCTCTACTCACAAGCTCGTGCCCCTTCTCCGATGAACACCCAAAGCCCAACGACCACGCCAAGCGGCTTTCCCAGTCAGACACACGCATCAGTTTCTTCTCCAAACCAATTCATGGTGCCACCGAATCATGTGGTGCCGAGTAACTCGTCGGCATCGCCTGAGATGTATAGCTTCCCTTCTCAGTCGCCTAGCATCGCTCATCAAATGCATTCTATGCACGACAATACCCAGGCACAACCCATTCTTCAACAATACCAGCAACAATACCACCAGCACAACCAGCACCACCAGCAACTGCAACAGCAACTGCAACATCAGCAACAGCAGCAACAGCAGCAACAGCAGCAGCAGCAACAGCAACAGCAGATGCAGCAACAACAGATGCAACAAATGCAACATCAGTCTCTCCATCCACAGCCGTCCAATGTGCAACAGCAGCGGCAGCGGGCTTTTGCAAGACGCCGCTCTCACCACTCGGCCGTAGCGTTGAGTCCCCGGTCGTCTCCTCTCCAACATCATATTGTACTGTCAAACCAGGCAGCATACAGTGGGCAGAACTCACCAGTACTCACTACTTTCACCGGTCCAGCTGTGCACGTTCAATCCCAGCGCGGTTCGATATCTGCCCAAGGTGTTGCCTACCAGAATCATGCCGTAAACAGCACCTTGCCATACAATCCCAACCCGGGAGGGGTCACGACTCAATTACCCGTGCAACAGCCAACCCCTGTGAACAATCAACCAAGTATTGTCAGACCACAAGCTTCCACAGTACGGCCACATCGTAACACGGTTCAGCCCAGCGACAAGCTGTTCACCACGGCAAGGATCAATCTCATAGACTATCCGCATACACCCTATGACAAGAGATCGGTCGACAATTCCCTGCACCAGGTACACCTTCGGAGTCCGAGGCGTATACCCCGAAACTTAACTACATCTACCTCGTCGGAACGATATTATCAGGCTATCAAAGACTTTGCGCTATCTCCCACCATAATTGCCCCTCAGCCCTTCTTGCACAAATTCAAATTTGCTATTTCGAGTACGGAATGCGCTAGACTCACACTGGATGAGACGACGCGAGGAGACGCATTGCCTGTTAATCGATTCTCCGACGGCTCTCTGCGGGTTCGCATAAGGTGCTGTTATAGGCAGCAATCTGATATACCCGTGCCCGACAACCTTTGGGTGACTACTGAGTCAGCGTGGCCAGAGCACATTTTCATGGAATTGAACGGTCATGTCTTGAGCGTCAAACGCAAAGCGCATCATTCCAAGGATCTTCCCGTCGAAGCTTCGACGCTCATAAGGCCTGGCGAGAATTTGTTGACTGTCTCGAATCTCGATGAGAACAAGGCGTCTAACCCTCAGCAACCGTACATAGCTGTCGAGATCGTCGAAATTCTGAGCCACAGTGCTGTTCTCGACATGGTCCGTACGCAGGGGAGCAGAACCGCTGACGACACTCGAGAAATCATCAGGAGTCGCCTGGCCGGCTCATCGGGTAACGGCAGTGGGGGTCGAGGCGACGACGGGGATGACGACTTGGAAATTCCCGATGATGGCATATCCATCGACCTGGCAGACCCATTCACTGCCACAATGTTCCGGATCCCTGTCCGTGGGAGGACCTGCACTCATCTCGAGTGTTTTGATCTTGCGACCTGGCTCAATACCCGACTCGGGAAGAAGTCATGTGTCTGCGGATCTGGCTCCTCAGACTGCATACGATGTCCCAAAGAGCCGTCCTTCGTCGATAAGTGGAAGTGTCCTCTTTGCGACGGCGACGCGCGTCCCTATAGCCTTTGCATCGATGGATTTCTTGTTGAAGTCCGGGCGCAGTTGGAGGCCGAGAATATGCTGCGCACCAAGTCAATCATCGTGTCTGCTGACGGGTCGTGGAAACCCAAGGAACTGGTCAGCGGTGATGATAGCGACATCGATAGCGACGATGACATCACTCCGGCGGCCAAGATGACTCCAAGACCCTCTATGGCTCCGCAACGGGAGGTTATCGAGCTTGATGACGACTAGCTTGGTGATATCAAAGCCATATTTCGTGACGGGTATGAGATGACACGGTGGTTTGGTCATCTGCATTTCATTACGTACTGCCTTACCACCAACGCAGTGGCGGGCGGCACTCAGGCACTGCTGGAATATAACAGCATTGATGGTAGTTGCCCCTCGACATTGCACACCAGTTGCTTTCTCTACCAGTCGCTCTAGAGGACCGCCGGCTATCCTTCAGCCTCGATACATATCGCGGATCGACTTCCGTTCGCCACTCGGTATCAGGGTGCTTTCTACTGCTTCGTGACTCTAGACGTGTTTGCGAATTTGCAAGCAGAGGTGACGTGAGCCATGGTCCAATTCGAGAGTGCTGCCTTCCCCATGCGCAGCCTCTCCTATCCATGTGTTATTCTTTTCAAGCGTTCGGCATTTCAACAAGAAGACGGTAGTCTTGCATTATAACGTGGTAGCAAATGCCTTTTGCTTTGCATACAGCCAGCATCGACTTCACATCACACTCTTACGAAGTCTCTGATTCCGAATAATTGAGATTCGGGCAGAAAGCGATATACCCTCGGCGTTCTAGGTTCACCATTTACATTCGCTTTTAGCGTGGAGTTTCAAGACATCATCATCAAGTGTGTTTCGTCATTAGTTAACCTCTGGCATCAGCATCAAATGGCATAATCTGGGACTCATCGAGGAAGCTGATCTGGGACATCATTGCGTTTATTGGTAAATCATGAATGGCTATCGGGGCAGTCCGGAAGTTTACACGCCTGCCATTGCGCGATGCCCCTCGGCGTGTGGTGTTGTCCGCAACGAGGGCGGCGACAGACGGGCGTACCTTTCCTGCATTTATACCTCCACCGAGCTGCCGGTGATGAATCACTCACCACCTCAGCCACCCTCAATGGCAATACATGGGACGGCGCGCACTTGCTGGCTATGATTCCAGATCTCAATACTTCGTTCTGGCTGGGGTTAAGGACGAGTAGCAAGCGGGGTGGGGTCGACAGTGATATCCTGATAGTCTAGAATAGGTAGTCCATCATCATCTCGAACATCGACTCACGAAATGAATCATAAATATACATAATGTACATTGCAAGAAAGCTTTTGCTCAATGAGCGGGCATCCATGGTGACCCCTTCCCTCGTGCTGATTGCCCCGAGGGTGCAGCTGTGATTTAGAGATGTCCTCTCCTGAACTTTTTGGCTGGCTATCGGCCTTGTGGCGATCCGTACGGAGCGTGTCTGGTAGGTAAGGTACGTATGCCGCAGGCGGCCTGAGAATGTTCCTGATTGCTTATATGACCCATGAACTAGATACGAGTGATCTCCGGATGTAATAACAAAGAACCTAAGGGACAAGCTCTGAAATGGTAATTATGCCTGTCTATACTGCACCCATGCGCAAGTCGATAAATTCCCCTTCCAATGTAAGGTGAGGGTGTTAGTGTGATGAGGGTGCATCGCTGCTATCCCGGCGATACGCTAGGAGGTATCAATACTATGCGAACGAGACCAATAGTTTGAAAAGTGATTTATAGGTAGGTACAGGGAAGGAGTATATGTTCAGTTGCTTTTGAATATGTCTTCTATACATGCATATACGTCGAATGGTCAGATCTATAGGATTGGATGAGTGGGCAGATGGAGAAAAACGGGATCAACTCTCTAGAACCTCTCGTTCCAAATAAACGCCAAGCTTCCTACATATACACTTGGTATACAAAAAGCAGTCTCATGTAAACGTCCTTGCTGCTTCAAACCTGCTACTACTGCTACATCTTGCGTGCGAACCCCATGGCCATCATCTATTTCCTGCTTGATTGCCCATTGCTTGGGTTTCCGCTCGTCTTCCCCTTCTCGATTGCGGCTTCGTCATCGCTGTCCCCTCCGATGCTATAATGGTCCCTGTCCATATCGGTTGGGGACGTGACATGCAGGTCGTCCAGCTCGCCCTCGTCGAAATCACCGGCCTCGATATCACGGTTCGACCGCTTGTTGCGGAAGCTCTCGAGCCCCGTCGATCCACGGAGCCCCTGAGTGATGTCAGGTAGGCCCGCGTATCCGGCGGTCCGCCTGCGGGCTCGCCACACGAAGAAGCCCCAGACAGCGGCGGCGACAGCGACGATAGCCAGGACGACTTCCCCGGACTTCTGATACGCAGCCCACTTGGCATCATTCAGCTCCTTGTCCTTAGATGCCTCCTCAGTTTGGGTGGAGTTAGTCACACTCCCAACGCTCGTATCGGGGAGTTTCTCTCCGTCTAGCAGACTCTCGGAGGGAATGCCGCCAATGTTGCTGATATCAACACCGACAAATCGGTCTAGCATATCTCGGGTTCGGCGTGGGTAGTCGAATGGCACCATGTGGGACGAGTTATAGAACAGCACGTAGGTCAGGTTGCGAGCCTCCTGCCAGAACCCGGCTTCCTCGCCTTCAAAGGTCCAGTCGCGGCGCGGCGCCCAATTGCCGGGAGATATCTCGAAGCCCTTGCCACCGTTCCATTCCATGTTGTTGATGAAAGCTTCGGTACCCAGGTGGTTGCAGATCAGATCTTCGGCACCGGAAAACAGGAGCACGTTCACCTCCTTTAAGACATCCGGCATCAACTCGATAGAAGGCGGTGAGTTTTTGGAGTTGAACGCATTCCCGACGGCTCCATTGCACTCGGTCCAACCCGTCACCTTATTGGAGTTGATATGCAGTGCGGCAGTCACTTCATTCTTCCGCAGGTACGGTGTGACGTATTTCAAATCCGGAGGCCAGTTCATGCCACAGCTTGGGTAGGTATCGGTCAATCGAACGTCATACATGTTGATACATATCGATTCGCCATTGGAGTCCTTGCCTTGGGTCAGGCGCAGCATCTCCTGCAGAACAGATTCACAAGCATTGTTGTCGACCTGGCTGGAGCCAGCCAATGCCATTGACTTCTGACAAGTCTTGTACTCGTTTTCCAGTTTGCCGGCGATATCGGACCCCTTCTTGACAAGGCCCTTTTCGTACGCGAAGGACAAGTAAGCTTCGTATTGCTCTTTAGGGGCAATCCATCCATTGCCAATCATCAGGCCCTTGAGGTTCCACTTGACACTCGTCTGGGGCAGCTTGTTCCGGTCGAGGATTGCCTTGGCGATGTAGGGGATGTGCTGTCCAGCAAACGATTCTCCAGCAATGTACAGCTGTTCCACAGGGGTCAGTCAAGTGCAGTCAGTAGGAAACAACTGGCCGAAATTTGCTCACATCGTCATGTTCGTATTCTGGGAAAAGCGCGAACCATTTCTCGAGAAAGGTTGCGAATTGGGCGGCCATCTCGTCGAGCTCGTGAATGTAACTGTTTGTGTCGACGTAACTGAACCCCGTGCCGACAGGATTGTCGACAAAGAGCAGGTTTGCGAATTCATGCCAACTGCCGTTGTTGTATTCCAGGTTATCCGAGTCTTTCAACCGGTAAGGGCCTATCTCCATCATTGCGCCATCCTCGGAACTGCAACCGGGGCCGCCATTCAGCCAGATAACTGTCCTTTGCCTGTTCGCAATGTGTTGGTTCTGGAAGTGCCAGAAGAAAAGGTTTCCGTTGTGTTCGGGCGTGACTTCGACGTGTCTGCGCAGAGGCGTGTAGTTGTCAGCATTGGCGATCGCAGTCTGAAACGTTGAGGAATAGCAGCTTACCCAGCATGCATCTTTATCAGGTCTCCCTCGGGGGCGCCCGGTAATGAATGAACGTAATAATCTCCAGCACTTATGTCTGCACTGACTGCCGGCACGCACAAAGACAGGGCAAGCAGGGCTCCGGCAGCGACTCGCACCGGGCTCCAGAGCGATGAGGGAGCCATGGCTCTTGACCAGCCGAAGGGCGTGTTGACGACCATGGAACAGGCGCGGTCAGCTCGGGGTGGGACTAGGTGGTCGGTATCGTTGTCCCCATGTATGTATCTGGCGGGCGTTTCGCAGGAGGCAGCAATCGGGTGGTCGCGCAGACGTTTGTTAAGGGGACGATAGTAAGGGATTGAATAGGAGGAGGCGAGATGGGAAGATGAAGAGATGTCGGATCTCCTTACAGAGGCTGAGAAAGGTGAAACTGGCCTCCGTCTTCTTTCTTGGCTGGTGGAGAGCTGAGACGTAACTGGGTGGAAGAATGAACAGCGGTCCAGGGCCTGTAGTGTAGCACGCCCAGCGAGGCTTACGTACCAGCTAAGAGCAGACGGGTCCCACTGTTAGTGAATGCACCAGGATGTGTGGCACCGCTTAACACTTTATGGGCCCACCCACAGACGTAACCTCTGAAAGGGGCGCTAAAGAAGGGATATTCTGGGCAGTGGGGTTCCGACAATGCACCACCACGGGCACCTGCACCAATGTCCATCTTCAGCATTGAGCCTCCCGTTATTGATATCTACCTTGGAATGATGCGAAGCGCTTCGAGGCCCTTGATCAAGTCTCCCATTTCATCCATCCGATAAGTCTTCAGTTTTTCTCTTGAGTATTCCATGGGGTCAATCATCTTCAGTCATTTTTTAAGATGCTCAACCATCAAGTCCGAACCACAATCTCAAATACGGACATCTTCAGTATGAGTTACAAGCGCGACTCTTTTCCTTAATCCTAACTAAATGGATGACTCCTTTCTTAGCTCTGACCTCCTGTCCGCCATGCCAGCTCCATATATTAGACGCCTATATGTGCGGAGCGATGGCTTCGGTTACCATTCGACACCCTTACTGTACATGTACAGTACATGATCGAAGTGGGTGTTTGGATGCTGACTCCAGCTTCCAACCACATATCTCACATCGGGTAGCCGCGACACGAAGTGTCACAAGCCTACAAACCGCAGCAAGTCGACTTGCCTGGAGGGAGGTGCTGGCACGTAAGGCCTCACTCTCAGACCAGTGTCATGAGCAGTGTTCCTGCTATTATTACTCCAAACTTGCCTGGGCTGCTTCCTCACCATCCAAGCATGTCTTCCCCATCGTCAGAACATTCTCAGTGAACCCTCATGCGGCAGCCGGTGCCCAGCAAGCGACTCGGAGATTTGTCCATCGCGTTACCGGCGTTATGAAGGTGTTGTGCTAGTATTACCGAACAGATTGCGGTTGCCCTTTATCGGCTGCCGCAGGTCACGACGTCCCAGCGGGTGACCACCATATTTCCCATCGTCCCATATTACACATTATGCCCTCTCCGTTTTACGCGTGCCTGGTTGTAAGAAAGACTCCATGCCACCATAAGACCAGAAGAATGCCCGAAATCTTGTCGTCTATCATATCCGAAGAGTCCCGACTATCCGGAGTGGCTCTAGGATGAACCGATGGACGTACAGGTAGGTGCTTGAATGAAAGCGCAGGAAACGCCATGCTGTTGTGGAGAACGTTGTCGCACCAAAAGAATGCCCAAAATCCAAAGTATAACGGCGTCAGGAGCCGTTGTCAGCCTGAGCCGAGGACCTAGATGGAGACCACGATTATATCTCGGGAGTTGAGCCGACACTCCTAGCAAACAAGGCTTCACTGGACACCCGTCGCGGCAGCGAAAGTGATCATTGCTCTGTTCAAGCATGTTTGCAGGTTATGCCGTTGTTACCGCCAGGGTGCTCTTGAGATGTAATTCACCATCCCATCCAGCGCGTTGTCGCCCTCCTCGACGGTGATCATGTTGGCGTCCTGCAACACGGTGAGGACATCTCCGACCCAACTTTGACACGACCAGTCCGCGTCGATATTATTAACCCGCGTGGCCAAGATAGCATTGCGGAGGCTCATGTCTAACTCGGAGCTTGTTGGCAGCGTGGAAACGGCGAGTCGTCGGTGGAAGTGAGGTCTCGCCCGCGGGGCAGGCTGATTCCAGAGCTCCTTCACGCTGAAGCTCGGATGCTGCCCCTGGATTTGGATGGTGAGGTTCATGCTCTCGTCCTCGTTGAAGACGATGTACAGCTCGGTTACTCGTGCGCTTTGGATATCGCGAGGGTAGCCCTTGAAAATAAGAATCCAGAGGGATTGTGAGGTTGGCTCTGCCGCTCCAGTCCGGCCGTCGTCAGGCTGGGCCGGCCAGCCGTTGCGCTCGTTATCATCCGCACCTCCGCGTCTCCCAGTAGTCGAGCCGATGCCAACCTGACCATCGAGATCCGAGCCAGCTTGGGACCTCGCTGCCGGAGGACTAACCATGAGGTCCGAGTACAGGCTCGTCAACCTTGAATAACCCGGCGAATCCGGCTTGGTGACTTGGACGAGGTCAGCCGGTTTCCGTGGCATGGAAAGTAATCACAGCAAGACGCACCTTTATTGCTGACAACCTGAAACTCGCAACGCTCGTAGGTCTACCACCTGACTTATCAATCCCGTTGTTGTTTGTGGAGAGGGTAGTAGAGCAGGTAAGCGGAGAAGTATACGTGTGGCCGGCAGCCTCTCCTGGGCAGAATAGCAACGCGGCCGGCCACCAAGAGCCCTCCGAGCCCTCCTACCTACCTACCTACACACACCATCCGAAACCGCAGCGCAGCCCTAGGATGCGTGTAAGGAGCTGGGATGCAGGGACGATCCCACTACACCGTGTTTGCGTGTCTCCCAATCTACTAGAGAGCTCATATTCCCTTCCTATGAGCCAGGCCCATGTGCATGTCCGTCTACCACGCAACCCCTCCAAAACCCCACAGATCAGGGCTTCCCAAGGGGAAGAAAGACGCGACATGGGGTGAAGTGCGGTCCTCTTGTCTTCGATAGACAGCAAATGCATGATGGACGGCTGTGGCTGCATGGATTGACACCATGGAGCGTTCTAGACCGCATCAACCGACGACCAAATACCACACTATGCGCATCAATCCGACAAGTCGCTAATTTTTTCTTTTCCTTTCTTCAGGGCAACATTTTTGAGCCTCCACTTTGAGCGAAGACAGAGAGCCTCGGCTGACGGGCAGACCTTGGGAGGAAGGGACGATATTCCTCGTGCTTTCTAAGGTAGCGTGAAGCCTTGAATCAATGCCACACACTATCGGGTTACAGTAGCGCACGTAGGATATTCGATACCCGATCCTCTTCGGCGGCTTGGGTGCGGACGAAGACTCGACTCTTGTGCGGCAACACGACTCGTCTACCCACCCACGCCACGTACATGAGGTACATAGTTGAGGTCCCCCGCACCCAAACACTGCAAGCAATAAAGTATGTATATCACACGCCAAAACCCTTTGGGCCTCCACAGCACGCAGCAGTAATAGAAAACGGAAGTCAACTGGCGATCGCTCACGCCATTTGACGACGCGCTACTGCAACTGGCCGATCGTCGACACCAGCGCCCACATTTTCACATGAAGAATATGACTGCAACGGGGAATAGTTTGGGAGATCGCCAAACGTCGCTTCGAGGGTTGACCGACACCGCCCACGAACGTTGACGCCTCGAGCGAAGGGAGCGAATGCGGCTGTGGATGCCGCATGCTGGCTAGGCAGCTTGCTGGCCATATGAGAGCAGTCAGCGTTCTCCGAGCTTCTCACACCCTGCAGGTAGCGTGTCGACCATCGTGTCGTGTGCAAGATCTGGCCAGGCGGGACAGAGCTGCCAAGAGATGCTTACTGTAGCTCAGAGCCCTGCCAAGACGTGTCATGCAAGTAAGTAGGTACTTGCATGCAAGGAGACATCGATCACTTTCCCAGACGGCCCCTGGGCCCTCCTCTTCCTCCTACAGTAGAGTGCTCGTTCAACGGCTGGTGAACATGGTGTCAGATATCCAGCGTCACGGTAGTTACAGATTCCGAGACGGTGACCAATCCAGGTACGTACCATCCAGATGGTTCTAGAAAAGGTCGACATCCTCCTTCCTATCCCATCGTCGGTCACGACCAATTGGAACCCCACGGGATCGAGCAGCGGTCGATGCTAGTAATGCAAGGCATCTCGGTAACAGCCTTCCCGAGACAGAACCCTCACTGCCGCCGCCAGCTGATAGTTAGTACGAACTTCGGCTAGATTGCCATAGTATCAGTATGTTGCACCGCTGGGGGTGTGTTACGCTCTCGGTACCTACGTTTGCACATTGGCTAGACGCTAAGGTAATGAAGACAGCTACCCATCTTGTTCCCAGCCCTCTCTGTCGTTCTCGGGACGTACGGAAGTCTTCCGAACCGACAGCAGCAAGCACAAATGGCATACGGTCTCCACGGAGCCAGCTCTGTGCAAGGCTTGTTTCCACTTTCGACCACTCGTCAGTAGGAGGACGAAATCGCCTCCCTCGTGGTCATGTGTCCACGGCTCCCAAAATCACCTCCAGTGGCACACGTGCCATTCCAGAGTGACTCGGAGATAAAAAGCCACGCGGAAATTCAATGTTACGTTTTGACGCTCGTCAACGGCCACTACAAGCCAACTCAGGGCTTCTTTATCTGACCGTAAGGGGCCAGAGACATGACTGGGCTAGACCCTTTGCTTTCTTCTGCGTGAGCTCTCCTGGTTACCGACTGGGCTGCAGGACATATATCGACGCGATGAGCACAGCGATTGTAGGCACTCTTATGCGCGATTGAGACACACCGTGTACCATGTACACCGAGATTGACTGCTTAACGGGTGATTCTCAGGTTCACCTAGGACTACTGGGGTATCCCATAGACCACGCAGGGCAAGGCGGCAATATATCGTGTGCATACGCGCGTGAGGTGACTCTGGAGGTCGCCTACCCTCATTGCTTATTAGCGCCAGGCTGTCAGATCAGTCAGTCACCTACCCAGTGCGACGACATAACCCGTCAGCGCGGCTCCTACGAAACCAGCCGCCCCATCTACACATGGGGAATGGATACAATATATTGCCCCTGTTTCCTCATGCTGATATCGCAGTCATACGCTGCGCTGCTGGAGGGTCTACGTTCTTGGTTAAGAGCCAACTAGGTAACTTACCGTACTCCAGGACGGCACTCCCGTTCTTAATTGATGCCAGAGCCAGCCAGCCGCTCTATCGTGCCATGGTCTGAGTTGTCGTATCCTCGTCTTGAGGGAGGGGGGAAGGAGACGCTGTCTCACGCCTGATTCCCATTCCAGTTTCTCCCAGATATAGGTACGCCCAGAAAATAGTATCCTATGGTAAGTAATGGTGTTGTAAACCTTTGGGTGGCCCCAGTCCTTCGTTCGTAGGCTCTCTTCAGCCGACTGGTTGATATACACTTTTTCTGTGCTAGGTACTCCATGTATACACATCACCTCTGGCCTCAACACAAGCTATTAGGAGACTTGGTACACAGAACCCTCATAAGCCTTCGTACACCAGGTATCCAGCAAACAGCGGTATATCCACTGTAATTAGAATAGACACACTACATAGGTAGAATAAGCATCAAAAGAAGCGTATAACACCCGAGCTACTTATTCCTGTATGCTTATTCCAGCATTTTGATTTTTCTTGCAGGTGGTCTGGAATCTAGTCAACGTACACGCACGCAGATTTGTGAGGGCTGAATTTATATTAGTAGAACCGTGATCGCAACCTCACTGGTAAAGGCATCGCTGATAAAGTAATTGGTGACGATTACAGTATCAGTGGCATCATTATCCCCAGTAGCAGCACTGCAAACAGCAAGACCAAGAACAATCATCAACACACAGGAATCAGGCGATGTGAGAACTTGACAGGTTCTATTCTCCGGTTTAGAAGACGCATGTCTGTAGTTTACTCTCTTGAGGCACAACCCGTCCCGTATGCACCAACCCCAGCCTTGGAAGACCAGATTCCTTACCACGTATTCCATGCTAAAACTCCCAGCGTAGAGTAGAAGAATACATGCTGGACATTCCCCCATTCCAGCTTCGTGAGGTGTTGGGAACGGCAACCATCGGTTGCTTTCCCTGCCTCTGTCCAGACTTGATAGGTGCTCTCCCGGCCCGCTCATCGAGGGTAGTCGCAACAGAAAGCGGTACTGAAAATGGCATGAAGCCTGGATAGTTGGCATGAATGACGCCCGAGTAGTCGGGACGATGTTTTGAAAAGGGGACAGTGTCTGACGGCGGCGATGTCCGCGATTCTTCCTCGGACGGAGCAAGAGTACTCCACGCATACGTCGACGACAGGATGAAACGTGTGGGCGTCTAGCTCGGTGGGCGGCATTGGTCCAGTCCCTCGTCTAAATTGTTCTTATCTGCTCGGGTCCCCGCGACAGGTTTAGAATCTTGACAGGCGGCGAGGGTGCGTGCTCGAAGGCAGGTTTCGGTGTCAACAAGAGAATATCCAGATCGTTGAGAGACAAGTCGGGATGTCTCTGTTTGATTTCCGCAAGGACTCGTAGGCCACATTCCGGGCACCTACCGCCATCCATGATCGCGACGAAGGTCTGCAGTAGGACGGACGCGACGGTTTTGGACCTTCTGGTACATACATCGCAGGAGACACCATTATAGCCGAGTAATTCGTGCAGGTGGTGGATGTAGTAATACAAGATTTCGGAAGGCGGCAGGCGAATATACCGAGTATACAAGGTTCCAGATCTGCATTTTTCTTCCCACTGATATAGCTGGCCCACGTCTGCATGGTACCATCTCAAGCATTCCGGCACCTGTCCAATGACTATCTTGCAGCCGAAGACCCATTTCTCAATGTCGGAGAGGCGCAGCACAACATATCTTCGTCGATGAGGTATGTGTTCGCCACTTTCGAAGCATATCCTTTGCTTGAAATAATTGATGTCGTAGCACACACACATCCGATTGCTGCCGAGGTCGAGTAGAAGCGTCTGTTCGCTCGTTGTGTGGAAAAGCACAAGTCGCGCTAGCCATGCGGGAAGCATTATGCGACTCGACAGTCGCTGAACCCGGGTAATAAAGCCCTTGATGTACTGTTCGCGCCCTCTCGGATGTTCTTTTGCCACCGTAAATAGCTTGGGTGCTAGCACATGACCAAAGATGGGTTCAACAATGTCGTTGCGTGAGATGAGATCGGCTGGTCCCATCACCGTCAAATTCTGGAGCGCAATCTCTCTGCTGGCATGACAGACTTGCAGTTCCGCCGGAGAATCCTCAGAGGGCGGTAGCGTTCGGATGGCAGGAATACCACTGTAGGTAAACCCAAGCTCCGGGGGTTCCGGTACTTGGAGAATAGGCCACTGAGACATGCGACCGCCAGAGATGCGGACTCGGAGCATTGGTGTCAAGTTTGACAGGCTGTATTCCCATATTTGCCGGCGAAGTTCTGGAGGAAGCCGTGGGAAGGGTGTGAATGTGCTTTCGAGTTGTCCATCTCCCGGTCCTTCGGCATTCTTCTCGACCGAGGAAACGTCGTGGGGTATGCATGGTGGTCCCCCTTCTTTGGATAGAGGAGACATGTGAGCGGCTACTGCTGAGGACTGGCAGCGTCAGGGGCGAGCAACTGAAGTCGTGCAGGCAGAGGGTACGACGGCAATGGAAAGACAAAGACAACTATGGATAATTGACAACGCACAGAGTATTTATTGAAACTCAAGGAACCCCACGGTGTTTTGTTTGGCGACTTACTACCTCCCAACAAGGTCGCGACGCGAACCTTGGTCTGAGAACATAACATTCTCAAGCGCCACAACGCCAAAGGCAGCTAGGCGAGGAAGCTACCAAAGGTTATGAACACACTTAAACTAAGATCTTCGCACTAAAGATCTTCCTTGGCCAGCATATCAGCGATATCAAGATAGAATGCGATGGCGTTGAAGCTGTACTCGATTAGCAGATGCACCACACAGTATGTCGCACAATCCTTACGTCGGTCCTTGGCCCATCAACTTCCGCATTGTGAATCTAAAACGGTTCGTCCAGTTTATCAAGTCGAGATGGCTTACGCCAACCAGGGTGCCTTTATAGTTTCCCCACTTCGAACTTGCTACACTGACAAGCCCGTCGTTCGGTCCTTCGTTCTGGGTCATGATCCTGTGTGACAGACGAAAGGGGCTAAAGAGGGGTGGGACGTCCATCCTCGCTCCATATGAAAAGTAGCGGACGGAAGGGTCATCTGGCGTCTTCGCGTTGAACGTGTTGGTCATGTATTTTTGGGTCAGCTGCTGGAAGGCACCTGTATCCATGCCGACACCTTCGATGAATTTGTAAAAATGGGGCAGGCGCTCGGGGCCAATCTCATCGAGCAGAAAGTCGGCAAACGCGCTCCCCCAGTGCGGCGATGCCACCGTAGTCAGAGAACACACTTTGACATTATTGGGCTGGAGCTGGGAGATCATGTATCGCGCGTCGAGCCCGCCCATAGAGTGAGCAATGATGTTGACGTCCTTTCCCTGGGCAACCTCGGCAATATACTCGCCAAGCTTCGCGGCCCGCTGCTCGATACTACCAGACGGGGGCACAGTTGCGGTGATGACCTCGATGCCATTCGCCCTGAGGGCTTCGGTGATGCCGCGCCAATAGTGTATAGGTGGCAGCCAACTGCCAGCCAGGCTGAGCTCTGCAAAGCCCAACAAGCCGTGGGCTAGGACGATTGGGTGTTTAGGGGTAGCTACTCAGATGTCAGTCCAGGCTGGAGTATGACCTTGGGGACAGGGTGGTGTGTTCGTACCATAATGTTCCCTGATAAGAGCATACTTGTCATGGATCTCAGTATCCAGATCCTCCAACCTGGGATCGCCTTCATGTTGGCTCGAGTATGGCCGTCGTACATAGCCGAGCCTCGGTGGTATTGAGCATGCTGCAGAGGAGCAGGAGGACTGGTCAGCTAAGCGGGTAAGACCAGCGTGGAGCCTCAGACGACACGTCGACGCGCATCGGTAGAGGCTCATTGCCGGCACGGAACAGCCTGACAACCGGACAACCTGACAAGTTCCTGAGAAGTGCTCTCTACAGGCCAGCCAATTACAACGTCGGTATGAGTTAGGTATGCCGGCGCGGTTGTGTTGGCCCAACAGGGTGAGTCGTTGAACTTTGTCTAATAGTGTTTACTGTTGAACTGGTGACTGACGAAGCGCTGAAGCGCCGAAGCGCCAGAGCGCTTGATGCAGGTTGAACCTTTTTTTTGGTGACGTTGAAGCCGCTAATGCTCGACGTCATCCGCTAGAGCTCGTCTTGCGCTAGCGTTGTCGAGACGTTCGGGTGCATTTCCTCCAATCAACATTTAAAGGTCACAGGCTCAGGGCGGTGCAAGCCACCTATCCATGACCACAGACCACCTATTCAATAGGCGTGTTATTGAAGCGTATGGAAATCCTTCTGCATTACATCTTTTGATCACATGTTGCTTTCGACCTGCTGGCCACATGTGCACCTGTGAGGCACATGCATACCAGTCTCCCGTATCTGATGTATGAAGCCAATAAAGAAAGCTCGGTGGGGAACCCAGGCTGCCAGGCAAGGTTGACTTTCCCGTCGTCGTTCACACCATCACCTGCGGGAAGGAGGCAAGGCTGCCGCCACCTCCTGTCTGAAGCTTGAAGCCTACAGCAGTTGCTAATCACATGCAGTGGAGTCGTCCATCACAATGGAATCTAATCTAGCAGTGGCCCGAGCTTCCGCGGGGCAAATTTCCGTCATCTCTCCCGGGCATTAGTCACGTGTGCTAGTCCCATTTTGTCAAAGGCTGCATCTGATTCTGCCCGATCACTTCTCGCGGCCCGCCCTCCACGTCGTGGGCTCCACCCCGCCTCGCATCTCCCCAGTCGGCTTCAATGCTCTCCTTCTCTCAACTCCCATCGCCCTCAGGCCTGAACGCCGGGCATCCTGTGTTGGGTGGCATACGACACCCAATGCATCGGTCTTCACGTCTATATCAGCCAACTTAGCGGTCAAGACGCGCTAATCTCTGGCAATGAGACCCTTCCCGCCTCCACTCTATCAGTACCATAACTCGGAGACGCGCGGTTCTCGCATCTGCAGGGGACTAATGTCAGCAGGGAGCAGGTTGTTGGTCGACCTTGAACTCCCGCAGATAATGGAAGAACCAACATACCAGCAACATACCAGACTCACCGCTAGCAGTGCTACCCTCGACCAGGGTTGCCATCTACTTGTGGAGAATGCTATGTCTATTCTTCCTGTCATCTCGCGCCAGTCACGGCTGATCTGGCCTTCATCGTGTGGGTGGCTAGATGCGGTAGGTAGTTAGGCAGGTAGGTGGCCAAGTGGCTCCGTCTTCAGCATCTTTCACGGTTTGCTTGTCCCACGTTACGACTTTTGGTAGTTGACACCGCCACCAAGGGTCTCAAGATCTCCATCTCGATAACAAAAGATCTCTCTTCAAACCCAAGGCGACCCGACGGCGCAGTATTCATCGATTTCCTTGAACTGGACGACGGCAATTCTTCAATTGGGCCAACTGGATATCATTCTCTTGGCCTGGAGTTTTGGACAATCTTCCTCCGCTCCTGCCGCGTTCATGCGGCCGGTTGCAAGGTCCAAACCGTCGTCCATACATGTCATGACCTAGCCGCCGTTTGTTGTCCACGTCTACGTCTGATTGGCCTCCGTTGACAGGGTATATCGCTTGACCCAAGGCGCCGGGACGGCCCCCAGCCTGCTTTGCCCCTTTCAGCCGTTCCTACTGGAGGTCTTCCGGCGTAATAGGGTAAACGGTGAGGGTTTTTGTTCGTGAGCCTTGTGCAAAGACTGTGGACGGACTCGCCCAGCCTGACCACTCTTTGTGGAGTTCACCACGTACGCGGGGCCGGAAACAAGCTGGCCTGCTTGCAGTGTCCACACTCTGCCGGTACGATGGTCAACGACGACGAGTTGTGTGGTCAGGGTGCCTTGTTGATCGTTACTCAATCTCAGGCTAGTACTGTACGCAGACTGCCAACATGCCGTCCTACTGTACAGGGGATCACCCGGCAGGCAGACTCTTGTCCATTCATCCTCGCCTGGGACGATGCCGGGTAGCTCTGAGTAACTGATGTCGGACCGGTTCCCTTCTTACTCGCCCGATATCTTCTCCTCATCATCCAAGCGCCTCTGGGTTTTCCTTCCCAAGCTGTCGGGCCAGATGCTTCTGCTCGCTGTAGTACATATACAGAACGAAACCTGACGCCTTTTTCGGGTTTGTCTATTCGTTCTACCCGCCTGGTCTTGTAATCTATCAATTTGACTCGGTTCATGCGAGAGATGATCATCAGACACCATGGGGAGTTCTGCACATTGTACGGGCGACTGCTCACGCGTCTTCCTTGCCAACACGCCCTCCCTCGGCGGAAATGCCGCTCTGCTGGTCCTTTTCGCGATTCTCATCCCCATCGCGTTCATCTTGGGGATCCGATATAAGAGCTCTATCTTCGCGACTACCGTGACCACGGGGCTCGCGCTGGAGGTTGTGGGCTACATCGGCCGGGTCTTGTTACACGGCAGCCCCAACGGCAGAGGCCCCTTCATCGTCTATCTTCTCGGAACCACTACCGGCCCAACATGCATCTGCGGCGCAATGTTTCTCATGATGCCACGCATTGTTGCGGTATACGGTGAAGAGTTCCGCTCCTGGCGTCCCTTCTGGCATCCGTTCCTCTTCTACGCTTTGACTACGGTGTCCCTTGTGCTGGATTTGGTTGGATCGATCGTCTCTGGTATCCAAGATAATTCGGACTTGGTATGTTACGCATCACGATGCCCTTCAGATCTCATGACTGACATGCGCGAAGATCAATATCGGTATCCAGGTACTTGTCGCAGGTCTGGCAATTCAGCTGGCTGCCCTCGGTATCTTCGTCTTCCATGCAATCTTTTTCGCAATTGCTCTGCGCACACGGCGACACGGCCTTGATCCCAAGTACGCTTCGGTATACAATAGCCGTCTATTCAAGATGTTTCTTGTTGGTACGTCGACCCTATGATCAGCTCACAGGTTCCACATGTTAACTAGTGGCCAACACGTATAGCCTTCTCACTCGCGACCATCCTGCTGGTGGTTCGCACGGCATACCGAGTCGTCGAAATCGCCGAGGGTTTCGATAGCTCAATCGCCCAAGATGAGGTCCTCTTCCTGGTGCTCGACGGAGTCATGGTTCTTATCGCCACCCTGCTTCTACTGGGCTTCTTCCCAGCCCGCGCTTTCGGTCAGTCCTGGCTGCAGACGTCAAGCCGCAGGTTGTCTCAGACGCCCCCTCGACCGCTTCGACCGTCCCCGGCCCAGCTGCCGCCGTCCGCTCGCCCCAGTCCAACTTACAACAACCGGATGAGCCTCAAGTCGTCTGTGTCCGGTCAATCGCCGCGTTACTCACCCCGCAAGTCGAGTTACGCGCAACCTCCTCCGCAGAGGAACATGGTTGATAGTGATGCTCTTTGGTAAAGGGGCGGGTGAAATCCCCACCGTGATCTGGGTTATGAGTGAGAGTAGAAGGAGTACGGTGTGTCCGGTGATGACCTGAATTTTGGAACGAGACAAATCCGCAGGTAGAGGGTGGAAGATATTGTGGCGTTTAGCAAGGCGTTCGGGTTGGTCCAGGGAAGGTCGGTTCTTCCCTGGCGGATTACAATCGTTTACTACTACTTCATGTACATCCTTCTGTTGCGACGGAATGATGGAAATGATACCTGGGATCGGGAAAGCTTGAGTTATTAAAGCTAACATGTCTGATTTGGGATATTGGATGGATTGCATGTTTTGGTACGCGCGCCGCGCGATTATTACTCCTTTGGTAGCCCGTTAGTGGGCATTGCGATATTGAGAACTCTTACAATCATCAGACTGCACTGCCACATCTGGCAAGTTGGCAGTATGGACCGCTTACACTTGAATCCTTCGTGGCCATGGAGCACCTCACGTCGTCCCATTCGTTTTCTTCCTCTTAGCCTCGGATCCTCATAGCCAACCCCTGAGCCTCTCCCGGAGGCGCTTCTAGCCAGGTTCGCCAGATAGCTTCAATCTTCCGGTGGCGGCAAGCCTTTGGCCCATAGAAAGTGCAACATCAGTTTGTCAACTGCCGCCGAATATCTCTGAACATCACGTAACCCATTGCGCAATACACCAACGATACGGCTTGCGTGAACAGATCACCTACCTTATCACGTTCCACAGCTACGGTACCCCCTGACTCCCAGCCTCTCCCACCGACTCAGCAAGTCAAATGGGGCAAACACGGAGAACGCACCCTTTCCTCGACCGAGCAAACCTTCTCTGATCATAGGACAAGGCAATAGCCGACCTCGTAGTCCAGAGAGTATAGGTAGTTAGCAGCGAATGAAACGCCTTGCAAACATGATTAATCGGACAGGCGGTTATAAACAGAGCAACAACAGCCTAGGAAATCTCTGCAGCTCATACGTATCAGCGCCCTTGCGCCTCCATTCACTGAGGGTCTTACGTCCAACCAAGGGGTCTTACACGCCCGATCGACAGGCATACGCACATACATACTCCAGGCCCCTGGGACAGGGACCGTGCTGCGTAGGTACGATATGTAGACAGACCTGGCTCATCCTGTCGGCCACAGCCCCTGTGGATAGACGACGAGAGGATGGATCTAGCCGATATGACAGGTCACAGTGGACCGAGTAGTAGGTACATGTGCCGAGGAGGGGTTGGCCCCCAGCTTCCCAGGACGTATAGGAGGACAATCCTCTCTTCATGGAGCGATGGGCGGCACACCCCTCCCAGCCACATCATGTATCACGCATGCCGGTAGACATATGAATTTCGAGGGGCATCACCGTCCCACAGTCTCCATCGCCGTCCCCCCTGTCAAATCATAAGTACCTACCTTGAGGATGTTTGCCCTCTCGCCCGCCTGTCATCCCTACCTCACCCCTCACCCTTCACCCATCACGAATCACCAAACCCCAAGAACCAAGACCCAGGGACCAATGATTCCCCAGTCCAAACCCCGGCATCAGGCACCAGATGTGGTGTTGGTGGACGACAGGACGAGGACGAGGACGTCGGGTTAGGCGCTCGCGCTTGGCTGGTGCATGCCGGTACTGCTGTCCCATCAGCCTGTGGTTTGCATGCCGGTTCTTCCCTGGCTGTCGATCTCTTCGTCCTTGTTGGGTGGTGCTGGGTTGGTGGGTTGGTGGATGGGAAGTCGGTGTCCTATCATCTAAGTTACATGCGGCTCTCATATAGTAGTGAGCTGGCCTGGGAAATATAGGGGTAGTACAGGTCATTGTCATCGTGTCATGTACTGGGACATGCAAGAACCCAGGCGCTCACCATGGTCGTTGGTATATTTAGGCATGGTCATACTTATTCCGGTACCTGGCTATTGCCACTGGCCTTGGATACCCCTATATACTTTGATTTGTCATAGATGACCAGCCAATATTTTGGGCGATTTCCCTGGAGGCAGAGAGATGGGAGAGGGTCGGAGTGATGATGCCCCGCCCGCAACAAGTTCGACTGGGAGGTATGTACCACTGGCTAAGAACTTCAGCAAGACGCGCGCAGATCCGAGGAAAGTTCAGATAGAGCAACACAAATCACAAGCCACAAGCATCTGACCTCGGGCAGGCGGCAAAAAATCGTCTGATATGAGCCATCACGTATGACAGTGCCGCATAGCAAACACGAACCAGAAGGTTCGCCAGCTCACGAATAAAATGCAGACATTATCTGGCCATCCATTGGACCCCCTGGTGACATGCACCCTGCCCCTTTTCATACCTAGACATAGACATCCCATAGTTACCTCTCCAAATCCAACATTACATCATATCACATCCCACCAGCCCACCCAACCTCAGCACCCCAAAAACAAGACCCCAAAAGCAGCACCGCCGAGGTGACAAGCGTGTCCCACGCACGAAGTAGCACTCTCCACATTCGCATAATCCCACATCAGCAGCCCCGTCGTGACCACCCACAACGGCAGCACAACCGGCAGCGGCACCAGCACGACGCGGGTCCAAGGCCGCAGCGCCGTGACGGCCACGCCCATCCCGCAGATCATGACGCTCGCGCCGTGCGCCGCGACCTCGACGCGCGAGTACCTCCCTCCACCCTCCTGAAGACTGTGCCCCGCGCCAAAGCCCTTGCGCTTCCAGTCCGTGAGCGTGGCCACAGACCCGGCGGCCGCGGAGCCGAGTGTAAGCATGATTACGGCGTAAGGTGAGAGACCGCAGTGCTGCAGCGCGAGGCGGGCGTACGTGGTCAGCGCGGCCATGTTGGTCAGTAGGTGGACCGGGTCCCGATGGCTGATGGCTGAGGTGAGGGCGGTCCACCAGCGGCCCTGGCGCAGGTTACGCTGGGAGAGGAGGAAGTTCTCCTTGATGAACTTCTGTCGGCGCAGTAGGGAGAATCTAGACCTCTTGTTGTTGCTGTTGCTGTCGCGCGTTGGTTGCGCGTGGTAGATGCTGTCGAGGGTGTGGATGTTGCTACGCGGGCCTCGCGGGCGCGGTGGTGCTGCTGCGGCTTCTTAGGAGAGGAGGGACAGGTCCTGCCAGCTGAGGAAGACGAGGGCGTTGGCGCCGACGAGGCCCCAGGTGAAGAAGTGCCGGAAGGACGTGTGCGGGTCGGGGACGCGGTCCATGATAGATGGCTGTGCGACTGTGATCTTCTCGGGTAACTTAGGCTTAGGTATGGAGATATGTATGTGAGGATGTGTCCGTTAGAGGGTGCTTGTGTGTCGCGAGATTCATCCTGGAGGTCCGAGATACACGTTGTGAAGTTTTGCCGACTGAGATATGCAGGTCCTGGGATGTGTCAGGAGCCAAGGGGCTCATGCAGCTACCCTTGGCTGGGTTGCTTTTTCTATGCACTCTCCGCCTCACTACGAGGTTATGTCACATGTGGTGAATACAGCATTGACATCAGTGACGACTGAGTGTGTACCGTGGAGAAGGATGCGATGAGAACATGGGATCAACGAAGCTGGTGTGCAGTTTCCTCTGACTAACGCCGCTTCGTCGACATGGCAACCTTCAATCGCCCAGATCCCATCCCTCCTCCTTCCCACATCTCAAGGTCAGGTACAGTTCCTTCAAGAAGCATGCGTAGCTTTCCGCATTATAAACCGCCTTCTCCTTGTTCAGTGCTCTCGTCGCTTTGTAAGAAACCGCCAAATCCATCATCTCATGCATAATGCCGTGAAACAGCTTGTTCCAATGGCTGGGAAGGGGAAATCGAACGAGTCAGCTTAGGTCTAACGATGATAGCCCGGACAGTACCGGGTTCCCTCGTGGCGGTGGGAATACTTACAAGTACGCGTGTAGTATGATGGTTGCCAGGAAGCGGTGCGTTCGGTCTTGCAGCCCAGCTGCATCCAGCCGTTCGCAAATGCCGTCGTCCAACTCGCCAGTGATTTGGTACTCCCATGCGCGTTCACCAAATATCAAATTCGGCCTGTCCGCATCTCGTGCTTCTAATTGAGCGAGCGCTTGTCGCAACCTGCTGGCACTGGCTTGGATGTTGCTCATTTCCATGCTTCCCTTGTGGCAAAACAGCTGAGCTGTTTTGCCACACGTTCCGTAGTGCGCGTCACTAATACGCTCCAGAACACGCATGACGCGGTGGTGGTCGAATTCGTTAAAGTATTTCTTGTATATCGTCATGCTCACATCCGGCCCACTGTTCGATATGGCTGTTTCGATGAAGGTAAGGGCGTCTTGGAACCCGCCGCTGCCCTGTTCATTGAGCAGCTTTCCGCCCTGTTGAGGATCGTTAAGATATATTCCGCTGTTACGGATGTTGGTCGGAAAGTTCTTGTCGCCATGTCGTGTGACGAGGTTGGCGGTTGGCGGCAAAGGATGTGCAGCTCTTCCGCTTACACCGACGAGTAGTGAGTGCCCAACGAACAGGGCGTAGCAGAGGTGCGCAAGTTTCAACGGGGTGTGCATTGGAACTCGCAACAGGTCTGGCTCTGGGTGACAGTCTAAGGGTGTCTGAGTGTCTGAGTGTCTGCTGGCAGTACTGTGCAGAGGTTGTCAGTGATTCATCATGAATTATAGGGTGGGATGTATGTACAGGTTTGAGTAGGTACGTAGAGAGTTGTTTAGGAGCACTAGTGATGCTTGATTCGAGCATCAAATCCTACACGCCAAGGCCACGTCGCCAAGAGGACCTCGGGGATAGTGCATCCTTCTCATGGTTGCGCAAGAGTTCGTCTTTCCTTGGAGGTACCGACAAGGCACCTAGCTAACCGTGTGGACAGTGGCGGATTCCTGGCATCCTGATCGCATCCATCGGTCTATTGATGTTGCCTTCACGGGGAGCGAATAAGCCGATCTCCCGTTCGCTCCACTGTAATAAATATATCAAAAGCGGTAAATGGCTTTCCTGTTCCCACTCTAAACAATCCAACGATCTCGCGATGCAACAGCTGAGATACCATTATGTTCAGAGCAGTGGACCTCGTTGGTCAAGTGGACAACCCCTGAATCGATCCTTCTGAAGCCCTGTATGAGCCATGCGATTAAACCCTTATGTTTCTATTAGTGCGCGAAAATGAAGTGGGAGCTTTTTCTCGGCTTGTCAAGTAGTCACAAGACAATGGAAGGGACGAGTAATTAGATATGCTAGATGCGTCCCGAAACGGTTGCTCTATGCCTCAATTCCTTTTGGTGTGGTATGCAGCTTTTGAGTGAAAGAAAGTCTTCTATTCACGTCACCTCTTCGTCCCCTTACGCAGGCGTCAACTTGGTTAGTTGCTGGTCGAATTAGGCATAACGCGATTGTCTCATAGACTCCTTCTCCCCAGTGCGGCAGAATTGGAACAAAGAGCGAACTTGACGGATACAGAACAGGTATAAGTGTGATGCTTTGCTTTCATCCTTTCCATATCGATACTGAATCAACCAGGAAAAGTACTTAGACCTCCCTCGACTAGGAGAGGCCTACATTGCTCATCTTACCCAGACAGCTCTGCACCAAGTATCATCGCCATTGGACGGCCCAGTGAAGCGAGAATGTCTCAACCAGGATCTGACTCAGACCAGAGTGGTCGAAACAGTAAGTTTTCACCTTTGCCACGGGGCGCTTCAACGAGACCACTGTCACAGTTCGACTGCTGGTAACCCTAGCAGTACCAGCAGTCCCAAGCTAAGCTAACTGCCAATCAAGCGCCTACATCGCCAGATCCTCCAGGAACCAAAGCAGGCTTCTCTCTTCCGCCCCCTGGTTTCGACCCGAAAACGGACGGGGAGAAAACCCGCAAGTACTACGCGGAACAATATAAAAAGGGTCCTCTTGACCCAGAAGACCAAGTCGGGGAATCGGTGGAGGAGGAGATCGACAGGCAGATCACAGAACTTGAGAAAATGAGGGGGAAGACAGTGCCACAGGATGAGCAGGACCGCATCGCCGCCAAGATCAGAAAGGTCCGCGGCGGGAGTTGGCTTGAAGCACTTAAGGTTGAGCTTCGAGGGAAGACGGACGTCCCTATCGCCTACTTCAATCGCCTCGTGGCGGAATATGAGGGCACAATTCCACTCGTTGTCTCATTCAGAGCGAAAGCTGAGAAGGACGTTGCCGACAAAGACAAGACCATCAAGGACCTCAAGAAGCAGCTCGACAGTGGACAGGCCAGCAGTTCAGACCCTAAATTGGAAAAGGAGAATTCCGATCTCAAGAGTGAAAACGAGTCCTTGACGAAGGAAAACAATGACCTCAAGGACCAGCTTGAAAAGCTGCAAGGCGAACTGAAAGACTGCCAAAAGCACGGAAAGACTCTCCAAGCTCAGGTTAATGACCTGGAGAAGGCAGCCAAGAAAGCCAAGGACGACTCTTCGGAGGAGGAAGGCGATGACGGCGTCCAAAAGGATTCCTTGAGCTTAGACGCTCGTTTAGACAATCCCTTACATGTCATCCCCGGGGGACTCTTCGATAAAGATGCTATCCCGGCAGGGATGGCTCTTGACTCTATGGCCAAGCAGTACAAGGCTTATAGAGAACTAGAACAGAAGTACGATGATCTACGCAACAGAGAGAAGGATCTCAAGGACCAACTTGAAGCGGCCCAGAAAGCAGCCCTTGACGCCGATAAACGGATTGCCCGTCTCAATGAGGAGCTTGCAGCAGCCACTATCAAAGAGTCGGACGGAAAGGGTGGCTCTGATGATAAGGCACTCAAGGCAGAAATAAAAAAGCTCGAAGCAGAACTCGAGAAGCTCAAGAAAGACTATCACGATCTCGACAAACATTACGAACTCCAGAAACATATGAACAGCAAACAAACAAAAGACGTCTGGGAGCTCATAGATCTCCGCAAGCAGTTCAAACAGCTCCAAGACAAGCTGAAGGCTTGTGAGGAGGACAAGGACGACCCAGAAGAGGATGTCGTCGAGCTAAACGAACGGATTGAGGAGCTGAAAGCCGAACTCGTGGCTTGCAAGGCTTCCAAGGGCGTTGATCCCGCCGATATTCCCGAGGAACTCAAGGCCCTGAGACGGAAGTTGGCGCAGCGCGACAGCATCGAGAACGGACTGAATCATGAAATCATCCGCCTGAAGGACCGGATCAGGGAGTTGCTGGAAGACTTGAATCGGGCGCAGGCCGCTATGAAGCCAGACCAGATCAAGGAAGCCACGCTTCGAAAGGCTATCGACAGGCTGAAGCGCCAGATCAAGGATATCACAGTTCGAAACCAGCAGCTGCAGAGAACGGCCGTCGCAGTGGTTGTCCGAGACAGCGATGACCTTCGACGGTTCTGGGAGCTTGTCGAAGCGGCGTGGAGGAAGTTGGGAGCTGTCGGCCACGCAGTAGACGCCCTGTACAAGGCTCTAGGACTCGTGTGCAACACAGCGGACCTGGCTGAGGCCATCAACGACCTCGTAGCCCCGGCCGGCAGTCTGAAGGGCAAATTCCCCGGTTTTGCTACCATTGAGCTCAAGAAGGAACTCGCGACTGCCCGTCTGACCATCGTCAACCTCAGACGGGATCTGGCCAACGCCCGTCCACTGACAGACGCCCAGATCAAGATGGACCTGAAGCTCTACGAGGAAGAGGAGCTGGAGAGGCGCGTCGACCGCCGCACGGCGACCTACAGGAACCACCGCCGCGCCTACCTCGACAACCTGTTCGGCGCTGCGAGGGAGTACCAGGTCCTCGAAGCCACTGTCACGGACGAGCCGACGAGGAACGAGATCAACAGGATCCGTAGTACCTACCTCGATCCCAATGTCATTCCGGCTCCGGTCGCGGCTACGGGCGGCGGTGAGTACCTACCTGGGTGCCTTGGATGGTGAGACATGTAGACCTTGGCGCGGAGGAGGAGAGAGGGAGGCGGCGTCTTGTCATGCGAGGCTATATTGGCCTGACACGTGTTGTGTTTATCTGGTTGCTTTTGCTTTGAAACCTGCTTGGAGTTGTTCCGATAGTTCTGGAATTCCAAATACTCAGTTATATCGGTTTGTACCTTCTGCACATGCGCCCACCCGTACCTAAAGCCCAGCGATATGACATATAGAAGCAAATCGGGTGACTATCCGGTCACTTTCTATTGGATCATGTCGGCGGCGAAGTTGTGGGCTGACCAGAAAGGGTAACTATTCCGTTACTCTTTACTGGCAGGTACCGGTAGGCAGCTGACCACAGCTCATTGACAAGGCTCCAAATTGTTTTAATATGCCTCCAAGTTGACCAGCCAACTGACCGACTTTTACATATGACATCGACGTCGGCTCGGCCTGCCAATGCCGGCCTTGCGTCTGCATGTAGTGGCAAATGCCGCCGACGGCGTCCAGGACCCGAGATTACGGTTTAAGTAAAGCTTGTGTCAGTTGTTGACCTGTAGGAGCTTTTGCTCTAGATTAAGACTACTCCAGGATAGGGTCACGTTACACGGTAACGGGTGGCAGCCAATATAGGAGGGTTGGGGTAAACCTTGACTTCGCCCCTGGAGTCTAGGTTCCCATTCGACATCGCTAACGAAGTCGCATTATGTAATATCGGCGCCCACGTTTTGTCAGGTGATTCGCATGGTGCGCCGTCTGTTGGAGAGTTTACAACCTGTGGGGATAGACGACTACCACGATGATGTGATCCATAGCGGGACCAGATGTATCATGTCACGGTGTCTTACAAAGATGCTGAGCAATGCTTAGTGAGATCTTGCGTGCCGTTGCGGAATCTGCCACCGTCCGGAAAATTTCACCGCTTTGGGCAGCTAAGGTTGAAGGACCAGACGACAGGACGGCGGTCTGGCACTGCGACGTGCGGTAAATAGCATGTGAAGGCGGCGACCGCTTGCTTGCGCATCCATGTAGTTGCTGTTAATGCCAGGAACTTGGTTCAGTCGGCAGGACGACCTCAACGTGGCACCAAGCAGAAAGTGCGTGAAGTTGCTTTGTTCGTCGGCCACGGAGTCAAGACCAGGACCAACTTAGAAGGTGACGGCAAGCTACCATCACAAGTCACGCGACATACCGCGATGGTACCGCTCAACAGGTGTGCTGGATGGTTCTGATGTCAACATCGCATCGAAGAGATCTAGACCCTGCCAGATGGTATCCCTCGTTATCCCGTGATCTGACATAAGGTTCCGTGCCTCGGAACTGCCTGAACGGGACTCTTGACAGGGGCTTTATCAGGTCTGTGGATCAGATGACCAGGGGCGATGCGACCCGCGTATGCGCTGTGAAAAGCTTGAAATATCAGGGCTGGCGAATGAGGGAATGGGCTTTCGTTTTCCCCCCAACAGTCGTCACTGGCCTTGAAGCTGACATGTGCAAATGTCGTGCCTCAAGCCAATAGTCGCCCGATGTGAGGTCCTGTAGAACAAGTAGATCTGTGCTTCGGACAATTAAGCCGCCCGAGGATAGAAGGCTGAAAGCCTCCGTCTTGAAGATCAAGGTTCATGTCTTGAACGAAGTTGTCTCGGCGACACTCGAGAGATAAGGGGCTCAGGAGGGCAGCTGAGGGCCATGAAGCTGCTGGTGTGCTGCTGACCATTGCTGATAATTGCCTACTCGGCCGAACTGGATGGCCACGTCGGTAGGCGAACCAGAGACCAGACGCACTCAATCAACCTTTGGAGCATCTATCCATGGGGAACGCAACGTTGGTTAGAGATTAACGGCCTGACGGCTAGGTGCAGATACCTCGGCGGGTATACCATGTTCCCTGCATCGATCATGTTCTTTTCTTATTTGTAGTGTATATGCAAAACTCGCGTCTATTCCTACGCCACCTCTGTAACATTAACGTATCCGTAGGGTCAAGTCACCCCTGTCAATAATGGTTACCTGGTATAGACGGTCAAAGGTATTTGTTGGGCATTAAAACGCCCGAGAACATGATCCGTACACCATCTTGGATAGGCCAAGAACATATCTATGAAAACAGCCACGTTGATCTGTCGAAACAATCTGAACTTGAAGCTCCAATGACGGACGTCCAGGGGAAGCCCCGCATCGAGGAGGGAATCGAGGAGGGATCGTCCCCGTCCCAATCGGGATACAGGCCCGGCAGCGGCCAAGAGAAGTCCGGGGAGAAACTGACGCGGATGAAACATGAAACGTCGACTTTTTACCTAGATTGGCGGTCAATAATACCCTGAAATCATCTTTAATGCCAAGACAAGGCTGTCAAGAAAAGAGAACAAGCGCGTGAAGCAGAAGAGGAACAAGGAGAAACAATCGCATCAGATCGAATCAGGGCCGACTGACAGGGATCGATCTATGGCTCTACCCTCGCGGTATTCTAGGACAGCAAAATTCATCGTCGTCGGTTAGGTATGTTTTCTCGCGGCCCGTTTACCTTCCGTAGCCGAATTCTATCGACGTCCTTTACCATGATCTGGAGGCGAAAATAGCCCAGTCTCCAGTACCACGGCGACAACAACGCCCGATGCGAATCCTGCAGCATCCCACAGTGACGATGGCGCCATTTCTCCTCCTCCCCTGGAAGCCAAGAGTCTAAAAATCCATCCACTTTAACATGGCACACCTCCCCCCCCCGTGACTCCAGCCCTGATTGCCCACGCTCGTTGTGCAAGACAGTCACGTAGCCCCTGCAACGATGTCACTTCGACTACATTGACGGTACCTTCTCAGTCTAGCCTCCTGCAACCACATCTCTGCATAATTGGGCACGGCTCAGAGCCTACCCTACCATACTCTCATCAGGACCGACTTGATCCTCCAATGTTTGGCCGACTATACATAGTCCTGTAACGTGTGTGCTACCCCAGTGCCATGAATAAATTCGGCGCCGATCGTTGATATACATGTAACGGTGATCATGATCGAGACCCTCGGGAGGAATCGTGTGGGAACTCAACCCCCGATACCTCCAGGATTGCTTATCCGGGATATGGACTTTCGTCTATCGTGGCATTGGGGACTACCCACAAGCCAAGCCAGAGAGAGAGAAGGTTCGACTCGCTCTGCGAGCCCACTGGCACCGGTATGATATCTGCCAAGGTTTCATGCATCAGTGATGGAAGCCATGGCTCGATGGATCGATTGCCAGGGGCTTCCCACTCGATGGAATCTGGTCTAGACCGTCATACTACCTACCTTGCCTTCATACAAAGGCTCTGGTACTTATAGGCTTGTTGCTACTTCTTCAGAGTCTCCCCTCTTCTCATATACCCCATACGCTTTGGTGGACTCACAGTACATCGCGGGTCGACTACCTCGTCCAACAATAACCCCTATATCGAGCCACACGATCGTGCACCCAGACGTACTACATCGAAGACTATTAGGCGCAGTTCCTCACTACCTCCTGAGGAAACAATGTCATCGTCAACACAGGTCTCAGCCAGGGCTGCAGATGGCGGTGCTCAGGCTGCGGCGGCACTAGCAGCGTGGTTGGCGGCACGACAGAAAGATAACGCAGCGGTCCTGACTCAATATTCCATCTACCTGAGTGTCCTCATCGGCATTTTCATCGTGGCTCACTGGCTACGCTACACGGCCGTCCGGCTTCAGTGGTCACGATCCGCGGTGTTGTACCCTTTCGTCGCTCTGTCAAGGTGAGATCAGAATATCATAACAACATGTCTACCGCTAACGGTATACTCCAGAGCTGTACGAAGAATGTTCATCAGACGACTCCCTGGATTCACGTCCGTCGGACATGCCATGGTCGTGACCGTCTTCGTGGCTCTGAATGCCACCTTCAGTTTCTATCGAATCGACGTCTCTCAGCCTACTGATCTGGCGGCCCGGTTTGGATGGTGAGTGAAGCCATACATTCTTTCTAGTGTTATACTAACGCTTTGGAACCAGGATGGCGGCGGGAAATATGGCCTTGGTGGTCTTCCTAGCTCTGAAGAACACCCCACTCGCTTTCCTCACAGCATATTCTTACGAGCGCCTGAACGGTCTACACCAGATTGCTGGATACACGACGCTTCTCTGTATGTATATCCTGGGGACTTTATTTGCCCTCAAGCCGTGTCTGGGGCGATCTTCTATCCAAGTATCCTCAGGAGCTTTCTCCCACGAGACGACAGCCTAATGGCTTCTTACTTCTCGCGTTAATATCTAGAAAAAACGGTCACTGACTCCTACTTTCTAACAGATGCTATACTGCATGGAACCATCTACCCCGCGTACTTCATCAAAGCAGAGCAGTGGGAAGTTCTCCACCTGGAGATAGTCAATGCCGGCATCGTGCTCGGCTTCGCCACGCTCTCCACGGTCCTTGCCGGCACGATTCTGAGGCGACTCAACTACGAGCTGTTCTACATCGTCCATCTGGTGCTCTTCGTCGTCATCGTCGTTGCTCTGGGCCTACACCGGCCAAGCTTCGAGAAATTCAAAATCCTGATCGTGACCGTCCTGATCGCGGCCATGTGGTTCGCTGATCGACTCATTCGCTTCGGCCGGCTAGTCTACAACAGCATCAACAACGAGGCCGAGATCTACGCCCTGCCCAATGGCGGCACACGGATAGTCATCAAGAAGCACTTGTTCCGTGCACGACCTGGAAAGCATTGCTACGTCTGGCTTCCGCAGATTCGTGCCTTTGAGACACACCCCTTTACCATTGTCGCTAGTGACCCCCTCGAACTCATCGTCAACACCTACAGTGGCTTCACGAAGGATCTTCACGACTACGCTGCTCGAAATTCCGGACGAAGTCTGAAGGTTTCAGTCGAAGGCCCCTACGGTACCTTACCTGACCCCATGGACTATGATAAGGTAGTCTTGGTGGCAGGCGGAGCGGGTGCTACTTTCACATTCGGCCTGGCTGCGGACATGCTCCGAAGGATGACTGAAGATTCGAGGCAGCAGATTGACTTCATCTGGGCCATCAGAGAATACAGTACGCACCTCTGCATATAAGCAACGTCTCTCCAAGCACCCTCTGACTTGCATCCAGACAATCTGTTATGGTTCACACAGCACCTGAACAATCTCCGAATGCACAGTCACGCTCCAAGGATTGCCCTAAAGGTCCATCTCACGAAGCTTACGACCACTTCGCCTTTCAGCAGTACCGGTAGCGCGCTATCCGATACCTCCAGTGGCCACTCCCCAATCTTACCGATACAGAAGAATGCAGAGTACCCAGTGATTAGCGGACCGACATCACCCGTCTCGCCTGTGTCTCTCGATTCTGAGAAAAATGAAATCAAGGAGGTATACCGTCAAATGGAGCCAACCTCAGCCACGACGAGCTCTTCTGATCTAACGCTCATACACGGCCGGCCTGACACGGAGGGGCTGATCAGGGCCGCGGTGCGGTCCGTTGGCAAGGACCAGAGGATACTGATCGCTGCGTGTGGGCCCAACGGCCTGTTGGATGTTGTGAGGAATACTACGGCTAGTTGTATCAGCGTCGATGGGCCTGCTGTCGAGCTCCACTGCGAGCAGTTCGGTTGGTAGGGGATGTCACCGCCGTACCACTGGATGGTACGGACGTATTGGATATACAGCGGTATCACGTTTTGGTATAGGGGCTGTTTCTAGATACAGAATATATCCGTTCAACACATTGATACAACTATTCTATGTGCACTCATCACGATAGTCATCATCATACTACTGCACTTAAATAGAGGCAGACATCTTAGGATTATTCCACGCCTTCTCAAACCTTCTCGATGCGCAATAGCGTCTTCCTCGCCCTACGCCCGAGTAAACGTAGCCAGTCAGTCATTGGACAATGAATATCTGTCTCAACTACAGTGATGCCATCATTCACCCTCTCCCTCTCATACCTCAATAATACCATGCACAAACCGAAAAACCAACCCCCACACACATTACTCGAGATACATACACCAACTTACTTGCACCACGCGTTCGCCAAGCACATACGCCGACTCACCGCACCACGCGTTCGCCAAGCCGGCACTCCCACATGCCATGCCACGGCGGCGCCATACAAGTCTTTTCCAAGAAAATCTGTAACGTTTTGGGCTTTGGCGTTACTGTTTCCAATTCAATTAGACAACCGGCAACGCATAAAGCGACGAATCTGGCCAGAAGGCAAAAGGCTGACGAGGCCCACCGGACGTCCGACGCCAGCCCCTGAACGCCCTGACCAATCCCATTCTCTACCAGAAGCACGACCCCTGACAGACAATGCAGCAGCTTGGGCTCGATCGAAGTCTGGTCCCGATCCCGCGGTATCAGGTCTGGTTGCTTGGGATGGTGAAACCGTGGCGTTGGGAGGCGATTGTATACCTACCGAGTAGGGATGACGAGGTACGCCCTCACTGCTGCAAGGAGCGGCAGGCAGGAGATGAGGGATTGCAACGCCTCTATGCCCGTCAACTGCGCTGGATGGATTTTGGGACGGGCATTGTCGGGCTTAGGTGATGATTATGAATACAGATGTTGAGGCCGGGATTGGTCGATGATATCAAGTGGTGTTGCGGTGTTGACGATGGTGGTTGTGTTCTTCCTCAGCTGTGGCAGGTCCGTTTGCCAACTTGACCGCCTTTTGCTGGGAGTATGGCATCATGGACGGCCTGACGGGCCATGGAGCATGATGGTATGAGGAAGGTATACCGATAACCCCTGCCGAGTAGGTGGTGTACAGCTGTCCGTCTGATAGGGTCCAAGACCCTGGAGGGAGGAGGCGGCGGGATGCGCATACCGGTGCATCGTCATCGAATCACTGGATCGGCAGCACGAAAAACATGGCGACTAGCCCAGGCGACTTGGAAAGCCGCAGTCCGAACGAGAGCCGGTAGCCTACTACCAGAGTCCAAGCCCTCAGCGGCTCACGAGTCTAGACAGAGATGGGTCCAGTTTGTTGGGAGTCAGAAACGTGCCGCTGTTGGAGACTCGATGGCTAACAAGCATTTTATCCTAACAGGTCAACGCTACAGCTTACCATGGTACTTCTGCGGTACCTTCTTGGGGGCCCGCAATGCTCGCTTGAAAATGGCAAGACTCCTCGTCTTCTCAACTGGCCACCGAGGCCTTTAGCACCCACCCTGTCTATCAGTCTGGATATCCCGATTGCAGTTGAATGTTAGTCCGCCTTTCCTGATATTCAGGGGTCCCAGACGTCATCAAAAAGTTCAGGTGTGAGGAATTGTCATCATGCCAGAACCCTAACCCTAACCCTAGGCAAAGACTTCGTGGTTCCCCATTACCAGGCAAAAATGACATCATTCCCTCCCTAGACATGATGGTTATAGCAATAGGTTTATCTTATATAATGTAGCTTTATTTCATTTAGTAAATCATTTTATGTTCGGGGAGGAGGAGGAGGCTTTCGAGTTAGAGGCGGTTCAGGGGTTGACAAGGTGTTGCAGTCTACGAGTCGATCACCTAGCTGGCACAAACCTCGCATATGAGGGAGAACGTGTCGCAGCTTGTCACCTTAGGCGGGTAACCAGGTCGAAGCCACGTAGCTAGCTGTTATTATCCGATATAGTTCGTTTTGATGTGTTGATGTGGACAGTGCGTGGCCATCTCTACGTCTCGGCCAGCGTTGCCCCTTGAAGCCCCGAACACCAGCTTCATCAGGTATGATATATATAAATTTGGGTTGCTTCCAGAAGATCCTACAGTAGCACAGGAATCTGAGATCATTCTACTTTTAGAATGAACGTGAACCTGCTCCATGCGCAGACGGTCTGCCCACGGTGCCGTCCCGACGACCGACCTCATACGCATCGACTCCAAGACGGCACATCACAGTCAGCCACCACGATCCATCGGTCAGTACAGCTGATAGCTCCTTCCCGTGGAGCCACCGGTCGGGAATCTGGTAGTGATCATCGCTGGCGTGGCCTTCGAGCTCGTCTTCCTGCCTCATGATGATAACTCACCGGTTGGAATGGCCGAGCAAAACGGAACTCTGCAGTATTAAAAAGCACACGTACCAAACTCCCATGATACAGGTGGCGAGCGTAACACCCTGATGCTGTGGACATTCCTCTAGAGAGACCCTGATCGTCGATTTGCGTCTCGCTTATAATGACACCTTCAATGGTAAACAGGACGTTAGCGCGTTTATACCTTAGATTATGACACAACCTTTATATAGGCGTCTCTACCGAAGGGCTTATTTTTCAGCAATGGTATGTCGTCGTGTTCGTGCAACGACTGGACTTTTGTCAAAATTTTGGTATGAGGGATGTGCCTAGGCCGACGATACCGAAGAAGTCATAGGTTCACGATGAAACTGTGGTTCTGAGGGATAGTCCACCGTGATGCATGTCACGTGTGCCAAAATCCGTACGAAATATATATCAGAGCTCAGTCCTAGGTAGGCTCATCGTGGCACGTGAGTTTCGGGTGCGATTCCGCTCGGGCCTCGTCTTACGAAGCTCACCAAGTGGTGCGTGAGTACCTCGGTACCAGTCGAGGTCCCCGGAAAGCGGCGAGTCCAACAGGTCATGTATAGTAGATCAAGTTCGAAATACCTTTGGTTTTGCGAAGAATGACAGGTCGGGCCAACAGCCAAACGGGAGCCGTGGACGAGGAAGAGCGGTGCACACGCATACACACACCAGACATGCAATGGAGCCTCTCCATCCGAATGAGCCATACGACACAGAACCTCCTACTATGACGAGTCTTTCTCGCCACCTTGTAGGGTTGGGTTAAGTACCTGCTAGACAGCAAAGGTGTACGGGGACTCGAACAGTAGGTTGGCTTTCCCGTTCTGCACGCAACCTATAGACCTGGAGAGACCGCATGGGTGTTGCAAGAGAAAAGAAAAGATGGCACTTAGGTAAGACATTTGATAGAGCCTAACTGTGGCGTCCACGTGTCAAACCGAGCTGCAGGTGGAAAGTATGCCAATTTCGACACTGATGAATCAAAGCGGTGAGCAACTCAGAGACTTGACGGGTATGATCGTAGGCTGCTCAGGGGAATGCTCTTGTGTGTGATTAGATCTTTGCTTTCACTTGATTCGCTTTGACTAAGGTAGAGCACGCTTTCTTCTCTGTGACCGTCGACACATTCACCTCTCAGATATAGGGGGGAACCTTGGTCCTGCCACCCAGGAAGCATTGCAAGATGTTATCAATTAGGGTAAGCGCTTGGACATGATGGACCCCGTCGGGTGTGAAACCAAGAAGGTCTTGAGGGAGAGAACGAGCTTCATAATATGAGTCCATGCTCCGGCGGATAGCCTTGAGGCGGGATTGGTCGGCGACTTGGAGAATCCCAAGTGATTCTCTTCACGATAAGTACAGCGAGCGGACCCATCAGCACGAGCGGGCTTGACGATGCATCGACAGCGAAGCGAGACGTCCAGTAGTCGCGCAAGTCACGCTCACCGTGGCCAAGGTGTGTCGGTTGCTGCGGAGTACGGAGCCGTTGGAGAAGCAAAGACAAGCTTTAATGCTACAGTAGGTGCTTCCTTCCAGGTGCGTTGTCGGGCCGGATATGCAGCACCATCTTTTTTGGACCTGCAGCTGCTTGGTCCGTAGATGGTATCATAGGCCGAGACCACAAGCCCAGCTAAGTATCGGACCTTGTTCAAGATGGGAAACTCGGAGCTGCGCCGTGCTCAGTTAGACGACTATTACTGAAACTCGATCAGCAGGATGCTGATTACTCGTCTGGAAAATAGGAACATAATCATATTTCTTCGGCCACTGGAACCAAGGCACTGCAGTTTTGGCGATCATGGCATAACTCTTGACCAGATGCCTGGGACAAAACTCTGCTGGCTGAGATGAGATGGCGGGTCTGGTATTATAGAGGACCCTACACATACTTGATTCCGCTGCTGTGGCCTTCCGTGATGAGCGTGTACGTGGCTCAGGATCGACGATGATCGGCCAGCAGCCGAGGTGACCCTGAACACACCCTCATATGGGCGAATGCCTGTTTTCGGTGCTAGCTTCAGATGCCCCATGCATACAGACTTGTTACGACGCCCACGACTGGCCCTTTCTGAAGAATGGTATTGGAGCTCAAGCTGTGAGGCGTCTGTTCTGCTAACTCTGGAATGCAATATTGAATGATATGATTGAAGTCTTGAATGCCGGTAAGCAAGAAATTGAGCTGTCAGAGCAAGATTAAAGGGACCCTGCCGCCGCCGTCGACGAGACCTCCGCTAGACTCGCTACAAGCAGTGCTCCGGAATCTCGACAGAAGTTCCTGACCGTTACATCGGGATCCACGGAGGGGCTCGGGTCTAGGGCCCCTGCGCTTGCCCTGCTCCTCCCCACTTCTGCCCGTTGGATTATCATCAGCTGCGAGAAAGACAACGGTCACTGATCAGTGATCAGCGATGATCACCAAAGTTGACACTTGAATCGCCGGCAAAGCCCGGGTTAGCGCCCGCTTGTCAACAGTGGGCTCCGTAGTCCGTAACAACAGACTGAATGTAAAGACTAACCTAGGAAGAGCGGCCAGGAGTGCCAGCTGATCCCACTGGCTCCAGGTAAATCAGAAACCTTGTTAGAGTGCGGGAGGTGATTTTAGAATGCTCCGTCCACCGAGGTTCTCCTGAAACCGGGTCCTCGCCGATGGGAGTAGGCAGGAGACGTGCCAAATGAGCCTAGCAAAAACACCACAGGGTCGACAGCCGCTATCAGATCGGTTGAGAGAAAAGCCCTCAAGAGATGAGAGGTCAGATTACGCTGACCTCTGTATACATGCAAACCATAGCGTTTTGAGGACGGATGGCGCCGCGCCGCAGATGCAGGTGTGCGTCACTGCTGTACAAGCTCAGCTGCAAGTGTAGGGCTTTCCGCGCTTTTGAATTACCAGTTCTAGATCTGATGCCCGATGTTGTGTTCGTGAAGTGCAGCCAACCACGTGAGGAGATGGGACGGCCACTATACTATGGACAGCCACACCCGCAAGCCTCTGTTGCTTTTTCGCCAACGCCGCCAGGGTATCGGCATAGCATCCACTGTCCCCCACGACTCGAAGCTGTCGTCACACCGGTCAAATGCCGACAGACCAGCTTGCACACGTCAACTCTGCATAGAAGAGGGCCCAGATTCGACACAGCGGGTTCAGAGGATACAAACAGGTTAAACCTGGTATGCGGATCTGTCACCAAGCGTACAACGTAGCACACTGGGTCTACTATGTAACTTACTATGTAAAAGGCCTTTGAGACGCAGAGTCCAGAATAGTTCTTCATTTGACGTGCTTAAGCGATGCACGCCATGGCCAATGTGACTGTCTCGTCCCAGATCAAGTCGACTTGTGGTTCGGCGCTTTTGATAATGACAGGGTAGAGAGCGTTAAGAGTCGCAAAAGACACAGAAGCTGCATTCTCGAAGACGCTGCCGCTGCCGCAGGCCCGCAGCCGCCGCACTTACGTTTGAACCTTGCAAGTACGGTACCGTAGGAGCCGACGTGATGACATGTTCCACTTTGAGCCCAGCTGAAATAGCGAGGGGCCCCAAGAGAGGACCATGGAAAGCTTCACGATCGCCGGCTTCTGATAGACTATAGTCTTCTGATTCAACGTTGATATTGCCAACTATCGGTAGTACCTGCAACGCATTCACAATAGAGTGCGGGGTGATGAGCTGCGAGTAAGAAGGGATCATAGCAAGGATGTGCTTTAATTTCCAGCCCTAACGAGCCCACCTTAGCGAGCTGATCCCAGCGATCACAGATAAATGATATGACCCCAGTGTAAACAGTGTAAACGGGTCATCTATTATTAGGGGGTGACGATCTCAGGGGTGCAAGACGGTTCACGTCTCCGGTTTCGTGATATGATCATGGATCAGTTCTTCGAACCGAGGCCCAGCATTTCGGATTTCACGTCTGACCAAAGTTTCCGAAGAGCTCCAAGTACCGTCTTTGCGGGCCCCTCTGAAAAACTGTCCTTGAACTGGTTATACGATTACGATATCATAGCTCGACAACGTCAGCTCGACTCTCAGCCCCTGCTGCCACAGCTCTTTGGACGAACCTAACGACTCTGAAGACTGGTTCGATCTAAATCATCTCATCAAACTAAATGAGCCGTCGCAATTGTCCTTGGATCTCGTCCCTCCTCAAACTCCGAAGGCGATTAACCACCCCACGATGATAGCCGTGTGTGCATTTGGGATGAGGACAATCACTCCGTTTTGCAGATCCTGAGTTACCGTCCTGACCGCCGTTAGAAAAGATCGCCCAAGGAGCACTATTAATAGATGGAGTCCTGGTTGCGCGTGTATCAACAATGATGATACGCTCACGGAACAACGACATATGAACCAGTCTTCGTTGCATGATACTTGAGCCTCGAAATGTCATGACTGGTCCGTCATTGGGCTTTGCTATGGCTGCAGCCCTGCAGGACGGGACAGAGTGGACGATTTCCGCCTGCGCATGGCAACTTGTGCCGTTCCCCGTACTTTTCTTTTCGCTTGGCTGCCCCCTGCTGCCCTGCTCCCTGTCACGTCCCGCGCTGGAACACGCCGCGAGTCGATTTGGGAAATTCTCGGCATAGATCTTCACCTTTTCACATGTGCTCTCTGAAGCCGCTAGTGCTAAAGAAGCTGCGGCCGCGAGTTTGGTTTCTATCAAGCTATCGACAACCTCGCTGTCGCCCCGGTTGAAGACGAGAACCGAAACTGCCACACAAGAACTACGGCGTTAACATCGCAATTTCATCCTAACTAGACTAGTATATTCATGCAGACTCGGCTTGCTTTTGAATAGTGACTTCTTTCGACTAAAGCATGAAAGCCAGCGTTGTGCTAATAAGCTCGAAGTGAGGTGATGACGTGGCGAGCTCTCTTAAGTGAGTCGCAATACACACCGCAAGTTCACCTTCTTCGCTAAGCTGTGGTGGAGGCCAAATATGTGCTCTTTCAAGTCGGCACTTCAAACAGAAGCAAAACTGCGAGCGAAAGACGTGTCATTGGGACTGTAAGTGTTTCTGATCCGATAGCTTGTTTTGCCTTGTGCTGCACGGTCAAGCCAAGTCGACAGCTGTATGAGACGCGTATCGACTTCACGTATCGGAGATGACCAAATCATACATGGCATACACAGAAGACCTTCTAGGCTTCTAATAATACCGCTGCTATTATCCACCGTTGACCGCCTGTCGCCGTTGAGGACTCAGGAGGGTACCCGGTACCTGACAGCCCTGAGTCTTTTATGGAGCTCTGGCATGCTGGTTCGGATCTTACCCACCTGCCCACCCATGGGCATCCACACCCGGCCCAGTCTGCCGGTCCTTAGCTCATTACGTCGGTGTCTCATGTCGCGAGTTTGCCGTCGCTTCGGAGTCGCCTCCAACCTTGTGCTCAACTTGTGCCGAGGTGCTCATGAGGTGAACTTCAAGCAAACCAGGACATTGTCAAGCAAGTCTCGCAGGTAAATACAATAATGCAATAGACGTAGCCAAGTCACGATGGCATATCTAAAGTACCTCCTATTATAAAAGGGTGGGGTCGCAGCCACCGTATTCCGGAAGGGCGCTGCGTCCAGCCACAGCCAGCCCACCATGGCATTTGTGGCGTGTAGGGATGTTCGGGACGATGGAGACGGTGGATTCGTCTGAACTTCTATTGGCGCGCAACCATCCCCATTCTCACCAACGCCGATGGCCCGCTGCCGGTGCGGGTGACCACTGACTTCTTGCCTCCCCCTACCCCCTTGGAAGGCATGATCGTGGGAGTCCTCGAGTCCCTCCCCAACTTCCCAAGTCCCGACGTCGCCAGCCTGCCAGGCCTCTTGGAGTCGACGGCAGTCGGGCCCTCGCCAACGCTGGCCCCCCCCGGTCTGGAAATCTGCAAAACCCCATTCTTTTTGTGATGCGCGCTTCCCAAGTGCAACTCCTGACCGTTGGGCCAATCCAAAATCCTTGCTCATGGGGATGGCCGCCTGAAACTCTTCTCCAAACCGAGTATTCCCCCCCCCAATCCCCTGCAACCTGCCCTGCTTGCCCCCCCGCTTGGCCCCGCGATGGACCTGAATACGTGAGTATGTCGCCTCGTATTAGCCGAACAATGAGCAGGACCATTGGATTCTGGAAGGGGGAAGCGTGTCCTGGCAGGGGGGAGAGGGCCCCTTCAGACTTCTCGATCCTACAGTACCGGAGTACCTCGACACCCAGGCACCCCAGCCGCTCGCGAGCCACCTCTCCGCACGCATGCAAGCAGCAATCATATCCAGACCTGTTCTGACTGGAAGAGGGACCATGAATCTCTTGTTCCACTTGGGTTGGTTCACACTTATTACTTCATCTCCGCCGGGTCTCGCACCTCCTGGCATCCTCGGGTCCTCACTAGAGAGACGGCTGGATATACCTCTGTGTGTGCCTGTCCAACGGTGAATCGCTCTTTTGATTATTCTTCCATCGGCCGGACAGAGTCCAGGTCCAGTTCCTTTCCGTAGCCGAGGATGAGAGAGACACCCACCGGCAGCACAAGAGAATCCCCCGTACCATTGAGAGGCACCGTTTGGAAAGGAACCACGACTCTTCCATGACCGACGACGGGTGCTAGTCGCATCGAGACCAACCTGGGGCATCTTGGCCGATCCAGAGTCTCGTTGGCATGACATTGACCATTACCGCTTACGAACCGATGAGTATGAGCGTGGTCCCCCTTCCTGGAGTTCATCCCATCGCCATGTCACGACCTCAAGTTGGCATCGAGCGCCTGCCAACTCGCCGCATGAGCAATGAGCCACGAGAATCAATGAACTGCAAGTCATGTCGAAAGCGCAAGGTCGGTATTTACCCGAACGTCTGGCAACTTGCGGCGCAAACCCAAGATTACCCGGTATATCTGCCTGTGCTAACGAACTGCGTCTTCGGTACAGATTAAGTGCAATCGCTTACGCCCGGCCTGCGAAGCTTGCCAGGTCTTTCAATGCCCGTGCATATATGGTGCGTACACATCGCTTATTCTGTCCCGTCCCGCCCTGATATGCAGCGGCTGACCATCTACCGGGCTGTAGACGCCGTGCCGAAGAAGCGAGGACCAAAAACGGATGTGCTTGAGGCTTTGCTCAAGAGGGTAGATGGCTTGGAGGCTCAACTCAAGGACAAGAAGAAATCCGATGGCTCGCCGACGGCAGAGGAGCCGCCATTGGTTACGGAGGACGCGGTAGATGACGATGCCGCGTCGCCGTCTGCAAACCCAATACCGAGCACGAGCACGAGCACGAGCACGAGCACGAGCACGGCAACAGCCGAGCCGAAAGCGAAGCGGCTTGCATTAGATACTGCTCGGGCAATAGATGCAGCCACAGAAATCGCCATATACTCACCCACAGTCAACAGCGACTCCTCCCCCGTCATCCAAATGGATGCACTCCTGGACACTTACTTCAACCGCTTCCATGCAAAACCCTATCATATCCTCGACGAATCCTCGGTACGGCAGCGTCTCCAACTCAGCCAGTTGCCCATTTATTTGGTGCATGCTATCTATGCTGTTGCTGCTAGGTATGTATCCGAGGACCTGTTCACTATAATCCATGGCTGAGACTTGTCAGGTATACACCTCATCCAGCCGGCTACCAGTCTGCGGTAAGACTGAGCGAGGACTACGCGTCGCAATCGAGAAGCGAAATAGATACCGATGAACCGTCCGTCGATGCCCTCCAGGCCCTGCTCCTTCTTGTCATTGCCTTCACGGCAGCAGGCAAGGGCAAGAAGGCTTACATGCTTTTGAGTATGTATAGCCAGAGCGACCCTATATGCACACCGTGGATCTGGAGTTGGTAAACTGACGACGGTGGTAGCAAACGCTATTGGCATGGCCATGGCTCTCGAGTTACACCGCGAGGTCGGCATGCACGCCCGCATAACTGCCGTGGAGCGCGAGATGCGGAGGCGACTGTTCTGGACATGTTATCTTCTCGACAGATTTATGGCCTGCGGATCGAAACGACCTTGCATTGCTGGCGATAAAACCATACTTTTGCGGTTACCAAGTTGGTCCCCGAACCTCTCGGGCTTACAGATAGAAGGGGAATTCTTCCAGAGCGGCTCGAACCTCCAGTACCTGCAGGGCAACGGCAAGAAGTCGCAGGGCAGCAGTGGGATGCTTATTGACATAAGCCGTATTCTGGGTGTCACGAATCGATACCTCGCATCAGGCGGCGTGAAAGGGGACTCCCATTTCCCGTGGCACACGCTCTCCAGCCTGTCCAAGATTAGACAAGACCTCGATATCTGGGCTTCAGGAACCGACGACGTTTTCTCCAGCCTTGATGTGCTATTCGGCCACCCAGATTGCACCGTGCTGGTGCTCAGTAAACTCATTTACCACCTGATTCACTGCCTCATATACCGACCATTCCTCCCCATCGACCTGGCGGAACTCGCTGGGACAGGTCAACATCAGTCATGGCAAATTGAGGCCACAAACATGTGCTTCTTACACGCCAATGCGATAGCGGAGTTGGTTCAGCTTGGAAAACAGACGGCGTCTATCGAATGGCCCGCCTTTGTTGGATACTGCATTTGCACCGCTGGCACAGTCCATATCCACGGAGCTCACTACAACAAGACCGGAACAGGCGGGGACACGGGCGCCTTCGTTTCGTCGGCGGAGTTTCTGTCCCGGGAAATGCAGCAACTGAGCGAGCTACGGTACGCGTGGGCGTGCGTGCAGCACCAACGGGAGACCTTGCAAGGCATATACAACGCCCACACCGAGTTGGTCAAGGGGCTCGCGAGCAATTCGATGCGCTATTCGCCCGTGTTCAGTCTGGAGGACTTCTTCGACCGTTACTCGAGCGTTGGAGGACCCGACGGGCAGATCTCCACATTCGATGCGGCCAGCCTGAGCCTCTCGGATGTTGTCATCGACTTTACCACCGACACATATACAGGCCACGACCTGTACGCGCCTCGGGCCAATGCAGTGCCCGAGCGGCCAAGCTTGAAACGGAAGAGCACCGCCGGCATTGGGCGTAAACGACCCGATATACGGAATCTGGCACCATTGAGCGCTCCTGGCCATCATAACCTTGTGACCTCTGGCCTGCCTACACCCGGCGGCCAGCACCGGCAGTTCTCCTTCTCTGCAGGGCCGCACTCGTCACCTATGCTTCACACTCCTGCCTCGCTGCCATCGCACGCAGAGCATATGACCAGCCATTGTATGCGTGACCCGATGGAGGACCCCGCTGCAAGCGCCGCGGCGGCGGCGGCGGCGGCAGCAGGGTTCTCTATAGAACCCCCACAGCAAGCGCAGCATATGGCCGGCATCACGGCGACGCCATTCTCCCCGCCTTACAACTACGGAACGCCCGCGCCGAACGCGGAAAACAACAACAATAACAACGGGCTAGGCGTCCCAACCTACGACCCGATGTTCGGTACCGTGCCGACCAACGCATACACGTCACCCGCTACCTGGCACGGAGAAGACGACCGCAACAAACCGCAGGCGGCGGCGCGCAGTCCGGGGGCGAGAAGCCACAACGGCAGCACGGGCACGGGGCCCGAAGAGAAAGACCCATTCTTAAGCCTGCTGGAGCAGCTGGCGGAAAACGAACAGGCCATGGGGCAGGGCAACGAACTCGACTTCTTTCTTGCCGGAGCTCAGGGCTGAAATAGGGGCCAGGGGCTTGAAGAATGCCCGATTTGAGCAAACACTTTTGCACAACTGTACAACAAACGCAACAACTTCTTCTTCGACCAAAAATCTAGGGACAGGGCACGACCGGCATTCTTGGGTATCACGGGCATTTTACTGGGATCAACAGGCCCGCTGCTTTGGAGGTGCGGCTTTTTGCATGTCATGCTATGGTGGCTTTTGGATTTTTTTGGCTTGCCCCTGCGAGGACCACGGGGCCATGCATGCATTGATGGTCACGAACGTTATGTATATATTTGTGCGATTATTGGGAACCGAGTGCATAGAGCGAGTGAGCGAGCGAACGAGCGAGCGAGATGAGATGAAACGGAAAAGGTGTAAGAATAGGTTTATCAAATGGTACGAGGCACGACTTGCTTGTTCGGGACGACTTTCTTGGGGAATTCAGGTCGCTTGTGGATCGAGACATGGTGAGGCGATCTCAGGGGCCGGGGCGACGTTCCTCTGGCTCGGTACCAAAGTTCTAAATGAATACCCCTGAATCCGATCATGATCATGATGAACGTGGGGCCTTGAAAGATTGTCGGTAAGCGGCAAGCGGCAAGCGGTAAGGGACTTTTCATTAGCCAGGGCCTGCGAGAATCCTGATTGTTCATCTGTCGGTGCCCTGCTTGACCGGTACAACGTGGGTGAGTGATCCTGACTGCAACCAGGAAACCGGGTCGGGACCGTGGAGGGACGGCACAGATAGACCTCGGCTGCAGCTGTGCCTTGTAATGCTTCAGGTCAGTTCAGGTCAGGGCCCTTTCATTTTAAATACTACGACATGCTTCCCATTCGTTCCTGATGCCGCGCAGGCTCGAAAGTACGTGCGTCGAGCCGCCCTGGCAGTGGGCACCTTGCCGCTGCCGCTGCCGCACGCCGGTCGACTCGGCCGAGAAGGGGAAGTGCTGTCGTGCGTGCGTGCGTTCAGCGGGCCAGTTGCCAGACGAAAAAAATTGGAATTTTTTTTTTTCGCAAGCAAAGACCACTTCAAGATTCGGATCAAGGTCGACAAGGAGCTGAATAGGTATAAGTGGCAAGGGGGGGAATCATGAATGACGGACAGACGGACAGACGGATCTCACGGATCACATTGTGAATCGTGATCCGCCGCCCCTGAATCGCTGATTCTAATCACAAGTTGTGTATTTCTAAATTCTCGGCTGGACAGAGGAGTCGGATGCCTGAGGAATGCGCGCCGCTTTCGAGGTTCGTCGGACACGCCCACACGGTGATAGACAAGCGCGAGGTTCATGATCCAACACGAACCTGACAATGGCTCGCGTGGGGGTTTGTGGGGCGTCCTCCGCGAGCTGGACCTCGTGACGATGATGCTACCCCAGGACCGGTTTCTCAAAGCCTCCTCCGAATGATGCCCTACCTGGGTAAAATAGCCTGGGCTGCCTCGTAGTACCACAGCCCAGTCGGAGTTGGTGAGGGCCCAGCTCCGTGGATTATCGACTGGGACGTAGCATTGGCACCTGGAGGCTGGCACTGGTTCGAACCAAATGGACCAGCCCTATTATTGATGTTATGGTGTCTGTCTTTCTCTTGGTACAAATACCCTGCCACCAGCACCTGGCACCTGACTTAACCTCGGCCAACATTACCACCGCTCGTGCCGTCTGGCTCCGAGTCACCGATTTGGAGCCGGTGTCGCGTGGGGGGTAGGTACCTAGGTAAGGTAGTTTAGGTAGGATGAGGGGGAACAGGGGGACAGAACCGTTGCGGCACGGCGGCCCGCCCGACCACGAAAGGTGACGCTTGGGGTAGGAGTTGGAGATTCCTTCTGGGATTTGGTCTTACGTTTGGAGTTGTTTAAAAGTTGGAGATGGACTGGATGCATCGGACCTCGGGGCTGTTCGCGGCGACGTGGGAGCGCGCGGGCACTAGGCCGGTTTTCGCACTCTGCGCCGAGTGTGGCGCACGCAGAAGCCTTCGGCACTTGAGTTCTAACTTCTACGGTACCTAGGTATTTATGGAGGCGGCGGACGACGTGACGAGCAGGCGCGGCTGTCGCCTGCTCGGGAGGGTGCCTTTTCACATGTCAGGGACACATACAGATGCGAATGCTGGATCTGCCGGGCTTGGGACCAGGGAGTGGTTAACCAGTCTTCTCTTCGGGCTACGGTTACATAAACACTCGACAAAGCTCCGCCGGTCGCCTTGTATGAAAAGACGACGAAGCGCGAGGATCGCGCCTTGTATCGAGGGTGTTGACGACTGACGGCTCAGGGTAGAGTGGCGGTTAGACAGGGTTAGGGTTAGGGTTAAGGAGCCCTTATCCTAGCCCGCCTCGTCGAACTGTCAAACAGGGGCCACGAGAAAGCATCTGGTGGAAGTGATTGCCCTCATCCTCGATACTGGGTGGCCGTGAACTAATCAGCTTCATATCAGTGAGGTTTGTCGGGGGTGAGATAAACGCGCCTTGAGCTGCCTACAGTACGAACCACGAACGAGTCGCTTAGGCTCAGATTCCAGCGACTTGACGTCCTGCCAATATATGTCAATGTGAGAAAGGAGTGACGCCTCAATATGACGAATGATTCACTGCTGCGTACCATATCGTAAAGCCAAGTACAGCAAAGCCGGCTCTGAAGTGAGAAGGCCAATTGGTCATCACTCTGATCTTAACTATGAAATCGTACCATGTAAGTAAGATTCAATTACTCCCATTATAACATCATCCTAACCCATGACAGGATCGAACTGTACCGCCGTCTACCTCGTCAGCTCGTTCACGAACATAACGAGCTTCGATAACTGCCCTATCTGGGCTGATGATCTGGGCGAAGCGTGTACCGGTGAACGGAACATCTACTATCGAGAGCATTAGCCCCGACCCTCCAGCCCTCAGCGGTTCCGAGATCTTCATCATGGGTCAAGCCCAGGATGTTCCGGTCTTCCACGCGCCTTATCACACTCACTATATACCGAATACTCAATGACAGCAAACCGCATTTCGTGGGTATCCGGTCCATCCATCGTCGTCACGCCTCGATGCCCGTACACACTATACTACACCATTACGCCCATTCACGAGTGGTCGAAGAAGCGGAGTCCTCAGGCAAAGCACATGTATCAGGGCCCATAACCTGTGAGAAAGGGTTACTGAACGAGTAGGGTTGTTTCGGTGGATGTGGTAACGGAGGCTACAGTGGATTGTAAGGATGAACAGGCGTATCAATGGATGGTTCAATAGGGGGTTCAGTGACTGTTTATCAAGGCGCAATACTCTCCCCAACGTCAGTCCCAGCGATCCCATGGCCGTTACCTGAGGAAAAGGGGTTGGTTCCTCACAGATAACTCGTTAACAACCCAGTGTCTGGATGATCGACGCACAACATTACCGGCCTCCAGCTGAACCCCGCAAGCAGCATGGCATGTCATCGCTAGAGTCTCATCGCAAGCAGACGCCGCGTCCCAATAGCCGCATAACATTCCCACCCAAATGAAGCATGAATACCAAAAAGTCGCTCGGGGACAGGCGAGCATGACCAGCTAACACACTCACTCCAACCGATGTCTTAAGAGCATTGCAAGGTCCAAGCACTGGTACGTGTGAACTACACTGACCCACCAATATTATGCGTACACCCAACGCCCCACAGACGCGTCAAAAATCAATCCACCATCACCCTCTTCTTTCAAACAACCACAATGCAGTCGAATAATAGACGAATTACACGAATTCGGGCTCGTCTTGAGCAGAAATCACGGCAAAAACGATGAATTCACTTCAGAAACTCGCGCGTTCATGTGCGGAGCCATGGTGGGCGGCGCGACCAAGACGGCCGTGGCCAGCGCGTTTCGCTGCCGTCGCGCCACGGTAGCTACCCAGATCGAACGCTTTAAAGAACAACAAATCTTCACGCGGAGGCCTCATAAACGACGTCCCCAGGTTATTTAAGGCCAGCGAGCCACTCACATCATTCAACTGGCTCGCCGGAAGCCCAGAATCTCATACGGGGACCTCCGTATCTAAGGAGGCACGCCGGCGAGCTCTGCCACCCTCCGGCGCTTCCTAGACTGTAACAACTTGAGGAAATAGCGTACTACGAAGCGAATCAAGCTCACTACTAAAAAACACTCATAAGAGACTCATATTTGTGCGCCAATTCGGCAATAATAAAGGACTATAGATCCTTTTAAACACCCTTTATTCAAACAAATATATAATAAAGACTTTGCCTGGTTCTCTAGGTTCCTGGATTGTTTATCTCTTATCTGAAAAGTACCAAAACGACTTTGTGAACCCGTAAGAACACATTAAAGTCAAAATCTCTATTATGGTTTGGGGTATGATCTGGCTATGCAGCAGCAAAGGTGGTAAGGGCAAGCTGGTGATGATGGAAGGCGATCCGGACTCTTCTCATGGCAGAATGACTACCAAGTCATATTTAAAAGCTCTAAAAGAAGGATTACTACCTTTTTATAAGCCTAGGGACCCTTATATACAAGATAATGCCCCTGTTCACACTTCGAACGCGTGTAAGAGATGGCTGGAGGAGCACGAGATCTGGACCATCGAGTGGCCGCCTCACTCGCCCGATTTGAACTTGATCAAGCATGTTTAGAACGCTCTAAAGCGCAAGATATACGAAGTAGAGCCTCAATTTCATGATCTGAAGGACAATTTGAGCGACGAGGCATATGTGAAGGAGATAATCGAGCACGCGTGGACAGAGATCGATGAGCGCTTGATTAAGAGGCTGATAAAATCGATCCCGCGCAGGCTCGCAGCAGTGCGTTGCATGAGGGGTTGGTACACCAAGTATTAAAGAGCAGAAATCAACAACTATTTTGATATAATTCACGTTCTGAATGGCCTCATATTCGATTTATTAGGAATTGTTGAAGATGAGGGTGGTGATGAGTGGATTGGTGGGGGATCAGCGGTGTACGCATAATATTGTCCACATATTGTATCTGTACTACTGCAGATTCGAGACCAGGACGGCCCGCTTCTTCAGGGGGTATCTTTCTCCGACACAACACAGCGATAAGTTAGGTCAAGAACAGGGGATATATTAACGCATGTTCGCTATGTATGTACAATAACATGGCCCTACATAAGCCGTTACAGGATATCAAGTGTTAACTGAAAGCTTAGTGTCGTGGTATGTTGACACCAAGGCGTCTCGTGGTATGCAGCTCCTATGAAGGACTGTCATCCTCCTGAATATGTAGTTGATACGGGGCGCGCAGAGCGGGTGATGCCCATTCAAGGACAGGTTCCTGAGCTCGAGGGGAACATAAAAGCTATACGAAGATCGGAGTACAGATGTCCGCCTCGTCAGTGTCGTCAGATCCTCGCAAGAGAGCCATGATCCAATATCCAGTCATGAGTACTTCGCCTGCTTGTATCGATCGCAATCGCATCTCAAGTGAGGCTATCCGCCATCCGTCTTGCGAACTTGGCACAATAGACCAGGTTGGCAGTCCAGATTCCTCGGTGAATGTCGTGTGAACAAGGCCCGAAGGCCTGAGTCGCAATCTCCGGAAAGCCTTGTCGCAATGCTGTATAACCTCATATGTAACCTTGGGATCAGATCTAAGGGTACGTGTGTCTCGAACTTCAACGGCCCAAGGTCGGGGCTTACAATGTCCCAATCCACGACGAAGCTGGCGGTTTGCTGGAACCACTCCAGCTGAAGTGGTCAGGTCCCTAGAACATTCCCTGTCCGCCCGCGAGACGCACAAAGCTGTACGGCACGTTCTGGCCGACCAGCAACCTCAACGTCTCGACGGTGGTGAAAGCCGTCGTGTCCGCCACGCCATATGCTGCGTAGCCGCTCTGTTCCGCAACAGCACCCGGATCGCCTTTCCGTGGACCATCCGCCAGATCCAAGAAGACCTTGCGGATCTGTGATGCCGAGCCCCTTGAGCCACCGAAGACGCGCACCAGCATGCCAACGATGTTCGACTTCTCCGGTGCGAGCGCAGAGACGATGACGAACGGGCTTGACTCGTCACCTACCATCCTGGCTCGCTGGAGACTCTCCATGCTGTTGAAGGGCTCGACTGCGAGGCCTCGGGCTAGTACGAGGGGTGTCTTGAAGCCCACCGTGTACACCTTTCCTACGCGGAGCGCTTTCAACGCATACATGGTGGACGCCGCGTCATCAGAATTCGAGGCCAAGACAACAGCAGTACGACCGAAGTAAGCGGATGGTGCAAGATCGCGCGTTAAGGTGCTGAGGATACCACGCCAACTCGCGTTGTCGAATATGAGTGATGAATTGGCTGACAATCCATAAGCCGAACGCGAAGCAGAGCCGAAGGGCGAGTCGGTACGCCGGCCTGGACTCGAAGGTATTGATGAAGGGGCTGATGTCGGCGCGGACGCGGAACCCGCTTCCACCACGATGGTGTCGACCATGCCAATCATACGGGCTGCCTCGGTGAGCGTAGGACCTGAACCACCGTTGAGTTTTGAGAAGAAGGGACTGTTGTGCATCAAGCTTGAAAAGGACACTGGGGGGTTCAGGTATGCTCCTCCAAATGACCTCTGGTTGCAGAAAGCTTCCACGCACCCTGAACCTCTCAGCTGTCTCTCAACCACGGCGAACTGATGCGGCAGGCCGAGTTCGTTGAAGCATTTCTCATAGAAAGGTGCATGCGGGGTTCCAATGCGGGAGTAAGGAGTGTTGATGCCATATATGCTCTTTTTCGGAAGCTGTCCCAGCAAGGACAACGCAGCATTGATCTCAGCAGCGCTCATCTGGCCCGGCGCAGCAATGATGGGAAGGAGTGGATGCGTGATAGGCGTGAACACCTTATTCAGTGTTCTCGAAAACTGGCCAGTCTCACCCATGTTGACCGCCGATAGCGGTGGCGAGTTGGGATATTCGCTTCTGATCTTTGAACGAAAATACTCCAACTCGAAGTTCTCGTTATGGTCGTTGATGATCGCTATCATCTTGACTATGTCGGAATATTTGCGGGACTCGAGGAAAATCGACTGCGCTTGAACTGAAGGCCATCTGAACGTGCCAGAGAAGTCGTGGAAAGCAGACATGATGTGGCTGTTGCCACGTTTTTCGTAGAGCTTCTGGCGTATGCGTTCCGGCAGCCAAACCTCGACGTCAATATACTCGACACCCCATTGAATCGCCCTGTACAAGTATTCATAGTATATGTCGGGGATGTCCATAGGGAACCGGCCATTCTCTCTTGTGCACCGTGTCGTGAATATAATGGGTAATTCGGTCCTCTGTCGAAGCAGCATAACCTGCTCGCCAACGTAACTTAAACTCGGTATCTGCGCGAAAGTGCCATCGCTCAAAGGCTCCCTGAGGAGGTCAACGCGTAACTCGACGGCGTCGGAGCCGACTGTGAGTATGTCTATATTAGGCAGGGCTGCCCGGACGTCGGGAAACGTAGTTGAAATGAAGTATGTTCGTGGTTTTGACATGAGTGCCGCATGGTGGTTGATCTGCCCAAGCACGAACGAGATAAACCGAGCCAGATCTCGACGAATGAAGGGCGCCTCGCTATACAAGAACTCGTAGTCGCAATTCGCAGATAGGTGCGTATCCGGGGGCATTCCGAGATTGACGCAGTGGGCGTTTATGGTGACCATGGCATCTCGATTGCGGGAGGAGATGTCGATGCCGGCGTTGCCTACTGAGATTCCCAGCACCACTTCCTGCTCTGCCGAAGTCACCCCCTGGAAGCTATCGGCTAGCCGGTATTGTTTTCCCAGAATGTCGGCGAACACAGACACGATCGTCTCCTGACCAGGCCCATAGACGACCACTGCGGTACGCGTGTCACCCCTTCGCAGACCACTGCCCGTCTGGGTGCCATTTGCTGCCGGGGACTTTGCCCGGTGTTCCAGGTTCATCTCAACATCCGGCGCAGCAGCTCCGTTCACACCGCGCGGACGAACCGGCGTGGGCACCCGAGGTAGCTGCTGAACCGTTGTCATGGTTTACTGGAGGACAGAACCAACACTCGGGAATAAAGCCAACTCCGCTCGAGTGGATGATGCCTTCGATGCTTCCAATATTGCGCACAATGCGTAGCCAGTGCTCCTCCCCTCTCTAGTCCTAGGCGATATGTTCACCTGCGCTATGGCGTGCTAGATGTTCAGTACTGCTCAGAAGTTGACATCCGCATGGCAGAAGCCACAAACCAAGACACTCATGGAATTTCGGAAGCTGAAGTCGAAGTAACAAGACGGACCAAGTCGGGGCGTTACAAGGTAGGGCGGGAAGCAGCTGTCAGTCGCCAAGCGGATGAAACCAGCGGTGATTCTAAGAGACACCGGCCAGGTCGGGTTCAACGGTTCCCGAGCAATCGCGGGGACCCCGTCTTGTGGAAGGGTTGGTGAATAGCAGGTGTACAGTATGGAGCTGATGTTGTAGATGTCGCAAGCACGCGAACAAGGTCGGATAATGGCGATGCGCGACGATTATCGAACTGATAGAACAGATAAGAACAGGAGAAATTGCTCAATGGCGCATTTCAAAAGTGGTGTAGAGAGTCTCTCGAGAGCGTCAATAATTCTTCCAGCCACTCAGTTGCAGGATTCTCCAGCTGCGCTCGGCGCAAGATAGATGGCGGCTCGTGAACGGCTCCCTGGAGACTACGGTACGCATGTATATGTAAGACAGTGGCCTGCCTGACCCGTGCCGTGCAGGGGTCCAATACCGAGGACTCGAGGGAGTGTCAGAGGTGAGGGATCAGTCCGAGTACTGATCACACTTGCTCCTCGCGCGGGTCTGGCACGGAAGATATGCGCATCTGTGCGCCTGCGCGCGTGCTTCCCGGTTGCAAATACCGGTAACGTGGCATCGGACGAGGGAGAGGTGCGAGGTTCAAGATTAGACGCGTTGAGCTGCGTGAACGGTGGACGATGGACGGTGGATGGTGGATGATGGACGGTGGACGGTGGACGGCGGGAGGGACAGACAGTGGATTCCCAGGGGCCAGGGCTCGATGTCCATGGGGTACTGGGGTATGCCGTAGGGCCATAGCCCATAGGCTACTGGATTCGGGGGTTTTTATGCCGTTCGAGTTTGGTTCCGAGGCTTCCTCCACTCACTGGAACGGCGGGTCCTCGATTATGCCCCGACATCCTTGTCTTCGTCAGTATCAGAGGGGCATATGTTGTCTCTTATTGTTGCGAGCCCTCTGAGCTGCGTGGGCGCGTGATGGGATATCCGGCAGTGCTTGTCGATGGCGAGTCGCTCCGGGAAGAGCGATCATTTGCACATGTCATTTGAAGTATCTACATAATAAAGGCAAGTTCGGACTGACCGACGATTCTCCGTCTACAATAGGACTCTTTATGTTTCAGACGTAACGCCATGTTCACTATTTGGTACGCCCTCGGGGGCCCCGTCTCAGTGTCCCCTCGTGTTCGTGAGGGATGGCATTGCCTGTTATAAGCTTAGCATCTAGATCCATCAGCAGGGCTACCGTAACATCGAAGCCGGGTCGAGACAGGGTATTGGCCTAGTGTTTCGAGTGCACTTCTGTCCTCGGTGAAGGCATACCAATGTTCTGTTCGACTACAGTCTACTACGGATGTGAATGTTGAACCACGTTGAGATCAATCGACAATACGTAACCCTCCCTTGAAGCTAATGTAAGGTACTTTGACACGGCCTGGGAGCTCGTGAATAAGAACACGCTTCGTCGGAGGGTCGTCCCGTGCTGGCGGTCCTCGCATATACCCAGATTCTGGACAGTCGCTCATGCGATAACGATGAAGTTGCTACAATAACTTCAAGGTCCGCGTCAGCCGCCGGCGTGTCTATGATTCGCAGTGTCGGCATGGGGCACGGCACAGAACAGGGTAGGAACTTTGGTACTGCGACAAAGATGCAGCTGACGCGAGGGGAGTAGAAGCTTGGTTCACCATGTATCTTGTATTATAATTTATACATAGTACGTTCATATAACAAGTGGCAGCGGGACGAGGCTTGAGCATAACTACTACATATGTAAGGCATTGACTCGGTGCCAGGGTCAACCGCCTCGGCCCCATTTATGGACAAACCCATCGTAAATTCTCCATCAATCATGAGCCAGCGGGATGGACTACACCCCCTTGGCATCGGTCAATGTTTACAATCATGCCATCGTTATTAGCCTGCGACGTACGCCGCGCCGGGTCGGCAGAATTTACCACATGAAACAGTCAATTGCGAGCTCTGGTTCGTTACGTATTGTAGGATTGGATACCTTGCGAAGTTGCATTCCATGTTTCTCGCCTCCTAGGCCTGTCGCCCCAAGAGGAAATGGCAATCCCAATTGGGTGCCGCTGTCGACGTGTTCGGGCATGCCGAGCACTTCGGTATCCGAATAAGAAGAGCCTTATCAAAGGTTCTTGGCTTGAGGCATGGCAAACAAGACCGTATACGGCTGTCCGGGTGTGACGACCCAATGTGTCACATCGACTTGTTGTCAACTTGTCACCCTGCTGAGAAGGCTCCCCCTCTAGTCATGGTCAACGTCTGGGGGCGCAGCTAGAAGCTTTGATAAACATCCACACTGTCGATATACTGAGATTGTCATACTTCCTCACTTGCCTATCCACTCCTCTGGAAGGTCTTATTCTTTGCTCATAGACGGCTGGATTCATAAGAAATTGTCAGTGACTTTGCGTAAAGCGATATAGATCAATAGCTTGTGTCGTAGTGAGGATCATGAGGCATGGTCATCAAAGTCGACAACCTCACGCCCCCGTTTCATCACTGTGGATTTGTGGTTTCTCGAACGATGCCTGACGGCCACGCCTGTCGACGCACTACCTGCGTGTGTCGGTATATCCAAGACCGAGGTCTCTCACTGAGGACAGCACTGGCGAGGACGAGCTTTTCTACCTACTTAGTTTCACCGCGAATCTACTCTAACCTGGACAAGCAAGCTCTGTGTGGTCAAGCAACGGCATAGGCTTCTGTGTAACCTTTGGCTGAGGGGTTCGTGAGTCCATTTGAGATCTCGGTACGGTGGTGCTGCCCAACGACGCTGCTCGACGTCCTTCGTACAGCTATATCATAGGACTTGATACTATCTCGGGATCGGGTCACTCCCGAGTAGCTCCATCCGGACACGCGACCTGGTGGCTCTCGCTGCTTTATCTGGCTTGCTTGTTACCCTATTCTCGAAGCACTTCATACTGGATCATCAGCCGCTACCGCAACCGCCTTAAACCATGCCCAATCCATACCGTCATCCGCCTTCACGATGACTAGAAGCCCGCTGAGTCAAAAGGGAAGCCAGTGGCACTTGAAGGATCCGAGCCCCAGTCCGTGCTCGTAGTTTTCAACATAAGTCCTCGCTCTTTCTACACTCGGCAGCAACCTGGCTACGCAATAGGCCCATAACAAACCACCACGTCTTACAGTCAACTCGACCTTGAGCAAGTCTACCCGTGGAGTCTCTCGGTCACCCTAGCAACAGGCGGTTACCACCCAGCCCTAGCAACGCCCTCGCGCGCTGTCCATCTCACGACGGCCTCAACCACCTCCAGCAACGTCATGCTCCACGACAACCTCACCCACCCTGAGCAACCGGCTAAATTCTCGTCAGCCATGGGCAACACCCGCAGAACGGGGCAAGAGGACATATGTATATGTTTAAGGTGCCCTCCTGTCACCCAAGTGGGTAGTCGAAAAGTCCAAATGGTGTAGCGGTATTGAAACCACGCTCCAATCCCAATATGCTCCAAACACTCCAATACTTGAATATCCTCAATACTCTTACTTGAATATGCTCGAATACTTCCAATACTCCAAATCTATAGAAGCATAGAATAAATCCAATATTAAAACATAAAGCTCCAAGACTCGAAATAGAGATGTAGGCTGAAGCAAGGCTTCAGCCGAACTCTTTTGCTTGTGGTGACGCCATATGTTGGGTTCGAGCGTTGGTAGAGACGCATTTTACGACTCAGGGGATCGATCCCTCATGACATTTTAGAACACCCTCTCAAAAGATCACGCGCTCTACATAGGTTTGGGCTTTTGCGAAGGGTTTTCCTTTTCGTCTCTGCTGACATTCGGGTTTGAACCCTGGCTGTGATGCGTTTTGACTTTTGGGGACTTCTTGTTGTCGTGATGTCATCGCGCGGTCGTCCTAGAGACTTTCTGGGGTCAGCTCGTCTCTGACAATGTCCGGGTGCAAACCGACCTGTGGTGCGGTTTTACTTTTGGGGACTTCTAGTTGCCGTGATGACATCGCGCGGTCGTCCGAGTGCCTTCTAGGCTCAACGCGAACTTTCCCTCTCTTTCTGGTCTTCCCACACTCTGGCCGTCCAGGAAGTATGAGGTTCGACGCCATGTTAAAAATGGGTTTCGCTGGACCGCAGGTGACTCTTCATCATACTGGGCGAGCCCTTCCGTGATATCGTAGTGTCCCAGCCCCTTTTCGGATTTTATAACATTACCCCCATGAGTCCACGCAGCAGCACAGAAGTCGGCGCGAACGATGGAGACTTCCATAGCTAGGGACCGAACACTCCCTAATTCAACGGTGGTGTCCCGAAGTATAGACCATTAGATATTGCGCCGTTGAGAGGCACCGCAGTCTCGAGACGTGTTCGGGTACCGAGCAACAGTCCAAGGCCAAACTACGATAACCCGTGGGGAAAGCCGACTGACTAGGATACTTAAGACATATGGAACCAGATTAATCTATAGCTCGACTGTCAGTCAAGCTGGACTTAGGCTGCGTTGGGAGACTGCTCAATTTCATGCATGAGCACGCGATCACCGTGCTTACCCCGTAAGAAGCTCAAGTGCCCGCCAGCGGAGAGTCTCTCGATGGGCAAGGAGCGCGGATCATGTAAACCAATCCTCATGACTAGCTTCTCAATGGGTTCTCTTATTGTATTTGCGGATAGGTAATATTGAAGCAACACCCGACGAGTGAGCTTGCTAGGAGGCATCTTGCCAGGATGTGGGGTCTCTCATGCCAGCGAAAGTATCGCGACAAGGTCACACGACAGGAGTGGTTTGCCGACGCCCCCAGAAGATTGTTACCGGTAGAAACGGTCTCATCAAGATCGTAAGCTAAAGGGGTATCTAGATCTATTCCGCCGTCTTTCGCTCGTCCACACATATCTCGCAATCGCAGTGCGCCGATCCCGTAACTCCTGATGGACATAGCCCTGACAACACACAAGACAGACAAGTACATTTCATACAGGCAACGCCTGAGCGTCACCACCTCCCACCCACATCCGGCCCGCATATCCTTTGACGAAACGTCCGTCAATTTCCATCTTTCAAGCCAGAGAGCCACGTTGCTGGACTGGACCGGTGCTCCCCCAATTGTCGCTTAAGCCACTCGTAAATGGTGCCAGGGGTTCATGGTTCATGAGCCGAGGCAATGTGGAAAGTCTGGTCGATGAAACTGCAGTCGGGGCGAGAGCTGGCGCAATGGTGAGCTGTCCACCATTGACGCGCGTCGGTTTCTCGCCCTCCTAACCCTAACCCGTATCACAGGCATAACTCCTCGAAGCAAACTTCCGCCTCCCGCCATTCCATGACCGCGCACTCGAGGAGGTTCTCCTCGGTGCATTCCAGGTCGTCCTGGCGCTTGCGCATCTTCTTCAGCTCTCGGCCGGCGCACAGGTGTCCGAAGCAGGTGGTGCTATTGCTCCCGGTAGAGGCGACGCAGTTGGCGATGGACTCTTTGCTGCAGTCTGCTGCGCTCGAGGGCGCGACGAGTGTGGTGCCGTTGCGGGCAGCGCCGGGCAGTGCCGCGACGAGAGATGCGCCGATGGCGAGGGCCAGGGCAAAGCCGGTCGTGGAGGGGAACCGCATGTTGCGAGGATGGGAGATCAACCGGGTTTCTCGGTGCCGAATACTCGGAAAGAGCGACAAGTCGGTGAGCAGCAGGGAAAGAGCGATAGTGAACGAGAGTGGTTGGCTCAAGGCTTGTGAGAATTGTGGTCGGTGATCTGCGACCGGCAACGATCTTCTTATATGCTGTACATATATAGACAAGAGAAACTCAAACAACCCTGCCTCGCGTGGCAGACTGCAGTCTGCAACCGACCCAGCCCATCCCCATCGTGAAGCAGGCGAGGCAGGAGCAGGAGAGTCACACATCGAACGCTGGTGGCGGTGGTAGGACAGGGGTCGTAGAACCTGGTCTGAAGACTGAAACCGACCCCTCGATCCCCATCCATGGTGTCGCTGACGAGTTCGTGTGCCAAGCCCATGCGATGCCCCCGAGCCCCTACCTCCCCTACCTCCCCTACATTCGACCTCAAACTGGACTGTTTTGCGAATTGCCCCTTCACTCTTATTACAATCGGAAGGATGCGATTGCGTACCAGGAGATCATTCGACAAGATTTCAGACCATTCCCGAGCCATGTGGTATGGACCATAGTAAATCGCTTTGATGCGCCCTCGACGGCGCGGGTGCGGCCGCGCTGCGCTTCAGTGCTGGTATCCGGATGAAACACCATCCTGCGCATCACCCTCAGGATCGTCGAGGACCAGGTCAGCTACAGTCATGGCTCTGTCGTTCATTCTCGAAGCCTTCCCTACTCACATGTGCGCCCTCGGCGCCGTGGACGTTAGAGGATCTGCGACCAGGATAACAGACTTCGGACTTGTTACCTGGTTGTTACAGCTCACCAACCAACCCGTACGGAAACCAGGTCGTCGAGCGCTGCCTCCCGTGCTCGTGCTCGTCGGGTCATCTGATGTCAGCTTCCGAGTCACACGTCTGAGCTAGCTAGTTTATCAACGGAGACTTCCATCTCGCGGATGTCATCCGATATCGTTAGACAGACGCAGCTGGACACGGGGTTGGACCCATCTCGTTCGTCTCATCGTGGAGAAGAACGCCAGGCGACTACCCGCACCACAGCTGCAACTCATTGCGAGGCCTCTTTCGGCCATGCCCACATGCAGTCAGCAGCCGGTAGCGGCGTATCAGATATTGTAGCGCAAGCTGTGAAGACTGGTTTTTTCCTTTCCCGGTGGAACGTCCCATCTTCGTGTCCCTTTGCCCCGAGTACCAAGGCGTAGGTATCCAATCATCATCCTATCGGAATTGGGCTGATTACCCAGGAAGCTGGTCGACACCGCACGATGTGATGCGATCTGCACTGGCCGCGGCCGTCTCAGTGGATGTGTTGGATTGATTGGTTGGGGGTCTGAGCCTGACTACAGCAGTCGCCACCACACGATTCTTGAGAACGACATCGTCTCAGGTCTCCGATCGCGAATACAACTTATGGCATCGTCTGAGCACAGCTGAGCTCCGATGGTAATGAGTGGGGCTGTGTTGGGTGTGCTTCGCTGCGTTACTCCTGCGCTTGACCATTGTCCAACCCCCTCCCCCTTTTCTGGAAGAGGCTCCTTTTAGGCGGAAAGACATCAAGGCAGCCACACCAAATCCTTTTGAGGAAAGAATGGCGAGCAGTTACCTCAAGTATCGGAGTCCCATCATGAGAGAGGCAAGAGGTCCTACTCAGAGCCATGCCGAGGTTGGTTTCACACCCCTTGCTTGACTCTCCTAAGGAAGAGACGAAAACTTGGCCGCCACCCAAAGCAAGTGTGGCACTAATCGCTCGCACAAATGCGCGTCTAGCATATCGTGATGACGTTCTATTTCTCGTCCATTCTGGCCGTGAAACTCAAGTTTATCAAGGAAGCCTCATTCTCAGCTCAACAAATCTCCCTGAGCACGGGAGGCCTTATCTGCCGAAGCACTTTCTTTGTTAGGATGAGACTAATCGGGGCATCGTGGCTATTCTGAGCTCCTGATGCTCGGGCACTGGGAGTGATCGACCAATGGGCGCCCCTATATACGATTATAGCAGGGCTTGTCTTAGAAGCCCAGAGGAATAGGGGCCTCGATTACTATTACTCATGTGCACTGTTCCTTTGATACCGTGCATTACTGCTTCTGAAATTCCGGCGGCTGTTACAAAATAGAGCATGTGACGCGTCCAGAATCTCCCAGGATTAAGTTGCAATACTTGACGTTCCAACATGACATTCGCTAAGGAAGAGCCAGTTGGTGTTCTTTGCTTCATTCCGGAAAGCTAAAGTAATGGTACAGCGATATGCTACTGGGATCGAAGCTGGAAGAACTCTGTCTTTATAGTATGTAGTCCAGACCAGAGAGAAATAATGCTTGGATGGGTTACACCTGCTGGGAACAAGCACAAGCTCCTAAGTTTGTGAACGTTTAGCCATTGCGCGCACTGCAAGAAGTTCACGAGTCACACTACAAGGACAACTAGAAGTCAGAAGCCAGGATTAAAGGGGGCTGCGCGTGTTGTGAATATCCTATAGCGTGGCCTTCTATCGCGTGCAGCCCTATAGCAGTGTCTAAGCATGTTATGATATCCAACACTACCAGCACCATACATCGTCCGCCGCCGATCGGGTATATACTAGTGAGGGTTATATCCTAAGAGGTAGCATGGCTTGCCTGCCATTCCTCCCTTATAGAGCTGGCGTCATGTACATCTCAGTGCTCACCCTGAGGGTGTTTTGAATGTTGAGCCTTGAGTCTTTTGATTAGAGTATCTACTAGAGGAACGCCGTCTCCAAAAGGGGCACAAACCTCAGTACTCACCCGCCTCCTGAATGGCTTGCTCAGCGAAGTGCCCGGACTCGGCGACTCGCGCCTTCCACAGCTTCGTCGTCTCTAAAACCACCACCCAGATGACTCGCACCATAGGTACCCAATCTGGTCCAGAGTCTAGTGCAGAGCCCTATAGCTCACATGGTATACTGTGTGGAAACTCTTTCAATAGGAGAGTGAGTGTCCGTTGACAAGCCCAGAGCACGGACCACCGTGAGCATCCAATCATCTCTATGACCACGCTAGCGCCTGCTAGCGTCCGCAGCAGCTGGCCATCAGCTGCTATAGCTCTCGCACGGACCACTCATTCCTCAACTGAACAACAGACTGCACTATCCTCTGCAACTTCAATGGCAGCTTCACAGCATCTTTCTCTTGTCGCCCCAGGCATCAAGATGGATAGAAGTAGGGTTTCGTAGCCCTTGATTGAAAACGCCGATTGCTATCTCTTCAAATTGTTCGCTCACCAATGTGCATGGGGTTTCTTCTCCCGACCATCAACGCAACAACCTCCATCTCCCCTCCGCCTTTGGCATCAGCTGTTCCAAACCCAATCTTTCCTCCTCCCCATGGTCAATCGTCACAGAGACAACACGCCCTGCTGGTTTCAAAGCAGAAGCACATTATCCATCATTCTCCAGGACACTTGTGACCACCGGACTCGCCAGGCTGCTCTTCTACGCGGATGCTCTGATCGACAATCCACTTGAGCTTCTATTCACTCGAAACGCCGCCTACGGACCAGGAATAGCGCTTGGTCGAGGCAGCCCATCAAGACCGAGTCTTCTTACAAACTCAGATTAAATCACACGGCGACAAGATTCGCAGTCGCTGGAGAAAGCTGAGCCGGGACAAACGCGACACGGTGCTCTCGCAGGCCGACCCCGACATGCAGCAAAACCGATGGGACTACATACCTTCTCCAGAGCAGCACTCTTTATTCGAACTCAAATACAACAGTGAACTCCAGCTTGGATCACCCACCACTTAGACATCCGGTACACATGCAAGCGGAAGGCACCTGCTCAACTGACAGGTACAGAACCCACAATCGCATTTCCTGCCTCCCACTGAAGCAAGGATCACTGGAAACATACACACATACAGATCACGACAGTCCCAATTGTGCCATACAAGCCACACTCAGGTTACTGGTTGTCTGTTACTTCTCACAAACAACATAACCAGACAACACACTCCATAACACAATCACGGGTTGTAGACAGCGGTCGTAGTACACATATACCAATTTCGGCACACCCTAGCCACAAACAACAACACATTAGCTCTTGATATACATCAACCCAATATCATTGAACTCGAACCCACAGCAAAGCAGACCTTGAAGCCACAATCAAAAGCCACGGTTAACAGCCACAGACAGCCACAGATCAAATCTGAGGCTACATCACGGAAATCCCAGGCTGAAAAGTGGATCTCAAGGCCCATTTGCAAGCCGAAGATCAGGCGGACCCGCCTCCCGTACCGTACCTTGCAACCTTGCACCTAGAACAGCTGGAGCTCTGACGCTCTGCCTGAGCTTCTCTTTTCCACCACAGCTTCCCATCAAGTAAGTTCGGTCACCACGCCCTTGCTGTCGTTGGGAGTATGCGACTATTTTCTTCTTCTTTTTCTTGACCTACATTTTGTCCTTCTACATCATCCCATCCTCCACCCTCACTCCCGATTCTCAAGGCTGCCGTAGGTAGCAAGGAGGGGTCAGTCTTGCACCTCCTTCGTTTCGATGCCCGTTGCTAGGTGCCGGAAGGGTGCATTACCAGAGTATGATAGGGGACCTTTTGGCTAACCGACCTGTCCTCCTATAGATCAAACACCATGTCGGACACTCACCACGACGAGCGCGACGAGCGCGACGAGCGCGACGAGCATGACGAGCATGACGTGCGCGACGTCGCTGGTGAAGATCCCGTCGTCTCGGAGGAGGGCAACGACGAGGTGCGCTGCCCCTACTGGTTCTACCAGTTTCATTGGATGCCTCGAACGCCTACAGAGGTCGACATGATCTGTGCGACTAACCCATATTGCCTTCTCAAACAGGAAGAGATCTCGGCCATGAAACGACGAGTTGCCGAGATGGAGGAGGAAGCAGCCAAGCTTCGCGAGATGCACGCGGCTCTGGAGAAGAACCAGGAGGAGGCCTCGGATGATCGCGGTGACATTGACAGTCGCAGTATCTTTGTTGGCAACGTCGATTACTCGGCGTCGCCTGAGGACATCCAGGCTCACTTTCAGAGCTGCGGATCCATCAACCGCGTCACTATCCTACTCGACAAGTTCACTGGTCAGCCCAAGGGGTAAGTAGTGGATTCCTTTGGTCATGTTGCTCGCAAGTAGATCCATGCTGACTATGTCCCTATAGCTACGCCTACGTCGAGTTCACCGAACCCAGCCTTGTCGCACAAGCTCTCGTCCTGAACGAGAGCGAGCTCAAGGGCCGCGCCATTAAGGTAACACCCAAGCGCACCAACATCCCGGGTATGAGCCGCACACGCGGACGAGGTCGGGGCGGAAGAGGCTCCTTTGGCGGAAGAGGTGGTTACGTGCCGCGAGGCGGATACCGAGGTGGATATCGGGGCAGAGGTACTAGAGGCGGATTCTCCCCTTACTAACTAAGGTGCGATGAGCCTACTCCGTACCGGTCCATACATCGACACGTATCTCGACCGGCAGGAAGTGTAACATCTACAAAATTTGGGTGGAAGGTTCGCCAGACCTGAGCTATTTTTGCCAAGTGGCATGATATAGGCTCTATTTGCAGCATTTCTTCGAGGGTTGGACGGTCCTCCAGACACTCATATTGTGGTCCGCCATTTCCCAACTGGATTCAACTACTGGTCGGCTCTCGCACTCCGTAGCTGGTGGATCAGCTTCCCGACTTGACATGGCCGGAAACGATTCTTCAGGCTTGCGTCTAACTCGGTTAGTTGGGCCAAAGGAAACGTCCGGAAAAACGGTCTGGAGTTTCGAAAAAGTACAGGACCTATCGCATCGCATCAGAGATTTACGAGGGTTACTCCTAGTCCATCATCCTGCCTGCTACCTTGGGCGTCCACTTTTGGACCTCATGAAGTGGGCATCGAGACAAAACATAAAGGATGGAGGTTGCATTGCGGCGAGTCGTGCGCACAGAGGACGGGCAAGTTCATTCTTGCTGCAGGGAGATGGTATGGAGGATGCTCGACTTGACTCCGTCTACATCTCAGTCCATCTCCGATGCCTAGACAGTGCAACTTGAGGCCCTCGACGCGCCTCCCCTGAAGCTGTTGCTGATGGGGGACGAGGCCGACTTGCATAGCAGGTGTGCTTCGTGCACTTTGGGGATCAAATTAAATCCAATAGACAGTTATGACGATCAACCTGGATGCAATGAAATGACTGGGTTCTTGCAAGTGTGATGCATGTGAAGTGCCACCACCCTCTACTGTTGAATGCTCCGATATATGAGGCGACATGCTGTGCTAATCACCTGGCTTGCGGTGCATGAACGAGCCGTGTTACTCACAGCACTTGCTGTGCCTCTTCGAATCTCAGAGTGTAAGACAGCATTGGCTAAGTTAGGTACTGTAGCTCCTTGATTCCTCAGAATCCTACGAGGAACATGAACCACATTGTCACCTATTCAAGACGACTGGCAATGGTGTAGGTCAGTAACCTCCTAAATCGGTTTCCCATGTTTCGTTTTCATCGACATGCCAACGGCAACAATGGGCCGAGAGCGGGTAGCGGCAAGATCCCGCTCTCTCCGTGCTTGACGGACACAAATCAATGCATCCAGGCCAACGAGGGTTCTCGATTTGCATGGTTCAGGGGCTTTGTCCTGTAGGTACGTTGTGTACCTACCTGTTGGTGAGTATGGCACAATAATCGTTAGGCTAGGGGAGTACAGCATCTTGACAGCGCGTAGGTAGGTGAGCTGAGGCGAGTGAGTGAGCTGTGTTGGAGGCCGCTGAAGTGAGCTGAATCGAGTCCCTTTTCCCGCTTCACAGCCTCCTTCGTCCACGCGTCGCTGGGGATGCGAATCGTAATCGAGATTCGTACCTGAGTGGCTTGTTTACATACGTAATAATAAGACGGTTAGAAGTTACAGTGTGAAGGTACTGGTTTGTGGACCACTCTGTACATTATGATGTCATGAGGTAATACCGTAAGTCATGGTGAAGTTGCATATATCCTTGGATCGCAAGGACCGTACCAAGATGTAGGTATCTTCAAATCGTCCTTCAGTTCGAGGTTGGTGATAGCAGTCCGGCAGTTCGGCAGACGGCGGAGTGGATACTGAACATCGAGAAGATGCGCAGGTTTCTGGACTGGACTGTGAGGCAGGCTGCGGTCGGGGGCTGTGCACAGCCTCAGCGCCAGGTGATTGGACGGTGGACAGCACCTGGCGAGGGCCCCTGGCAGTGAATCGCCTGCCTTCCATTGAAGTCGCCTCCTGCCCGCTCCCATTTGGCATTTGCCCGTTTCCAGTGCTGTCATTTGCTGATACAACCGCCCGAGCGGCCATCTTGCTGGATCCTGCTGCGACGGGACTACCCACTAAACCTCCACCTAGATCACCCGCTACCTATGTGTACCAGACGAACCTTCAACCTTACCACTCTCCTGCAGCTCCTCTCGCCATCACCATCACGAGTCCTATCGAGCCCCATCCCGGTCCGAGGGCAGCGAAAAGCAAAACAAAGGAATATCGATTGAAGCATCCGTATTTTGCTTGCCCACCGAGTGTCGTCGCTCACCGATCGAGCCACCCGCAGCCGAACCCCTCCTCGCCTGACTGCAGAGAGGTGGGAGAGATCAGGTCAGCTAGCGACTGCGAAGAGAGTCGACATCCTCGCCATGGCTTCCAACCGCTCAGATACTGGCTCATCGGCGTGAGTACCACTTATATCAATCTATCCGTTCCGTTGAGGCTCCAGAGACGACAGAGACTGACCATAGAACCGCGGTCCTACAGCCAGCCTAACCTGCGATTGACCAGTGCGTCCAAGTCCTAGCCCCTCCCTCAAGTGCCGTCATGACGACAGGACCATTGTCCATACTGATACTTCCTGACAGTCATTGCCGCCGATGGTTTATACAAGCGAGATGTCTTCCGTACGTTGCGCCCTATGCCTGATCATTCCGATCGCTCGTCTGTTAATGCTTCGAACAGGTCTGCCTGATCCCTTCGCCGTGGCTACCATCAACGGCGAACAGACCAAGACCACCCAGGTCTCGAAACGAACCCTCAATCCGTATTGGAACGAGAGCTTTGACTTGTACGCACCCGCATATACGCTTCTGGTGCCATAATACTCATCAGATTCTAGTCGAGCAACCGAGGATAGCATCATAGCGGTACAGGTTTTTGACCAGAAGAAGTTCAAGAAGAAGGACCAGGGCTTTCTGGGTGTTATCAACATCCGCATTGGCGATGTGACCGAGTTGGCAGAAGGCGCAGATGGTACGACTTGAAACTTGTGTCATGTGGATCGAGCAAGTTTCTGGCTTTCGTGGCTAACTATGTGTTTCCTTGTTAGACCAGATGCTCACGCGTGACCTTAAGAAGTCAACCGACAACCTTGTCGTCCATGGCAAGCTTATTATCAACCTATCTACTAACCTCACCACCCCCGCGCGCCCTCAGCAACCACCATCCGCAAACTCCAGCCGTCCCTCTTTGGCCCCTCAGGCATCCGCGCTCAGTACCGACCGTCTTTCGGAACGACCGACTTCATCTGCTTCGGGTTTGACTGGTCCTGCCCCAGGAGCGCAAACCACCCTGCCGATGCGACCCAACGGAGCAAATGCACCCCCAGCTATTGGGAACCCGTCCCAGGCCCGACCTAACACCCAGATGAGCCCCTTTGAGGATGCACAGGGTCGTTTACCCGCCGGCTGGGAACGGCGGGAAGACAACTTGGGTAGGACCTACTATGTAGACCACAACACTCGTACCACAAGCTGGAACCGCCCGACGCAGTCTGGCTCCACCACGGAGGCTCGTGGGGAGAGAGAGGCGGCCACCCAAGTCGAGCGCCAGCGGCATCAAAACAGAACTCTGCCAGAGGACCGCACAGGTGCTAATTCCCCCTCAAATCCCGCGCAGCAGCCACCACCAGCGGCAAATGCCCAGTCGAGCGCCACCCCCGGGGGTACCACGATGCACACCGGTGCTACGAGTCCTGGTACTGGTGAGCTTCCTCCGGGCTGGGAACAACGGTGGACGCCGGAATCACGTCCGTACTTTGTTGACCACAACACCCGCACCACGACTTGGGTAGACCCTAGGCGACAGCAATACATACGGATGTATGGTGGTCAGAACAATGCCAACGGAACGATCCAGCAGCAGCCTGTGTCACAGTTGGGCCCCTTACCTAGCGGTTGGGAGATGCGCCTCACCAACACAGCTCGTGTGTACTTCGTGGATCACAACACCAAGACCACTACTTGGGATGACCCACGGCTCCCGTCTTCTCTAGACCAGAACGTGCCGCAGTACAAGCGAGATTTCCGCCGGAAGCTCATTTACTTCCGGTCTCAGCCTGCTATGCGCATTCTCTCTGGGCAGTGCCATATCAAGGTGCGAAGATCTCACATCTTTGAAGATTCGTTCGCGGAAATCTCGAGGCAGTCGGCGACGGATTTGAAGAAACGCCTGATGATCAAATTCGATGGCGAAGACGGTCTTGACTACGGAGGTCTTTCCAGAGAGTTCTTCTTCCTCTTGTCACATGAGATGTTTAACCCGTTCTACTGCCTCTTCGAATACTCCGCTCACGACAACTACACCCTCCAAATCAATCCGCACTCGGGTATCAACCCCGAGCATCTAAACTACTTCAAGTTCATTGGTCGTGTGGTTGGTCTAGCTATCTTCCATCGACGATTCCTTGATGCCTTCTTCATTGGCGCTCTTTACAAGATGATGCTCGGCAAAGCCGTCTGCCTAGCTGATATGGAGGGTGTGGACGCAGACTTCCACCGAAGTTTGCAGTGGATGCTCGACAACGATATCTCAGGCGGCATCCTTGAACAAACGTTCTCTACCGAAGATGAGCGGTTCGGTGTTCTGCACGTGGAGGATCTTATTCCTGGCGGACGTGACATCGACGTTACCAATGACAACAAGAAGGAATACGTTGACCTCATGGTCAAATGGCGCATCGAGAAGCGCATTGCAGAACAATTCCAGGCCTTCAAGGACGGTTTCCACGAGCTCATCCCCTCGGACCTCGTCAACGTGTTCGACGAACGCGAGTTGGAGCTGCTCATTGGAGGTATCGCCGAAATTGATGTGGATGACTGGAAGAAGCACACGGATTACCGCGGATATACAGAAAGCGACGAAGTCGTTCAGTTCTTCTGGCAAACAGTCCGAGGCTGGGATGGCGAACAGAAGAGCAGATTACTACAGTTCACGACGGGAACCTCGAGAATACCGGTTAATGGGTTCAAGGATTTGCAAGGCAGTGATGGCCCAAGAAGGTTTACGATCGAGAAGGCTGGAGAGCTTGGTAATTTGCCCAAGGCCCATACTTGGTAAGTGGTCCAGATCAGCCCCACGCGGTCCACCTGTTACAGAGCCGTCTAACATTTCCCAACAGTTTCAACCGTTTGGATCTCCCGGCATACAAGTCCCTGGAGCAGTTGCAACAAAAGCTGACCATAGCGGTCGAGGAGACAATGGGCTTTGGCCAAGAGTAGAGGTTTATTTTGGTGTTTTCTCACACAACCTGGCTGGAGTTGGTACTGTTGCAACTGTATATAGACGAATGTTGATGCTCCTTCTGGCAGAGCATGTTCGTTGGGACGGAATATCACAATATCGTGTTCGTTTCTTTGGCCTGCTTTTTCCCTTTCTCTGTCTACTCGGTCAGAGATGACTCCGCTCCGGTAATTATGCATCCAAACACGGATGCTAATATCACACAGCCTCCGCAGTCTGGGCTAGAACCACAGCTGTCGTGGAAGCAAGCCCGCATCATAAGGGGAAGGGGTCCTTACACAGGGGAAGGGGTCCTCAAGGACAGACGGGGGCCAGGCACATCTCATTCGTTTTGATACTACCTAGGACCTCTGTGGTACGAGCATGTATGGAAACACAACACAACATCAATATCGTCATTGAGCAGAGACAAAAATTTGAACTATGCTCGTATATGGGCCACCATGATAGTCCTTGTCATGGTCACGGTCACGGTCATGGTCTTGGTCTTGGTGAAGTATGCCCATACAAGTAATGAGAATGGAAAGCCTGGGTGTTGTGAGTGTTGTGACTGACTGACTGGATGGACTGAACTGCTGATGTTGGCAGTTAGTCAGTCGTATGTCTGTTTGCATGTAGAGTGTTATTCGTGTCGTGTCGTGTCGTGTCGTGTCGTGTTGTGTCGTGTCGTGTCGTGTCGTGTCGTGTCCAGTAAGTTAGGGAGGGCATTGTTTTCCAGCACACTAACGGCGAATATTGTGGTCCATTATGATATTGAAAGCACACAGACAGTTTAGAAACCTGCCTCGCTTGTTAGGCATTGAAGGGGAAGCTATGTAGATATTTGCCTGTCATTATCACAATTTACCGGGCATTCACACTGACTTTGTCTGATCGGCGGTAGCTGACCTGACCTGACCTGAGGTTAGCAGACAGGGCGAGGGCGGTAAGGCCATGCGGGACATGTTTGAACAGGTGAGAGAGGATCTTGCGGACATATCTACCTAGGCAAGCATGTAAGGAGGAAGGCAGAAAGGCAGATAGGCAAAAGGAAATAAAGAGAGGGAGGAGTTGTTGTTCTGCTCACAAAAACCCAGAGAGGATCAGACCTGATGTGAGCAGTCCGAGGTGTACGCACCTTACCACTTATGCACGGAAGACCTTGTACTTTTGATTCAAGGTATCCTGTTGGGTAGACGGCTGTATGTACGTGGCCAAGAGATTTCCGGTTTCGAAGCTATTGCATACATGTACAGGCAAGGCGCAGGCCACAGGTATCACACCATGCAGAGCATAAGATACCCAACTGAGAAATAATTGGCAGGCAGAGAGTCGTCTTAACGGCTATGACATATCGGCATATTACTCTGTTCATGATATGTAGTTGCCACGTAATAAATAATAATAGGTAGGCATCATCACGAACCCAACCAACCATACAATATGGCACGCGTGCCAGCTGAGAAAGAACCCAGACATCCCCGTCAAAATGACACGAGAAGTACATACAGTCAAGAGCGGCATTGCAATTGGATAACCATGTTTCTCATAATCAAATTTGTACAATTGGTGGTGTCGGTGCTTGTTGTGACAGGAGTTACAGATATACAGAGAAACGGAGACACGCTCATCTATCTTCCGTCGTCGCGTCCGCGATCGTCACTGTGTCAAGTGCTTTCCCCCCTCTTCCTGCTAGTGTTGACATCGCTGGCTGTTGCTCCTCCGAGCTCGCGGCTAATAAAAATAACGTATGTTGAAACACGGACCGCTACCGCTGCCGCCGGTGGCTCTCTCTTCTGACCAGCAGCCAGCTTCCATTCTATCCTCTACAAGCAGCCAGGCTTCGAATTGGTCTCTCCCAGGCCAGCCAACGCCCCCGGAACTCCCATTCCGAAGCTCAGGCCGGACAACGATTCCCATGGATGGCGCTCATGAGCCGTAGAATCGAACCAGCTCTTCGGGAGACGTCCAGGATATGTGATAAGCGTGTAATAAAAGGTGTAAGGGTAAAAGTCGGTCTCCCAAGAATCCAACGTAATCCAACCATGATAATGTGTAGCCCCTCGAGTCAGGGGCTCTTCCACTGAAGACCTGGTATACGGCAGCCAGATTGTGATCTTCTGGGTGCTGTAGACCGCGATGTGGTAGATGAACGCATCAGTGCGGTGTTTCACTGCCCATGTTCACGGTCATGTCATTTCTTCCCGTTTCCCTTGTTCTTAACGGGACCTACGAAAGTGACATGCTTACTGTCATCTTCGCCGAACCGCACTGTCGTCTCGGCACCTGCGCCACTCGAGCCATGATGCCGAAGACCCTGAGCACCGGGATGATCCATTTCCAGGTCAACCTCATCAACAGTGGAGAGGGACTGAGCACCTATGCTGTCGCCCATCTCCGAGTCGGAATCTGCCGAGTCATCGTATTCGCCATCGTCGCTAACAAGTGATGGTGCATTGTTGCTGACGGCAGTATTTGGGCTTAGGTCTGCGCGGTCCAACATGTCCGCGTCCATGAGTATCTCGGGTTCGGGACCAGACGCGACTCGTGGGGTCGGGGTTGGCACGGGTGTAGCATAAGGTGCAAGAGGTGTTGGACCTTTGCTACTACTCGGGCGAGCTATGCTCACAGCTGGTGACATCGTGGCTCTAGCAGGAACGCGCATCCTCACAGCGTGAGACTGGGCCTGGTCGCCAGTGGAACTAGCATCAACTACCCCAGACGTATCACCGTCTTCTTCCTCGTCGTCGTCGAGGGAAGAGAATTGAGCAAGGTCTACCTTGGTCTTAGCATCACTGAGCGACGCTCCCAGATTGCCGTTGAAACCTCGGCTTTGCAGTAGACGGGACAGGTGAGGCGAGTCAGGCGATGCAGAGAACGTTGGCGGCGGTTTGACCACCGGCCGAGGTCTTGACGCCGCTTGTGAGACAGGTGACGATGCATTGCCAGGCAGTTGACCCTTCTTGTACAGCTCCATCGACTGCTGGATGCGACGCACAACAGAAAAGCAAGCTTCCGACTCGGCCATGGCGTTCGCGTGTACGAACGGATGGACAAGACCGGAAGGGAGAGCACTGTGGGTACCGGGCTTCTCCTCGCCTACTATTCCACCATTATCGGTGACTTCGATTTCGTGACCACAATGAACGGCCGCTTCCTCGTGACTCTTGAAGTCTCGCTTGTGTGCTATACGGCAATGGTTGATGAACCCCTGTGTGCTGGAGAAGTTTTCGCGATGGCAGTCAATGCAGACAAGTTTCACTGTCTTGCCATCGGATCGCTTCAACACGCAAGGGCCATTCTTATCCTTGGGCGGAGCGTAGCCACTTGAGAGAGATTGGAGCTTCTGACCTGCCGTCCCTCTTACCGGCCTACCCTTGCTTTGCGATGCAGTGAAGTCGGTGAAACTATTCCTCGTCGATCTACCGTCCATCGAAGTCCTCAACCGCGTCCCATCAGAAGAGTGCGCCAGAATGCCAGGCTGAATGCCGTCGAACTTGGGATCTGGTATGAGCCACTTGGCATAGTGCCGGGCATACGGGCCGTCGGTGACACCAAACGGCGGAGCCCACTGAGGCAGCTTATCACCCAGCTTTGGTTGCAGTGCCGGGCCAGACCCGTTAGTGATGTTCAGCATCTGCTCAGGCGTGGGAACGTTGACTGGATACGGTATCAGGTGACACCTGCGTAGCTGCTCCAAAGCGACCTGACACTTGGCAAGTTCCTGGTTAATGAGTCGCAGCTCATCATGTTTCAGTAGTATCTCGAGACTGAACTGTTGCTCGATAGCGTCCCTCGCTCGCTCCATGTCGGGTTTTGGCGACGTTGACAGCGATGCGCCGGCTTCTGTCACCGGCGACGGCTTTGCCTTTTTGAGCGGCGTGGGGCGGTCACGATCGTTGTCGTCATCACTTGTCCTCGGCTGCTTCAGCGCAGGAGAAATAGTAGCTGGTTGCGACGTTATCGCGGCGTTGCTCTCCCTTCGTCGCTTCAAAGGTCTGGGCGACGACGTGGCAAAAACAGGTTGTGACCAAGGTGATAACTGTTTGCCGAAATTGAGCATGCGCTGGCCAACGTGCACAGTCTGGTCGCTTCCCCTGTGATCTGGTCTGCAGGAATGAAGCATTTGCATAGACGACCGACGAGAGTAGGCAGGGCGAAAGTGAAGTTGACAAGAGAGCCACGGACGCAGTGGACGTTGGTGGTTTGACGGTCAGTCGAGGGTGGACCGGGGTTGATTGATCACAGGTGGTCGCGGCGCGCCGGGAAGTCCAGACCCAAATCAATACCAAGACCAGGATGGACAAGTAGGTATGAAAGGGGGAAGGGAAAGAAAGTGCGTCGTGTCAGGCAGACGTGCGACGCCGAATAGAAGGGAAGGCGAGGCAAGGCTGACGTAACTGACTGGTGGACAGACAGGCAGGCGCTTTGGAATGTGTTGTCCGATCTGGGGGCGATGCGACGACTTTTGGTGAGATTGAGTCCTAGCCACAGGCAGCTCGTATTGGCGCAGTCCAATTGTGCCAGTGCCAGTGTCGGCGATGGAGGAAAGGGGGAAACCCGGCGGGCAGTGGGCTAACGTTATTGCTGATGTGGCCACCGTCGATTTGTCAAAAGGCTCAAAGCCAACCGAAACTTAGTCTGAGTCAGGTCCGGCAGGGAACTGGGCGTCTGCGACTACCTGCTGGCAGCGCACGGCACCAGAGGCAAAAGGAATGCGCAATGCGCGCGACGGCCGGAAGGGAGCCAGAGCGATGCAGCAGCCGGGCCCAGTATGATGAGCAGGTTGGAAAGCAAGGGGCAGTGCAATGCAAGTCGCACTCAACTTGTGATCCTTTGCGCGTGCGTGAAGTTGATTAAAATATATATAGTAGCAGTAGCACGCAAGGTAGAGAGAGTGAGAGATGTATTCGTGAGTTGCGACCGGCGACAAGTTGGAGGTGTTGTGTTGATTGATTGTTTCTCGAAGGGGGCGAATCAAAAGGACAGACAATCAATCAATAACGGGTAACGGGGAGCAGCGTGTGGTATTGTAGTACCGTGAGTGTATTAGAATGGGCGCGTATATCGTCTGTCTCTCTCTTCGTATCTCTCGGTCGGCGAGATGCGAATGATGGAGGGACAGAAGGACGATGCGATGCGATGCGATGCGATGCGATGCGCGCAAGTGTGATGCAACAAGGCCCCAGTGAATGGGAGAACCGAACAGAAGAATGCGCAACGTCAGGTAGGCTGGGCAGTGTGGGCAGGCAGGCAGGCAGGCAGCCAAAGGAATGCGTGGAAGTGTATATACGTTATTAATAGAATATAGTAGGGGACGAATCGCGAGGCTCGCTGGTGCAGTCAGGCAGGCAGGACTGATAAAGGCTCTTTTGCTGTTGTTGTAATGATGTAGAAAAGGCGGCCGTCGAGGTGTGAAAGTGCACGAGTGTTTTCGGGGGGGATTGATGCTTGGATTGCTGGATGGGTGGGATCGATGCGATTGCGCAAGGATTGATGATGAGTGGCAGCCACCAGGGTACCTACCAGGTACCTATTCACAGGCTCATTATCTCACAACAGTGCTGCCCTCTGTGAGTTTGGATGCCGAGCGATGGCTTATGATTGCTTGATTGTTTTACCACCCGACCGACCGACCGACCCCCTTGTCGCATTCACCACCCACCCGTCGTTTGGGGTGGAGAGTGGGAAATCAATGGGAGATGGTGGCAGACGCTTGTTCCAGCTTTTGGGAGGCCTGCTGGATGCATGTACCCTGTCGCCTGCAGTATGCTGTAAGGGGTACATTGACGATCAATAGTGGCGCCCGACACGGTTTTGAATCCATCGAATTGATTGCTGAGATAGATCATAGACCTAAAATTGACGCCGTCGAATGAGTCGCGCGGCCTTGAGGCTTGCACAAGTGTAGTTGCTCGTACAATTACGAGATCTTGTTCTATTATCAGCGCTGTTACCGCGGCTTACACGGGATGAGCCTGCCTCAATACTGCAAGTCTTCCAAACATGGAGGAGGATCAAGGCGCGAGGAATGCGACGATGAGCCTTGAGAAAGTACTTTGACAGTACCTTAGCTATTGGCATGTAGGATCAGGATTTGTGTGGATGCTGCGAATCTCACCCAGTCTTGTCACTTGATGAAGCTGACAGGTCACAGATATACGGGGGTGACTTCCACTACTTTATCTCCCTCTTGATAAGCTGTGAGATACTCCATGGTAGCGCGCCCTCTCATTGATAGTTGGATTCACTGACCCCTTTATCGATCTATCAGATATATCCAGCTTCATGCTGGCGGATGTTTCCTCAACGTCTGCGATAACAACAATAAAACAGCCTCGGTACCATGTACATTGCGTCTCGTGTAAGGCTTCCCTTTACATGATGTGCCGGCATGTGTATTGTCAATGCGCCCCAGCATGATACCTCGGAAAACAATACTCGGACATGTCCGCCTAGCATGGACGTCGAAAGCGAGGTTAACGCGCTTAGTGTATTAACACCGTTGTTGATGTTACGTACATTACCGTTCTTTTACGAGTCGAGCATGTGGTCCAAATTTGCTCAATACAACAAATGTATAGACCTGGATGGCACATCTCTGCCTACAACATGGCAAACAGACCGCTCTGGCCAGAATAGGTGGATGTCAATAACGAAAACCAGCGCATAGACAAAAGTCGTCAGTTGTGGCACATATGGCTTAAAAATAAATATTCCGAGGTCAACGTACCCCAATAGGAACCGGTGCTTCAAGACAGGTAGGCGACTACTCCAAGACTTCCACTGCGAGGCTTGGAGAGAAGTCTGGCCAGTCGTCATCGTGTTTCCATGTTGTTTCATGCGCTGGGCACGGCACAATGCAGTCCATGCCAATAAAGGCGGCGCATACAGCGCATACACAATATCTGTATCAACCTGCTCTCAAGCGACACGCCATTGATACCGCAATCCATAAGTCCCCAAATATCGCGATATCATCTCACAAGACGTCGCGTCGCAAGACGACCGTGCGTGGAGAGGCTGTTGATAGAGAGGAAAGACCCCTATCCCGAGAGACGCAACGCGAAGAACTCCAGGATACCCGCTAGAGCCTTGGCAGAAGCCCGAGACCCCATGTGGCTGCAGATTGTGCATATTGCGACAGGGATCAGCTGCCGCCGTTTAGCCAATCAGGCGCTCGACGTGTCAGCATGGGGAAGAACCCGCTTGCACGGGCCACCCATCCCATGCCCCAGCAATAAGTGTGTTGGAGCTTGTGTTGAATCTTGATGCGACAACTCGAACACCAGGGCAAGCAGTGACAAAACTGCTGGAGTCACAGAGCTTTTAAGGACTCCTCCCCCTGGTGATAAATGAACCTTTAACCATTTCCTGCTCCTTTGAGCCTTATCGTGAAGCGGGCAGCTCTGGTAGTTTATCGTGACTCACTGACGTCAATCACGTAGGTTAGAATCTCGGAGCTGCAGGTGTGCTGCTTTCGCTTTCACTTCCAACATGCGCCGCGCGTTGTCGATTACGACACGTAACTCGAATCACCGTCTCCTGGGCAAAGGGACCATAACACCATACCAAGCAACATTACAGTTATAGTTCAACAACCTTCGAGGACTTCTTTATTAGGTTATCGCATGCTTTAAGATGCAGGTTGCAGGTAGGTGGTAGCTTCGAAGCCGAGCTTACTTGCATGCGCTATCGATAAGGTAAGACATGCCACGTGAAATTTCCTAGCTGGTGCTCTCATCAGTCACATCCACGAACAGACGGTCAACCATCCGCGACGCAGCAACCTCAACATCACCTTGACCAATCCCAACAACCCGACCGATCTCCCACGTTACCCATGATACCCAATCGCGAACCCAAACTACCGCCATCATGACCGCCCCGAAGCGCAAGCGCACCGACACCGACCCAGCAGCCGCCCCTCCTCCCACCAAGCGACCTTGCCTCACATCCAGCCTCAACCTCGCCTCGGAAGACGACACGCGCGCGCTGGGGGCCGTGGAGACCAACTACGATGTGCAGCTGCAGTCCGTGATATCGTCGTCCAAGATCCAGCAGCGGGTGACTGCCATGCTGCGGCACCTGTCGCCCCCGTCAGATTCGACAACAACACCGCATCATAAGGAGAAGGAGATGGGGATGGGAAAGGAGACGGCGACGGGAAAGACGCGAATATCAGTACTACGCGCAAGGGCGCCCGACGCGGGGAAGCTGATCTCGATCGCCGAGATCGCGAAGCGGGAGCTGGGGAAGCAGGGGGGCGCCGACAGGAAGCAGCAACTGGGCCAAACAGCAGCACCTGAACCAGAACCAGAACCAGCACCACCAACGCCAGCAGCGACACCAAGAGAACCAAGTAGTCGAGAAGCAGGACGCTGGTACCAGTACATCGCGCTCGGCGAGGAGAAGAAAGAAAGACCGCGGGACGAAGGCAAGACGATGATCGTCGAGGAGACGGTGCTAGGTGGCAAGGCCAACGACAACGATGACCACACGCAAGCGCACGAAGACGAAGACGCAGACGGGGACGACTTCGAGGTCATGAAGACGCCGTTTGAGCGGGCCATCGAAGGACGGCCGCTGGTGAGGGGGGTCCCCATCATGAGCCTGTTCCTGTCGCGCGTGCCGGTCGAGGAGCTGCGGAGGCGGTATGGGGAGCAGACGAATGCGCCGCCGATATAGGGCGGGAAGAGGGAAGAGGGAAGAGGAAGGAAAACTCGAAGACGGCTGGCCACGAGTGGGACCCTTCACATGGCAAAAGAGTGAGCACTTGATTCGTACGGATTCATCGCGTTGGCGCATAGGCGTGTCTGGGGCTGATGGTGCTTTTGAGCATTGGACCTCACAAACGAAGGGTCCCAGCTTGGAAGAAGACATCGAGGGCACTATTTGTACCCCGGCAGCCCGAGTTCATGTGGATGAAATAGTCTTAGAACCAGAGTGCGGCACGCACCACGCAAGAGACAGAGCACCTCCAAGCGCCAGTTGCAAGCATGCCAGCAACACAACGAGAACAATGATACCCATTACCGATGCCTTGAGAAAAGGGCTCAACCTGGTGATGCCTATCCTAACAACCATGCAATGCCATATACACAACCCATGTTTCTCCTCGCCAGACATATTCAACACATCGTCCCCCGGCTTGATCATATGTATAGTCCGCCGCCGCCATAGACTCACGGATACTCTGATACCAATCATTGTGTGCCACACGTTGCAAGACGTCCTGCACATCATCCGCACGCGTATATCGTCCAGCGCAATCGAGTCCCCTTACGCGGCATCCGCCCCAGGGACATATCCGGCCATCGTGGCCTATCCTCACCCCTAGTGCTTCCGCCCGCCCTCGGTGCCCGCATACGTCAGCCGCAAGACAAAATTAACCACAACAGCGCACAACAATATAATAGCCAATATGGTAGGCCCAAAGCGGTCGTCGAAGCCGGTCTGCCCGCGCAGGCGGATGGAGCGCGCGCGCCAGTGGTAGGTGCACAGAGCGTAGACCATGGTCAGCATGGCGACGCCCGTGAACAGGAAGGCCGAGATGAAGGCCGGGCGGTCGCCGAAGTTGAGCATGCCGATCGCCAGCGCGCCCAGGATCACCGTGAAGTTGAGCCATGACAGGAACGTGCGCTCGTTGGCGAAGAACACCTTGGGCTCGACGCGCGTTGGGAGCGCTATGCGCTTGCCTGTGCGTTGGGGGAAAGGGCACGGGTCAGTTACATCGTATGTCTGTAGGTTCGGAGGAGGAGGGGAGGGAGGGGTCTTTGGTATGTGATGGGGGTTGTTGTGTGTTTTGGCTTGGTGGTTGCTCACCTGGCGCGGTTTGGAGAAGCGGCTGGCTCGACATTGTGGACTGGTCGTCGTCGATGGTGATCGGTAGGGTAACGATGGTTGAACTCAGTGAGGGAGCTCAATGATTGGCCTCGCTAAGCTTCCCAGGACCGTTGTTTGGCCAATCGCTGTGGTGGATGTCGATGTTTGTTGTGACTGCTGCAGGCGTGAACAGCTGGCGGTGGTATCTCTGCTCGTCGATCGAGTTGTCGGGAACGGCAATGGCTTGCAATGAAGTCGGAAAATGATATACCACAAAAAGACTCAGGGAAGCCAGAAGAGAAGACCGCTGTCGAAAGCGCCTATGACGATGGAAAAAGCTTTAATTGACCATTCGGGACTGGAGAGTACCGGCGTACCTGAAATCGATAAACAAGTTGCCCCGCCCCACGTGGTGCGTTTCGTTGTTGTGAGTGGTTACGGGTGGAGTTGCATGTGGCTTGCCTCGAGATCAAGCCATGCAGCCACAACATGCTATCTACAGCAGAGGACCACATCCTCAGTGAAGCATACATGTACTTGGTGCCCAATGATACGGAAGCTGGTACTGGCCAACGGCCATGATACGATAACTGAGGGCATAGTGTCGGGAAGTTCGATAATTTCTGACCGTCCGGTATAGGGGTTCGTGGTGACAGCGCTCCATGCACCGTCAGGAAGACGATTTTGGTCAACCAGAACCAAACTTCCAAGATTGAAATGTAGAGGAATAAACTTAGTTCATCGGTCAAGTCTGCCTAAAGGCCTCACAAATAATAATACGATACAAGCTTTTTCCATACCTATCTTACTCAGCAAGCCACCGCCATCGAGCCAATTCAAATGTTATTATCCACCCACAAAGCTTGAGACCAGACATTGATGCCTCTATATAAACCCGCCACCCATCCCCCAAGCATGGAATAGTTTCCTCTCCTGTTCCCCATACCTTGTCCCAGCAGCGATGGATGCCCAGTGGCATCCGGAGCTGGTCGAGTCATCACTCTACGAGTTGATGAATGTCCAACGAGGCCGTGCTATCTAGGTCCCCTACTCCCATCTCCCACCCCATCCCCCATCTCCCCACCCAACCTCAACAGATTCAATTTCCTTCTTCGACACCCCGCGCACGGCAGAGAATTCAACGAAAAAAATTGGGTTGTGAAAGCAAAAATTGTGCCAGATGACCAATGGAACTACCACCAAGCAGGGGTTCATGATCTCCCACTTGACTGACAGAGGCGGTCCCAGTGGAGGGGTTCCCCCCAAAGGGAGCGCACGGGAGTTACGTGAAGAAGAAAGGAAGAGAGGGACAGGTTATGGGCGGCGAGACGAGATTAAATACTGGGAGGACTGCGGCCCGTGCACGAAGGTCCTGAAGGCTCGAGGAAGGAAGGAAGGCGACGATGAGAAGGTGGTCCGGCTCTGTGTGGTAAGTTACATAGATGGGGAAGGCACGGCGTGTAGGCGGGGCCAATCAAATTCTGACGATCACAGCAGCACGACAATTCAAGGACGATCGAAGGAAGTCGCAAAGGGTTATCTGGTGGTCGATGGCGATGCGTTGGAATGGGGAATGGGGACTAGGGGAAGCAGGTGGTGACGGGCTCGACGCGAGGGCAGGTGCGCTTTTGTGGGCTGGACTCTGTGGGTTGGCTTGGCTGGTGGAGGGCATCGCGAGGTGAAAGCGAGGAGGACGCAGGTCTGAAGGATGAAGGACTTGGGTACTGTACATGTAGTATTGGGGGGGGGGGGTCGAACTGCAATAAATGGAGTTCAGGGCACTTTCTTCTTCCTCTTGACAACCTGGTGATATGAGTGAGGTTTCAATGGCGTATAAGGACTGGAGTTGCTAGTTCACATCACCCTTGTGGCATCCCTGATAGTCCACGCACACGGCGTTGGTAATATCGGAAAGGGGTTGGAAGTGAGCTTGGCAGCAGGTGGCACTGCTGTTAGAGTCAGTATATACCGTTCCGATAGCCAACTCCCGTAAATGATAATACGATGCTGGACAAGGGCAAACCGTCAGTTGAATTTAGCATATTATAGGCTGCAATGACACGTCCACCAGCTTGTCTCGGGGCGTTCTCCCAAACAAGAGGCTCACCGGTTGTCTGTCCAAACGTTCCATTGTCAGGTTGTCAGTCAATGCCATGCAAAACTGTGTCAAGCTGCCTCCCGGAATATTGAGCCATCTTGTTTGGCCTTGATCAGAACTATTGTTTTCAAGGTTGTACCATTCCTTGCCGTCTTACAAACTACATGTATGCACATAGGTACGCAAGTACGCAATGAGAGCGAGGCAGACATGCGTACATAGGCAGACGAGCAGGACTTGACCGGATGCTTGCTGTTTCTGTGGTTACATTTGACACCACTTAGGATTAGATCACGCGAACCGTTGCCTAGAAGTTTCACAAGAGGACAAGAAAACGTTTGGGAGGACATTGCCTGCCGTCTGAAAGGACTCATTCGGAGCTTCGGTCGGTCTAGAAGCATCGCCTACTTCCTGCTTTGGTTATCCAGTGCTTGCTCCTTCGGCCTTCCCATTTAGTCACGGTCAATGGGCAAGCCTTGTTTACAAACGTATACAAGTAATCCACACCCTGATCAAGGCCACACAAAGTGCCAGTTCGCTGGTGTCACCATCGATTCCACACACTGTCACGACAGTGAATTAAGGTATTTCATAACCAGGTCTATCAATGCAGGTACCTAGACATACGATGACTGGCGACTCGACCAATCTTACACAAAGGCGTATTCGCGTGGCATGCCCGCCTCTAAGCTTCTCACCCAAGACCGTCATGAGTTGCATCATATCCCATTCTCGTCTCAGAAGGGCGCCAGAATCAGTAGGAAACCCTAGAACGCCCTCATAAGCTTATTTTTCTGTATGACCTCTTCCCTTCATCCCTAGTTTTCCACTACAGAAACTGAATATCCTCATTCCTCGTCTTTAGTGGAGCGACCTCTGTCGCTACGGGTGTGGTGAGGGTGGGGGACCCGTGGCAGCGATCTCAGCACCTAGCCGGTAGACGTAGAGGCCACTGGCCGCCCACGCTCGTTGGTCTTGTCATCGCTCTCTTCTGATTCGTCCTCATCGCTTGCTGTGCGGCTCTCTCGGAGGTTACGTCGGCTCTTGGTCATCTGTAACGGTCAGTCAGTCGAGCCCAGCATAGCAAGTCCAGAATAAGTAAGTGACGCACCCAAGACCTAACACCACCGATCAAACCCAGAGTGTAACCAGTCATGAACTCGTTCGAAGCTGGACGCTCGCCAGGTGTGGTTGGCGACTTGGCAGCAGCGGCCATCGCAGCGGCTTCACGCAAGCTAATGTCGCCATTCGGACCTGGGGTGGTTGGAGGTGCGGCAAGGCGTGCGCCTGGAGCCGGGCTCTGGGGGCGGCTCGCCGGCCAGTATTGCTTGAGCTCACGGCTGAGCTCTTGACCGGTCGTGGTCCAGTTCGTGCGGATGTTATCACGCAGGTCCTGAACATGACGCTTCAGGTCCAGCTCGTTCTTCTTCAGCCAGCTAACATTGAGTTCCTGACGAGAAGTTCCTCGCTTGAGCTGACGCGAGATGTACTTCTCGTAGTCGCGAACGATCCTGGTGTAGTCGTTAGCACGCGGAACACGAGTGCAAAAGCCCATGGTAGTCTAGCAATTTTGCTTACTTGGTGATGATGCCTGTTGTGCTCACGCCCTCGGTTCGCTGCGTCACCAGGAACTTGCCCTCCTTCTTGATAGGAGCATAGATGTCGTCACCCTCAGCAGCGCCGTAAGGGAGGTCGTCGTGAGCAACGTAGTCGATCTGGTGTTTCTCGAGGAAATCGGGTGTGACGACCCAAGGGCAGTTCTCAATGACCTCGTCAACCCACTTGCAATGTCTAAGTGTCTCGGCACGCTCAGCGCCTGACAAGACGGTGAGACCCTTTCGCATGTGTGTCTCTTCGTCGCCGGTGACACCGACTAGCAGGTATACGTTGTCGAATGCCTTCTTTGCCTGCTCTAATTGACGCATGTGTCTGTTCCGGATTAAGTCACGTCAGCAATGCCAAGCAGCCAGGGGACTGTCACCAAAGGTTCAGTGCATACCCGAGATGGAACAGATCGAAGACGCCGTCTGCATAGACTCTGACGGTGCGGCCAGCAGGAGGAGGGTTGGTCTGGTATCCAACAGGATGGGTCAGGCGGCCGGTAGGCGGCGGTGGCATGGCAGCCTGCTTCTTGATCTCGTCGTCATCCTGCACGCCGGACTCCTTGAAGACGGCGGGCTTCCTGCTCTTCCTCGTGGCGCGGTCAACAATGTCGATGCTGGCGTCGGTGGTGTCGCTGGGCTCACCGGGGTCGATGGTAGTCTCAAGAGCGGAGGCGCGATCGGAATTGGCGCGTTGGCGTTTGGTGGGATTTGAGGAACCCGTGGTGGCCGAGTCTGCCTTGCGGTGGGTGAGGTCCTCGGTCTCGGGTGCGGTCGTGTCGCCCTCTTCGCCAGACGCATCTCGCGACGAGGGCTGTAGAAGGGGGTTGTCATCCATCACGGCCGAAGTTGCGGTTGTCGGTCGCTTCCGCTTGCCGGCATGGGAGGAGTTGGATGGTGAAGACATGTTGGAGACGGGGTTTGGGTGGGGTCCAAGCTGGAGGTAAGTTCCAAGATAGGTGTCGCGAGGGATCGTGCCTGCTTGCGTTGCCTGCTTGCTTTGCTGGCTGGCGGGCTGGCGGGCTGGCTGAGGTGTCGGTCGCGTCGTCGAGGCAGGAATGACACGTCCAAGGTTCAATCGTCCGCTATCCCTTCCTTGATCGTCCCTGATTGATGAATACTGGCTTCGGGCTGGGTTGATTGGCTTCCGTGTCCTTTACAAACCTGCATTTATTAAGGTTCCTGGCCTGTGGAAACAGGATAACAGGCTCGGGCTCAGGTTGATCGAGATACTGCTCAATGACGTTGGTCCGCGTGGTGACTGGGCCAATAGAGAGGGCAAGGTAGGACAGCTACGTAGGCTTGTACGGTAGGCAGGTAGCTTTTTAGCTTCCGGCTTGTCGTCCTTAGCTGTATCAGACAGACACAACCTTGATGACAGTGGTGGTGATAAGGGACAGCTAGCAGGCTTGGGGGTGGACGAAGAAGTAGGAGCGAAGGTAGCAGTTATATCGATGCACATACATAAATTGTACAATTTGTTTAATTGATTGAGAACCCCGAGGCCAACTTGGGAACAATCCTAAAGGGGGTACAATGAGGCCAATTGTTAATAAGATTGCGGAAATGTCGCCATGGAACGATTGAGAGATGTAGAGGCGGGAGAGACCCCTAAAAATGCCAGGTCTTCAATTCACCATCTCCAAATTTCCATAAATTCCGAAGCTGTTTCCCGTCCCGTCCGTGCTCGATTCCCCCATTCTCAAAGTGGCGTCATCTCGGGAATCCGAGGCCACAGACAGTGACTGTGATCATGTGCATTATGGAAGATATAGTGTGGCTTGTGAATTATCATCGTTTGTGGCGCAGCATTGCTTCATCTACGCGTTCCATGTCATACCATGTATACTTATTGCCCCCGACACCTACCTTACTAACCTACCTACTTCCATACACCTTGATTTGCGATTTGAAAATACCTGATGAGTATGAGTGCTCCGGAGTTTCCTCAATCCGCAGGTGTCACGCGACTGCGAGCCGCTCTCCCACGTACATGCTCCAAAAACATGCAGGACGATCTTCGGCTCCGGTCAATAGGGGTCGCATCCAAGGCATGTCTCTGAGAGGTATCCCGGCAGGCATGAGACGCATGTCACAAGCAGGAAGACACCGTCGTCAACCAGGGCATTTCAACACAAGTCCAGTCCATTTACCAAACTTCGTTCTAGTTCACGATCTATAGAGGTATCCGAAAGCCGCCGCCAGTTCTAAGTCTGAACTCCCAATGCTGTCTATCGTAGAAGTCGTTTCGTGGCGGCCGTTGCAGCCTGCAATGATCATACACTAACTCCGGACTCCGCACCATTGGCCTCCGCGGGTGTCTGCCATTTCAAAGCGAGCATGGGCTTGGTGGAATATTCCCACTCGACCGCGGTGAACTCGCCCGGCGTGACAGGACACGACCGTTTGCGGTCAGACTCGCCCAAACAATCCATCATCTCCGTCTCCTCCGCCGTCTGCTCCTCCCCGAAGCACGCGTTCCGAACCCACGCCCAGCCGGTATCCTACACAAGCCGAACGGTGCGCTGCTGGCGCGTATGTCTGCCGCATCGATGCGGGTGCCGCGGCGAGCTGCGATGACAGAACCCTTTGGCGCCCTCGATGCGCGCCGGCGCGCCAAACTTCTGCGTCACACCACAATACTCGGCCGCGTCGCCGCCCATCCACTCCTTGATGTGGTTGTGCAGCTCGCAGCGCTGCGTGCGGCACTTGCGGCAGTACACCTGGCCGCGCGGCGACAGCATCGCCAGCGAGTTCTGCTTGTTGCTGCTGTTCGCCGCCGTACCGTTGCTGAACACGAACGGCCCCGCGTGCCGCCACACCCACTCCATGTCGTTGGGCCCCTCTCTCCGCGCCCCGAGCGACACCGCGCCGTGCATGTGGTGGTGCACCGCGTAGAAGTGCTTGCTCGTCAGCCCGAGGCACGTGCTGTCGATCGGGTCGAGGTAGTCGAAGATGGCGTAGTGCAGCTCTGGCGGCAGGTCCGGGAGCGTCAACGTCGAGCCGGGCTGGTGCGTGAACGGGATCGGCTCAAAGTCCATAACTGAGTATGACCGCTGTGGCGATGGCATAGACGGCCGCTGGGGCAGGGCTTGGGCGGCTTGGTGGCTTCTGCCCGAGGGGATTCGAGATATTTGAGAGGAAGTATACTTAGGTGCCGTAGGTGTGGAGGTAGGTATCGAGGTGATGGCAGTCTGGTTTTGGAGTTGGAAATATGAGTCTGCCTCGGGATTCGACTGCTCCCGTGGACTCGGAGAGGGCGTCAGTAGACGTTGTTGGGTCTGGATCGCACGCGAGACAGGAGCGGCCGGGAATTGAGACTCGGTCACACTGAGGGCACGCCGAGGTGCACGGAAGCCGCCATTCTTGATACCTGATGCTCCTTCTCCGGTCTGCATGTTGCCCCCCGTTTGTTCGTGGTGCTCCTGGATGGAGCTCAGGTTTGCGTTCATGAACCGGCTGGACATCTCCATGATGTCGGGGGAGCTGGACATGTGGTGGCCCAGGGAGGGGACTCGGAATACTTCGACCATCCTGACGGGAGGGCGTGAAAACAAACTTCCTTCGTTGCTGCTAGCTGGCGAAGCTCGGTCGTTGCGTTGCTTGATTCACGGGTCTCGGTTGTGCGAACGCCCCTTCGCGGTGTGGATAGAGGTCGGTTTGAATGGGTATTAAGGGATGCTTTCAAATTAGAACCTGACCCACGAGCTCCGGAATCAGGCCGAATTGAGACGCAACTGCTACTGATACGCTCTGGGAGCTAGCGGTAGTAGTCGAGATGATGATTCCAGGCGGTTTGTTTGCTTCAGCTGAACCGGTGGTGGTATTTGCAGCTCGGTATTCTCAGGGTTGGGCGGCGTGTGGTGAAGTCTTTGTGAGTCGCTGAAAGTCAAGTATATGCTTGGACAGTTTGACGCTTGTCAAGGAAACGAGCACGACAGATGGGGTGGCCATTGATTTTATTATCTGCCATCAACAGGAGAGGCAAGGGTCAGCTACCTAGACTAGCAACGCTACAAGACCACATTCTCGGTGTGGGTATGGTCCACTTGTGCAAACTTGGGCTCCGAAGAAGGGAGCGTCTGGAGAGGTATCGTGACAAGTGGTGAGAGGGTGGAGTGGTGTAGCCACATTTCCTGTGACCTACTGTAACCTGTTCCCACACCGCGAGCGGAGAACGCTCGGAAGGCGGATGGGCGGTCACGGCCAGAGAAGATGGGATGGCTTCTCCATGATCCCACTGTGATAGGCACCGCCCAAGGCCACCCAGAAGGAAGATGTAGATAGAGACTTGGCAACGCCGGCGCCCACGAGAGGGCAAAGAGGGTCGACCTATGACGAGACCCTGTTATCTCAATGGCGAGACCGATGACCCGCTTGGTCTTCGCGCGATAACGGTCACTGTCACAATAACCTCGCGGCTTCGGCGCTGTTCTGTCGCGAAACAAGCTTCTTCTCCAGCTACTGCATGCGCACCTGCTGGGTGGTCGTTGGTCGGTGACGGGAGGACCAACGCCGCGAGCATCATGTCATGCATTTTGCGACGGCGCATAATGAGAGTCGAATACCCGGGACGTCCCGGCATTTCCAAGGCCGCACGGTACGATCCCTGCCTTGGCGGTGGAAGTGTCCGGTGTCAACGAGTCGCGCTCTTATTATTTCGCCTGACTTCCGTCCAGCCCAGACACCCAACCGAGGCTGCAGAATGCTTGCTTGTCCCATGTTTTAGCTGTGCCAAATAAAGAAAACCTGACTCGCTAGTTACAGGATCTGTGTTGCGAGTCGGACCGTTGGTACTGGGCCTGTCTACTTGACATGAATGTGAGAAGGCGATGTCAGGCAAACTGTATCTCACCAGACTATCATCGTCTCAGACGCCGTTTCTGTCTCCTTGCTTCTTATTTTGTTGGAAACGCTCCTGCCATTAAGCCCATTCCAGTTGGACCCCTATTGCATTGAAGATCTCCAAGAATGGGAGCTCTAGGTCAAATCGCGCCAGCTTTTCGGCTGCGCGATCGTCGTGGTATTCCAAGGGTCCGACACCGATGTTCCTCACGATGGGGGCATTTATGGGGATAGCGGAGTGTGGGAGACAGAGGAGTTGGCCACTCTAGGGATGGAGTCTGGGAAATACGATACAATACAAATACTGTATAATATGGTATTGTATTGTACCTTTCAATAGAAAACGTATGTTTATTGGTAGTGACATAGTGGATGGTACCTGGTGGTACCACGGACCACCCAGATTTGGCTCGGAAATTCCAGTCGGCGGTCGGAAGAAATTGTCGGCGGCCGATAGTTAACCCACATACAGCTGGCCAGAGGCTGTTCCGGAGGTTATTCCGGCCCGAATAATACAATACGGTATAATACGTATTGTATGCGTGTATTGTATTGTATAGTGTTTTTCTGAAATCCACGGTATTTTTCCACCCCTAGGCCACTCGTGGCAAAAGAAGGGTCCTGTCCAAGAGGATTTACCGCCAGTGCAGCCGAGCCCATTGTCATGTATCTGTACTGGCAGATGGCGAGCCTTCTAGAAGCCTGGAGTGTTCGCCCAGTTATCTCTCGTCACAGGGTCCTGTGACTGTGACCAGCCCGAAAACCCTGAGTGTAGAGCTGTACGTATCCGCTGACCCGGCTGCCAGGGCTGCCCGGGCGGCTCCTTGACAGCAACCTCGTGGCTCTCCGGTTCAGCGCCGAGCTCGTGACCAATCGTCAGGAACTCGTGAAAGCGACACATGACTTCCTGCCCTATTCGACACCGTCTATCAGTCAGCAGCATACGATATGCGACTGTCCACGATATGCATGCTGCAGTCCTGACAGATCAGCCACATTGAAACTCCAGATGCTGGGCACATATTTAGGTACTATTTTGGTTTCGGAAACAACCGGATGCATGTATTTCCTGTACAACTTACGCTTGTAAAACAACTCTCCGCTGGTCATCGAACTGGTGATAGTGACGCGTATGTTTTCGAGTTAACATTTTAGATAAGTATAAGACCAGGTCTGCTTCTGCCCGTGGCGCCTAGAAGGTAGGCATTCACCATTCATGGAACAGCCGCGTATTGCTATCCTTAGGGTCATGTTGCTACAAGAATCAGCATCCCAGAATGTGACCAAGAAGCCAATGGTCAAATCGCCTATACATGTTATCAGAAAGATGATATACACCCGTTGCATATCACGAGTGACGTTACAAGACAACATTATGTGCTTCAGCCTATCAGTTCCTGAATAATGCCTCGGGCGAGGCGCCCTCAGGGGTATGTCATAAGCCCCCTCGCTGGTTGATACTTCGGTAGCTTGCTCACGACGTTCATACGGTCGTGGGGTTTCTGATACGACCTTGAAAGCGAGGACATCACTGCACGTAGCGATTCGCATGGGACGTCTCTCTTCAGGAGGACCAAGATTGAAGCCCTTGCGGTCGAGTCCTGTAGTCCCAACAGGGGTAATCACCAACTTACAACAACGGAAACAGAAATAGCCAACACGACTCAGGATATGCCTCCAAAGTTCTGTCATAATTCCGGGTTTACTATGTATCGACTGTCCCCATTCACGGTAATAGACGTACATTGTAGAAGTACAGCAGCTCGCAAAGGACCACATCAAACTCGTGGTATCCTCTTTGTCCTCCCTCATCGTCATCCCCACGATCGACAGTAACAGTGATGAGTATGGTGGCGACAGGACTAAGGCTAGTGGTCATCGTGGCCGTCGTAGCCTTCGTGGTCGTGGTCGCGCCATCCTGTATCGAGGTCCAGATGAATCTGACAATCAATGGTCGGGAGAGCTTCCCGAGAAGGTCCTTTTAGTTTAACTAGTTCCGGAGAAGGCTCATTAGTTTGTTTAGGCGGAGGAAAGAACGGAAGGCTTACACTCTGGACCAACAAATTCCGGGATCGAACCATCCTATATGCCGATCCAGATGACGCTGATGACGACGTCCATGCCCTTGCCCTCGCCGCCATCGTACTTGAAGCTCCACATGCCGTCCGTTTTCTCGTTCCAGAAGGCCTGGGTGGCCGAGTGCATGCCGCGGCGGCCGACGTGGGGCTTGCCGTTCGTGGCCGTGGCCCCGTCGCCGCTGCCGCTGCTCGTGCTGATGTGAGGCTCGTCGCCGCGCGTGTCGCTGCCGCCCTGGGGCTTGTTGAGGGCCGACGTCGGCACCAGGTGCTGCACGATCGTGCTGTTGACGACGTACTTGTGCGCCGGGGCCTGCGAGCCCGAGGGCGTTGACTCGGAGATGATGTTGCGGAGGATGGAGTTCTGCATGTGCGCGTAGCCCGCGTCAGTGCCGTGTCGTGTGTCTGTCATTTCAAGGTGACAGATAAGGAGCGCGTGGACGCTACTGTTCGCGTGTCTGAATGACGGTGGAAAGAGGACGACGTACGATTATGGACGAGTTCCAGCCCTCAACCTTGACGTGCTCGTAGTAGTCGGCGCTGCCTATGGCGACCTGACAAGCCTGTGTTTTCTCCTCTTAGCTGCTGACCGTGGGTGGTAGAGGCGGGGTTCTGCGTTGGTACGGAGGAGGATGTCGTACATCCATCGCGATCTGTCTCAGTCTCGTTTCGCTGATCGGCTATGACGAATGTCAGCGCATTGTGCACGCCATAGACGTCCGGCATGGGAGGCACCCCGTACAGCACTGTTCTGTGAAGCCATCTTGGTTTGCGGAGTTGCGCAGAAGCCGATCGCGGGAGGTAGGCAAGCAATTGGCAAGCAATTGGGTTTGGCAGACAAGAGGGGAGATTTGCGCGGGAGATGCAGAGTCTCGTCGGGTGGTCCGGGGCAGGCGGGTAGAAGGGTGGTTGGTACGTCGGCGGCGTTGATGTTGTGGTAGATGGGCAGCCTTGTGGTGAAGTAGTTCAGCCTTCTCTCGTTGATCAATAATTGTAATAAGTCACGATGCTACCTGTACAGCGTTGCTACTGCATGCGATATGGAAATGACAAAATTGACGCAGCACCAACTGCAGGTGGCCGCCCGCTTTGGTAAAGCCGCTGGACGATCTTTCCGAGCCATGGCCCACAGTGGGTGTGGATCCCGGCGCATGCCGACAAGCCGACTGCCGCCCGGGCACATGTCAACATGTCAACATGTCTCAACTGCAGTACCATTCAAAGTAGCTGAGGTGGTGATGATCCCAAAACCAGGAAAGAAAGACTATTCCAATCCCAGAGCCTACAGACCAATATCGCTATTATCGTGTCTTGGCAAAGGCCTAGAACGACTCATCGCGAAAAGAATTACCTGGTTTGTTGTCAAACTTGGAATTCTAGCTCCACAACATTTTGGAGCTTTACCAAAGCGCTCTGCCACTGACCTGGTAGCTGCACTCATACACGATATTGAGCAGGCCCTCGACCAAGGCCTCGTTGCAACAGTAGTCACGTCAGATGTGAAAGGGGCCTTTGATGCTGCCCTAATGGGACGGCTAGTGGTTCGCATGAGAGAACAGGGCTGGCCGGGCTTTCTCATAAGATGGGTCTAGTCATTCATGTCCGAGCGGTCCGCAAGGGTTCGGTTTGAAGGTATTGTGACCGATATTAAAGCTCTCACTTGTGGGCTACCACAAGGCTCACCAGCCTCTCCAATCCTTTACATGCTGTATACAGAGCCAATCTGTGCCCAATTTGGTATGAAAAAGAGACGCTTTGGATATGCAGACGACCTAGTGACTCTCTGCATTGGAAAGAACCTTAAGGAAATAGCTACAGAGGCTTCTGAAAATCTTTACTTGCTCAGTTAATAGGGACATAATAACGCTATTGAATTTGACCCTGACAAAACTGAAATCATGCACTTCTTAAGGAAAAAGAACTCAGACAACCCTCCAGTCCGCCACAGGACAATGAACAAAATAGCAAAGGACTCCATGCGATGGCTGGGTGTCTTCCTGGATAGAAAACTAAACTTCAAAGATCACGTTTCCTACTGGGCCAAGAAAGCTAATAAGGTAACAAATCACCTTCGAGGACTATGCAACACAGTCAAAGGACTTCCAATAAAGTCAATCAAGAGGGCTGTGAAAGCTTGTATTATTCTTATTCTTACACACGGCCTGGAGGCCTGGTACCCAGGAATCGTGAAAGTAGGGAGCTTAGGTGGGACATTAGCATGTTGTATTAAGGGGCTTCTTGGAACGATAGATGCCGTACTACGAACAGCAATCAGGGCCATCTTGCCAGTCTGGAAAACACACCCTGGACATATCCTATACTTTGAATCGCAGATTCCCCCAGCAGGAGTTCTTGCAGAGTCAATAAGACGACGTCACGGCCTCCGACTAGGACGAATAGACCAGAGATACCCTCTTGTTGGCAGGCTCTAAATACAAGCTCGCAAGAATCCAACAAGGCTACAAAGGAGCTTCCAGCTAGTCCCTAACTTCCAGAGACCAACACTTACCAGGCCATTATGGAAGAAGCCCCCAATCCGTAAAAACAAAGACAAAGAAACAGAGCTCTTTAATCAATGGCTACAGGAGAGAAACGTGAACATTGACCTTGTCATCTATTCAGATGGATCACAGTTAGACGACCAAGGAATAACCCGCACTGGATGGGGTTATACCATCAGAAAAGGCGGCACTACACAAGAAGTATACCGGGGAAAGGGCAGACTTCTCTAAGCAGAAGTAGTAGATACTGAAGTCCATGGTGCTTTCCAAGGTCTTGCAGCAGCCAGGGTAATTAGACACGGAAAACAGTTATATATCTGCCTGGACAACACGTCAGTGGTAGACGGGCTCAATAGGACTCCACCCGAGACATCACAGAACATTTTTCTATGATTTCAAGAACTTGCCACAGCACACACTCCTGGAGTGACCGTCAAGTGGATTCCTGGACACAGAAATATTGATGGCAACGAAGCTACTGACACACTTGCAAAAGAGGGTGCCATGTTAGAAACAGACATAACAAATCTTCTTATAATCTCTTGGGTCAAGAGAGATCTCAAAAAAAAGAGCAAGAAAGAGTTCAACCAATGGTAAAAAGACCAATCAGAACCTAGATATCAAGAAGTATACTCACATATAGTAACTAAAAGAGACCTTATATCTTTTAAGAGGAGTACTTTACACAGACTTTTAGCGGCCAGATCTGGACATGGCGACTTTGCCAGATACTATAAACGCTTTGGGCATACAGACTCGAATGATCACTGCAGCTGTGGTGAGAAGAAAACACCACAACACATTTTCTTTTGTAAGAGGTTGGGAAGAAACTGGCTGCTGCCTAGGTACTCGCTTAGGACAGCTTGTTTACAATACTTAGAGGAGAGGAGCACAGAATGGGCAAAATTCGTGGAGAAGAGCAAGTTCTTTTTAACAATCTGTCCCCGATAGATAACTTTTCTTGAAGGACCAGACGGATGACCCCAAGGTCATACCGCCGCAACAACGGGGATGGGCTCATGAGCAGGACTGACTGTACTTATTATCTTAAGACCTCTACAACCCTGCGATACAGAGGCTCTGGGAGGCGTGGTTTGCACTACTGAGGAGCTACCCCCCACGTTAAATACAATCAATCAATCAATCAATCAACTGCAGTGTTCATGCATGTGAAGACAACGATATGCCGGAATTTTTATCTTTTCTCTTTCGCAACCAGATCTTCCTTCCTGTCAGTTAACCTTACTCCCGTGTCGAGGTCTCATCAATTGCGCCTCGGGAACCGATACGGAGCACACCCACGCAGTAAAGAAATGGACATACAACTACTAACTAGGAGAGAAGATACAACACGACTACACAACCAGTTGACAAGACATACATATATGGGAACAGATCCAAAACCTGTCAACGCTTGCTTTTATATAAAGCCCCGTTTGTCTCTTACCCCCCTCTTCTCAATATAGAAAGAGGCATCTTAAAAGCTACGAGGATCAACCCTTTACACCTACCGGCATACTCACCCACATATAAACTTTACCGCTCGTGTTTTCTCTTGTTTTGATGCCTCGAATATGTGGGAACTAGTATCTCTTTTGAAGCCATGTGTCTCTCAGCTGCTGATCAGTCTCGCTTAGTACAGTGGCTGCCTGATCGCCTACTAAACTTGAGTCATTTGATTTGGATATCCCTTTTAAGAACGTTTCTCAGAAGGCATCTGTCGAGAGCAGAGGGCAGCAGTCATGTGGTCGGACACTAGGACCAGAAAGCTCACCTGTTCTTGGACGGCCAACCGACTCTTGATGGAAATCAGGCGCAGGCTAGATAGAGCATCCAGGATAGCCGTGTTGGAGGAGTGACACCTGTCTGACGATCATGGGCCGTCCCATCAACTATATACCCAGTTTGGACCTGATAGTAAGGTGGTCACATTATTACAGCCTGGTTGCGTGGGAGAGCCTGTCTAAGCAGCTATGAGGTCAACCTGTATTTCTCCGATGGTTAATGTTACACATCGTCTTCTGTGACCGACGACCAGCAAAGGATAAAAGAATCCGCGACGAAAGGCACATTTCATTCGTGAAGTACATCAAGAAAACATGCTGCAAAAACCAGCGTGCTCATTCCCTTCATATGCTGCCCTCTCTATCTGTAGCCATCCATTGCCAATGGCAGACACTATTATACATCCATCCTTGACCATCGTCACTCGTTCCAGGATATTTATTCCCATATCCATCCATCCATCCATCCATCCATCTGTCAGTCTGTAGCTCTAAGATCACTGAACCTGGAGATGCGCCCTGAAACTAACATTTGGGACCTCAGCCGATACTTCCCCTCACTCGGAGGAGGGGGGACACGGTGTGATCCACCGCTTAAGTGTGGTGGCTGTCTACGGACTTGACCTGCTAGATGGGCAGTGTATGTACATAGAAGACCTAGCCTAGCACGACTGAGCGGCCTCTTGGAGTCCCTGGTTGACGCCGCTACGCGGCAGTCCCCCCGGCGTTAAATGCTACAACAACAACAAATCCATCTGTCAGTCCGTCTGTGCACCCATGACTGGTATATAAAGGGAATGTAGTAAGGCGAAGGAAAGCAAGTCAGCCAGGTAAAGGAACGGGATATCCCAGAGGATGGAAATAACAGGGACAAAAGAAGACAAGCAGGCAATAGCCGATCCTCAACCAACGCCTTGGCTAGGTGCCTCGCTAGGTGCCTCGCTGACTCCCTCGGGTTCCCCCAGATGATATGTTATGCGTCTAGTAGTACAAGTGTATCAGCGCCGCCGGGCCCTCTGCCCCCTTTCGTCATGCATCTATGGTGTAAGCAACCTGTTGAAAAGCATAAGCAGACAGATGAACAGATAGAGCCGGACAGAAAAAGAAGTCGTTGATACAAGATAGAAAGAGAAAAGATTAGTCAAGGAAAGTGACAGATAAGTATAGAAAAGGAAGAGTAACAGGAAAACCCAGAAAAGGAAACCCAGAAGACGAGAAACGAAGAGTACGAAAGCCCAGGAGGAAAAGGAAACACAACGCCCCTAGAACCACCTCCGCCCAACGCCCTCCTCCAACTTCCGCAGCACGCCCACCGCATCGACCAGCAGCCTCCCCTTCCCTCCCGCAACCTCATCTTCCAGCCTCCGCCTCACCATTCCCACGACGCCAGCGGCCTCGCGGCGCCCGCGTACACCCAGCACCTCGTCCGGCCGCTGCAGGTCGGCCACGAGCGCCAGCCAACCCCGGGCGTCGCGCTCATCTGCTTTCTCTCGCGCGGCGTTGGCAGTAGCATTGCCCGACGAGGAGGTCGTAGCAGACGTAGACCCGGAGCTGGAACGGCCGCGCGCCGAGGGGTGACACAGCGCCCAGATGACGAGAGCACACGTGTAAAGGGCCCAATAGTCCGAGATGATGTCCATATTCCAATCGCGGTCTTGTTGTTGCTTCTTTGCCGCCGCCGCCTCCCTCTTCCGCTCGCGCTGCTTCGAGCGGGTGTTCATCACCGGCTGTAGCTGGGTGGTCGTGGTCGTAGTAATAGTATCATTAGCATTATTAGTAGGCAAAGAAATCGTAGAAGTAGTAGTATCAAGGAAAGCCAGCAGGGCCCTGGCCGCGAACCCCGCGGCCGCGCCCGCGTGCGCGCTGTTGCTCCACTGCAGCAGCCGCCGCTGGCACTGCTGGAAACGTGTCGGGTCGGTCATCTTGATGGAGAAGATCCAGCTGTCGCCGCTGATGGCGAGCAGGTCGTGCAGCGGCGTGTGGTGCAGCGCCAGCGTGGTGGCCGCCACGGGGTGCCCGGGGAAGAGCGTGGAGATGCGCTCGGCGGCCGGCGATGATAGGTCGACCGGGACGGACAGGTCGAGCTGGGAGGCCGAGGCGCGCCGGGGCAGTCGCAGGGTCTCGGAGGCCAGGAACACGCCGCGGTCGAGGGGAGGCGCCGTGGCGATGCGATCCGGGGTGAGGTTCTCCTCGGGCAGGGTGGCGGGCTCCATGGGATCGGCCGAGGCGAGGAGGGCCGCCCACTCCTCGGGGGACCGAGCGGCCCAGAGGTCCACGCTGGGTCTGGTCAGGGGGATGGGGGGCGTAGGTGTCGAGAATTGGAGGTTAAAGTGGTTTTCGTGGTACACGGATGCGTGGACATCCAAAGCAAAACAGGCAGCGAGAAGTCTGCGGCGAGACTCGGCGTCGATCCATTCGCTCCATGCGGTCCAGTGCTGCTCGGCCCGAGCATCGGCGGTGGCGGCATAGTCGTGGTCCGGGTTTGAGAAGTCGGCCACCTGTGAGGAAGAAGACGTTGAGTATGGGTGCCAACGGTCGCTGGGAGAAGACAGAACAAGACTAAAGAGATGATCCTGGACACCAGAGTATGTGAGGGAATCAACGAGAAGACAAGGAGAAGACAGGGCACTCACCCTCGCGTAGAGCGACTGGAAGGGCGCCGACCGGTTGTTCGCCACTTTCCGGCCACGGAACCGTGAGTAGAACTCGCATAGGAGGATCGCTTGCATGACCGAGACGTTCCAGGTCGTAAACTGCGGTTTCGCTGTTTAGCACTCACTTTTTCAGGAGAGTAAAAGGGGCGGGGAGTGACCGGCTTACACGTTGAACTTCTTGCCAGGCATACTCATGCAAAATGTTACCTCTCATGCGATCCTCCTTGCCTTGGAGGAACTGCGAGCCCATGGCGGCCATGGCACAACGCAGAATCTCGTCAGCAGCGGTTTCAAAGCTCCGGCGGTGGACCAGGGGGAAGAGTGTGTCGAAGCGCTTCCAGTACAGCTCGAGGTATTCGGGGATGGCGTTCAAGACCGGCCGCGACAGCGTGACCGCCGTCAGGAAGGCAGCGTTAGTGTACAACCCTAACCCTGCCGAATCCTTCTGGCGGCCTAGAATCCCCGCCGCGGCCGGTATTGACGGTGCTGCAAGGGTGACTAGATTCTCAGCCGATTGAGCGGACAAGGTGACGGTCGGTGGGGTCGGACTACGAACTGTAGAATAGGGGTGGGAGTGCGGGTCGAATATGGTGTGCTCGCCGTAATTCGCCAGGAGCATTGGGTCGTAAGACTGCTCGGTCGACGAAGCGAATGGGTTGACAAAGTAGGGAGCTGATGTCGTCGCGATGGGGTCCATCCCGCTGCTGGAGGTGCCAGCCTGGTACATTTGGGGATCGTGCCAGTCCCCGCTCGGAGAACCGTAGCTTCGAGGCATGTTCCTCCTCTGCCCAGGGTCTGAGGGCGTGGAGAAGTTGCTGTCAGGCGTGGACGAGGCCCACGGAGATGCTTCGTGGGCGGCGAGCAGACCTGGAACATTGTCGTCAGGTATTGTCAAGCTAGGTAGATCGGGTACCAGGCCTTGTGGACCCATGTACATAGGATATGGAGATAACGTGCGTGGTTGTTGGTATTCCAGCCCGAAAGTGGTCCCTGCCAAGGGTGAGCCCTCCATGCTTGGAGGCTGGTTGCTGATGAAAGGTATTTGCTGAGGAGACGACAACACATAGTGGTGCCCCTGCGACGGCCCGGCTGAAGTCGATCTGTGGCTGTCACGCCGGCCGGTGTGCTGCGGAGGAGACATTGGGGTCTGTCCACTACTGCTCCCCTGATTACTCATTGGCTGGTAAGAAGGCGTATTACCAGGGTAGGCTGATCCTGGGGACATATCCGAGGGGGCGCTCATGGGGCCACGAGAGCCCGAGCCACCACCCATCGAAGGGTGTTGCATGTAGCCCCCCATTCTAGAGGAGGAACCTTCCTCGAACGACACCTCTGATGTCCGGCGGCTCATGTCTCCACTAGTACCCTTCGATGACTTATCATCTTGCTCACTACCACGAGGTTAGTCGGGTTCTACTATGCTCTGCATCGACCGCAGACTCACTGTCTCTGGACATGACGGGTAAGCAGATCTGCTCTGTGAAAAGCCTTATCACAGCCAGGAAACGTGCACTGGTATCCGGGAGTCTTGTGACTGAGTGCATGACGTCTACGGTTGGTGATTAGTGATGTGCCATGACGGTAGTGAAGGCGTTCTGAGCCCCTACCTAAGATGCTCCGCTCTTGTGAAGGTCTAATCATCATCAGCGCCGACTCATATATCTCTGGACCGGACTGGGGGACTTACCTTTGGTGGTCTACATACTTCACATGTATGGACAGGCACACCCTTCTTCGCTCTACTGACACGGCCGGTGATCGGGGTCAACTTGACGGGAAGGTTGCTCTCGCCGGCAGAGTTTGGCACTGGCCTCATAGGCATATTAGACCGAGTAGACGGCGCCATGCTGGAAGACGAGGAGCTCTGACCGTGGCCTCCGTACCCAGTGGGATCCATCGACTCGGTGCTATCTGTGCTTGGACGCCTGACAGGTGGGGGGTGAGACGACGTTGAAGCGGTTGTTGGTGCCGTTGCTGTTGTTATTGTTGACGGCGACGGTGTCAAGGCAGTAGTTGTAGACTTGGATGAACGACCTTTAGGGGGGCCACGCCGTCTTGTTGGGGCTGGAGCTAGTATGTTGTCTGGGTCCTGAGGATTATCATGACTTGTTGTCGATGTTGTTGCCGTGCGGGAAGGATCGTGACTACGAGATGATGGACCGTGAGGGCTAGGTTCTCCAGAGTTTTTATCTATCCTCTGGTCGTCCTCGTCCATGTCCATGATAAGCGAGAGTCTAGACATTGCAGGTGCGGAGGCTCATAATAAAGCCAGAGTATCTTTAGTAATCGACTCAGCCCTGCCAAATATAAAGAGATGTGATAGAAATAGCCTCCAGAACGGTCGTCAGACTGCACGGCCAGGGGTTTCTGTAAAAGAAGGCTACAGAGTTCTCAGCCTTTTCGGCAGATAGCGCTCGGGTTGGCTCGAGGGAGATGTATGGCTAGCAGCGCCTCCGTCTGCGATGAAACGGAAGATACCAATAGAGAGGTAAGAGGTAGGCTGAGCGGGCATTGCTATATTGAGATCCGGGGCCGAGTAAACGCGGGCAACATCATGAAGGGAGAAAGATGAAGTCTAGAGAGACGTCTTTCATGGCTGGACGGGCTGGGGCAGAGCAGGCTGTCCTGACCGTGTACGTACAGGTAGGGTCTCCTTCGAGGTCACCCCTGTCAGCTGGAACATGCCTGCATGGCTTAGGATGAGGTCGCGCGAATTGCCAGGTACATCTGCCAACTGCATCCATATGACGGACGCTGTGTAGGCGTGCAGCGGTACAGAATACGTGACACCCCATATGAGCTCCTCCCGCGCAGCCTGTATCCTCTACCACCAGCTACTTGCTGAGATGCGCAGCCGTCCCTGGTGGAGAGACAGGGGGTTCACCCGCCTGCGCTTGTGGATGCCGTCTTTGTGTATGTGGTATCAACATCTCAACCGTTTCCTAGAACGGTCTTTGGGTAACTTCACCTACACACGGCAGGCAAGACGTCCCGCACCCGGCAGACTGGGTCGTGCCAGGACCTCCATAATTAGAAGGAAAACAACCCTACCTCCTGCTCCGTAGACGCCAGGCCATGTGGACTAGACGCAGCCGTGCGGAAGGGAGCGAGAGTGACAATAATGATGCCACGAGGGGTATTGCGATGATTAAGAAGAAGCCACTTACGCGATGCACATTGTATCAGAACTTGCATGGCCATCATCTGCCGCTGCCAAACTGTGTGTGGTCAGCAAGCCCCCCGATAGTTTGCGGTAAGTCTATGGCGGTAGTCAAGAACAGCAACTCGAGACTCGCGAACACATTCACCAACTGGTTGATACGTTGCCGGCGACCACCTGGTCCGCGTCGGTACTTCGGAGACAGGCCGTGGGCAAGCTGATTGTCAATCTGACAGGCAAGAGAGGCGCAGCGCACCCACCCACCTACATGTAGTGCAGATGCATGCACCTGCGAAGCGCCTCTCCTGTGCAGTGTAGCCATAAACGGAGGGCTTACCGGTATGTACAGGACAGACGAGCGAGCGCACATGGCATCGTTTGCAGGATCGTCTGACACGACAGGCTTGCAAGGTTGGCGGCTTATGGGTATCCGTTCCTGAATCCGGCATCCCAAGATATCGAGATCCTTGCCGGATGACCCGAGTCGCGGGGTGGTGCGGTGCCGTTGACGAAAATACCAGCAGCATACTCACGGGTGGGCAGGACAAGGCCTTTGTCTGTATCTCCCTCCGCAAGCTAGGAATGGGGTGGTCTGGTGCAAACAGTAGAAGCCGGCACCGAAGCGAAGCGTCTGGAACAGAACGAGCCCAGCAATCCTGTCAGACAGAAGCCCCTAATCTCGAGTTTTATCACGGAAGCAATGACCCGAGGGAAGGACTCGGCTCTGCGCTGCGTCGTCTATGATCAGCGGTTAGGGAAATGGTCGAGTTGGTGGTATGAGTAGAATCAGCCTTGAGATATCGCTCTGGGATACCTTAATGCGGTTACAAGGGGTGGAGTTTCGGTTGTGGGGTGCTCAGTAGTACTGTAGGTCTCCTTACCCAAGGCCCATTCGTGCCGTCTCTGGAGTCTGGAGATGCCCTCAATGCAATGTCGATGAGACAGACGCCAGGCAGGCAGACTTTGGCTTCTCTATCGACTTCTCCATGTTTCATAGCCAGAAACGGGGAGAAAAGGCGCAACAAGAGCGTTGACCACGGCAGAGCACGGCCCGCTGTGGGACAGGGGCCATCTGCTGGTCGAATCCTTCAGGCCGGGAATACAGGTCTCACCTGCAGCCCCGATGGGCCAGCCACTCAGCTTCAGTGGTGAGTATGCCCTGTGGCAGGGGATGGCATCTTGGCAAGGTGAGGCCAGGATTGGGGATGTGGTTGTACGGGCGAGAGGGTGGCTTAGACGGCCTTCGTGAACGGCCATTGGGCACGAGACGCCGAGTAACTGAACAGCCCTTCCCTATCGTGGTCCTATTTATAGACCGCTGGACGTCATGGACAGCACGGTACCTCAGGGACAGTTGTAGCGAGCGATAGACAGTACTTGCGTGATTGTTGCTCGGGCACAGAACTTAGAAGGCTGCGAGGATCAGCATCAGTCATGTCGATCCGGCGTTGTAGTTCAACTGGCGCGCGCACTTCCGAGGAGAACATTCTGCATCCCCTTGCTGATCCATTTCAAGTTGTTTCAACATCGAGTCTATTCAGACGCAACCGCACCATGTGGCGGCCGTTTCGAGTCTCGACGCCCTCGGCAGCTTTCCGAAGGGATTGACGAATCTGGGGTCCAACGGCAATCGCAACCGCAACCGGGAGATGGAGACGGCCAGGCACGCAGGAGATGTATGGGGACTGTCAACTGACTGGCCAAAGCAGGAGACGCGAAGTTGGGGGCTGAAGGCTGGACAGTGGTGGATAGGCGGGCAGGCGGGCAGGTGGGCAGGCGGGCAGGCATATGCCGACATGAGGGATGAACCGCGGCATGGATGACATGCATAGAATTGCGCGCGGAAGACTCGCTCCTATGTCCTGCAGATGGACGACTCGATAGTGCTATAGGAGCAATGCCACCAGGGACCGATCCTCTGGATTCCGACCGGCACATTTTGTGCGGATCATTGGGATCTCCTGGGACACGATAGGGCTGTCCAAATTGGCGATGCCCCCGGGGAACGTGAGATCACGGCCCCTTCTTTCGGGAAAAGTAGGGCCTCCATGCTGATCTGTCCATCACATCTCGTGGTTATCATCATCAGGCCCTCAGATCCGCACTCGCGAACAACCTGCGATATGGCCATATGATAGCGATGATGATGAGGATGAGGATGAGAAGGCTGTCAGACGGGAATATACTAGCATGATTGTCCTTCCCCACACCACCGACCGAGGACCGTTACCTCAGTAGAGCTCAGACCATCGATCGCCCGGTAATTTTACGTGGCGTCTACGAGTATGTACTTTACCTACCTTTACCGTTAAAAGGGGCTCTTGGATCACGCGGATTGAGGGTCTGTCTTTTGGGGAGATAAGAAACCTGCAGGCTGCCATGACCGCAGCTCATGTGCACATGGAGAATGTCAGCGCTTAATTTTTATTTATAGGACTCCTCCCTGAACTGACTCTCCCTTCAACCACAACCGCAATCACAACAACAACCGCATCCGTTGACACCCGTCCCGCTCTTCTTAGCTCACCCACCATGCTCATCACTATCTCTACTGTAGGTGAAGGCATTCTCTGGCTCCGCTCCGCTGCCGCCATCCGCGCTGTGGTATGCAGTCTGCAGTCTTGGAGATGAACAGCCACCCTGAAGGGAACACCAACGACGGTCGTGGCTTACCCCTCCTGCACGAGACTAATTGTGTCGCGTGGTTGTCCAGGTATATGCGGTAACGTCGTACTCACAGTAGTCGAAGGTGCGTGACCTGGCTCTATGAGTCGTGCTGTGTGTGGGTGTGGTTGTGGGCGTGAGCGTGAGCGTGAGCGTGAGCATTAGCGCCGGAATCCCACTCAACCGCGTGGCTATCCTATGCGAGCCGCTCACTGTCGTACTGCATAGTAAATCCCATCCGTCTTGGATATACGTATATTCCGCGAGCCGACATCACCATCATCGCCATTGTCGTTCTCCATCATGGATTACGGTGTATACATGGGCCTGTCCTCACTGCGCCGCCTCCCACACCCACCCCATGGTACGACTATCGGGGCTATAGTCTTGACTACTCCGAACGGCCGTCTTTGTTGCCGTCCTTGTTCCCGTCCTGTGCAGCATCTTGCGCGAGATCAGTATTCAGGGGCTGTGGGGATGGTCTGTGATACGCGAGAACGCCATCGATCTTGGCTTGTCGGTCTGTACCTTGCTTCCTACAACGTCCGAACCACGTTACGATGCACGCAGGCTCAGCCTCGCCACCTGGGAAGGGGAAGCACAGCATGTAGCCTGCATGTATGCCTTTCCCTCGACCACCCTTTCGGCCCGACCCCCTTCTGCACCCATTCCTTCATGATACCTGCGCTTGTGGCCGCGGCTGTGTCCCACGGCGTCTAAGCTTCCTGATCGCGGGAGACATAACGCATGTACAACTGTTGGCACTTTGTAAAGTCTTGGTCCCGGAACTGGGCACCCGTTTCCCATGTTCTCTCTCTCAATATATGTGTGGATAGTTGGCCTTCGATAGGCGTATGTTCTTCGGGCATATCATCAGGCTCACAAGGAGGAAGGATCAGTATTGCTGGCCTCGCCTCGATCGCTGATCCTAACGCCGTGTTACCCTACCAGAGTAGGCCTTCTCTTGGGACTACTAGAACGAGGCACAGCCTGAGGACACCCTCCCAGACCCCGGTGCTGGCCTTGGGTTGAGGTAGGGCTAGACGAGACTGGTTCGCGGCTTTCATGAAGGGTGATTGTCCGTATCTAGACTTACGCTGATCACTATGGGCACCTGAGGAGATAGTTGATCTGGCCTGTTCTGAGGGTGAGTCCTGGTCTCCAATGATCCTCCGGTCCACGAGACAGCACCCTTATGTTCAGGTAATTTTTAGCCAACATGCCGGTACTCCTCTTGCCACGAGGGATCTCGGCGATCTCTCCATGGGACTTGTCGTTTACAACATCCCCTATACAAATCCTACAATGCAGTTGGTCGTTGGCCAATGGTACAGTACCACTGAAGAGCATGATTCAGCTAGGTAGGCCTCGGCATGGAGTTCATGGTCCCGGCCAAGTTTCACATTGACAGCCAAATCCAAGGCCACCGTTCTACCGGTATGCTCACCAGTTAGCCTAGAACGACACGTGTGCGTCTCGCTGACCAGGTAGGCGCTCCTACAATGCATCATGTAGCATCATGGCGTTACCTGTATGTGGTGGTAAGAGCCACGGGGAAGATCACTCACGCGAAGTCATGCACAGCACGCACGATACAACTTCTCTTGGACATCTGGCTGGCTGTTAGCCGTACCCGAAGGTCTCGATCTGCGGCCGTGACGATCCACTGCCACCACCAAGCACCTCGCATTCCCAATAGGGAACATGCCCCCCGATCAGGACGATGCAGCGGCAAGAAGGGGGCACCGAGGCTACTGGCGCCGCACACGGGAGTCTTTCCAGCCAACGCGTGGATCAATAGGCGTATTTCGTCCCCGTGGAGTCGGAAGTCCCCTGCATGATCCGAAACACGCGACGTGCGTCGATATCGTCTGCGACAGTGGGCCGGCCCCCGAGGCGAACCACATTGCTTTGCCGCGTCGCTACGCGGATAGATCCGATCGACGGCGGTGGTGTCAACGAAGAAAGCCCATACCGCAGGCGCAGAATGTGCCTCATTCTTCAGCAACTTGTGCCAACTGCTGTGGCACAGTCGCTTCTCCAGGTCGTATGGCGGCCCGGGAGACTGCCATTGACGAATCAATGACACCCTGGGCCGCGACCTGGTTGGGCTCTTTGGCGGTGCTGCCGCCGGCATCTCCATGGCGACAATAGCAGGAACATCGATATGCCGCTGGCGGAGCTGTATAGATCTGGACCCCTTGTACCGGCACCGACACGATAGTTCCGCGGGCGAGGTTGTTGCAGTGTCTATCGACACACCTGGGAAGGTCACGGCCATGCCCGGATACTCGTCAGCTAGCGTCACATGAGTACTACGTCCAAGGGCATTTCTCACCTTGTGTTCAGAACCTAGGCTAGGCGTTTTCTCTTCCTGCTCGAGCAGAGCAGGTGAGGTACCTGACGGCCTGATAGAATCAGCCCAACGTCGGTGATCAAATGTAGCAGAAGTACGGAATTCATGAAGTCTGCAGCTGACCACCTGGGCTACCCTGACGTATGAAATCTATGATGAATACTCAAATAGCTCTCCCCAGTATCGTTTGGGTAGTTCAACACATGTCAAAACCCAACAGCTTGGTAAACTCCTCACTTATGCTCAAGTATTCTTGACTCGGTAGTATTAACACTGAAAATTTGCACCAGAACATACGCCTTGTGGGCATATGTGCAAAGGGAATGCCTAACAGTAGAAACTGTATTATATCCCTGGGTTCGTTGCTCAGTACGGTGTGCTTCCCACGTAGCAGCCAAAGCTGATGTCAGTGCGTGGGCCAGTCTCTCTGGAAGGGTCATCAATGCACCTACGCTTCTAAGCAATGTTGTCCTTGAAGTTGGCTCTCATGCTGAGATTCGTGTGAATCTATAGTCTCTAGAGACTCGAAGAAACAAACCCATAGACTTATGCAGCAAGACCACCGATATCCACCCTTCCCAAATACCATACCAAGTCCAGGGACTGCGGGTGATATCTTATCTTCGAGAGTTTCTCACAATTTCTGTAAAAAAGCGAACCGTTACTTAGGATTGTCTCATAAATCCTCGTATAGCTATTCAGCCAGCCTTTTTATATTCGCCGTGTTCTAGATTGCAAGCACATGAATCACAATAAGAGCACTCTGGACCACTGTTACCTCCAGTCCTCTGTGCCATGTCGTCAATACCGCTTTCTGAACAGGTTCGTTCATGCCCTGACCAACGGACACTTGGGCATTCGCAAGTGCCAACCAGGTCGCCTCCCAGAAACATCACGCCCAAGCTATGCGTAGACTGGAGTTGGAAACCGACCACAGGTGGAACCAGCTCAGCTGCAACACGAACTATGATCGGAAAGCCGAAGAGAGGAGCCGATTGCTCTCTCTATACTGTGAGAAGTCGAGGCCTTCACCGAGAATAGCATAGCAGGCACACACACATCAAGCATGGAGTCATAGACACGGACGCGAGACAGACTACGGCGTATCATATGACGGGTCAACTCGCCCCTACCAACTCCATCCTATGAGGAGAGATTACTTTAAACAAGATTTATGCCATATGGTCCCACGACGCATCGACACCATGCCAGCTAAGCTAGAAGTCAGTCGAAATTACCTAGCAATCTCGTAAAGCGGAAATGACCAACATATTGCCCAGCTCAAAGGGAGGCACGTCGGACAAGTATGGAGCACAAGGAAGACTTGACATTGCAGTCCATTCTACTGTCTTGTGTTTGAAAGACCAACTCAGCGGTGAAGCTACGGCAATCCCCTCGGTCAGCATCTAGATGGAGAACGAAGAAAACATGAGCAGTAATAGGTCAGGTCAACACACGTCAAACGACCTGACGGCCAACATGCTCGCCAGGGCCCCTTCTACAGGAAGAGTATCCTGAGAGGGGTCCGAGAATGATGTGTATACCGAGATATACTACATATCATCAAACACCTTCTCTCTTCTTGCTCAACCTCATGAGTTTCCCACGACGATTCAACCTACTCAGCCAGGCCTTTGTCGGCCTTGTCGACCAGCAAGTCATCTCGCCATAATCTAACAAAGCCAAATACATGAGAACGACCATCACCAACCGCCAGCTGATCGCGGGGACACCCACACTGAGCCAGCCAGCCAAGGCAAGACACATGCCGTCAGGGAGAGACAGTGAACAAAACCAGAAGGGCCATACATGTAGGTGCGGACACATTATTCACACACAAACCCGGCCAGAAAGCCCCTTGCCCCGCCCAACTAAGTAACCAAGCATCCTAGAGATGTAAGTTCGGAGCAACAGAATTAAAAAATAAGAAATACCTAGGTAGATAAAGTACTCCGCCCCTCCCCTCCCCTTCCGCTCCATTTCTCATTGCGGCCAGCTGAACCGACATTCACCAAGGCAAACCTCACATACCTACTCGAGCTTTACGGTCCCCTAACGACGCCAATTTCACGTCTACGGCATGAGGAAAGAAGATTTAGCAAGGGAAAGGGGAAGTGAAAGGGGAAGTGTTGCCCTAACACTGCTAGCAGTCAGATCTCATACTTCAGATCCTGTGAGATTATCAAGTGTTTTATATTAAAAGGAAAAAGAAGAAGTCTTTTAAGCTGGGGGTTAAGCCCCCTTTAAGTAGCTAGGTGATCGTCTAAGGTGACTAGATAATTATAATAAACACGCATTATTTAAACTAATTAAAAGCTAGTATTTATAATGCTATAAGGGTGTTATAAATGCTTTAAAGCTAGCGCTTTAATGCATTTAACTTTTAAAGTTTTTTTTTTTACTAACGTTGTAATATTTAATACGCTTTTTTTAATCAAGGGTATTATTATTAATTAGCTACTCTGAACATTTAACGTAGCTAATAAGCGAGTTAGTAATTATTATAAACTGTGAGATTCTAGAAGGATTACAAGCCTTTGGGGTGTGAGCGGTCGCTGCAAACGTTGTTGTCATTCTCAAGTATGCTCAGCAGGGCTAATCTAAAGATAAATACCATATTGCACCATGCCAGGGTGGATCCGCTGGTCCCCTGGCAGCCCCCTAGCGTGTACTGCACCTAAGGGCACCATATCTGGGATCCAACATCTGACATAAACTTTTAAACTACTACGATTTTAACCATTACATCTATATTAATAATAATAGCACCGCGATATAACTAATTAGACTTACAGCTAGCTTTTTAACTTAAACGACGTAACCTTTATATTCATATATTTCGACTTATAAAACCTTTTAACGTCTTTCGTTTTACTTTAAGTAATAAAATTAAAAAAATGAAATTATAACGCGATAGCATGTTTAATATTTTAAAACTTATTGTTTTTAAAGAGAATTTCTTTTTATTCTCGATTTAAATGCGCGAGCATTTCCGTCCCGGTATAAGTATACTAAAAATATAGCAAATCAATCAATAACGACGCATAAAGTTAAGCGCGTTAAAAAGAAATAAACGCGAAACTTTATTAAACGTACACTAAGTTTTTAAAAGCGTTTTTATCGCAAAATAAACTATTTAAAGGTCTTAAATAAAGATTTAAACGTATATTGCGCGTAATTTTATTAAATTGCCACAATAGTTCTGAGTTACAGTATTTAAAACGTAAATATTTATAACTTTAATAAAACTAGGTTTATAATAGGCATTATTAGGTCAGGTATAGCCGTTATAAGCGCTAAGAAACGTAATAGGCTTAAATAAGCTTAGTAAAGTAAAAAAAAATAGTTTATAGTAATTTTTACTATTAATGCTAATAGTTAAGTGGTTTTACCGTTCATTATTTTTAAGTTTTTAAAGATTACTATTAAAATAATAACATTATTACTTTTTATATGCCTGTTTACTTTTCTTATAAGCGTTAACTTTTAACCTTTAGCTGTTTTAACCCACTTAAAAGAGCTTACGGTCGCTTAATTAAAGATTTTATACGGCCTTATATAATTACGTTTTAAAAGAGGACCTTCTTACAGCGTTTTATAAAGCATATAACGTTATTATAACGCCGAAAAACGTTTAAGCAAGTTTAATGCTACTAGCTTTATTCTCTTTCACATCAAAAGAATTATTTCGAAGCTAAACACTATTACTATTGTATAAATACCGTTATTAAACCTTGATTTGCTACTTATTATCTAAATTTTAAAAACCCTTATTATTATTATTAACAAAGCGGTAACTTAGTTAGTTTATACTGAAAATTAAAATAAAAACCATTAAAAGAGCTTATTTATATTGATTGTTAATGTATTAAACTTGTTTTTAAAAGCTATATACGGTTTTATATACAAAGTTGCTTTAGTTAATTCCCGGTTCCGCGAGTTGAAAGAAGCTAATTACTTATTAAATAAACGGTAGAAAATAAAAAATAAACGTTTAGTAAAAAGAAGAATACTTTCCGTTAAAGATGCAGTAAGTCTTTAAGCTATAAAAGATAGTATTAAACTAGCAAGATAAGAAATAAGTAAAAGTAATTGTCGTTTAAAAAGGGCGATAGCGCGTAAGCGACGGTGTAACGTTTATAAAAACACTAGCTATAATACGCGAACTTATATAACAAAGATAAAAACCTTTAAAAAGAAAAATTCGATGGATTTAATTCAATTGAATACGTTATAATACGTTATTTAATATAACATTTAAATAACGAGTGCTAACTTGCTTGTAATATTAACTCGCTTATTAACTACGTTATAAGGTTATAACATGCTTTTATCAAAGTATTATAAGACGCTTAAAATCGTAAACTAATTTTTAAAGTAAAATAACATAATATTATATAATAAAATGTTATAATATATTAAAACTGTACAAAAGTAGTGATAAAGTGTAAATTTTTCTCGAAGAAGTTAATAAAGTAAGTTAATATATGATCATATATTAATTAAGATGTTATAATATTTTTAACGATTTATTCAATTTTAAAAAGTTTTAAAAGCTTGAAAAAGTATTAAATTTTATTTTTAATATAGCTTTAATAAGGCTATTAACCAACATTTCCTTCGTAATCAGAACTTTAATAAAATATACTTAGCTTGAATTTGTTAGTATATATAAAACTTTTGTATTTAAATATACTTCGTTTATCGATTAACTTCGGTGTTATAAGCTAAATAAATAGCTTTAACGTTATTAAAACGTAATAAAAATGTGTTAAAAGTATATTTAAGCTTATTTATGAGCTTTTAAGTTAAACAACTTTTTTATAGTTCCGTTGATAATATAATATTTTGAATTTATAATAAATTAAGATATAGAAATATAAAGTTTTAAAGATTTTAAAATAACGTTTTTAGTAAAAACGAAGTTAAATATTAATTTAATGTTCTTTTTATCGTTATCAACGTAATTAACATTATAATGTTAAAAAAAACTTTTTAAGCGTATTAATAAATACTTGAACGTATTTCAGGCGTTTCAACGAATGTTTAAGTTCTTTATATTTTATAAATATGAAAAAAGTCTTTTAAGCGTAATAAATCATACGGTTTTAAAGTGGTAAGTTGCCATGAAAGTACTTTTATAAAGTAGAAAACTTCAAAGCGTATACAATACGTAAAGAAGGGTTTAAATTTAATTATAAATTAATACTTTAAGTAACTTCCGAAGTATTATTGGGTCTAAATTTATTTTAATTTTTTATATTAATTATATAAAGCGAGATAAGTATGTTTAAGCGCTTTGTACAAGCTTAATTAAAAGTTTTTACCTTACGTTAAATACATATTTTTGAAAATGGTTATAAAGAGCGATTTTTACGATTTTTACGATTTTAACGCCGGAAAAGTGCTATGTAACCTATAAATCTTTTATTTTAAAGGCTTTAAAAAGATTTCTTTTTAAAACAAAGAAGTTTTTTACACCAATTATTACGGAAATATAACGTTCTATAAAGTAATAAACAGCATTATTAAAGATTAAAAATTGAAAGCCGAGCTTTTAAAAGGTTTCTTTAAAAGCGCTTTTATTCTTAGCAAAGGCTTTATTTAAAGCTATACAAAGGTTTTTTAAGTTTGAAGATGATTATTAATTATTAATTAATAGTATTTTCATCGGAATATATCGTATAAAGCCTTTTAAAGCTGTTAAAAAGTCTTTATATAAATTTGCTTATTTAGTTTTTTATTAAAAACGTTAGAACGGCGTTTATTTAGTCGAATTTTTAGTTTAAAATAATTACCAAAGTTAGCAAAAATCTATAAAAAGCTGCTCGAACTTTAAAAGCTTAAGTTTTAAAATCATTAAGCTTACACCGTTATATAAATTTATAAGTAATAATTTCATTTTTATAACGTTTAATCAAGTTAAAAATTAGGTTTAATTTATATTTATATATATAATACGACGTTAAAAGCTTTTAATTACGACGTAATTTAAAGCGTAATGAAGCCGAAAAGGTCTTATTTTAAAATAACGTATAAATTGTGACGTTTATATTTTCAAATTATTAAAGCGTTTTCATATGCGTTGTACCTCGAGGGCGTTTCGAGGTGTCTTACAGTTACAGGCGGTACCCTGAAGCTTAAGGTCAGCAATCTTAACAGGGCTCTGTCAGCTTGACGTTAGCGGGCATTAGCGAGGGCCAAAGTGGGGGCTACCTGTGATTTGACAAAGGTAGCGCTGTCATCTGCAAATGACAGCGCTAAGCTTGAACACTTTTCCTCTTTTGGTGCGACTATCAGCCAGGCGCGGCGAAAACTCCACACGCAGCTAGCTCCCCTCGCCTCTTCCTCCATCTTCCTGACTGCCTGCCTATCCGACCTGTCTGTCTGCCAGACCTCACGAGCGCTTGATACATCCCCTCGATTACACCTCACGATAACACCGATCCGCCCTTCGCCTGCCTGATACCTCTCTCTTCGACCGACTGCTAATATGGGAAGCTTCGTGTTCAAGTGGTGAGTGCGCCTTATCTATCTGCCACAAGAAGCAACATGAGAGGGTCTGTCGCAATGCAGCCGCCAAAGATGCTTTGTTGCGCTACCCACAGCACTTCTGGAATCTTGACGACACCCTCGAACCTTGACAGCACCGTCGCGACCACCAGCATCGATTGGGCCGAGCTGACATATCTCTCCCCATTGATAGGGATCACCCCGCCACCGAAGTCTACGTGACGGGCACTTTTGACGGCTGGAAGAAGACCGAGAAGCTAGAGAAGGTTGGCGACCACTTCGAGAAGAACGTGACAGTACCCGATGCCTCCGAGAAGATATTCTACAAGGTTCGTCAGCAACATTTCGTTATGCGGTTCGAATGGTCCCCTCGCTTCTGTTGCCATATCATGTTGCGTTTCGCCGGACTGTCCACGAGCGCAAGGCGCTTCTGCAGTTCCGAGCCTCGGAAATACCGGCCTACCAGGCAAATAGGCCCAGAGGGCTTGCGCAACCCAAGAAGCCTCGGATGGCTGCCTAATACTATTGTCTGTTCGGCCCCCCCCAGCTATCGGCCAAAACCCGCCTTACGAAGTACTGATGCGTGTATGTCGATGCATACGCACAATTGACTTGAGGTATGACGCAATTGTTGGGGTTCGCCGATGCGCGCCGCTTGCTGCGTGCTTGAGGCCGTGTGCGGGCGGCGATGCTCATAGGTCAATTGACGAGAATCATAACAACACCAATCGAGTGCAGCGGTCCAGGTTCGCGGTTTCCGGCTTCACATCGTCACTGTCAGCTGCTGCGAACCCTGGTGCCGCTTTCCTCCCGCGGCGCAATGCAGCAAGCGAGGCAGCAGGCGCAAGGGCAGGGGCATCTCGAACGTTGGTGGAGTTGTTCAGTCCCAACCATCGTCATGGTCCCAGGCCTGCCCGGTTTCTTCAGGTGAAAAGAGGGGGGTTGTGTCTCGGTCCCTAGCGCAGCTGCTGTGCGAGCTACCCGAGAGCTTCATCTCGTGTGCTATCTCTTTTTTCGGGACGGGCTGTTTGTCAAAGTTGACATTTCTTTAATTTCCCCCCCTCCTACACCCATTCCGACACTAGCCTGTGTCCCTCCTCCGAACCTACTTCTTTACACTTCCCGCCTTTACTTACCTCTGCCTTGCCAACCCTCTTCACATACCTTCAAGAGCTAATCAGAGCCACCGATATAGTTTGTTGTAGACGGCGACTGGGTTACTGATCACACCGCACCGAAAGAAGCCGACGAGAGTGGCAACGAGAACAACGTCCTGACCCCCGAGCGCATCGTTTCGTCAGCCCCCGCAACGACAGCCATGATGAACTCTGCCCACCCCGATTCCACTACCGCTGCCCTGGCCGCAGATGCGCCCCTGGAGAAGAAGGAGGACCAGTCTGGTCTTCCTGGATCTTTCCCAGAGACGCCTGCACTGGAGAAGACGAACAGTGACTTTGGCATAAACCCGATGCCGGCCGGTGTGGGTGGCGTCAACCCCATCAAGCTTGCGCCCGGCGAGAAGATTCCTGAAGGCATTGCTGCCGAGAGCACAACCAGCCACGTCAAGCTGGACCCTGAGTCCTATGCCGCTAGTGACGCGCTTCCAGGTATGCTCCCTCACATACAATTTGCGGGACTGTCGTTGACCTAGACAAGGTGGCTTTCCTGCTGCATTCTCCTCGACTGCCCCCGAGTCGAGCACCGCTGCGCTGGCTGCAGGCGCGCCTATCGAGACCAAGGTCCCCGAGGTCGTCAAGGAGAGTCAAGCGAAGGCGCATGTCGATGCCGAGGCCAGCGGAGTCCCTGAAGAGGTCCAGGAGAAGGCTGCTCTTGAGAGCGAACTCCTCGACAAGGTGAAGGAGGCGCCCAGCACCTCCGAGGGCACTTCCGGCTATGGTACAGAGAAGACCGAGAAGACTGTCGACGCTAGCGAGGCAGCAGCAGCTGTCGCGGCTGCCGCTACCGCTCTTGGCGGTGCCGCCGTCGCCGGTGCCTTTATGGCCAAGGATGCTGCTATTGAGAAGGCCAAGGACGCTACTGTCGCTGCCCAAGCTTCTGCCACTGAAGCCGCAACCAACTTGCCTGACTCGGTCAAGGAGAAGTTGCCCGAGTCGGTCCAGAACGCCATCGGAACCACGACAAAGGAGGAAACTCGTGAGGAAGTCTCGCCTGAGGTGCCTACCGAAGTAAAGCAATCCATTACTGAAGCTGAAAAGGACCCTGAGGCTGCGGCAAACACGGAAGCTGTCGTAGAGAAGAAGGCAATGGAGGCTGAGCTTCTCAAGGAGATTACACCAGCCCAGGTGACCAGCGAGCCCGCCATCGGAACCACGCCAAAGGAGGAAACTCGTGAGGAAGTCTCGCCTGAGGTGCCTACCGAAGTAAATGAATCCATCACCGAATCTGGAAGGGCCCCCGAGGCTGCGGCAAACACGGAAGCTGTCGTAGAGAAGAAGGCGATGGAGGCTGAGCTCCTCAAGGAGATCACACCAGCCAAGGTGACCAGCGAGCCCGGCAAAGCCGAGACTCCCGCCGCGACAGAGACGAAGCCAGCCGAGGGTCCCCTGCCCGTCCTCGAGCCTTTGTCCGCACTGGCGGCTCCGGTAGTGCTGGGTCCGGAAGTGACGACCGGTGTAGAGACGAAGCCCGTAGAGACGGAGACGGAGCCTGTCGAGACGAAGCCCGTCGAGGTTCCCGAGCCCGTCATCGAGCCTGCGTCCTCACAGACAGCTCCAGTTGTGACGACCGGCGTTGAGACGAAACCTACCGAGGAGACGACTACCAACCGCGCCCCGTCTGTTGACCCTACCACGCCTGCCAAGCCTGTTGAACCGGCTGCCGGTACTCCCAGCAGCAGCAGCGTCTCCAAGCCCACCGATAGTGCCGCCACGGCCGACAAGACGGATAGTCCCTCCACGACCGACAAGAAGAAGAAGAACCGACTCTCGGCCATGTTTGGCAAGGTCAAGACCAAGCTTTCTAACAAATAAGCTGCCAAGCATCTGTTTTCGGTCTCCTTGTCTAGTCGATTTCTTCCCTTAACAGCTCATGATTCCCCATGTTGCGTCCGGTTATTCGGTATGGCGGATCGATGATGGCGGATCGATGATGGCGTACTGACATTGCTCACGTCATGCGTCTTAATGTAAATAATACCATGTTGGTTGGCATGTGTCGCCGGGTGTTTCGTCAAGTCCTTTCTTGCTCTCCCAAGGGTATAAATATAAAGGTCGCGATGAACGGCACGCGTGGCGAGACTGGCGAGGTTCTCCCTAGTTCTGCACCCTGCTTTCGTTTCTGGCCTGTACCTTGCTGCCCTGTTCCATATTCCCCTCCGTCTTCGCATCGAGGCGTTCGTTTTGTGTTCGTTGGACTCATCTCGCGTTGCTCCTGGACTTGGCCGTTGCTGTGTCCGTGGTTGCTCAATTGCGGAGGGTTGGCATGGGGAAGCACAAGACCGGCCGTGTTCGTATGGACAAAGCCAGGGAAGTATGGATCAGAGACGACATTGGACACCGATCATGCTTCTAAAGCATAGATGGAGCTCAAGTGTTGACAAAGGTGGAGAGGCAGATAGCTTAATAATGGACTTGTAGCCACATATGAACGTTCTATCTGGTGACATTCCTGGACCCGACATTGATTGCGCTCTCCTGGTACGGCCTAAGGGGTGGCATATGTGGATCATCGTCTTAGATAATGTGTTCTAGTTACAGTGAAATTCAGTACAACTAGAAAAACAATGTAAGTACTTACTAATAAGTACCTTGCGCATTTAGATGAAGAATTGGTAGTATCAAGGAGTCCAGTATATGCTGAGTCAGCCTGGTTGAGTGCAGGTGGGCCCACGTTCAGGTCGAGGTGGCGTGGAAATCGTCACCCGTCACCCGTCACCCGTCATCCCCGTCACCAGCTATTGGAAGCACGCCTGCATTTGCCCCGCCGGCCGTGACATGGTGACTCTTCTCCCTCCCCTTCCTTCTTCAACGCCTCCGGGGTTCGTCCGTCCGGGGCACTCCCGAATTACAACCACCTACCATATTCTACCAGGTGGACAACTATATGAACTCGAGCCACCAACCTACCCGAATATACTATCCTTTCCCTTCGCGTGCATTGTGTCTATGAGCGAAAGAGGCCTACACCTTCGCGCTACCTGCTTTGTGGGCAATCTGTTCGGCTCTCCCCACGTTTGTTCGCTGGTTGATTGAACCCAACAACCCGTTGTCTGGCATTCCGCCATCATGAGCTCTGGTCCGTCCAACCTGGGAGGCAAATTGCTTTCGGCTCCGACATCCTACATACCTTCTTCGCAGCCGATATCTACTCCTCAACCCAGCTTCGAATCCGGCTCACGACGATCCGGTCCGTCGAGTCCGTCGCTTCCGAGCTCAGCACCGAGAAAGGGACAAGGGTCGCGGAAACAGCACAGGAATCAGCGGAGGCCCCTGAGAGACGTTGGCAATCTGGATGATGACGACGCTATGGCCGAGATCGTAAGCCGATCCCGACTCGTCTAGATGGTGATGCAAACGCTAAACTCCTGAGATAGAGAGCTGTCCGTAATGCCTCGAGCCGCCGAGGGCAAACCTCCATCACTCACTTGCTGAACTATTCTGTCCCGACGCGTCATTATCACGAGCAGTCAAGAAGCAGTCGTCGCCATCCAACCTGGGGTCCGGGCTCGGGCTACCATGCCATTGACAAGGCGAGGTAGATACGGGCCTGCACCTAGTCTGAACCCGTTAACAGATCTTGCTGACATGGGCTCTACAGGTTTGTCCACGCCAACTACCGATTTGTAGTCTCGCCTACCGGCGACTACACTCCTCAAGCCGCCGACGCCGATAAGCACCTCGAATGGTCCGACGTCCTACAGATCCTCGCCTCCGCCGAATCCCAAACGACGTCATGCCCCATCTGTCTCTCGGAACCCGTGGCCCCCAGGATGGCACGATGCGGACACATCTTCTGTCTACCGTGCTTACTTCGGTTCATGAATTCGACAAACGATGACGAACCCAGTTCTAGACGAGAGGCACGCTGGAAGAAGTGTCCTATATGCGAAGACTCGTTTCGACTCTCCGAGGTTCGGCCTGTTCGTTTTTATGCCGGCCAGGAAAACCCGTTTCCAAGGGTTGGTGAAGACGTCGTATTGCGCTTGATGGTGCGAGAAGCGGGCTCTACTCTGGCCGTGCCGAACGAGGGAGGAGCGGATGTCGTCAACTTGGGAGAGGATGTGCCATGGCACTTTGCGGCAAGCGTCATGGACTATGCACGAGTAATGAAGGGCACACACGATTACATAGCCCAACAGTACGACCGCGAGGTCGAAGAGTTGCGACACCAGGCGGTAATGGACGAATGTCAGTTTGGAGTTGACGAGGGCGATTGGACGCAGCGAGCCATACGGGCCATCAACACCGCCAGAGACAAGATCAAGGAGCAAAATGAAGGCGTAGAAACCTTGGTTCGACCTAGTACGCTGAAGGCAAAGCACCCTGCCGGCCACAAGTTTCACTTCTATACGGCACCACCACATCTTTACCTTTCGCCGCTCGATATTCGCATTCTGAAGACCAAGTTCGGTGATTTCTCAGACTTCCCTTCAACTTTGCTTCCACGCGTGGAGCACATTTCTACCGGCCACGTGGTGGACGATGCCTTGAGGAAACGGGCCAAGTACCTTGGACATCTTCCCCAGGGCTGTGTCGTGAGCTTCTTGGAATGTGACTGGACCGACATAGTGCCGGCAGACATTCTGGAAGTATTTTCAAATGATTTGGAGCGACGACGCAAGGCCCACAGTGACAAGGCGGCACAAGAAGACCGAGAAAGGTTACAAGCGGAACGTTTGGAGGCTGCAGCTATCGGCCGCACCACCCGGAGACATTTTGAGAATGCCAACGAGGATAAGTTCGAGACGTCTCCTGCTATGAACGCGGAGGATTTCCAACCCCTCAGCTCCGTGGCTGGCACGACCCCCCCGAATCCTCGGGCAGGTTTTGGGCAGCTTGCGGGTCTATCCACAAGCCCGTCAACATCACGGACTGTCTGGGGTACAACGGTGATCTCGACCTCGCCAACTCTTGACACTGTGCAGGAGCGCGACGCCGACGACGGTTGGCTCAAGGACAACGATTTTGTGGGGGCGGCGGAAATTGCCATGCAGATGGAGGCCTTTGGTATTGATAGTGCCTCACCAGGCCCAAGCAGTAATCCAGGGGCCCCAAGTGGCGGTGGTGGTGGTGGCAAGAAGAAGAAGAAACAGAAGATCACGTTGATGAGCACTGGTGGCCGTCGTGGCAACTGAAGTCGGAGTTTCGGATGCCCACTAGATGAGCGCCTTTTAGAATGTCCATACGCGTCCACAGAGGCAGCGCAAGAGCTTGCTCAATGAGACAAATAAAACGTCCAGAATCGTGTGATTTGAGAACAATAGTCGTACGTACAATCTTCGAGGTTTGGTTTATCTCTGTCAAGAAGACGAGACTTCATCAACGGGTAACAACTGACAAGCTGCCCGTGTTTGGATGGGAGGATATCTCTTATCTTACTGCCGTTCTCAATCGAAGTGTCAGTAGCCCACTTCAAATCGCTGGCACTTCCCAACTTTTTGACGAAGGCGACAAAAGTACGTTTTCTACGGTCGCGCTTCCACATCCACGTCGCACATGTCATTCCATACCAGCTTTATATAGCCCTGGTTCGTAGCTATTTGAAGATGGTATGAAATGACATGCGCGACGTTGTAGCGGTCGTAGCAACTTCGAATAACGTATTTTTGTCTTTCTGTTAATTGGATTGATTTTAGTTGCCGAGGCACGAAGGCTATGGAAGGGTAATGGAGGGGTAATATGATAATTTCATAGATAATAACTTACAAATGAGCGAATATACGTCGTATTAATATAACAAAATATGATTTAAAACCGTAATAGATAAAGCTAAGTTAAAAACATCGTGAAAATAAATTTAGCTTATAATAACGTATATATATTAAATGACTTTTTTATGATACTTAAGAAAATTTAGGTAATTTTTTAAAAACTTCTATGTTAAACACTACATATTTTATATATACTAACCTTTTTAACATCCTCAATATTGGCTATAATACGGCTTGTTTTATTAAAAAGCCCGTTTTAAAAAAGTCGGGAGGTGCCAGCGTTTTGAAGTGGGGCACTGACACTTCGCTTGAGAACGGCAGTATCTCGACCCCGCCAGCTTCACATCACAGGCACCCGTAATCAAAGGTAGGTACTTACCTTATGCCTTGTTGCCGGATGGTAGATATGCATATATCATCTTACCGTGTAATATATTCCTTCTGAGTCGGTATATCAGCAAACATCCTCATGATTCCGAGTCCATAAACTCAGCTTTCTCGACTGGCAACATTACATAGGAGCCGAAGATGGCCGCCCACCGCGATGAGCACCTCCCACCACCCCTCACCCTAATCTACCCGCCCCTCCTCAACTCGGCCAACCCCTGGGCGACGACGCTTGAGGATCTAAAAGGGCTGTTCGGCTGTCCCCACACCGGCGCCGTCACGACGCGGACGGCGCTGCTGGACGAGGGGTTCGCGCATGATGACTTGGTGCATCAGTATGCGTTCTTTGATGTTGGTACGCATGTTTCTGGGGGGTTTGGGTCGGGGGGTGGTGGCGGGGATGGGGATGGGGGTGGTGATGCGGGCGTGAAGGAGAAGGATAGTGTGCATGCGAAGCGGAACGAGAACGCGAACGCGAGTCTGAATACCCTCGGCTATAGCCCCATCCCGCTGGACTCGTATCTGGACTTTATCGGTACTATCTCCGATGCCCTCACATCGGAGTCTGATCCAGATTCTGCGATGGAGCAGAAGAATAAGAAGATGAATAAGAAGAAGGGAGAGAAGGAGGGGGAGAAGAAAAGAAAACCCTTCATCATCTCCGTCACTGGCGACCCGGCCGAGGTCGCCGAGTGCTACCGCCGCATCGCGCGGCGCCAGCGCGCGGTGCGCGTGCCGCTCGCTATGGAGGTTAATCTGAGCTGTCCGAATATCCCGGGGAAGCCGCCGCCGGCTTATGAGGGGGTGGCGCTGGGGTTGTATTTGAGGGCGGTTTGTGAGGCTGTGGGGGGAAGGGGAGATGGGGGAGGGGAAGGGGATGGAGGTGGAGGTGGAAGAGAAAAGGCGGTTCGGATACCCTGGGGACTGAAGACACCGCCGTACACGCACGCCGGACAGTTCGAGAGGCTGGCCTCTGCGCTGCGGGAGGCTGGCTCTTATTACTCTGGATCGAGATCTACGTCTGGGGATAGCGACGGGGCTGGAGCACCTTGTCCCGTCAGTTTCATCACGGCCACGAATACGCTTGGCTCCTGCCTCCTCCTCGCCGATCCCAGCCCCGACCCCCATCAACAGCCATCACCGAAGCTCCCGGGCGCCCTCGGCATCGGCGGCATGGCCGGCGCGCCGCTGCACCCCCTCGCGCTCGGCAACGTGGCCACGCTACGGCGGCTGCTGGATGCGGATGTGCGGACGCGGCATGTGGCTCTGATTGGGGTCGGTGGTGTTGAGGATGCAGCTGGGTACCGCCGAATGCGGGCTGTGGGCGCGGTGGCGGTGGGGGTGGGCACGGCGTTGGGGAGGAGGGGGGTGGGGGTTTTTGAAGGGATTGAAGGGGGGTTGGGGGGTAGGTGGTGATGGTGAGGTATTCAGGGGGGTAGGGGGATAGGGGGCTAGGGGTTGGAGGTAGGTGGTGGGTGTTCGTAGGGAGAGGTGATCGAGAGTTGCTACGGTAGGGATGCGATGGTGTGACAAGGTAGTGACACAGGTGGGCTTGGGATAGCGGTAGAGTAGGACAGCAGTAGAGTAGGATAGCAGTAGGCCAGGACAGCTTTGATGGTCTTTTGGAATTAGACTACGTACCTGAGAATCAACAATCTATTCTGGTTGCTTTGTTTTCGTTGATAGGTATCGTAAGTTGTCGTGTAGGTACGGTACCATTTGTCTGAACGTTGGGAGACATGGACGTCTATGGCCATACCCTAATATGCCTAGAACTGCATTCGTTAGGCTTGCTTGCACTCACATATCTCAGATGCAAGCAGGACGGGATATAAGACGTGAGGCAGGAGCGTCAACGTTAAGGGGGAAGGGGCAGCGCTGGTTGTCGACCGACGAATACCCGATATGATCGTTTGGAACTAGCTGTGGCCAATTTTTCCAACTCTTCAACTTCCATTTCTACCTTAAGTACTCAACATCTCACCTACGCATACCTTGAAAATAAGTACCCTTTGCTTTCATCCTCCGTGGCTGGCCGCTTAAAAAGAGCAAGGCCGGCTATCATTTGTAGCTATGAGTGACAGCACTCCGTTGCTTGGCGAGTCCGATTTTCAATAGGATGACGCGACACCACTGCATCGATGCCGCACGTTTGACGAGGCAGTAGCGCAGGGCCATCTCGCGTCGATTCTCGCAAGTATGGTAATCTGAAACTGGAGTATGATGAAGACGGTTGACCAACAATTCAAGCAGCTCAGCCCTCGTATGAGGAAAGGGGTGTCGCGGGGACCCTGAGGTCCGGATACCATGCGTGCCGAGCAAAGACACAGCGGTTCTTCCGATCCAAGACGAAGCATTGGCTGATCCTGACGATGATCATCCTCGACATCGCGGACATTCTCACCGATGTCTTCATCGCGCTTATCACCTGCGAGCTGCGAAGAGAAGACGAGCCGTGGGTGGCGCCGACGAGAGCTGCCTTGGCATACTTCGCGAGTACGTTGGGTCGCCTCTTCGTGGTCGAACTGATACTCTCCGTCTTCGCCGACGGCCTGGAGTAAGTCAAGTCAGCCCGGGGAAGAGCTTTTAAGGTTTGGACTGGGACGCTGACCACCACCACCACCGCGACACAGGTTCTTCTACAACTGGTCCCACTGCTTCGACGCCTTGGTCATTGTGCTAGGCTTTGCCGTTGACCTGCTGGAACACAACGTCACGGGAGAGATAGTTTCTCTGATCGTCATACTACGGCTGTGGCGGTTCTTCAAGATCGTCCAGGACTTTTGGGGCGAGCAGGCCGAGCAGACGGAGGAGTTGCGCAAGCGGGTCGAGGACCTGGAGAAGCGCAATGCGGATCTGGAAGCGCAGCTTATGATATGAACCGATAAGCTTCCCGTCGGCTTTGCAGGTTTCATGCTTCACCTGACACCTACTGTTGGCAACGTTCATGGTGCCATCTGGTTGGGCTAACTTGACATTGAAGGTTCACGCTGGAGGGAACCTTAATTGAGAGCCACCTAATGTTGCTAATGGCAACGTGGTCATGAGACATGAAGTGGCGTATACTAGTCGAAGAGCTTCGTCTTGACACCAATGGCTCTTGTTCGGTCGACAGGTTCCCCAGCCACGTGTGTCCTGTGGAGAGGTTGCTCATCAGGCCGGAGCGCAACATGTCCATCCTTCGTTACACATACGAACTTTGGCTCAATGTTCAGACTTGCACTCTACTATCGGGAAGTTTGGTGCGGCTGGTGCAAGTCCAACAGACTCCCTCATTGTGGTTCAATCCTAGGCACGGAGTATAAACTATAGAGAGTTGAAAACGCAAATCTGTGAGGGTTCGATTCCGGAGTGTACTTGTCGAGGGATATCAATGTCGCACCGGATCAGGACCGGACCCTGAATACCTTAGCTCGAGGCACCCCGTGATCTCCAGGTTGGCGCCATAGTTGACGGGTAGCAAGCCACCCCTTTCGCAAGTACATTGGCCAATCACGGCCTCAGTCCCCCTTCAACTAAGAACACGACGAATCTGATAGCTTCAGATGATCATTTTGAGCTTCAACCATTGTTTCATTAGAACCATCGTATACCCGAAGGCATGGCTATTTCGCTATCTCGTACCTAATAGTCCTACCTTTGCCTCTTGATTGGGGCAATATACATGGACACGGCGCCATCCCCCGATGCTGTAGTCCGATAGAGATGGCCATATCTGACCGGCGTAGGCTGGGAAGAATGAGGAAAGACTCCACGATCGTGTTTCAGGCCAACGGGGCAAGTAAGCCTAGAAGCGGACGAGGACTCCGGTGCCAAACTTTATTTCACTCGGGGTCCTTTCATGTTTACTTGATGGCTATTTGAGATCCCATAATATCAATACTTGCGTGGTCTGCTGCAGTCGTCTCTCTTAACTCGGATTCAGTTGAGATCTCATCATCACCATCGATTCGCTCGTTTACCATCAATGATACACATCGTCATCGTCTATTCCTTCGCTCAAGCACCATGAAGACCACCATACTCCCCGTCGCCTTCCTGGCCGCCACTGTCGCGGCACAGTCGACAAACGCGTGCGCCGCGCAGCCGGTCGTCGACACTTGTCTGTCGACGACGCAGGCCCTTGTCAGTCTCTGCTCCGCGACGGACTACGCGTGTCTCTGCGAGAAGTACACGGCTAAGTTGGTGTGCGTATACCTGATCCAGACGAGGGGGAGGGACGGAGAGTAGGAGAGTAAGGGTGGTGTGCTGACTGGGATACTGACTGACTGCGATAACGAAACAGGTGCTTTGCCAATTGCCCCAATGACCCCCGGGCGCCGGGCGTTGCGACTAAAAAGGATAACGTCTGGTATGTAGCTCTTCGTATCACATCGGGTGTTTGAGTTGGCCGTCGATGCATGGGTACTATTACGAATGAAACGAGGAGCTGTCGTCAGAGTGGGATTTTGCGCACCATCTTCCGCGAACCCCCTATATCCCCTATTGTACACAGGACAAGCACCACCACCACCACCATCATCGCTAGGTACATAACACCACATACTCCTCCTCCTAGCTAACCAAACCTCCCCCTAACAGCAATAACGTCAGCGTCAATACCGCCGCAACCACCACCGCGCCCGCTCCCAAGAGCATTTCCAGCTCCGGCTTCGGCTCCGGCTGTAGCCAGCCCGCCCCCTCCAACGGGGACGCGGCACCGGCGACCAAGACGGGCCCGGACGATGACGAGGCAAGCGGCGCTGCCGACGCCTGCGACGGTGAGGAGACCGGGACCGCCCACCCCGGCGCGTCGGCGAAGACGGCAGGCGCGGCGGAGCTGATGGCGAGCGCGGTGGGGGTGCTGGCTGCTGTTGCTGGGGCGGCTGTTGTGATTTTGTAGACTCGTGGTGGGAGGGAGACAGGAAGGGGGCACAGTATGGGGGTCAAGGGGTTAAGGGGTCAAGGGGTTGATGGTTGATTCGTTATTAGAGGGGCGTTTCGTTGAAGGAATCATGAGAAGGGTACTGTCGGATATGCGAACGTGGATGAAGGATAGAAGTTGACACGAGAAGGGAGGGAGGACTATTCTTGCTGCTGATGCTGGCCGTTGCTTGCGCGTACGCGGACTACCCAGATGTACCAATAAGACTTGCGGTGGAAGAAATATGAGCGACGGGACCGCCTCCACGGCAACAATACATCTCTTTTGTTCGAAACGGAATTAGAGGTACTCCTCCCACACTGAAATCACAAGACCTGGTATGGACACGAGGTCACAAATTTCCCTGCCCTTGGAGGTATGATATAGCTATCCCCCATCTTTGGCTCGTCTGACGAGGGTTGCTTGCCACGTCCCTATAGACCACAGGGAGAGTTCAGAAAGCGGCGTAGCTTTTTAGACGTTGAAGACAATCAATTAACCATCCAGATGTACCAATGTGTGTGTGTGTCTTGCTTTCTATTCCCTGGAGCCTGATAGCCTAGAAGTAAGAGAACCTAACTGAGCCGGAAGCCTAAACCGGAAGATCACCAGAGATAAGATTTTACTGCTCGCGTGGATGTAGTACCTAGGTATCAGCAGGCTAACGAACCCATGATAAAGTAGTCCCGTATAGCCGACGTCCAAGATGAGTAGGTAGGTAGTCAGACACGCAGCCCAATACACACACCATCAAGCAACCACGCCGTCTTCCGTCTTCTTGTCCGCCTCCTTGTTTATACCCATATGCTCATCCCTCTCAGCATCCATACCCACATCCCTGACCACATCCCCATCCACCTCCTTATCCCACTCAGAAAGACCCCACTCGACATCCATACCCGCATCCATAACCTCATACATAATACCCCGGGGCATTTCCGCTTCCAAATCCACACCCGCGTCCCCATCCATCTCAGAAGAACAAGCCACTGACCCTGACGACCCCGATACCGACGACGAGGGCGAGCACGACGACGAAAAAGCCAAAGATCCCCCAGCCACCAGCGCCGGATAGCGCCGACAGCTCTGCTCGACGGCCTGCGAGACGATTCTTAAGTCGTGCAGCGAGTCCTCGCTTCTTTGGTCGCGGCCGTGCAGGCCGAACTGGCAGGCGTGGCAGAACAGCGGCGCCGGCACGGCGTTTGGGCACTTGCACCAGCAGACGCAGAGCTGATGGGTCATTTTGTTTTTCGTGTTGGTGTTGGTGTTGCTCCTATGGTATGGTAGTGGTTGTTCGTGGTTGTTCGTGCTTGAAGGTAGAGGGGAACGGGGGTTTAGAGAGGCTGAGTGTTCCTGGGGAATGGACCGGGAAGTGGGGTTATGGCGGGCTCTCGCTCCTTTGTTCTGGCTCTTGCTTTGGGGTTCGGCGGTCTGGGATGTTCACCGAGAGTTGAGAGCTCGGCCTGTCTGTGTGTGTCTCTGTAGAGGCTCTGCGGCTTTGCGTTCAGGATGGGGTGAGCCAGAGGGAAAGGGGGGAGAGACAACTGCTAAATCTTGGAATTTATAGTCTGCCGACATACAGACGCTGTGGAGGGACATATTCACTATCGCAAGGCGGATAATGGTAATGTTGTCAGACATGAATGCGTATCAGGGGCTGAATGGTTGCGTGGATGAATGCGACTCCCTCGGCCATCCCGTATTGTGACTGCAACAGGAACTGAGTGACCACATGCAAGAGGTCTGTGAGTCCGCAGGTCGCAGTCTGCCATCATCATGTCTATTGTTTGGCAACTCGGCTGGTGTGCTGACGGTCAAATCGACTATCACTGAAGCTTATCCCCTTCAAGGGGGCCCGGTTATCACACGTAGAAAGTGAAGGGAATTGAAAGCCATGTTTGCTGTCTAAACCTTGTATACACTCCCACGCGGCATCATATGTACATTGGTCGATGAACAAAAGAGAGGATTGCATATCGTGTATGGAATTGGTTCTCACCACCTCCGCTCCTCTACTTCCGGTACCACATTCTCGTGATCTTGGTCTGCCTCATCTTCCGCTGCAGCTGGAAGATACCGTACATGAGCGCCTCACTCGTGGGCGGGCATCCGGGGACGTAGATATCGACGGGCACGATGCGGTCACAGCCACGGACGACACTGTAGCTGTAGTGGTAGTAGCCGCCACCGTTGGCGCAGCTTCCCATGCTGACAACCCACCGCGGCTCGGGCATCTGGTCGTAGACCTGGCGCAGGGCCGGGGCCATCTTGTTGGTCAGGGTGCCGGCCACGATCATGACGTCGGACTGGCGCGGCGAGGCGCGGAAAATGATTCCCAGGCGATCTTGGTCGTAGCGCGGCGTCGACAGGTGCATCATCTCGACGGCACAGCAGGCGAGACCGAAGGTCATGGGCCATAGCGAGGACTGTCGTGCCCAGTTCGCAACCTGGTCGAGTGTGGTTCTGGGGGGCACTTGTTAGCTCGGATCCCTGATGATCGTGAGGTCGCGGTGGTAGTCGTACAATGCGTATTGCATCGCACCCTTCTTCGGTGTCTGGCTGGCGAGCGGGACTTCTTTACGTTCGCGGCGGGCGATGCCGGCCGAGGCGTGTGGTGTCACCGACGTGGCATCTTTCTTAGGAGTGGTCGTGATGGTGGCCACGGACTGAAGAGGGACGAGACGGGTAGTAGGCTTCGCTGTATGGCGCGATACAAGTCAGCGCTGAGCCCATCTTTCGCACGGCAGGGAGTGGCGGGGGGTTCATCACAAACCTCTCAACGCCAGGGTGGCCGCTCTTCTTGAAGACGCCAGCATCTTGCTTGTCGTGAATATCTGCTTCGTAAGGTAGAGGGAGCGGAGAATGTTATAGGATGGAGTGGAGAGGGTTAGCACTTGGCAGGAGTTGTGGTGGCGGACTGAGTTGCTCGACGAGCTGCGACTCTCTCAGGTCAAGCAATCATCACCTCAATCTCGAACTTGCCCGGTCAAATTGACGTTAACGACGGGACAGAGCTGCTTTCGCCGCTTCGCTAATCAATAAATGCCGCACTCTGAGTGGCCACTGCTGGAGGTGGGTACCCACCAACCTTGTTTTTCCGAGTCCCGACCCTTGCCACCTCCACCAGCTGCCACCACCTGCGTGCCGTAGTACTCAGTTGAAACAATTGAAGATTGGTTGTCTTCAGAGGTCAACATTGATAATCCCAGCGGTATTCGAAGTCTTCACCGCCATAGCCTTTGGTATGAATTTTAAGATGCTGGAATTTGCAGTGTAGTTGGCAGGTAGTAATACCATGTCATCAAAACCATCAGAAGTTCTGTGTAAGTGCTGGCGATTTACTAAATTGTTGAACTTCAAGCTTGCGGTTTCGATGTTGGGCTGACCTGGCCTGACCATCTCAATCTTGCCCACAATTCCACAACTCAGCACCAGACGACCAAGGGACAAGGTCGCCCTCGTTTGATATGATGAACATATATGCCTTGCCGGGGTTGATAATGTGAAGGCTTCTGATCTTTGCGTTCGACATGGTATATTTTTGCTTAGTCCGGGCGCCGATGTGCCCATCCACCGTCGTTTCCTGCCATCGGTTCCATACCAGATATCCAGTGGTCTTCCTTGACAACCTTGCGCTGTACTGACTCGCGAGTGAGCATGTCAGCATGTTCGGGCGGCGAGGTTACATGCGATACGGGGAAGAGTCAAGACATTCAGCCCAGGTTACATGTCAAGTTTCAGATTTCAGTCGGCGACTCATTCCAGGAGAGGAAGCAAAAGTGAACTACGATATTCCCACTTCCACGTGTCCATGCAGGTACATGGAGTCAGTCCTGTGCGTTTTCCGCAATGTCACGTTCCGCGAACCATTGCGACGTTGACTCGGAGGGCGTGTCAACTGGCACCGGCACAACGGGTCGCACGCCACACACCCGACACTGTTTGGTCCGGGTTTGACTCGACCAATACAGTAAAAGGCCGTGCACGATAGCAGTGTGTAATTCGATACTGTTTGTCAATTAGGTAACGTCGCCCGGGGTTCATACGAACGCTGCTGAGCATGCTCACACAGTCACACCTGACACTGACAGAAGGGAGTGACAGTGACAGGCGGAATATCAAGTGAGACGGGATGCGATACTATTCCCCAGCTTGTATTCCCTATTCCCTGATTGACAAGTTATTGATTCATTCCTTGGATATTCATTCCTCCGCCATTTGATGCATGCAGGTGATCCACGGCCCACGGGCGGTGTTCGGCCCCCGTCCCGCTGCAGAGAGTCACAGTGACCGAGGGAATTAAAAATGAACCCTGACCCCTGGCCAAGAGAATCTGGGGTAAGACAGGGCCTCGTTTTGACATTTTCCCACACCCTGGTCAGTGGTCGCATCCGAGGGCATCAACGTCACCAATCTCAAAAATGAGCATTGACCAAAACCCACCGGCAAATGGGCAAAGCTGCACCAAAGGATGGATGGGCCAACAGCCGCCCAAGTTGCCCAACCGCTACGTAAGTTGGTAAGCTATCAGCTTCGCTTCGTGCCCAGGTGTAGATCTACATGATTACATCTATACATCTATGTCATCTCCTTCGCAGCTTCGATGGGCAATGGTTCCCCCTTCTCCGCACGCACAATCGAGTCCTCGAACCCCCGAACGCCGCTGTCTGTCCGCCTCGAGGACAGACAGACGTCACAGACAAGGAGCGACAGAGGCGACTAATATATATATGTACAATTTATTATTACTGGCGTCTGGTATCACTCACTGATCAGAATACCTTGGGTCAGTACATACCGCTCTTCGTTCACCGCCCCTCCCTACTTCCCTACTTCGTATAGCTGTAGCCAACGACCGAGTGGTCCGTCTCTACTAGCCTCATCCTCCTCTTCGCCTCCACCACCACCACCACCGCCACGACGACGAAGCACCTCCATCCATCACCGCCGCCGCTCCCGCCGCCGCGCCAGTGGCGCCACCATCGTGGTTCGCCTGCAATCCTCCTCGCGGGGTAGGCAGCCTTGAATCTTTGTTTCTGCACCTAGCTACCTAGATACTTGCCTGTCTGATTCTCCTCATCGATTCTCTAGTATATCTCTCAACGTTATCCGTGTCACTACTCCTGTTCTTACTTAGCCCCAGGCTTCTTCCCCCGCGAGTCAGCTCTTCGTGTCCTTCATCGGCCTACTAGACTGATTGACGAGGTGGACCACTAGCTCATTTCCACCTTTCGCCTTTGCGCAATCGCCTGGATCCGAAAAGAACGAGGAGCCAAGGATATCAAAAGCTGGGGGCGCTTTCCAGACCACCACTTTCCCGCGCCTTGGCCTCTGAGCCTGAAATAATCGAGTCATTGACGCGGCATGCCTCAATCTTCTGGACTTCTTCATCAAGACTTTGTGTCTGCGCGGCCAAAACCTCGCCAGGTCCATCGTTGACACGCCAAATACTGCTCCTCAGGCGAACACGCGTCCCGCAGTCCGATATGCTCTGATGGCCCTGCTCAAGCATCCGGGTCGCTAACCGACACCGTTCACGCCATGTCGTCTACCAATGACCCAGATCGGGGCCCTGCCGTGTTCGCTGTGACCACAGCCACTCTCGTCCTGGCTACCTGCTTCGTCGCCGCGAGACTCGCCTGTCGCGTTGGCATTGTGCGACACATCAGCTGGGATGATTACTTCATCGTAACCGCATGGATCCTTGCTGTCGCCCTCAGCTTTACCATTGATCTCAGCACCAGGAAGGGTTTGGGCCGGCACGACGAGAACATTGCCGCTGAGGACTGGAATACACTCCGGCGTTGCGAATATGTCTTCTCGGTTCTATATAATCCAGCTTTAATGGCCTTCAAGACGTCGATACTCGTTTTCTACCTCCGCCTCTCCAAGGACACCCAGAAGGTGCTGCGGCTGTCGTCTTGGGGTGTCCTGGCGGTGGTCAACGTCGCTGGTCTGGTTCTGACTCTGATCAACATCTTCCAATGCAGCCCAGTCCAGGCCGCCTTCAACCCTTACCATTCCACGGCCTATTGCATCCCGCTGTTGACCGAGTACATTTGTTCTGCTCCGATCAACATCGTCACTGATCTGGCCATACTCGCCTTGCCGCTTCCCGTGCTGACAGGCATGAGGTTGCCACTGAAGCAGAAGGTCATCCTGATTATCACCTTTGCGCTAGCTATCTTTGTTACCATCGTGGATGTCATCCGCATCTATTACCTTCAGCAGGCCATCACCCAGGTCTCCCCGATTGTGTCGAAAGACCCTGCCGCCACATTTGGCGATTCGCCGCAATTCGCCTGGAACGCCTCGCTCTCGCTTATGTGGTCTGCTGTCGAAGTCAACGTGGGTATCACTTGTGCCTGCATTCCGACTTTGAAACCGTTAATCATTCGTATCCTTCCGGCTATGCTCATCGATCCCGACGGAACCCGAAGAGGCTCCGACACGGTGGACAAGCCGCCGACCTCCCAACTTTCAGACGGACCTCAAAGTTCTGATAACGGGCAGGATATTCACACCATCACTCAACGGGAGCCTACTCGCCCTGGACCGGCTCATGCGGCGGATGACGACATCGATGCTCAGATTGCGGCCATGGAATTCCTCACCACACCGGCGGATATGGCCGGTTCCGGGCTCAGAAGGACTCGCACCGCACTGACGACCGTTACCACCAACTCGAATGGGGTCGAAGCTTCGGGAGTCTACTTCGGCTTCGTTAACATGCGCAAGCCGAAGAGCATGATCAGGACCTCGACGCGAGACTCGTTCAAGTATTGCACCTTGGTCACGATCCTATTCGTGCTCTGGGGCTTCTCATACGGTCTTCTCAATACCCTTTCGAATGTGGTCGCGACGATCTCGGGCATGACCGTCCCGCAGACGTTAGGTCTGACAAGCATTTACTTTGGTGCCGGGTATTTTTTCGGGCCCCTTCTTTTCGGAGAATGGATATTGCGCCACGATGAGCATGGGAGACTGGGAAAGAGGGAGAAAGCAAAGCACGCCGAGGACAAGATAGGTGGCTTCAAGGCAACATTCAGTAAGAAAGCTTCCCGCGCACATGCTTTCGACTTGGAATGTCTCTCTTGCCTTATTTGCGACTGGGTTGAAAGAATAAAACCCCTTGGAGAGTTAGTCTGAAAGGTCAAACGATCGACTGCTGACAGTTGGGACTCAGTCATAGGGCTATGCATATATGCTGTGGGCACGATAATGTTCTGGCCGAGTGCTGTTCTCACCTCATTCGCTGGGTTTATGATCTGCAACTTCGTCGTTGGGTTCGGCCTCGCTGTCCTAGAGACCGCAGCGAACCCATTCCTGGCCCTCTGCGGACCTCTCGACTACGCAGAAATGAGGTTACTCTTAGCTCAAGGGATCCAAGCTGTCTCCTCCGTCGTGAGTGGATTACTAGCGCAGAAGGTCTTCTTCGTCGACCTCAGTGCACACGGTTCTGACACTTCGATGACGCTTATCGACGTCCAATGGACATATTTGGCCATCACGCTCTCCTGCGTGGCACTCGCACTGTTCTTCTATTACATGCCTTTACCAGAGGTCACTGATGCTGAACTGGAAAACTCCACACGGTATCTCCCAGTCGATCCCAAGAAGCGTAGCTTTGGAGGGTTGCAACTGCGAACTTGGACCTTGGCGCTGGCTGTTCTCGCTCAGTGGACCTACGTCGCGAGCCAGGAAAGCATGAGCATCTTCTTTGGAGCCATTCTCACATCAGTCGCAAGGGTTTCTACCTCTATAATGACTAGAGATAACACCAGAACAACAGACCATGCGACGGAAGACTTGGTAGATCACCCGGATGGTCTTGCGATGTCTATCTCGGACTACCTTCTCATAGCTCACAGTGCTTTCGCCATTTCCCGTTTCCTCGCAGCTTATATCGCCTATCTTTCGCCTTCTCATCCCAAGGTTCCCCAGCCACATACTATCTTGACAATCTGTACAGGATGCAGCATTGCCTGTGGTGTTGTACTCGCAGCTCTCCGTACAAGCAACTCAAACTTTCTCGCCATTCCGGCGATACTTTTCTTCTTTTTTGAGGGCCCTATATGGCCCCTCATCTTCGCGCTTGGACTCCGAGGACAAGGTAGACGGACCAAACGGGCAGCAGCTTATATCACAATGGGAGCCTCGGGGCCCGCCTTCTGGCCCTTCGTTAGTAAGTCTATTCTTGCAGTTGCCACCTTCCGTCTCTTTGCTTCCCAAGCTTGCCTCTGGATGCTTTGACAGGATTGTAATCTGCGACAACTTTCTGTATACCCGAAACATAACCGAACAATTCATGCTGACTACGGATATTGCAGTGTACGAGATTAACCAGAAAGGGGGTAGCTACCAGACGGCATTCATCGTAGTGCCTGCTCTTCTCGTCATTACTGGCTTGTTCTCTCTCTTCCTAGATTTCAAGCGAAATGCTAGGATGCTGGTCGATGCCCGGGTCGGTGCCGAGCAACAGTCGCGGATACAAGACCGCGCAAATCGCGAGATGGACCTGGACGATATCATTGCGGCAAGAAGAAGGGCCTCACTAAGCGGACAGTCGGACCATCACGAAAGAGGGAGTTTCGTCAAAAGATTTTCGGTTGCCTTGGGCAAAGGCAGGAACAGCCCGGAACGGGTCACTAACGAACACCGGGAGTCAAAGAGGAGCGGTTCCGGGTGAACCACGTCCCCTCGACCACAGTCAAAAGGAACCATGATGGCGACGAACTCATTTAATCCAGGGTCGTCTGCACCGCTCCATGAAGGAGAAAGTGCGACATCTGTCGAGGTCGCTCGAGACGGTCCACACAGGCGACCAACCAGAAGGATCGTGGTTACGGGAGCTATCTCAAGCTCAACTGCATCATATTCGGCATTACGTGCTCGCTAGTCTCTTTGGCACCAATGGTGCAAATGCCGGTAGGCTGAGCTACGACTATGAGAGCAAGGCTTCTTGGGAAGGAGCAGAAACCCGAGGAGACGCGATCCGATCCACACGGCGCTGCTTAGACCTGCCGACTCGAGCTTTGCCCCTTGGTGCCGGCGGACACATTCAGCTACCTCCGGAGGAACATTGCACGTCAAAAAGGGTCGGACGTCGGCGCAATCATCGAACGTCCCGGCACCAGAGCCACAAGGCGACTTTGCATCTAGAAACTGTAAGATGTGTCTGCAGCAAGCATCGTTTTGGGGAAGTTCAAAGTATGGACTATCCCATCCTGGCGGCTTTCGAGCTTAGAATCCTGCATTCCTAGGCTTTGTTAGATGGAGAGAAGCTCGGCTATGGTGTTTCTGATCCGTAGTGAGAGATACACAGGCATGCATGGAGAACATGTGCTTTGTGTTTTGGAGGACTGCCTATCTTAGGTAACTCATAGTTTGATACCCGTGAAAATCAACTCAAACTCATGCCAATGCCGATTCTATCGTTGGGCCATTAAAGACTGAGACAAGCTGAATAATTGCTGTGATGCCGGAAGTGTCGGCGTAATCCATGTTGCGCCGAGGTGACCCGCCGAAAGCAGTGAAGGAAGATCGGCTCTTGCCGGGCCCGACTTCTCAGAAGATGACTGGCACAGCTTACCAATCCGATAAACGCCAGTAGCATTGATGATGTCGCCATCTGAAGCTATCAACCTCCAAGCAACCTCTTCAATGTTGATAGCTTTGTTCTGAATTGTTTTCCGTATCAATTGAAGCCATAAGGTCCGGAGGCGCAGGATCAATCTAAACCCGGCAATCCGCACCCTCGAGCGCGCCGTGCGCTCTCGGAACCAGGGTCAAGTAGGGTTGGCCAAACGCGCATCCAATTCTCACTCCTATCTTACATGCCTGTACTTGGCCGAGCAAGAAACACCAGACTTTCATCTCACAACAGCCACGATGCCGCCTCAGCCCCTACTAGCCCAAACCGCACCGTCGCGGTCCGATGAAGCGCAGTCGGATGACTCGTCATTAACGGCTAGGGAGGATGTCATGTCTACCACTGAAGAGACGCCGCTGCTGCTGCCGGGGTCAGGGGATGCCGACGGCGACGACCTCGACACGGCCAAGCAGACGGTCACGCGCGGACGGGCTGTGGCGATCATGCTGAGTGTTTATGTGCTTATCTTTCTGCAAGGTGAGCCTCCTACCTGGAATACCGTACCTATTGTCCTCGTCGATCCTGACAGAGCTCTCCAGCCTCCAACATGAGCGGCATAACCATGGCGCAGTCCATAATAGCGGCCGACCTCGACGCCTACGAGAACGCCATGTGGTTCACGACGTCGTTCCTGGTGGCGCTGTCGTCGACGGCGCCGCTCTTCGGCAAGCTGGCGTCGGTGTTCCCGCCGCGCGCCATGGTGCTGGTCGCGGCGCTGCTGTTTGGGGTCGGGTGTTTGATCACGTCGCAGGCGCGCTCTTTTGGGGTGTTTATCGCAGGAAGGGTCGTCACGGGCATGGGTGGTGGCGGCACGATGGTGCTGGCGCTGATCCTGGTGCTGGAGCTTACTACGAAGAGGAATCGGGGGGTTTTTGTTGGGCTTGTGTGAGTGGACGAACCATCACCCTCGTATTGTCGTGGCAGTTGTTCTTCGGGGGGATGTGCTGACTCCTGGTCTGCAGTAATGCTGGTTTCACTACGGGTGTTTCATTGGGCGCAGTCTTCTTCGGTGGTTTGATAGAGACCACCGGTTGGGTAAGCTTGGTCTGGGATTCGTGATAGTGTACGGCAACTGATCAAGCCTCCAGCGAGCTCTGTTCTGGATCCAGGTTCCTCTGAGTCTGGTGGCAGGTCTCGGTGTTTTCTTCAGTATCCCGGGTTCCATGACATCCGGTCAGGGCTCCAAGGTTACTTCAACTCTGGGCACCAAACTCAAGCGCATCGACTATCTCGGCGCGCTGCTTCTGGTACGTTTCTCTCTCCCCCCCAAGGAAACCTCTATGATCCTGATTGATGACGATACAGACCGCCACCGTGGTGCTCTTCCTGTTCGGCCTCTCCGGGAAGATCCAGCCTATCCCCCTCGGCGTGTCTCTGGGGACAGTGATCCTCTTCGTCCTGACGGAGAGATATGTGGCAGCGGATCCCATTGTTCCTCTCTCCGTACTTCTGAACCGCGGAGCTTTGCTGTCTTGTGTGGCTCAGCTTGGCTTCATGGCCGCCCGGTGGACGGTGCTGTTCTACGCCCCGATCACGGCGCTGGCCGTCATGGGCTTTCCCCTGGCGGCGAGTGGCAGTATTCTCATTCCTACTAACCTGGGATTCGGCCTTGGTGGACTGCTTGTTGGTGTAAGGTCTCCTCCCTTCATATAAAACCTGACTCACTCCTCGCGTTGGCTCGCTGCGAAAGCAACGATGGCGGAATATCATGCCTTCCGAACAAGTGTACTAACGCTTGCTGAATAGTGGCTGCACATCCGCCGCGCAGGAAGCTTCTGGGCACCCAGCCTCATCTGCTTCGGCCTCTTCGGCGCGAGCCTGCTGGCTCTCTCCTTCGCCTCCACTCCCGAAACCCCGCTCGCCCTGTACGTAACCATCGTCTTTGTCAATGGCCTCTTCACGGGCGCGGCGCTCAACTACACGCTGGCGCACGTGCTGCACCTGACGCCGCCGGACACGCACTACGTGGCCACGAGCCTGCTCGGCACGTTCCGCGGCTTCGCGGGGAGCTTTGGTAGTGCTATCGGCGGCGGCATCTTTGCGCGCACGCTGCGCGGCAGTTTGGAGGATGGGCTTAGGGCCATTGATGGTGATGGTAGTGGTGGTGGTAATGGGGAGCTGGGGAGGGAACGTCGGGAGCTGGTACGGAAGCTGGTTGGGAGTCCCACGCTGGTGTATAATGGTGGGCTAGAGGAGGATGTGCGGGCCGTCGCGGTAAGGGGCTATGTTGATGCCTTGAGGACCCTGTTTCAGGCGGCTGTCGTGCTGACGGTTGTTGTGCTGGTCATCCAGGCTGCGACGGGGTGGAAGGGGCCGGGGGATAAGGTGGTGGATCGGGAGGAGGGCGCGGATGGTGTGGATCGGGACGGGGAGGGTGAGGATTGAGATAGGGAGTAGTTGGGTGTTGTAGATTTTAGGCAGTAGTTGGTGGCGGCCCGGCTTTGAGGGTGGTGTACAGTATTGTGCACTTAGACTTGTGTGTATATAGATTTGTTCCATATAGAGGCAAAGCGCGTTCTTGCATAGCGAATACATGTGAACATGATATTTCAGCGGGTTGGAGCGATTCGTTCCCTCCCCACCTCAAGTCGGTTAGCTGGTGGCCGGCTGGCTGGTATGTAACATGTTGGCTGTTGGCTGTTCAGCTTCGCGCTTGACCAACCAACCACTTTCGGAAGCCAGCAGTATTGGCTTGTCTTTCACCTCATTATCGGCCCCTCACGATAGAAACAATCAATCACCAGTCGCTTTTCATCCGAGCGAGTTCGGACCCGTTTTGTGGGCTTCTGCAGACCGACCGGAGCCGGGCCAAGCCAGCGGGTTGCGGAGGGGGTTGCACAATCACATGTGTTCGTCGTCCCCGTTACCTGCCTTTTATCTACACCTTCATTTACACAGGCCGGCCGCTGTTTCTCAATCGTATCCCCTCGAATCTCGGACTTGGAGTAGGTCGTCGGTCCTGCTTTTCTCATCGCTCCTGCTCGACAGCCGGATTCTCAGACCTGGAGTGAGAACACGGCACAAGACGGCAGAGCTCCAACTACCTCCGTGTCATCATGGCCATCGCTCCGAAAAGCCGTGTGCGAGGTGGCTGGCTGATCGCTCTGATAACCCTCATCGATTCTAGTAAGAGTTCCCCGTTCTACAATCTGGGGGTCCGAAGCTGATCATGTGATTCGAAGTGTCCTCATGCTGGTTCGGGTACTGCCAGGTTCGTGGATATCGATCCGACTCACTTACTTAGGGAGTGGCTGAACTCCTCCCCCCAGGGCGTCTTTGCTGGCGTGCTCGTTTCGCCAGACTTCAAAGAACAGTTTCCACAGACGAAGAACGGGAACGTCTCCGGCATCGTCACGAGTTGTTTTCTGGTATGTCACGTCAAATAGTCCTAGAGATATCAATATCGCGAGATGTCTGACATTACGATGGAATAACAGCTCGGGGCCTTCTTTGGAGCTATGCTTGCCTTCGTCTCGGGAGATAAGCTTGGCCGTAAGAAGACTATCATCATGGGCCACATTTTGAGCACCTGGGGTGCTACACTCCAGTTCCTCTCTTGGAGCCTGCCGCAGATGATAGTGGGACGTGTCATTAATGGGGTTGGGGTCGGTATCACGTCGACTGCATCTCCAGTGTTTTTGTCTGGTGAGTAACTGTTAAGCCTACTCATTGTCCCCTCTTTTTATGATCAGGACCGAGTACTACGCCTCCGAGTGTGCGTTGAACGGGAAGCCCACGATCTACGGCTCACCTACTTATTTAGCCGGACACTGCCCCTCAGATTTGGCTAACACCAGGTACAGAGTGTGCTAGGTCCCACATGCGTGGCCGTCTGCTCATCATCGGGGCATCTTCCAACGTTACCTGCTTCTGCCTAGCCAACTGGATCAGCTACACCCTCTACTTCCGAGCCGGGCCATGGCAATGGCGATTCCCTCTGGCTCTCCAGCTGATCTTCCCGTGCATCATCTTCCCACTCTTCCCCTTCGTCACGGAGTCTCCTCGGTGGCTGCTACTAGTAGGTCGTGACGAAGAGGCGATGCATGTGCTATCAAGGCTGAATGATACTTCCGCTGATTCTGGCACGGGAGAGTCTGTCACTGCGGATTATAGCTCGATACTGGCCTCAATACAGTTGGAGCGCGAGAATCGTGTTCCACTGATTGACGCCCTCCGGCATCGGACAAGACACAGAACTTTCGACGCCTCTTGCTTTCCTGCGGGACACAGTTCATGCAGCAGTTCAGCGGCATCAATGCACTAGGTGAGTAGTTACATCTGATTCACCCCCACCGTCCGTGACTCATGTTTCACTGCAGGCTTCTATCTACCAACTCTACTCCACGAGAACGTCGGGTATGATGAGCAGGCTTCTGACCGCGGTCAGCGGCACCATCTATCTCGTGGCCGCATTCGGCAGCCTGATCGTGATAGATCGAGTTGGACGACGCAAATTGATGCTCTTCGGCTCACTGGGCATGGCTAGCTGTCACCTCATCTCGGCATTGTGTCTGAAGGCCGGAGAAGACCACCCTTCGCAGATGAAAACAGCGAGTCTCCTTATGCCGGCCAGTTTACCTGAATACGAGCTGACGTGTTCGAAGTTGGGCAGCGTGGCCGTGTCGATGTTCATCTTCTACCACGTCTTCTTCGCGCCGACCTGGGGAGGCGTCCCCTGGGTCTACGCCGCCGAGATCAACTCGCTCGGCTGGCGAACCCGCGGCGCGGCGGCGGCTACGGCCACGAACTGGATCATGGGGTTCGTGGTCGTCCAATTCACCAAGGTCGGGATCGACAACCTCCAATGGCGCTTCTATCTGAGTAAGTGCTCTCTCGCAGTCCACGCTGGATGTCAGCTGTCATTAATGCCTCACAACGATATTCTAGTCTTGGCGGTCATTTGCGTCTCGTTCTTCCCGATAGTGCTGTGTCTGTATCCCGAGACGGCGCGGCGGACACTCGAGGACATGGATGAGATATTCCTCCACCATCCTTCTTGGTTCGTCTTGGGGAATAAAGAGCTCACACAGCGCGAACGACCGCAGGTTTATGTCGAGGCTGAGGCGCGTCGGATCGTCATGGCTCAAGCTCCGGCTGCGGACCACTGATAGGATCAGGTAGATTGAGGTATCCGGCAGCCTCGAGACTGCCTGTCTGCGGCTCCGAATGCAGACCGGGAGCTCGCGTGACGACAGACAGGGGAAGGGCGTCGGCTACTGAAGTAGGTATGCAGAGTCATGAGATACCCGCGCCTTTCCGCATCATGTCAAGACTGTTTTACCGCTTCATCTGACCTTCGTAGTATGTCAGCCGGTTATGCTACACATGGACGGACGGCACAACCTCGTGATCAGCTTGTTCTAGTAAGGACTGTCAACTACTCACCATTTCCATCTAACCCTAACCCTAACCAACTTCATCTAATCCTAACCCTAATCAACCTAACTATAACCCCTGAGTGACAGGGAACAACGATGCTGCGTGAATAGTTCAAGACAGGGCGCTGTTGATTACATATTGACCATGTTTACGTATTATACCTTCCATTCAGTGATTGATACCATGTTATGTGCGTCCCTCAATCGCCTATCTTGTCTCCTCAACATTCACTTGGCGAAGGAGTTTTCTTCACCCAGACCTCCTCCACCGGGTCCCCACGTCCTGTCACGCATTCCCACTCTCCAATACCGTACTCTTCTGGGGCCCTTCGCATGCCGCGACCTCCCCCGCCCACGATGAGGTTACCGGGTCGGTAGGACTTGTCCTCTCGCATCCGACGGATGACAGAGCCATGCACACGTGCCGTATGTGGGATGTCACGCGTCTCACCGCACGGTAACGGCCAACGGATGGGTTTCCATGTCCCATCCGACTGCAGGTCCATCCTCCGGAAAGGCATGTACTCCATGATCTTCCAGCTGATTACCTGTCTCTTCGTCAGGCCGGATCCGAACTGGAGCGAGTCGTGAACGAGAGCCACGTGAGCTTGGTGGAGCATCTGATGGAACGGGCTGGATTTCTCGTGGTTCTTCTCCTCGCTGCTCTCCTGTCTGAAGTGAGCCCAATCCTCCTTTGGGTCGTTGACAGGACCACCTTCAAAGGACGCCAGGGGTGTTGGGGCGGTCACGTCGACGCGGATGTCGGGGCTCTCATTCGTGCTCGGGGGGTCGTCCGAGTCCTGCAGAGCTTCAGAGACTCCCATATCGACTAGCTTCACAGGATCAAAATTGAGGCCGGCCTTTCCAGCCTCCCTAATCATCCACGTGAGTGGTATGTGACTGGCTGGTTTCTCGCCGGGAACCAATTCCCATCCTCCCCCCACGTCGCCATGCCCGCCCGCGAACCTGAATACCGATTAGTCTGGTTGCTGGTAGTTTAGGTTCAATTCAAGGGTCTACTATACCAGATCTCGTCAATATCCTGCTCATCATCCTCGGAGTCTTCACCGTCGTCTTGGTACAACCCCTGGGATACCTCAGGTTGGGCGTCACCGCCGTGATTGATGACGTCCTTCGAGTATCGGGTGCCCTCCTTCGAGTTTCGTGTCTCTCGCGACTTTGATCGCGAATAAGGCCGAAATGTGTCTTCGTCTAGAGACGGTGCAGACTCGCGGCGGCCTCGTGTTGTGCTGTCCCTTGCTGCAGCTCCTGAAACAGCTTGACGCCGCGCACGGTATCTCTCGTGCACCATCTCATGAAGCTTCTCACGTGCGATAGATTCCGTGCGTTTATGACCTCTGCCGACGCCTTGGTAGATGAGATCTTGCCGGAACTTCGCGCGGCGCTCGTCTATTGAAACACAGTGGCGGATTACCTAAGACAGGGTCAGAAAGAGGCTGGCCAGACCACTCTGACGGTAGATTATAGGCAGTGGACTCACCTTAGCGGTACTCCGCGCAGTATACGGGAATTTCGACTGCTGCATCCAAGCCGCCTCGAACCGGGGAACCGAATTGACCGTGTCGAACAAGCCAAGAAACCGTATTCTCTCCACGGGTCGGCTGAATGTCTCTCGGAATCCTTTCATAAATCGGAACATCTCGCGGCGTTTGTCCCTGTGCTCCCTGCTGTCGCTAGTCTGGCGGGCCTGCCATTCCGAGAACGCTTTCCAGGCGAATGCGACCATCTCTTCGTTTCCGTGTGAGAGCAGCCCGACGAAGTCGAGCATCTCTGCGAGGAACCTGGCCACATAGGCCCCCCGAGAGAAACCGAAGAAGTAAATCTCATCACCTGGGTCGTCTCCAGCAGTTCCTGTTAGTAGGATAAAACCGTACAAGCTCACAGTAAGGAAGAAACTGATAATATTGTGCTGTGTTCGCTGCCGATGTAATGGATGTAAGGGAGGTGGGTTGGGATTCAAAGAGGGGTCACGTGGCCATGCAGCCGGAAGGGGGAAAGGGGGGGATATCGTGGACAAGGAGGCGATCTGAATCCACACACAGGGTGAAAAGGGCAATCCAAGCTCTTCAAGTGCATGGAAGAGCTACGAACTAAATCAAATGGTTTACTTACAGAAGCGCATCAGAAATCGATACCCTCCGACGACATGTTGATCGAAGCTGGATCCGATGGCTGAGTCTTTCGCTTTCAGAACCCATGATCGGACGCGAGCCCCGACACTGGTATGTGAAAGTGAATTCGAGGTAATATACGTCCCGATACCCGGCTGGTAGTAGTGGTCTATTGGCTAGACGATTAGCAAACAGCAGTGAACGCTCGGTAAGTTATCGGGGCCTTTGACGTACACTGGTCACCAGCTTCACGATCCAAACACCTGAAGATCTTCAAGATGTTACTGTCGCTATCGTCTCCCCGGAACTTGTTGCCAGTCCCGTCAAAGCATAGCACAAGCTTGTTCGGAGCACGACAAGGTTCTAGAGCAGGATTCATTGTTGATGATTGGGCAGGTTGATGAACCTCATCGCCGAAGTCTTGAGTTGCTGTGGTGCTGCCTTTTGAGTTTACAGGCGGTCCCTTCGGCACCTCAGGAGAGAGGTGAAACGGGTTCATGATGAAGGTTCTCCGCTCGGCGTCTTGGTGGGTGCGTACAGCAGGTTGCGCTACAGAGCACGAGGAAACACGAGACGGCTAAAACTTGTACTCGATTTCGCTACGCGCAGCGGGGTGAACAAGTATGGTGTGTTGGCTGAGATACCACAAGTGTAGGCAACTTGCCTTCAGTCGCACAATTGTGGCCACCAAGGTCATATGATGAGTGCCTCGCTTAAGAGCCTTCTGTCCTTTTGAGGTGGGGGGGGGGACGCGGTTTATTGCCGGTGAGAGATGCCGTAACATGGTAATCCCCTTAGGTTTGACCATCTGTCTCAGCAACGAGCGGATGCCGGTCGTCTACAAGCCACTGAGCAGACAATGGAAGCAGGTCGCGAGTGAGGGGGCGTAAAAGATCGCGAAATCTCGAGCAGTGACGGCCCTCCCCATCTATGGTGGCTGGGAAGATCATCCATGGATGATGATGACTTCCCCAGTAGAGACGATGGTTGGATGAATCATACCATCGTCCTACACAAGATCTGCAGGATGAGGGCATCATTCTCTTGCGATTGTGAGGCTGAACGTATGATAGCAGTTTTAATAGGGCGACTCTGTGAGACATCGAAAGACCATGGCGCCTGCGGCCACCCCTGAGCTCTCACCAACGGAACCTGGCAGCTAGACCATTCCGGCTGGACGGCTTGCCAATATAGTAACGCCGATCTATGCGTATGGTACAGACTGACCTATAGAGGAGCTTCATTGGCCGTCTGCAGAACGCCGGTCACGGAGTGCGGCTGCCACATGGGAGGACAGTCACATTATACACGGCGTTACTGGCGGTATCATCCTTTATCAAGCAGCCATGTCTCGGGATTGATCACTGATTCGAGACCGCCTACGGTGTGCTCACGTTCAGAGTGGCTGGCTGAGGGAGAAACCAGAGGCTCACACGCCGAACTCCCAGAGGTCTCCGCACACTATTTCTAACTCGAGTCCTTGGTACATGAAGATAGCCGAACTAGTGGAATCAAAATTATGGAGAAGACCTTACATGCATAGAGCAGCGAATTGAAGCACAAGTGTTTATTCCAGGGTGCTTGTTCGCTCATATGGACACTTTGGAAAGGGGTTTAAGGTGCGTGGATGAAGACGCAAGAAGGGTGATTGTACAGTAATCACCGCCAGACACAACTGTGAGACCAGTCGTTCGGTGCCGTTGATGGTTACCTAGACACAGCTATTCTGAGACTACCCCGCTCATGTCGTAGATCGTTGTCTCACAATATATTGTCGGAGTTGTCACCGTCACTTCTTCATTGGACAGTCATGAAGTCTCGGCATGGTTGGGAGACTAGTTGCATGAATGGGCTTCGGGTGGCGGATGTAAGACTTGATATAGGCACCACCACGAAGAGCTCTCATAATTTACTTCGCGTCACATTTGCCTTCCCCTTTGGAAAGATCACCGAGGCGGCAAGTCTTGAAGTAAACCCGAGGGTTGCCGCCGAGGGTTGTTCAAATCCTGTATCCGAAAGAAACACGACTCAACACCAAAGCCCACCACCATTTGACGATTGACCGCTCAGAGTCATTGCACTTGGCAATCAGAGCAAAATGGCCCGCAATAATAGATCCAACGGGCTTTACGATAGCAATGTCGACGGGGACGATCACGACGACTGGGACAGCTCTTCGACAATGGGCAAGGCATCGACAGCGTCTCCCGAGAAGAGCCACTTCAAGAAGGAGAAACCAGAAGGCATACCAAAGGCAGACCGCGAAGGAGTGGCAAAAGCATTCGCTCAGTTTGGTCAACTGATGCAAACCTCGCGGAAGCCCATCCCTACCCAGAATGGAGCTGGGACATTCAGCGAAGCGAACAAAAGGACGGGGCTGAAGCAAGACTTGAAGTACATTACCAAAAAAGGTAGACCTACCCTGCAACTCTTAGGCAGTAGCAGTTCCTAACAGCCATCTAGACGTGAAGACAGTCATGACCCTCGTGAAGGGCAAGCTGAAGGGGGAGCAGCTCGTCGATGACAAGACTATGATCATGGAACACGCTATCCAGATGGTGGCAGGGCTGCCTGATAGGTCACGACTGCGAGAAGAAGTCACCAATCGACTCCTTGATGAGCTATGGAACACCCTCGACCATCCGCCTTTGCTCTACATGGGAGATAAACATCAATACCGAATGGCAGATGGATCATGGAACAACCCGATGCAGCCCATGCTCGGAGCCGCTGGTTCTACGTATGCGCGGACCTGCCGGCCGGGCATCGTTCCACTTGGAGCCATGCCAGACCCGGGCCTGATCTTCGAGTCGATCATGAAGCGGACCCAGTACCGCAAGCACCCAAACAATGTCTCCTCGGTGCTCTGGTACTGGGCCACCATTATCATCCATGACCTCTTCTGGACCGACCACAATGACATGACCAAGACGAAGACTTCATCTTTCTTGGACCTCTCTCCGCTATATGGCAGCAACCAGGACATGCAAGACAACGTGCGCACGTTCAAGCACGGCATGATGAAGCCCGATGTCTTTGCCGACAAGCGTCTTGTGGGACAACCACCTGGTATCGCTGCCATATTGATCATGTTCAATCGCTTCCATAACCACGTTGCGACGAATCTTGCTGCCATCAACGAGGGTGGTCGCTTCACACCGCCACCGCCAGGGTTGGACGAAGAGAAGGCGGCCGCTGCTTGGAAGAAATACGACAACGACCTCTTCCAGACCGCTCGCCTTGTCACTTCGGGTCTGTATATTAATATCACACTCGTTGACTATGTTCGCAACATTATCAATCTGAACCGAAGCAACACGACGTGGACGCTTGATCCTCGCGTGGAAATGGGCCGCGATGCTGGCACCCATGCAGGGTCTGAAAGAGGGACAGGTAGTATGGTATCAGCTGAGTTCAACCTTTGCTACAGGTAAGTTGCCCTGTCAAGCAGTTGAAGTAATGATTTGCATAATCACGCGGCATAAGCAGTTTTCTAAAGGGGCGTTTGACTTAGGGTTAGGGTTAGGGTTAGGGTTAGATCACGTTAGCTGACGAACGAAACAGATGGCACTCCTGCATCTCAGCCAAAGACGACCAATGGGTCCAAGACTTCTACCAAGAGCTTTTCGGCAAGGACCCGTTAAGCCTCAGCACCCAGGACATGATCATGGGCTTCGTCAAGTTCGAGAAGAGCATCCCCGAAGACCCTGCCGAGCGTGAATTCGGCGGCTTCAAACGCGGCGCCGATGGCAAGTTCAATGACGACGACCTCGTCGGCTGCATCTCGGACGCGGTCGAGGATTGCGCAGGGGCCTTCGGCGGCCGCAACGTACCGCAGTCCATGAAGCCCGTCGAGATCTTGGGCATACTCCAAGGCCGAAAGTGGAACGTCGCAGGCTTGAACGAGTTCCGTAAACACTTCGGTCTCAAGCCGTATGAGAAGTTTCAGGACATCAACTCGGATCCGGAGATTGCGGAGTCTCTCGAAAACCTATATGGGCATCCCGATTTCGTGGAGCTCTACCCCGGTCTGGTTGCCGAAGAAGCCAAAGAGCCGATGGTGCCTGGTGTCGGTATCGCTGTAAGCTGGCCCCGGCGTCCCTATAGCCCGACACGTGCTCATTGACCTTACATAGCCGACGTACACCATCTCTCGAGTGATCCTGTCGGATGCGGTGTGTCTGACTCGTGGCGATCGCTTCTACACCACCGACTACAACCCGCGATACTTGACGTCCTGGGGCTTCAACGAAGTGGCGTACGATCTGAATATGAACCAAGGATGTGTTTTCTACAAGCTGTTCATCCGAGCTTTCCCGAACCACTTCAAGGCAAACTCGGTCTACGCACACTACCCCATGGTCGGTACGTAGTCGTGGACTCTCACAATTCGCGGTCGTTGTCACTGACATAGACCGCAGTTCCAAGCGAGACCAAGGAGATCCTGACCAATCTCGGCCGCGTCCAAGACTTCAATTATGACCGTCCATCATTCATCCCCGAACGCGTGAACATCACAACCTATGGTGGAGCGCAGTATGTGCTCGAGAATCAGGACAAATACAAAGTCACCTGGCACGAAGGCCTGTCCTTCCTCATGGGCGAGGGCGGCAGCCGCTTCATGCTCTCAGGGGACTCGGCCCTGCACGCCAACCAGCGGAAGTGCGTGCACGCCCAGCTGTACAAGGACGACTGGCAGCGGAACATCAAGGCCTTCTACGCGCAGATCACAGAGCAGCTCATAAAGGAGAAGACATACAGGCTCGCGGGCCAGAATTTCGTCGACATCATCCGGGACGTCGGCAACATCGGCCCCGTCCACTTCGCCACCCGCATGTTCAACCTGCCGCTGCAGACCAAGGAACACCCCAAGGGTATCTACACGGAACAGGAGCTGTACATGGTCCTGGCCATTATCTCCGCATGCATCTTCTTCGATTTCGACCTCGTCAAGTCGTTTCCCGTGCGGCAGGCGGCCAAGACTGTCGCGACGCAGCTGGGCCAGATCATCGAGGCCAATGTGAAGCAGACGACAGGCTTTGGTGGCATCGGCGGGTTTTTCGCTGCCAAGCCGAAGAAAGACGACCCGCTGGCGTCGTATGGGGATAACTTGATCAGGGGTCTTTCCAAGGCGGGTCTGAAGAACGAGGATATTGTGTGGAGCCAGGTCCTGCTGACGGCGGTTGCGTCTGTGCCGAATATCGCGGGAGTGGTATGTCTCAATGCATCGTCTTCTGGTTGCCGACCAAGTGACTGACCTAGCAACAGTTCGCCCAAGCGGTCGACTACTATCTGACTCCAGCCGGGTCGAGATACCTACCAGAGATGTACCGCATAGCCAATCTTTCGTCCTCGGACGAGACTGATTCCCTGTTGTTGGGATACTGCATGGAAGGCATTCGACTCGCGGGCACGTTCGGCTCGTACCGCAAAGCAGCGGCCGACGACTTCATCCGAGAGGATGATGGGCGCGAAGTTTATGTCAAGGCCAAGGATCGCGTCTTCGTCAGCTTTGTGAGTAATCCGAAGCGTGCTCTTGATTACCCTGGCTTCAGCATCTATAGTAAAGCTAATCATGAACTGCAACAGGTGGGCGCCGCGAAGGACGCAGAGCACTTCCCGGGCCCGGAGAAGGTAAACCCCCGTCGCCCCCTGAGTACGTACATCCACTTCGGACTGGGACCACACGCGTGCCTCGGACGGAACGCCGCCCAAGTTGGGTTGACAGAGATGTTCCGGTCTGTCTTCAAGCTGAGAAATATTCGACGAGCCCCTGGTCCGCAGGGGGAGCTGAAAAAGATCCCTCGGCCTGGTGGGTTCTTTGTGTACATGAGGGAGGATAGGGGCGCGTACTTCCCCTTTCCGTGCACTATGAAGATCTGCTATGACTGAGCTAGCTGTGAGGGGTGTCAGTTTCTTTTTCACGTTTATGTAGTCGAGGTTGGTGCTGCTGAAGTGGGTTGGCTGCTTGCAGATGGGGACTACTGTATCTCCAGTCTGAAGATGCCTCGTCAAAGGTCGCTTCACTAGAAAGGTCACCTTGGATTATCTGATGATTACCATACTCTTCATGTTCTCTGCCAATAGTGTGATGTATTTCCAAGGTGTATGTATCCAGACCGGTGAGGGAAGATGGTCACCATGCGGCGCCCCGTCTCCAATTGCTGCAAGAGTTGCGAGCTTTGCTGCTGTAGGGCGTCGATGCAACGCTATTGTGCTCCCCCGAATCGAGAAGTTCCTTGTACGCACATAAGAACCATGGGCCAAACATGGAAACATATGTAGGTGGTACAGCAGTAGAAAGGGGGGGGGGGGGTGGAGATGAAGCCTGTCGAGTATGGATTGCCGTTTTGGGAAAGCCGCGAAGGATCTGCCCTATCATAGCAACGCTGCCAGCACTAGAGCCAGCGTTCCAGGGGTCCTGATCACCTCCTAACGCCGCTGACAGTTTTGCCTCCATTGAATGCAGATACTCGCTTCGTTACGTGCCCTTACGGGGCATGTTGCAAGCTAAAGCGGGGCTCTCGGTTTCTTGTTTTATATGAAGTATTTTTTATGTTGTAAATATATATATAACAAGTATTTTAAACGCGAGCGATAAAAGAAAAGTTTATAAAAAAGTAGCCATTCAAAGTATGTTAATATATTCGTTACTATATGAACTTATACTTATACACTTTACGTTATTGCCAACTTTATACCTATTATAAAAAATAAAATAAAATAAAAACCCGTAACTGTGACGAGCCGTCTAACTTATAAGGCTAAAGGGTTCTATAGGGTTTATATTCTGAGGTAAGTCAACACAAAGAACGATAGAGGCTTCTGGCAACTAGAAGACACTCAGATGCTGGGGCTTGGTCTTGTTGGATTAAAGGTGAGCCCAGAGGGCACCTTGATAGGTAGATACCGGAGCCTAGTTGTTCCGTCCCGATCTGTCAGATTTGAGCCAATTGTGAGGTTGAAGTGTGTGTGTGTGTATATATTCTGTCTCTCTAGAGTGTCCTCGTGCGACCGTGGCAGTTTTGTGCCAGAGGGGGCTGGATCGGGACGGAACAACTAGGCTCCGGTGTCTACCTATCAAGGTGCCCTCTGGACTCACCTTTAATCCAACATACCCCCTCAGCCAGGCAGGCAACGGCTCTGGCTGAACTAGTCTATAGAATAAATTACTTCAGGGTCTTGACTCAGAATTTTTTCTCTCTTCTTAAAGGCTCCCTCCTGTAACCTCAGATCAAGCTGCCTTACCCGAGTGTCTATCAATCCCAACTGATCCAGAAATCCTGCCCACCATTGAGCCGGCAAGGCCTTGGTCAACCCATCCGCTTTTATCTGTGCTAAAGGCGTGTACTTGATGCTGACAGTTCCTCGTTCCATTTCTTGTCGAAGCCAATGGTTGTGTATGTCCACATGCCGTAACTTGGTTTTTAAGAGGGCAATTTTGGCGGTCACTAGCTTAATTGTCTGTGTATTGTTGCATTCCATTTTGATCTTCTTGCGTTTGAGTTAAACACCAAGTTCTGTAACTAGCCGGCTGATGTACAGAGTCTCTTTGACTGCCTGAGCCAGTGCGAATAGTTCTGCTTCTACAGTAGATGTAGTAACCGTGTCTTGTTTATTGGCGCTCTAGCCGATCAATCCTTTGAAGAGAGTCATGGCAAATGCCTGAGAGCTCTTTCTGTCAAGAGTATTGTCGGCAAAGGAAGCATCACTGGCCACCACTAAATCGTCTCCTCCTCCAAACTGGAAAGAGTGGTATCTTGATCTATATAGGTATCGGATGACTTGGTCGGCGGCATTCTGATGGATCTGACTTGGGTTTGTGAGGAATCTAGCGAGGCGTGATGTTGCGAAGGCTATGTCTGGCCATATGGAAACGGAGGCAAATAGAATAGAACCAATCTTTTATTGGTATTTCTGGATCTCGTGAGGGGCGGCGTGATCTTGCTGGGGCAGTAGTTCTTTTGTACTCATTAGGACCTTAGGAACTCTGTCGGTCAGGTTGATTAGCTTGGTTACTTTCTTAATGTAAGAGGTCTGGGAGAGCCAAATCTTTCGCTGGAGCCGGTCCCAAATGATTTCCATTCAAAGGAACCATTGAACATGCCCGCCTCCAGTGATCTCGTATCTTCATTGAAGCTGCTGAACCATGTCTTGAACATCTTTTTGTGTGTGTCCTTTATATGCGATGATCACATCGTCCATGTAGAAGAATATCATGATTCCTTTTCTTGTATAGCAGCACAGCTCATATGGAACCGGGTTGAATCCCAAGCTGGCCAGAGTCTTTAAGAACTCTTTTTGCCATAATAATAGAGAAACCCTCAGTCTATAGAGTGCCTTATTCAACTAAAGAATTGTACCTTTATTGTGATAGCCGTGTGGCATCCGCATGAAGATCTTCTTATTGATAGGAGCATGCACAAAGGCGTTGATAACGTCGTACTGGATCATTTTGAGGTCAAACTTGGCCGCCAGGGCTATCAAGGTTCTGAACGATCTTCCAGCAAGAGTAGCTGCATACGTCTGTTCTTAATGCAGCCCCTTCTGTTGATCTTCTCTGACCACGAGACGTGCCTTACACTTGATGAACCTCTCATGCTTATCAAACTTATAGACATACACCCACATGCAGTCCAAGATTTGATGCCCTCATATAGATGGGTCTTTCTTTCGGATCTCAGTCCATGACCTCATGCTGTTATGACTTTTTAGGTGATCCTTTTTGGCCATTTTGAACAAGTGTCCCATTGAATAGGTTGCTAGTTTGTCGCGCTGCTGTAGCGCTTTTTCCAGGAGTTGCCTGTACAGCTTGAATCCTTTTTGTAAGGCTCTCTCAATGCTTGTCCGATCTAGGGTGTTTTTACCCGATCATTCTATGGACAAAGCCTTGAGGCCTGTTAGAAACACCGCTTTCTAAGGCTCGAACTCTTTTTGTCCTGGGTCTTGTAGAGGATTTTTGGGTTCCTTATTCCCCTTCTAAATACTATGACATAGCAGGGCGGACAGAGGACTAGGCAGTGGTAAAGGTAATAGGGCAAACTTCGCCGTGGTGTATAGGTGCTCATTCCCAATACCTATATCTATTTCTTTTTCGTCCTTTTGGACTTGTATCCCTGTCGGGACCACCGGGCCTCCCGCACTTCTATCCTCTACCCCTGTCGGGGGAGGATGTTGGGCCGCTTGTAGTTTATCAGGATTTTCTTTCTTGTCCTGGACATTGTCGTCGGACTCGGATAGAGCGTATTTATTGACCATGACCTGTATCTCTTTAACAGTTGCTGTCTTCAAGTCATCTCGGAACCGTTCTTTATTCTTATTAAATAACTCGCTCTCATTGAAAGCGACATCTCTCATACTTATCACCTTATTTAGGTGAGGCACCCACACACGGTAGATATTAGAGGACCGATATCCAACCAAGTATCCAATCCATGCTTTAGGACTGAGTCTGTCTAGCCTTCAGCGACCCAACTTTATGTCGGTTATTATTGCGTAGGCCTTGCAGACATACACCCGGAGATATGTCTGGTTGGGGCGCTTGTCTGGGGCCATTAGTTAACCTGTCTTCCTCGTGACTGCTTCAAAGAAGACATCAAAAGGGGTTTTCTACCTACTCTTTCTTCTTAGTGTCCGATTATAGAGATATGTAGCCGCTTTGAGTATTTCTGGCCATAGGAAGGTCAGTAATCTAGCACTAATTTGCATCGCGTGCGCTTTCATTTTCAGTACACCCCCTGGGCGCTCGGCACCTTCGTTCTTGGCTTGTGTATTGGGAGCTGAGGGCTCTACCTTGATCGGGCGGGTTTCTAGCCATCTTCCTATGTCTGGCTTGTTAATATATATCTCGTTATCTGTTTTAACTACCCTGACTTTGATGTCGTATTGGCGTTCCAGCCATAATAGGTGTGTTGACACCATATGGATGATTGTTTGCGTAGTTCAATTCTTGAGAGCATAGTCCCATAAGACACCAGAGTTTCTGCATGTAAAGACTATATGAGATGACTTGTTTGACAGCGATCTCTTGTAATCATGGAAGTCAAGGGCTAATCTCTCTTCTGGATCTTTGTAGTTAGATTGTGGTGCTCTCTGTATATGCTGTCTGGCCTTGGACATTCCGCATGACTCGCATTCCACTCCCGTTGGTCCTCGGATGACCACCCCCTAAGATGCACGCACTAGGTGTTCCAAAGCTTCTGGGCCAGGATGTCCTAGTCGTTGATGCCATAGCCACGCGAGCCTAGTGAGGGGAGGTCTTCTGGACCATGAGTTGTGTAGATGCTTCTTGCTTGGTTGTGCGGTATGAAACATGACGTTTGGGTTGTTCGGTTGGTAGTCAATGACATATTGGCCGTACATGTCCTTGATATGGCCAATCAAGATATTGTCTCTTCTTTTGAGACTGGTCTGCCTTTCCTTGTTGTCCCACCAATATCCTTTTCGTCTGAGTTCTCGTAGGGATACGAGAGTGGTGAGGAGTGAGGGCCAGTAGGCTGTATTTAGGAAGCTGATAATCGTGCTTCCGACGCGTACTTGCATATTGCTGTACGCTTGGATGGGTAGAGGGCGATCTCCCGACCATACGAAATCCCCTGGTGGCGCAGTCATCCAGCTGGTTAGACGCCATGCTTGGTTTGTGACCGTGATGGTGCTTCTACTGTCCAAAATGACTGAGTATGCCAGTGGATAGTCGTCTAATTTGACCAATGTGAAGGCTGATGGCACCTTGCCCATTGTTCTGCCATAGAGTCAATCTTGAATCTCTTTAGCCTTTTCTCCTTTAGGTTGAGGGGTCCTTGTACTTAATTTTGACTTGTTCCGCTTCAAGGCACGGACTTGAGCTTGTAGTTCTGGATCTTCCATGACTTGAGTCGTCTTCTTGATGAGAT